CCCAAACCCGGGGGGTAAAGAAACACTTTAAATACCCATTTGTGAGACTTGATCATCTGCTTGCTGAAAATGCTCTGACGTAGCATATCCCTGCCAAGAAAATAAAATGGAAATTGAAATTGAATCCAAAAGAAAAGGACGGAGAAATAAGAAACAAAGATAATGATTCGCATTATTCACCCGTTCCTCAATCAAAGTTGAGATATAGCATTTGAGACATCTAATCGTCACTCTATCATTTAACTTATACTCGTCTACATCTATATACATCAGCCTACCTACGTAGACTCTGATCTGTTCTGATCTTTTCTAAATTTTATGCTCGCCCGTCCCAGCCTTGAGCATATACCCATCCAGCGCCGCGCGCAGGAGCTGATTCGCAATTGCCGTAGGCGGCGGTAATCTCAGCGAGCCAGGCTTATATTCCTTGCTCGGCTCTTCTCCGAGTCCGCTCGTGCCAAACTCCAGGGCGTGCGAGATCTCATCTACGCCGACCCACTTTGCGTCTTCCAGCTCTGGATCATGCTGGAGCGAAATCTCTTCTCCGCCGGGGAGTGCTTGGGCGAGGGCGCCAATCATCAGGTTAGCCGGGTACGGCCAGGGCTGGGTGCTATGGATGACGACGCGGCCGACACGCACGCCTGCTTCTTCCCAGACTTCGCGGCGCGTCGCGTCCTCGATGGACTCGGCGGGCTCGACGAACCCGGCGAGCGTACTGTACCAGTAGGGCGGATATCTGCGCGCGCGACCGAGGAGGACGCGAGAACCGTCTGCGGAAAGCACGGCAACGATGATGGTTGGATCGGTGCGTGGGAATGAGATGTTGGATACGCCCTTGCGAGTGGCGCATGGAGGACGTTGTTGCGAGGGGACTGGGTCCGCTGCGGCAGCGGCTGGAGCAGATGATGCGGCGAGAGGAGTGGCCACGGAAGCTAGATCAGTGGGAGGACACGTGCGCTTGGTGCCGGCGTTGATGGAGAGAGTGGGGTGGCCGCATTGTGCGCAGAAGGGGTTCCGCGCATTCCAGTCGAGTAGGGATCGGGCTTGGGCGTATATTGCGGCTGGTTATCGAGCGAAGACATCAGTTTCCGAATAGAAGGATGAATGTGAGATACGAGATGGGATACGAGTGAAAGAGTAGGAGGGAAAGGTCTCACCTTCTCCAGCGGATAATGAAGTGTGCATGCGGCCTTCAATAAAGGTCAACCCGTTTGATTTCATGTCTTCGATGAGAGCAGTGCACGCTTTCTCAATGGTTCCCTTTGGCGTGACGTCGAGTGCGAAAAAGGGCGCACCGCGGTAATCGTTCCATTGTAGTCCCTTTTCAGACTGTTTCTCGTCGATGCCCAGGAATATGAGTTGCGGGATTGTAACGGTCGAGTTGAATTCTTTGATGAGCTCCGCTTCGGGTTTCGAGTATGGATCTTCCCCTATCAGCGGCCGGACGTCCGTGTATGATGCATATGCGAGTTGTGCGGGGTCTTTGGCAAGCGGTGCGAGATTATTGAAGAGCAGGAATGAAGAAGTGGGGTGTCTCAAGGCAGCAGAGAGAAATGCATGATCTGTTCGCAGGAAAGAAACCCGATTGAGCGGTGAGCCTGGTTTAAGGGAAAGATTAGTTTGAGTCCTCTGATGGAAAGCAGAGAGATATGAACTGTTCGTAAAGTCAAAGAAACAGTGAGGGAATATTCGTGACTACTAACTGGAAAAGTAATTGATTATTTCTCTCCCAAACTTGCGCGATAACATTGAGGTATCTTGTTCAAGGGGGTATGGCGCTTCAGGAAGCTCAGGCACAGGCGGCATTGCTGGGCGGTGAAGTATCAATGAACCAGGGCAAGAAGGTAGAGCTGTAGCGGTCAAGTATGTTCCAAGTATCGACGCCTTCAGCTCTCTTCCTTTCTATATTGCTTTCTTTATTTGTTTGGTAGACCTTGGCAGCTCACTTTCGATATATTGGCGAATATCAGCATTCGATGGAGGTGATAGAGGGGTCCTAGACCAGGTATTTCGCTGTGATAAAGATGACGTCGTAACAACAGATGCGACTCAATGCGCTGAGCTTTCAAAGGCAACCAATCTCCTTAAAAAAGATAGAGCAAATAGAAACAGAAAACGACGCGAAAGGAAAGCTCAGAGCGATTGACCTATTTCCTGCCGGGTCCGGGGGATATTGCGATATTACAATTCAAATGATGACATATCCGCTCTTTCGTCAACCAGTAACTCCGCAATCAGCGGCGATAAGATCCGAGCTTGTGCACTTACAAACATGAACCCTTTCACCCTCGGTACGTACACTTGTACCTGTCGGCCACTTAAAACTCCAGTCGTGATAGTTAAGTCTCAGCTAACTTATAACTAGCTTACAAGCAGCTTGCCTCACCAAACACTGCGGGTTAACAGGATAATTGGCCCAGCTAGATGTCTCCGAATTAAATTGATAGCTGAAAGCCACGCTTGTTACCTTCATATAGAGAAAAGAATTTAATATATAGTCAAAGATTATTGACTCTATAAATATGCTAGAGCAAAAGCAACAGCTAGACTACCTAATACGCGATGAGACTCCTAATCAAATGCGTAAATACCCCGATCCCTTCTTCTGATCAAGGGTCTAAATGACCAGACAAATAGAAGATTTGAAGTATTACTTTTCCGAAATTCGAGGGCAGCGCGAAAACAAGAATCCACCAAACTCCTGCAAAATGCACCTTGACCATAATAGAGACTGCCGCCGCATGCGCCGTTGACTTTCTGTTTATTTCAGCCATTTTGAAAAAGGCACATTAGTCCTGCGGCGTGAAAAAACGCCTGCTTCCACACGCCCCCCAAAGAAGCAATGTTCCCTGGGGATCATTGCTGGTGGAAGTTGGCCGACGGTGGTTCCGCACGCTGACGTTTGGGGTCCCTTTCGCTCGGAGGGTTGGCAGAAGCCCGTCGCTTCTCCTTTTCCTTTTGGTATTGTTCTTCGCGGAGAGCTCGTCTCGCTTCCTTGTCACGGCGTTCATTCTCTCTGCGAAGGGCTTTTGACTCGAATTCATGCCAATCACCTTCGAGGTTTTCCAACCTAGTAGGATTCGATTAGTGTCGGATCCATGCGAAGGCTCGGGGTAATCAACTTACTCTGCGGGCGACCTCGGCGTCGGTTCCTCGATAGTAAAATATGGGTGTTTGAGGACTTCCGACGCGTCAGGGCGTTTAACTGGGTCATACGCAAACATTGCAGAAAGGAGATCAAAAGCAGCTGGTGTCAATCTTTCCTTGTACTTCTCAGCGAACGTGCTCGGCTTTTTCTCGGTCGGGCGCAGAAGCTCAAACCAAGCCATGTCCACTAAGCTTGGCCATTCCGAAACAGTAGGCGTGCCGAGGATGTTATATATCTTGTCCAGTTGATTTATTTCTCCACCGTCTCCCGGAAAGATAGCATGCTTGGTGAAAATTTCGACAAGAACGCACGCGGCAGACCATATATCGACCGCGGGTCCATACTGCGTCTCTCCCAAAAGAAGTTCTGGCGAACGATACCATATCGTGATGACACGGTTTGTATAATCCAGTTGGCGGCGCTTGGCAAAGAAACGAGCGAGACCAAAGTCTGCAAGCTTTAATTGTCCCGTGTTGCTGATCAGAATGTTGGCAGCTTTGATATCGCGATGCAAGACGCCGCGGCGATGGAGATAATCCAATCCCTCGAAGAGCTGCTTAGCAAGGTGCTTCTTGTGAGCGTGCTCCAGCTTGAAGCTAGGGTGATTCAAAAGGCCGGTAAGGTCATGAGAAAGATATTCAAAGACCATAAAGCAATCATTCTTCTCGACCATGACTTCTTGCAAACTGACGACATTCTCGTGCTTAAGTGACTGGAGAAGTTTGATCTCCCGAATCGCGGTAACAGGGAACTGTTCACAGTTAGCAATAAGCAACAGCACATAGTTGTCTTTGGTCACTTACCCCATCGCGCTCCCCCTCCATCCGAATCCTTTTGAGGGCAACCATCTTTTTGGTGTAAACATGGACGGCCTTGAACACCTTGCCATAAGTACCGGAGCCAATCACAGACTCGTTTCCAGGTTTGCGATAGTAAACTGAGTCAGACGCGGCGAAATCAGCTGGAAGAGTCGGCCTCGGCTTCAGCCGTTTCATAATGCGCTTCTCCATGCGTGGTTCTGGCCTTGGCTCAGGACGGACTTCAGAGCGGTGGTAATCAGGACGCCGGTCTGAACGGTAATCGCCTCGGTAATCCGAGCGTCGATCATGTCGACGATCCATGTCTGATCTTCGATCGAAATCATGCTTGCGTTCAGTCCGAAAATCGGCTCGTGATTTTCCAATTCTTTCAGTCGAGCGGGGTCGAGGGTGGTGCTTAGATTTGTTCCCTTCACTAAGCATGGTATCGCGGCGAGGAAGCGGTTCTCGAACTTTTTGTGAAAGGTCCGCCTTGGGGGTGGTGGGGGCGGGCGGGGCTTTTGACTTGAAAGCAAAGCTGAATCTGGGGCCTTCTTTAGGTTGCGCAGGCGACGGCCGAGTAGGAGGAGGCATTTGGTTCGTGGAGGGTGATCCACCATTTGACGAGGGATTGTTGTCAAGACTTTGATCCTCGACTTGTAGATCTTTGGAAGGCCGGAATGGATTGTCTTCCTCTTCCATGTTTGAGGGGGCAGATTCAAAGCTGCTTCTCTGAGGCGTCAACTGCGGCGGAGCATGCGGTGGAGATTGATGATGATGCATCATGCCCTGTGGTTGCTCGTATTGGCCACGTGCGGCACCTCTTCCAGGAGCAGTCCACGAAAGATTATTAAAATGGCCACCTCGACCGCGTTGATTGTGCGGAGGCGGATAGCCTTGGGGGCCTGACCCGGAAAATCGTCGATCTGGAGGAGGGCCATAATGGTTTCCCCGGTATCCTGCATGGCCGCCCCTGAAGGATTGCGGCTGGTAACCAGGATGCATCTGATGATTTGGCGGCCCAGGATAACCCACAGGTGGAGCATGGCTTGGATAGTAAGAGCCAGGTGGTCCGGTGGGGGAATAGTTGCTCTGTCGAAAGGGTGGTTGACCTTGGTGAGTGGGTGAATAACTAGAGAAAATTAGCATCAGAAGCGTCAAGAATGAGATAAATGTGATACTAAAAACTTACCCATGCTGAGGATGATAAGGTGGTGGCTGCTGACCAGCCCAACCACCTCGACCGTTCGCATATGGCGAGCCGGATTGCGGAGAGATATGATGAGGAGGTGTTGGTCCGAGGTATGGCGGAGATGTGGAGAAGGATTGTCGAGTATCGATATGTGGTCGTGGAGGCCGAGCAGCATGCTGTATGTCGGAAGCTTTCATCCCATGAAGAGGGAAGGCCTCTCGTATCCGAGCATCCCCATCAAAGGACCCTTGGTCTTCTACATCGCTCAGGCTGGGAATTGGCCGTAGTGGAGATGGCGGCCGACCTTCGCTAGGACCCGACTGGGCGGAGCGAGATCGCGTGTCCTGCATCTTGTTACCCCTATAACGAGATTCGTGACTGGGCGAGCGGCGCGTGTCTCGCAAGGGCGGTGAACGAGGGAAAGGGCTCCGTGACCGGGCAGGAGATGGACCGCGTGAGGAACCCGAGTCGTTGTATCCAGGCCGAGGTGGCGACGAGTAACGTTCGCGAGGATAGTCGAATCCGGCTGGAGTTCGTGAACGAGATGGATGCGGATGACGATCGCGAAGTCGATCGCCTCGATCAGCACGCTCACGAGCTGTAAGGGGACGGCCGCGGCCAGCAATGTCCAAATCTCTAGAAGATATGGACGTACGGCGGTCGTCCGGATGACGACGGGGAGGATAGGCTCGCTTCGAGTTAGGCCTGCGATGAGGGGAGCGAGATCGACGACGGGCCGCTGGAGGAGGTGGACCAAATCGAGACCGCGGGGATCTGGAACGACCTCGTCGAGATGAAGAGTTATGATATTTCGGCCTTTCGCGATCAAGCGAAGGTTGATCTTCTTGATCGCTGAAACGGGAGCTATGATCAGGGGACCGTCTCGATGGAAGGTCACGGTGCCTATGGCTCATGCCACGAGGTCTGGCCCCTGAAGCGTCCAAAGGAGGAGGACTTTTACTTCCTTGACTTCGTGCAGCTTTCCTGTGGGTTCTTTGCGGAGACGCACTCCTGCTGCGGTGACGGTGCGTAGGGGGCGAATGATGATTTCGAACCCGTCGTCGATCTGACGCTGGTTCGTCTGGGTATTTTGAGTGCTTTGACGCACGCGCCGATGCTTTATAATTTCGGCGAGCCAATTCTGGGGATGAGAATCGATCGGAATGATGACGCTCTCTGCTTCTTTGGCGCGGATAATTTCGTGCACGAGCTGTCGACGAAGTGGCATCAATGTCCCTATCGCTTGCCTTCACCTCCCACTTAGAGCCTCTAGCCGACGCTGGGGAGCGCCGACGGCGAGCTGAGGAGGAAGTTGGCTCACCAGGATCTGCTCGATGTCTATAACCGTCGTCGTCGTCTCGATCGTATCTCCTGTGACCTCTCATTGGGGATGCCCCTCTCAACGCCGCCATGTAGGCATCGGAATCATTGAGATATTGATGAGGGTCTGTTCAGGACCTGACGAGCCGTGTTCTTGGCTAGCGAGATCAGCAAGCGGTGCGAGGGAGAAATTGCGGGAAAGAGAGGAGAGTAACCACCGCGGTTACTGACGACCCACAAAAGAACTTTACTTACCCCGAATGATGCTGCTTGCGACAGTCAAAATCTTCCTCTGAAATCGAAGAAATATGACTGGTCAGTCTCATGAGGCGTTATGTCTTCAGAACGACAGATTGGCCTCAGGAGTCGAGTTTATGGCTTTTACGAGTCCAGCGCAATGATGTTGCTCTGCCGTTGCGAATTGGCCACAATCAAGCGCCAAGCGCCAAACGGTAAAGTGCACAGAGCGCAGCCGATCCCCTCTCTATACGCAACCAACCACCCAAGAAAAGGACCTTCTTCCTAGCAAAGAGAGTGGCTTTTCCCTCTGTACTGCTTTGCTTGTTGGTCACAAGAGGAAATCTCACCAGCAAAAGCTATCTACGAAAGAGTTTGGAGCACTCAAGAAGAAAAGACAAAGGAAAGGATGCAGAGTGACGCTGTAAAGTGACTTCCGGTGTCCCGCAGGAACTCCACATCAACCAAATTCATCGAGCATCATTTCCACCTCTTTTTCGGTGGCAACAGGGCTTCGACCCTGTCACGGACCTCTAGAAAATTAAACGTATAGCTATCTCGTTCGAGTTGACGAAGCTGTGCCGAGGCCAATGACCTTGATTTCCAGCAGGAGAAGCCCATGAAAGCCGTAAGCGTAGGAGCGGCGAAAGTGAGTAGCGTAGACAAGTATAGCAGCTCCATCCATCGAGGGCTAAGGAATACTGTATCACAGCCAAAGCATTTCGAGCAGAAAAACACATACGGTGTGGAATAGCGGCGACGGGATGGTGGAGTGGATAATATGCAATGGGCGCAACTCTTGTCCCAGCCATGTGGGATTAACCTAGTCGGATTGTGATTAGGATTCGCCGCCATTATCATGTTCTGCCGCAGTTTCCCATTCTTTCCAAGGAATAAACAATGTGATTTCCACACTGCTCCAGGCGATAAGCCGCGGTTAGAGTCAAGATGCAAATGGTGAGAAGCCGCCGTCCGACAGCACGAGTGAACTGGACATCGGGAGACTGTGCGACTCTCAAAGTCTCATATAGACAGTCTCGCGATAAAATGCGCGAGGCTCTTGGAAATGGAGAATCCTGATCCTTCAAAGAGTGACACGAGATGTATGGAAGCGGCTTCATGCACGTATTTCAACCGGAGAAACAGCGCGTACACGAAATTCTGAGGCCCCCATTCGGGTACCTTTATCCCAACTTCTTAGCCACCTGAACCTGCCTCCAATACCGGTGTCCTCAAGTTCCTCGACCACATCAGTACGTTAGAAGAGATCATCTTATTGAGAAGTGGGAGAGTAAAGCGACAATAGAAGCTAACGGCAAAGGCGATCAAGCTGAGGGATACTGAGGAGGTGATCAGGCTGGAATGTCGGGGTTCAGGTCATCGTCGCTTCTGTCGGTAAGCCTTGGTTTGTTGTCCACAGTAAGCATTGGCGGTAGGTACAGTAAGCGAGCACAACCACAACCGTCAAAATCAACGTTATAAACCAGTGTTCAAAGCAGCAGTCAACAACAAGCAATAATATGAGCTTTTTGCAGTGTCAAGTCCGATAGGTCATTAAATGATTACATCTACATATTAAGTATCTTTGCTTACCCGCGACGCGGTCTTTTTGATTCAATCATCGAAAACGTTGAAGTACTAAGTAATTGAATGATAAAATGATATTCAGGTTTCTTCGTATAAACAGAGGACTGTTTTTATCTAGAACTCAGATTCTCTTGCGCATTTTCAAACCAGTATGATTTTGCTTTCGACCTGAGACATTAACAAAGTTCAAGGGAACAGATGCCGCTGAGTGCGAACAAAGACCAACTTGAGCTTCAGTGCTCATCAATTATCACATCCTCGTGCCGAATACTTCCCTCGTTGTCGAAAGTGTCATCCAGGGGCTCTTTGAAAAGCAAGTCCTCAGACGGCTTGGACAGAGAGAGCTCATGGAATGTCTTGTTGTCCATATATCCGAAGAGCATCATGTCCATATATCTCTTGTGGATATCCAAGCGTCGTCTGATACCTTCCCTGACCACTAGCTGATCAGGCCGAAGAAGGCTTACTGCTCCTTTACCCCAACCTTCTTTGCATCCTCTGCCCACTTGATCAGCTGGCACGCCCAGTATGCTCATGTGCCTGTGCTCAGGAGCTGGCTGATAAGACCAGCGAACATACAGACGCATCAGTCCCAGTGGCGTCAGGGGATCCTCATGTCGAAGTGCTTTCCAGAGAGTAGTCAAGGATCTCTGTCCCAGCATCAGTTGACGTAGCCCTCCATGTCCTTCTCCGTCGATTGGATCATTGAAGCGCATATCAAGCTTTATGAAGAACAAGCAGGCATAGAAGATGTCGTTATCTGTCCAGAAGCTACTATTGTGCATCAAGCCGACTCTGGTACTGTTGTGTGCAAGGTCCATAGTAAACCAGATCTTCTTGATTGTAAGCTTGGTTTCAGGAGGGAGGCGGTGACTCTCCTCGGCAAGCAGCTGAATTATCTCATCGACAACCTTCTCTCGGAAATGAACCATTCGAAGCCAACGCAAGCTGGGTACACGTCGAATCTTGCCGCTGGCTTCATGGTTTTGCGGCGCAGTGGGATCATTGATGCACAGATGCCGGTATGCTTTGAAGCGGAAGATGAAGGCCGACTGAGGCACATTCATTCGGGCGTGAGACAGAAGCTGCGTGGATAGCCGCAGATTGACGAGATAATGAAATTCCTTGGAGATGGCATAGAGAGAGACAAAATCTTCAATGTCGAGATGACAAGTCAACTCAAAAAGCAGCTCGGACCGAGCGAGGAATTTACGGAATATGTTTCCGTTGTCTACCTCCAGCTTCGCCATTGCTTTGAGGTAGCAGCACACATGAAGTGGTGCAGTTCAAACGTAAATGGTAACGAAATGGATGTAGACTACAAGGAATTAAGCTGAAGAGGAATGAAGAATGTTGTAACGTGCATCATGGGAAAGATTTTTGTGTCATAAATCAAGAGCAAAACATCCGTGATGTAAATAAAGAAGCTCAAGAAGGCTAGTGAATATCACGAAAGGACAAATTCACAACAGCAAGATTAATTTTATCATATCTGTCATCATCAGCTGATTACAGTAAACGACGTTTATAGTAATCTCACATTGTTGCTAGAATTAAAATTGCGAGGGCCGAAGGAATCATGGCAGGTCTCTCCCAAATTTGATTCTAACAGCCCACTTTAGATGCACGATAATACAGCGTTCTAGTAGCCCATATAATTGCCTTGCGCTGAATCTCTTTTTCCAATTTTCAGAAGTGTTTCACAGCAACCGGCAGATTCAAATTATCATATCAGAAACAAGAGTGTATGATAACGTCACATTGTTCATGGCCATCCTTAGGCGCGCGCTTAAGATAGAAGAGCTTCGAGAGCTTTCTCTCTCTTCCAGCTCCTTTAGAGGTAAAGCTTGCCTAGCCCCAGCGCCCCCGCCCTGTAGCAGCAGAGCTCCCCCGCCACCGTTCGGCGAGTCGGCTGTCGGCGTCAGACCACCCGTCCTACGGAGTAGGAGTAAGCATCATATCGTCCCCAGCTCGATTCTAACCACTTCGACCTTCACTTTTCTCACCAATCCACATATATCGTGAAAATGGCAGCAAACAGAGACGACTCTAACCAGCCTCGAAAAGACGAAGACAATCCCTTTGTCGCCTTTCGGCGTTATGCTGATGAACAAATCTCCTCTTTTTTCCAAGGACTACTCGGCCTTCCATCAACATCCACTGCGCCTCCCCGACGATGGCACAGTGACGTCGACACAGGAGACGAAGGAGAGACCTCTAGACACAAACGATGCGCCTGGCGGAGCGAGACGGACTGTCATAGCCGATGGCACTGTTCGAGATCTCATCGCTCAGACAACATAACCCACAGCACCGATGACGGCGAAGCAGTCGACATCCCCGTCAAGAAATATGTTGGCAATGACACTCGGCCTGAGTCCCAGGCTGGCTCAAAGAATTATGATCATCGCGATACCGCCGACAATTATCCTGACTGGCGTGATGATTTTATTACGGGACGCTTGAATTCATTCCTCTTTGGTCCCTTCGACGACCGTAAGGATCATGACGACGAGGATGACTTCTTTTCGCCATTCTTCTCATCTCCATTCTCCCGCCACGCATTCCACCCATCTCCAAACCTCTTTCTCGCAGAATCGATGCTTTTCCCGAAACCATCGCTCATCACATACGTCATGTTCAGTCCATACTCTCCGCTCTACGTAGAGCAGGCTCATAAACTTCGAGGGCATCGTGATCAGTGGAGAAACGCATTCGAGGATCTGATATTTGCTGAACAAGGCAAAGCGATGCCCGAAAAACACGAGTCTTCAGACGGGCGTGATGAAGCAAAATGGGTCCTTGGACTTCTCGAGCGCGGTGCATTTGGCGACTGGAAGCGACTCGAGGACGCCTCCAGACAACGCGAACTACCTGCTCCTTCTTCCTCGTTGATCAAGCCCAATGATGATGCCGACAAAGCCCAAAAGTCTGTTCCAGAGTCGCCCAATCCGTCTGAACGCGTCCAGAAACGCACAGAGACAAAGGAAACACAAGACCACCAAGACGACTTCTGGCCCGTTTCCTTCTTTGGCTTCGCTCGTCCTACGCCCGGAGAACTGCACGAGGACCACGAGGACGATACAGAAACCGTCACGGAAGAAGATCTCTACAATGACTTCTTCGGACTCTCAAATAGCGAAATCGGCAACACCAACACCAACAACGTCAAAGGCGACCCTGGTTCTACTTCTACCTCTACTTCCCACGAAACTCAGCATTCATCCAACACAAATGCAACTACAACTACTGCACCAAATGTGCTTTCCACAATGACCACGACCGAGCGAACCACTCTCCCCGATGGCCGCGTCCAGACGCGCGTCGTGCTCAAGAAGCGCTTCGCCGACGGCCGCGAAGAAAGCAGCGAAACGGTTCATACCGCTCAGGGCTCTTCCGAGACAGCTTTCCCCCGCATGTCAGAGTCAGAGAACCCTGAGAACCCTGAGAAGAGTACGATCCTAAGCTCAGTAACAGACGCCTCGAGGGAGGCTGTTCAGTCTGGCAAGAAGAAGTCTGGCTGGTTTTGGTCGAATTAAGCAAATCATATTCCGTTTTTCCTTTTAACATTGAACAATCTTGGCTCGGTCTCGGTTTGTTTACTATCATTTATTTTTATTCTATTTATTTTTTTTTCTATTTATTTATTTATTTATTCATTTATTGATTTGCATGTTTTTTGTTTTGTTTTGTTTTGTTTTGTTTCTTCTTTTATTTTGAAGGGTGTGGAAAGCGGGACTTATGGGGCGCACAGCAGCAACAGCAACACGGCATGGCGTGGCATGGGCATGGAACGGTACATATGATATGGTATAGCGCGTTTTGCACACTGGATGGATTTCTTTGATTTTCTTCTTCCTCTTATTTTTTTTTTTTTAATTGGTTCATCCGGTATCCTTATCGTCATTATTAGTTTTTTTGGTTTCATCTTGGTATCCTTATGGTCATCACTTTTTCGTGGGTTCCATCTGGTATCCCAACTCTTTCGGTCTCTTGGCTACCTTTGTTACATGCTTGTCAACTACAACTCTCTTTTTCAACTAGTTCGACTCTACTCTTATATGTATTACTCCCTCCTCGAAACCTAGTGAAATTTAAACAGAAAAATATTAGATGAAATCCCATCAATTCGATTGTTAGATGTGACATTGATATACATGTTCGAATGATTTTGCTTGATAAAAAATTCCTAACATCTCTGCAATTAAGGAATACATTTGACGATAGTAAGTCCGAGCTCGTGGGCATATAACACTAAATTTATTCCCTATCCTCAAGTTCTGCCCAGGCTTCTTCGAAGCCGGCGTTGAATAGCCATTTGCTGTCCGCTCCTTCGACTGAGTCCATGACTAGAGGAGAATATCAGTCAGCATTTCGGAATGGGGAAGTGATATATAAGTCATTGTAAAGGTTGGTCACGGAAAGACAAAAGGAAGAGGAAAGTAATTAAATTCAGATGAGAAGAGGAGAAAAGGCAAAGAAAAGAAAATAAATTAAATTAAAACATAAAAGGTATGGGAGAGGAAAATGAAGAAAAGGGGGGAAATTCGTAAAGGAAAGGAAAGGAAAGGAAAGATAACATACCCATGTTTGCCAATTTGAGCCACATATCCCCCTTAATCTTAAAACTATCTTTATTTTCATATGGCTTACACACCTTATTTCCATTTGCCAAAGCGCGGATAAATTTATTCGCATGGCCGTCATCAGGGAGGCGTGTGACGCGCGTGAAGATGCGAGCCCAGGCATCTTCTTCTGACTCGGGAACGGGTTCTTTGGGCTGATACTTTGTGATTTCGTCAAGGTGTAGGTCCGGGGCCGTATGTGCGGCGTAAAGAATGAGATCGGTCCAGCCCTTGAATTGCAAAAGGCGGGCTTTGTTTTCACGAGAAATCCAATCCTGTGCGAGAAATGCCGAGAAGAATATGGAGCAGTTGAGGGAGTGCATGTGGATAAAGTCGAATTTTATCTCCTTGCGTGGATTCAAACATGCTCCGGTAAAATACGCTATGATATGAGAAAAGTCAAAATTATCGTCACCACAGTATCCCCTCTATGGAAAAAAAAGGTGAGGCTATATGTGAATGAGGGTAGCAGGGTACCGCACCAGTATTGTTGATCATTTCAGCAGTCTTTTCCTCGATTTCGTCGGGAGAGACCGTCCACTGACTAGCGATTTGGGCCATTTCTGCTGGGGCCCGCTTCATGATTCCGTCTTGAATTTTGCTTGCATCGTCCCAATGTGCAGCGGTGCGGAGCTTGTCACTTGCGCGGATCTCGTCGAGAAGCTGGGTCAGGGATTTCGACGGTGCGCCTTTCCGTTCTTTGGCGGCCTTTTCGGTAGCAAATAAGATTTTGTTCATGTAGTTGTCATGGGTGCATGTCTGGGCCAGAGCTTCCGCGACGATGACTGGTTGCTTGAACTCGATTCCGTATCCCAGGTGGATGACAGGGTGGAGGAAGCCTGCATTCTGCGTTAGAGAAGATTTTGTAGGAGCAAGAAAGCGGTATGGTAGTCCTCGAAACTCACCCGCAAAAAGCCGACCCATGAGGTCGTCTGCACGCGCATCACCCTTGAATATATACTCGCCCACGACATTCTCATAGCCTTGTATCTCAATGTGCTTCTGGAAGAAGGTGAGGAAGTCCGGATAGTACTTTCGTTTACCAAGGTACTCGTGGAACTTGTCCACCTCGCCCAACTTGTTCACAATGGGTCCTTCAACAGGTAGAGCCGGGCGTTGATAATCCGCATTGTCATCAAAAGCCTTCTGAATCAGGGGCGGAGGAGCACCAAGAGCATATACGGCCAGAAGATGATGCACGATATGGTTCTAATTCCAAAAGTCAAAAAGGGCAAATGAGAGAAATATGGTGGAGAGGTACACACATGGAATCCTCTATCGTTAAAATACATGTTGTATAGCTGATGGTTTTCTTGTAGTAGCTCAGAGGCTTTCACAGCAGCATCGTCCTTGATGTCCCGGATGTGGTATATCCCAGCATCTTGGGGTGTCAAGTGGATGTGGAATGCCGTTGCAGCGGTAGCCATGGTTCTTGAATTATTCTTTTTAGTTTGAAATGAGGCTAGTCGTGCTTGTGGAGGTATGTTCACCAGATTAAATCCCAAAGAGGATGAAGTGGATAGACCAGGGCTGGTTTTTGCTGCGTTATTTAGTAGAAATTGTCCGGAAGATTCTGCTTTGCCCGCAATGGTTGAAATTGTCCGTGACTGCGCCTTTGAGGAAGATATGCCGGGAGTAATTAGAGTAAATATGGCTCTGCCTAAGCAGGTAAACTCCCCGTTGACCCGGACAGAGCACATTCACGAGGTTGATATACGTGCAAAAGGTCTTGCCCGAGCTCTGGGGTGGAACTGAGGCAATTCTGGCCCTTGGCACATTCGAATACGGTGCTTATTTAGATGTAATCGAACTAGTTTGGGTGATTGAGCCCGGTTCAAGTTGAGGAAAACGAAACAGAATGATATGTGCAGAATCAAGAGACCAATGAAGCTTATTCGCAATCCTTTTATCGTTGAAGAAATATTCAGAGAAGCGAGTTCATGTGTGATTTGTAATTGACTAAAATGCAGAAGTCTAGAAACTATGATGTCTGCGGTTTCATTCCGTTTTGTGTCCCCTAACTGAATCTTCAGGCTACACGATTACATCTTCGCCAGAATTGAGGGTAAGTAAACACGACGTCAGACGGTGCACGGGACCCCGGGAGACCCGCCACACGCGGCGGGTATGCTCGTAAGCGAAATGCGGAGAAGACAAATGAATTGTCAGCAAGACCAATCTCGCCGTCTCAAATGGAAATATGTCACTGTCAGCAACTTATCTCCGGTGGCGTTTCTCCATTCCTGAATGGTCAACTGCGAAGGTCACCTACGAAGTCCACGGTGAACGACCTCAATAATAGAGCCGTAATGAATACAGTTACTGGAATAAACAAAAATTCTGGGGAGCCAAGCATACTAGTGTAGATCAATGAAAATGCATTTCGATTGACGGAGCTCAGACACTTCAAAGTTTCGGTATTCGGTCGCCGGATATAACGGCCGAGATGAGAGACAGTGGGTTGTTCATTACACGAAGCCTCGAATTTGGAGATGTTGAGCTTTATCTGCAGCACTTCGTCTGATAGTGAAGGTGTTACCCTTTAGTTGAGAAATCGTGACCCTTACAGTCACCAGCATAAAAACAGTAGTGGAATTAAAATAAGCTTTCATTTAAAGATGTCATATAAACAACAGCCACTAGATGCTCCTATTCAATTTCCCTAGATTCCCAAATTGTAAATTGAAACCGATACGCCAAAATGGGGGCTTAGTCCCCGTTGACCAACCATCTAAGAATAATCTGTCATAATTTCAGTCCAGATTTGTATTTTGAGCGCGCCGCTTAGCTTGGTCGCGGAACATCTTCTTCATGAATGGGTTTTGGCTCTTGCCCTTGAGCTCCTTGTTTCTACTCTTATTGTACTCGATATAAGCCATGTCTTGACCACCGCTGAGATCACTCAACATGCCGGCGGTCCGGCGAGCACCCTTCTTAGCAAAGCGCTTGCTACCAGGGCCACCGGATCGTTCTCCAAATAGATCGCCGTCGATCTTCTCAACGTCTGCCGATGTCTCGTTCTGGAGCATGACCTCTTGCAACAACTCCGTACGCTCTTGCGGAGATGCGTATGCAAGGTTGGGTAGATTCTCGATACCCTGAAGGTGAGTAATCACCTTGAAGGCGTAACCCTGATCGACAAGGAAAGCCTGCCGTTTCGATGAATAGTACATTTCTTGGGTATCTTTCGAGACGAGCGAGTAGAAAAAGGCATTGAAGCCTTCGTCGTTTCTTCGTTTAGCTCGAAGAATCCGTCCGAGACGTTGGGCTTCCTGCCGACGAGATCCATAATGAGATGAAATCTGGATCAAACATGTCGCTTCCGGCAAGTCGAGAGATGTATCTCCAATCTTTGAGAGGAAGACGGTGTTTACGAGATCGTTGTGCTGGAAGTTTTCTAAAATCCGCAATCGCTCGGCCTGTGGCGTGCCGCCGTAAATATATGCTTTGTGCAGTTTCAGTGCGTATTTTTCCAATGCATAGACGTTGTCTGAAAACACAATAACCTTGTCGCCACGCTTTTCATGATAGTCTATCAAAAATTGGCAAGCCTGGAATTTCCGCGGGTTCATGATATAAAGCAGTGAACGCTTGCGCGAAGACTCCCGGAGATACTCTTGATAGAATTCGGTGGTCATTGGACACCAAACTTCGGCGCACTGAACCTTTGCAATATGCCCTTGCTCAGCAAGTTCCATCCAGTTGGCCTCGTAGAGTTTCGGGCCAATGAGGAAATTCAGATCGCGAATCTTGTCATCTTCACGCAAAAGCGTGGCAGTCAGACCAAGCTTTGAGTGAGTGGCAATAGAATGTGTGACTTTTCTGAAAATGGAGGCCGGGACGACATGGACTTCGTCCAAAATCATTAGACCCCATTCTCGACCCTGCAAAAAGTCCATCATCTTTTGCGAGTCATGCGACCTGCCCTTTGTTTGCGTAACCATGCTGTACGTTGATACAATTATACCGGTACTCCTGGAGAATTTCTCTTTGTGGTCGGACGTGAAAATAGCAATATCATCGGGATTGATATTGGACCATTTAATGAATTCGTTTCGCCATTGCACCACAGACATGGAGCTGGTGCACAACACGACAATGCCCTTCTTGATAGTACAAGCGGCAGTAATTCCAACCAGTGTTTTGCCGGCGCCGCAGGGAAGCACGATAATGCCACTTTTGGCTCGTCCATTACCGAACATTTTACTCAAACTCTTCTCTTGATAATGACGAATCTGTGCACTAGGCTTGAGGTCGATTTCGAGGTTGGGGTTCACCTCGTCGTTTCGGAAATCGTATTCTTCGAGCATGGGAAACTCCAACTCCAAGCATCGCTTCTGCACAACCTCGACATCGTCACTTACAATTTCAAACGAATGTACTTGGTCAGTCTCGTCCTCATCATCGTCCTCTTCTCGAAGGGTGAGAAATATATCATCTTCCTTGGCTGGACCTTCGGCATCCTGGTCGGTTCGCTGCGCTTGTGCCTGATCCGGTTGTTGCTTGACGCCAGCAGCATTCTTGGTACCAGGAATAACAAGACCACCCATTTGCGGGGCTTTCTCTTTTGTAATCTCGTCTGAGCCTTCAATCCTTGTTTTTCCCACAACCTCATCCTTCAATAATCGTTGCAGCATCTCTGGGTCCGTGCTCTCGACAAAATATCTATTATGCTTGAGTACAAGCTTAACTTTGCCGTACGAGGCGGTGCATTTTGTAATGAATTCCCTTATGTTTTCCGGTAGAGGAACCTTCGAGAGCCGATCAAGAACGTTGATGATGTCGCTGGGAAGAAGTCCAACAGAAACAGCAGCATATAAACTGTGAGGCGTCAATGCGTATTCGTGAAGAAACGTGGGTCTTGATAACGGTTCGGCGATCGTGGTCAAGAAATCTTGCGCATAGGCGGCAAGGGGCGAGAAACTCTCTAGAATGATTCTTCCCTTTACTGGATCTATCCAAAGCGGCCGATTATCGTGATCAGGTTTGAGTGAAAGATAGGCGAAATCGCTTGAACCGAAAAGTTGTGACGCAGAGTCAGTAGCCTGATGTTGTTGGCGGTTATAAGATTCAAGAGAGAATTTATTGATAGCCTTGTCTATGTTCTCAGCTTCGCTTTCGTCAGGCGGTTCTCCTTGTTCGGAGTATTCATCACTACTATCCACGCTCATAGGGGTACTCGGCGCAGGCGTAGACCGCTTCGACGCTCTCTCTGAGCGTGAGCCTGCCAGAGCTGTGAGCATTTCGTTAATCTCATAGAAGATGTCTGCTTCTTACCAGTAGTAGAAGCTTTGCGCTTTGGAGGCATCTCGCCGAAGCTGAAGCTTAGTGGCGACGGCTTAAATGAATGGGAACGACGTGCAGTCGATTTGAGAGCAGCTCTATGTATATGACTGCGTAAATTGCCTGCACAACGGTTCCACCGGTCACCAAGTCGTCTAAGTCTCTGCTTGCCACGAAATGATGACCGATGATAAAGTGTGGAGTCAGATATCTGCTCACTGCCAACTGCTAAGTAGTCAGTACTTCCGTAAGGCTACCATCTACCCTCGTACCGGCAAGACCCGTCTCTGCTCGGACATGATGTAAGCGAGCTTAGACGCGATTGGCGATGGCGACCTCTGTTGCCGCACTCCGTATACTTGGGCAATCCTGCCAGAATTGAGTGCTTATTCGACGCCGATCAACGAAATCTATCTACGATCGAGCAGACAAAGCTAGCATGTCGGCGCATCAGCTGGCGATAGCGAAAGCTTCCTTCTCTGCAGGTCTACTGAGACCAGATCCCACATCTGTTCCCCGCGATGAGATTTCTCATTTCCACACTTTGCTCGACCGAGCAGTGAACCAATGCTCGCCTTCAAATATCCAGGTTTGATCTATTGTCCTATCGCTGACACAACGTGATGACTAAAACTGGACGACGAGGATAGCAATGCAAGATATGGGTAACCAGGAACGTTTTCCCGTCCTCTGCTAGGATAACAGCCATCGGAAAGTATCTGGTAGCTTTGACGGCATCTTTCGTTCCTCAGAATGACGTCGCAGCAACTGAGCGTCGCAAACCGTCGCCAAAAAGGAAGCGCTTACATCTTCTATATCTTCTAAACGATCTCTTTCACGAATCAAAATATCATGGTGGTTCATCATCGAGCTTTGCTTCTTTAACCGGCCAAATCCAACCCTATCTCGTCGAATTGTTTGGGCTAGCCGCCGCTTTTGAACGGGAGAAGTGCCCAAAACACCACAAGAGGATTGAGGATTTGCTCGACTTATGGGATAAAAATGGATATTACGCCCCTCAATATGTCGAAAAGTTGCGTGAGACTGCCTGGAATGCAGCTCAACTCGGGCCTGTTGCTTTGGATGCTGCCAGGCAAGCGGAGGGCGGTTTCTCAACACCATCTGACAAAATACGCGACACCAAAAATATTCCTTTCGTGATGCCAGCAAATCATGGCGACCCATCGATACCATATTACGATCTCCCGGCTGGGAACATGATGCCACATATTATACCGAATTCGACAGCACCTATCAATCCGCAGCTTATGAAACCTCTTCAGTTTGTCGCTGGACCAGCGGACGAGAGTCTGGTTACTGTTGTGAAGGACTTCCTTCAAGATGTTAACAATACGTTTGATCAGGAAGCAGATATTGATAACGGTACTGTCCAAGACATTGACGAGCTGGGCCAGCCAATCATCCTCGACGAAGTTAGTGGAGAACGCCTCGGCGAGGCATACTATGGCTGGTCGCACGCGTTCTGCGAGAAGATGAAAAGGCGGCGAGAAGGGGCTTCTGGTACCGACACCAGGGGAACAAGTCGTGGCCGAAGTAGAAGCGCTAGTCCGCGACGAAGCAGACGATATGGCTCGTCGAGAAGTCTCAGCAGCGGCAGCAGAATTCGGGAAAGATCGCAATCCCATTCACGGTCACCATCCTATCCCCGAGATAGAGACTCTCGAGCTCGTTTCACTGGCAGATATCGCTCTCGGTCTAGACCTCGTGCATATTCTCGCAGTCAGTCACGGTCCAGGTCACCTCGGTGGGAAAATGACGGGTCTGGCAAACCATCTCGATCTCGTTCAGGGTCGAGGTCGAGGTCACCAATATTTCGGCCACCAAGCTCCTCAAACTTTGCGGGATCGATTCCTCCACAGCTGCCAACACATTCTCCCACTCCTTACCAGGCCCCTTTTCCAAATTCGAGCATCCCTCCATCTCCTTTTCCAGGTCCACTCGGTGCAGGGTTCCCTCTCGGACCCAGTGGCTTACCTGTGCCTCCGCCCCCACCACCCTTCCATGGACACGGACAATGGCCGCCTCCACCCCCACCTCTTCCCCCGAACGTGCCATTCCATCAAAATGTACCTTTTCCTCCGTTTCCGGGCTTTGTTCCGCCTCCTCCTCCTCCTCCGCCTCCTCCTGGGCCTCCATCTCAACATCCTCTAGGTGGTTATCAAGCCATGGGTGGCAGCCCTTCACATGCATCGCCTCCAGGACCTTGGAATGCGCCAACGGTTCCTTCTGGAGATAATTTACACCGCACGCATTACAGAGGTCGCGGCGGAGGAGTAGGTGGAGGAGGGAGAAGGGAGTGGAGGGGATAAGCCATTTCGACGCAACCTTTTATGATGTATTCATTCCACCCCTCGGGCGTTACGCACGTGGTAGCTCAAAAAATCGAAGTTGCCGCAACAAGAATCGAATTTGTGACCTGTCGAGATGCTCGCACTTAAAACACGGTAGATCACATCACTGGGGTAACGACTGGCTGCTTATCACTGCTCAGTCACCGAACAACCCAGTTTCTGAACTGCCAGTAAATGGGGTAGTAAGCGGCGACATGAAATTGTCAGCTGATTCAATAATTAATATGTGGCGTATAAGAAATTAGTTCGCTCCGCGCCTAGGTATTTAGGGCCCAGGGGCACTTGATTTTGGGCGATCTATTCATGTTACTAATTCCCAAAGATATTTTCTACTGGACACCGCAAGTGAACGGCACGAAGTAGAAGAGTAGACCTGAAACGGCATGATGTGAATCCATCAAGACATGTTACAGAAGCTATTCTTTACCTTACTTATCAATGCTTTGTTGGACACCAATCACGTTGAGTATCTCTCATCTTCCACAATAGCCAAGTCCAGATTTCCTTCCTGCCCTGGACCCGTCGGTTGAGTGGGTTGTTGCCCAATGATTGGATGGAGCTAGAACACGAGCCGACCGGGGGAGGAGATGCGCATACTTATCTATCGCCAGCTCATTGATTCATCTCTGTGTCCTCTTTTCGTCTTATCTGGAAACACTTTCATTCCCTATGTTGTAACACAATGAAAACGACGACGGCAAACTGATAGCAGTATCATCAATATTTTTGCCGTTTCGAACAATGTCTTGAAGCAGTTCTAGCCAACATGGATTACGCTCTTTCTGCTATCTGTCTCTACTCTACCATGCGTATCAGCATTGTCATGAAGTTGCTGCTGCATTGACGCCCGGACCCCTCCATGGCCCCCTCTCCCGAAACCGCCGTCCCTAAACTTCGCTTTCTCGGCCCACGGCTCGGCATGCAACAGAAGCGCAATTTTTTCCCTTGTCACTAACCAGGGTCTTTATTTCCAAACCCCTCTTTTGCGGGCCACTCATTTCCTCTCTTGCCTCCTTTGTTTATTCTCAGGTCCCGCAAAATTGTTCCTGGTTGATAACGAGAAGTGGAACGCACGTGTGCTGTCAGACCAAGGATTACTCTCTGATGATTTGGTAGGTAGGTCTGTGCATCTGCCCGGAATCTTTTCATCCATGGTTGACTGGTGCTAGCTTGGTTGCTCACCCGAGCGACTTTACCTAACTGATAGCTTTCTCCGTCGCTCTAAAACTTTCAGATTCAGTTCATTTCCCTACTTTGAGCCATTAGCAGTGAACTTGCACTGACATTTCGACTCTTTCGATTTCAGAAGCCGGTACATTTGCCGGTGTCAAACACGACTACTGTATTGACTAGCTACGCATCATTGCATCATGGGAGAAACTGCCTACGGAGTGATCTCTTCCTTTACAGGACTGAAGGGACGCCTGTCGGTACAGCTTCAATTGGCTTAGCTTGCGTGAATTGACATCTTGCCGTATAGTTCTCCACTCCTGAATAGAACTGCGACGGCTGAAAATGGATGCCGTCATGGCCGGATGTCTCAGCGGGTTGGGTCGGATAATTCTGCCCTGTGAAATTGAACATTACACAGCATACGGGCCGATTGACATTTCTTTCAATCCTCTAACATTGACAGGAAAGGGAATTCTAAATGCAGGCAAAGGACCAACGTGAGGTAAGCAATCCTGACGCCGCGAAGTTGATCACAGAAGCTCAGCTACAATATTTGAGGCTCGATTTCATCCATTCAAGTGATTCGTATTTGAAAACATATTCTCAAAGGTCTGCATATGGTCACGGAGTCATGTCGGCCGAACTTAATGCATTTCGAAAGTCGCATTGTCTGAGCAACGACAAAGAGAAGAGCACTGATAGAGAAAATTTTGAAAACATACTTGAATATGCATAGACTATGTCCGGAATTCATTCCTAAGCTTTCCTCAACAAGCGGATCTTCTCTTCCAAAATAAACGGGTAATGTTGGAGATATGCTATGCCTACGCGTTGAGACGGTACTGATCGTCGATTATTTCGCAAATGGAGCGTACTATCTTATTATTACGACATCACAAACGGGTAGAGTGTTCCTGAGGGTGCTTGACAAGACGACAATGGTACAAGTTAATCCCTTTGATGGACATGTATCAAACGATCATGATATACAAAGAGGGACAGATGTCTTATTTTCGTGATAACGTTGATATTGGACGCTCAATGCTGCCCCACCCACCAGTAGCTCCGAATCTCCTCAGAGCACTCCCTACCAGCAACGGTAGGAAGCAGCAAATCAAGATGCACAGCTGGTGACATGTCAATCATAGACATTGGAATGGAGATGATTGGCTCTGAAACTCTCGGTGATTTTTCTGGATTTGTCCTTGCAGGTTCGCCGGAGATTTACGACTAAATCTTCCTCAATGACTAGAAAATGTTCCCCTGACGCCGACCCTTGTTATCTTGCATTGCAGTCCCTTGAGGCTATCGACAATAGAACGCATGAGACAATTTCAAATTCAAAAAGAAAATCCTGCTCGATTGCAGTAATGCAGGTTTTAGGGGGGGGAAAGGTTTTGACCGGACGGCCCTAGTCGAATGGCGCGACCTGGAGAAAAGGTGTTGCAAGTCTTGCATTATTGTTTTTGTTGGCAGCGGAACCAAACTACTCCGATAAACAATGTCCGTCGGTGTCGGGCCCAGGTGTAATTTGACCACACCAAGGGTATTATGAAAAACAGGTCATTCGTCGTCGCCTACAAGCATATACGTTCCGCTGTGGGCCCTCGAACTTTGCATTTTCAATAACGGAAGATTGCATCGGCGGCGGCCGACAGCAATTAGTTAAAGCCGCCTAAAGCAGGGACAGAACATTTCGGGTAAACGCGGCGCGAGTGGGTCGCCAAACGTCCCAGTTCATTGAACTGCTGCGCTCGGTGGAAAAGGGTATCTCCAGATTCCGCCAGGAGATCGATTACTCTTGCAGCACTGTCGTAAGTTTTTCAGTTACGGGGCGGGAGACTAACTTATTCTGAGAAGTGGATCATTGTCATGTACGAAGGTACTGATTGCGACTCTTTCTCTGCAGCTCGTTGACAACAAAATATACTACAGACCCACTACTATTGGCCGCCCTTTTTTGGATTCTTTCAACCTCCCTTTTTCGAATGTGAATCTACGGAGTATAGTACAGAGGAACGGTAAGGTTGAGCCCCTGAATGGCGGCATCAGATGAGATGCTGACTGGATCGGACCTCTCTCCGCTAAATTCATTGTGATTATGGTGTCATCAGACGTCGCGAACTCCTCATAAAGTTGCCCTCTGTCTTGGCGGGGAAAAAGAGGTAAACCCGGGAAGGTTTTGACAGAAGTTGTCAGCTCGAGTGGATCTGCACTTGCCTTTCAAGTTGACATGCCACCTGCAAAACATCGCTCTCGCCGATACCGAGTTGGTACTTTGGCTTTTTAATTTATTTAGTGCGGTTTGGGAGTCGTCATCAAGTACAACAAATTCTCCGTTTTCTACCGATGCTAAGCTTTCTGATCCAATTCGGCTTAGACTCTACTTAGCGCGGGGCACGAGGGGTTTGCGGGACGAGAACGAGGGAAAATAACAAGATAAGTAAATTAAGTTGACGATGATGATGATGATGCTCATGATGGTGATGCATCATTGAAAAAAGGTGTCGACGACTAGTGAAACAGGCGACACCATTATTCCTAGAGACTCAAGTCTCTACACAACTCCCCATTTTGGCTAGGTAATCAATCGCTTCCATGCAAGCATTCCACGGGAAAGGCGTCATCTCTCGAACCATTCCCTCTGCGGGGTCGGGACTTTAGGCTTGGACTTCTCGATTTGTCACGCATTGGTTAAGCTCCAGAAGGGAAATTACTCTCGCCATCTTTCATCAACCCCCACGCTGCACGGTGAAGCTTACTTTCAGATGGCAGCCAAGCAACAATGCGCAAGGAGTGTGCGCAGAAGCAAACAACACAGGTAAAAAGAGATGGCTTTGTCCAGGGGGCAGTCGGCGAGAAGGAGGGAAGAGAACGAGGTGGCTGCATGACGACTCGAATCAATGAGGGTGGCCAGCGAAGCTGCCGGGTCTCCACATCCCGGTAACAGGGACCATCTTCTTGACTTTGATGCCGCCGACGTTGGTGCAGAACCGGCATTAGTTGCTCTCGTCGTGACCCAGAGAAGGGTGTGTCTCTATGTGAGTCTGTGTTGGACGTCTTTTTTCGGCCATGGTGTCGTGTGGATGCGGGCGGGCAGCGCAGTCTCTCTTTTCTTTCCGCGCGATGGTGGTGTTAATATGTGCCTTGCTTTTGCACGGTTCTGCTGCGGCTGCCACCAGCTGATGCTGTTCGACCCCTGCTCCGAGCGATCTCTCATCTGCTGCATTGAACATGGACGGACACGAACTTGGCGCATGCAGGAAGGGAGAAATACCCCAGACTTTGAGGGACCACTCAACCGACACTAAGAGGCATGCCAACGGGTAAATGATCAACTTGAGTGTTCCTACTTCAGCAGATGATTGCATACAAGTCTGCTGCAGGTTAACACCGTAGTATAGTGCTGTAATTGGACAATGTCATCATTGATCCCTTGGGCTCTTCTGGTAATCAAATGTGGGCCCCCTAAAAAGGTGAGATGCTTGGAGATTATTATTTGACTCTATACTGAATGGGTCCGTGGGCCCTTGGACGGGGACCCTTCGCGCCCTTCTCGGTGCGGAAATGACCCATGACTTGGTCCCCTTCTTCTCCACTCTTTCCGTTCGGCGCCACGCCCGAAGAAAAAAAGATTCCCATGGCTTCTGAAGAAAGATGACTCGAACGAATCCTGTCCTACTAGTCATGCCTTGATTGACTCTGTGCGCAACGCGCCCTCTTTCTTCCGTCCCTGCTCACTGTCACTTTTGACATTTCTATAACACTCTTTGCCTCTTCGCCTTTTTCCTTTTTCCTTTCTTCCAATCTTCAAAAAGTCATTGTGCAGGTTGCATTGCATAGCACTCAAGTTTACATCCCTCTCAGTAAACGGATCTGAACAATCTTATTCTCCGCCGCAACCGCCACATTTTTCTACCCCACGAACTCTCTCGTCAAGAGAAGATTCCCCCACGAAAACCATTCCGCCAATTTATTCGCGGGCATAACAAATCAACAATTCTCCAAAATTAAATCTCGGTCTTTCGTCATTCGCTGTTAGAATTACGTGTTCAGGATGAAACCATAATTATATACAGAGTCGGCATCTTTCGCCTTTGCAGGCCCTTCAGCAATTTCACTCATCCGAACCAACGATTTTGGCTCCTGTATTTACGTCTGGTAGAGGAGTGTGCGCGATCGCATAGAAAATCTTGACCATTTCCAAAACGGTGAAAGGGAAAGGCTGCCACCACTAGAGGGAGAATCAGCGTCCCCTCCATCCAAGAACCGTCCTAGGCTCGATTGTAAGGCAGCTAGGTCACCTTTGTGACAAGGCTGGACAGTCCCCTCATAAGTCGCACCCAAGAAGGGGACATACGGCTTTCTTTTTCTTATTTGTTCCTTCCCTCACATTGAAGCCTGCTTTTATCGGGTGCTTCTTCAGAGCTAAAAAGAGGAGAAAATGGAAGGATCATTGACTTTGATCAACGCGAAAATCCAGTTTCTTGTAAGTGCTTCACAAAGTTACTGTATCCTTTCATATTCTTTGTCTGCAACTGCATTGCAGTTGCGGCTGGTTTTGAAGCCCTCTTGTGGATTCATCAAGCTGGGGTCTTCCTGGTCTTGGTGATTTTCCTCAAGAGTCTTCTCTGCCATACTTTTGGAGACACCATAACCTTGACGGAAATCCTGATGCAAGGTTCCTTGATTGGTTGGAAAATAAAAGAGCTCGGTTGGCTAACGGATATGCTTTGCATTGCAGGAAACCCGATTGAGCTTGATTCACATCCCTCTTCACCTGTACTCCAACTTTCTCCAGCCGATTCTACAGCTCTTACTGCCCAGCGAGAATGGCAACGGCGCCCGCTTCAGTCCGTCCGGGGAGCGCAACTCTTTTTCCTGGGCCGCGCAGCACACCTTTGTAAATATCTCGGTCACACCTATCGAATGCTCGGTTGCGTGCTCAAGAGAGTCGGCGGAGGCGCTCTTCAAACCCGTCCTCGAGAGCCTGGATGCGTCAAGTCGGAACCAAATCTCCATTTCGACAGAAGATTATGTCGTCTTTCAGGTTGATGGTGAGGGACTGGATGCAGGTCAACGAGTGCTGGAGTTGACTACTCCCTTGGCTTTGGCTGGAATGTACGTTGTTCCCGCCTCCTCCCGAGATCTCCCTTTCAACGCAGTCCTTTGAAATGAGTCCTCCATAAGATTCGATATACTAACGCGGCTCACCCCACGAATAGTTCCATCTTCTTCATTACGACCTACTTCTCAGACTACATTCTCGTTCCCCTCAAATCCAGAGGCCATGTCATCTCCGCGCTCGAAGAACGAGGCTTCGCGTTTGAAAACAGCGTCGACGCATTCGTGAACCAGTCGCACCACCGCAACATTTCAGGCTCCGGCGCGGATTCACCAAACCCACCCTCGACCCCTCCGCCGGCAAACGTCAGCGAATTGCAAACTCGGACTTTTGCCTTGCTGAAGCGCCGCAACGTTGTTCCGGAGGTAGATCGGGATCTTCGACTGGTGCAGTGTGCCGGTCGTGGAGATTTCTGGTCCAGCGGAGTTGTCGGCGGCGCATCAAGTAGCGAAGGACGTAACGAAACTCAGCTTCTCCTCGGCTTGATGAAATGCCTGGTCCACCGACCACGCTTTTTGAGCTTGACGCTTACAGACACGGACCCCGCGTCCCTTTTGCTTGAGCAGCGCCTGCTCAACGAGTTTGGTTCCGAGGAAGTCCTGCTCGGTAGCAAAGAGGACATTCTTGTTCCCATCACCCTCGATCTCAGAGGCCTGCCTCTCGAGGCAACCGGTATCGTGTGCGGCGTGGCCTCCAAGCTCGTGGGCAACACGGCGCACCAGCTCGAGGAAGCAATCGACATGAGCTACCTGAGTACCACGCGTGCCGGTACCGTCTTTGTCGGCGAGGAACAGCTCGCTCGCGCTCTGGAAGCGCTCAAGGGCCCCGAGAATGGTTTCATTGCTGATTAACACCAACGTTTTTTCTCCGGTACACTTACTTCGCGACTGGTCTAACAAATTTACTTGACGTACTGCCTGGGGCGTCGCGCCCTTGATGTATCTGACGTCCGGCCCCGAAAACTCCTTTCTTTTTCTCATCATTGCCGATGTGGAATTTTGGATACTACCCTCCACTTCCTTTCCACTTCCCTTTCCACTTTGATTTCCATCTCATACTATCTACAATCTCATACCCATCTCCACAAATCTTTTTCCCGCCTTGAACATTTTTTGGCTCTATACCCTCAATTTAAACTTCCCCTTGTTTTTTTTTTTTTTTTTCCCCCCTCCCTCTCTTCCATCACCCACCATTCCCGCCATGCCTCACCTTTTATTCTTCTCTCCCCAAAAAAGTTCCTTTTTTCTTTTTTCTTTTTTCTTGTTTCTGCACTTTTACTTTTACTTTTACTTTTTACTTGTCCTTGTCCTTGTCCTTGTCCATTTATTATTTTTTTCTCTTTCTTCAATCTCAGTGGATGTCCCTGGACCATTTTATTTATTTATTTCTTCATTGTCTCTTCTCTCACCATCCCGCGAATCTCGGGTACCCGTTCAAAAGTCTCCTTCTGTTTTCTTCCCCCCATGAACATCACAAAAATGGAAACAGGAGGACTTGAAACAATTGGGAACCGTTATATTATTGAAGTTCAAAACCCCTCCCCTTTTTGCAAATCAATTTCTTTTCACAGTTGCATGGACCGGCGTGTTCTTTTTTCCTCGAATATCTGAACTTTGCATTTTGTATAGCCGGGAAAGAGTTTTGGGATTTATAATTATAAATGGACACAGGGTAACTCGGAACAATGGGATATACAAGAATTTTGTATTTTCTTTCTTTCTTTTTCCTTTTCTTTTCCCCCCTCCCTAAATGGATGGATAAGATTGGTTAGGTTATATCTCAAGGGTAAACTTGAGTGTGTTCAACTCTACGGTACTTACGGTACGAAGTAATGCCACATATAAAATGGAACCTTGTCATTTCATGTAGTCTGATTGACTAATCTCTTGCTTGGAATTTTTTTCTAGAGAATGTGACTTTTGTATTTTCGCTACGGGTATAACGCTATCTCGTACATGTAGTCTTAATTGTTCTTGCTCTTGTGCAGTCTGTCTGCTGATGAACCTGATACGTAGAACAAAAAGACTGAGGTATTGCCTTGGGTGGATTTATGGAAGTCCATATACAGTTGCCGTGCCTAAGCTTTTGTTAGCACATTCAAAAAAAAAGGCAAATAAAGAGAGAGAGGATCACTCACCATCACCACCACCACAAACCCACTCTTTTCTTCGTCCGCTCGGGCACCATGCTGTTGCGCCCACGACCTTGACTTTGCCTTCGGTTTGAACTTGAATCTTCTCGACAATTTTCCCTTCCAGGACATCCCATGCATATACCCATCCGTCCTCGGTCCCGCTCAGAGCCCACGCGTTGTCAATTTGGCTCAGACATGACCGGATCCTGAACTCGGTGTTGATGTGACCCGTGTAGCTCTGCAGGAGGTTGCCTGAGCCCTTGTCCATGAGCCGCATGGTATTGTCGAGAGTCGACACGAGGAGACCGCTTCCGTCCGTGGTGGGTGTGATTGATGTTACGGGTGCTAAAAGGGCGCATTGTCAGTGTCCGTTGGATGGGAGGGATCAAGCAGTGTAAAGTGTAAGTGAGATATTCGTCTGAAAACGGAGAAATGCCACGAGTTCTGCGGGAAATAATTTGAAGAACAGATGGCTGCAGAAAAATTGCGATTGTCCAAAAACAAGTAAATGTGCATTACGAAAATAATGGAGATAGGGCACATACCGCCAATAACATCGGCATTGAGCGTGCCCATTCGAAGATCGTACACGCGGACACGCCCGTCCACGCTTCCGGTGATAATCTCATAGTCGCTGACGACGATACTGGTCACGCTGTCGCGTGCCTCAGAGAGGATCTGAATGGGCTTTATTGACTGGGATTTCATATCCCAGATGCGCACGGTACTGTCGACACTACCTGTGAGGTTGACATCCTATGTTAGTTTCTGATTTGAAATGCCTCAGTAATAATATGGAACGGTAGTGATCTCAGTCCAATCTAAAGGGTATATCTATCAGTCCCTTAAGAGTTTTCACTTACCAGTCACAAGCACATTATCCCCTTCTCCACCAAAGGCGCAGGCATTTACCCTCATTGTATGTCCATGATTGCCGCCAAATCGACGCAACGTTCGTGCAGTCGCAACATCCCACAGGAAGACTGTGCGATCGCCACCTACGGAAGCAAATCGCGCGTTATCCTCCGTCACAGCGACCTCGAGGACGGCGTATCCGTGCGCCTCGTATTTCTGCACCAAGGACCCGCTCGAGGCATTATACAGGTGTATTCGGCGGTCCGATGAACCGGTAAGGATCTGTGCGGAGCAGAGACATGTCAGACAATCGACGCAATAAGTTGTAATCTATGACAGTGGTGGGTTGAAAAGACGGGGTAGCGTCGTGGGGTGGCAAGGTAGTAAAGTCCCCGAATCCAGGGACACCCGGGAGCGGGGAAGATGGTGTGTACGTGAGAGAATCGGAGGCAGAGGCCAGAGCAAGACGGTATTGGGCTGCGAGGGATGACAGCATGAGGGCTCGACCGCCACGATCACCGGGACCACCAGGAACGCCCGTCCAGATGTACGCGGGGTAGCTCCAAGAGAACCCAAACAGCCCTCGTCGATAACGCCATCTTTCCCCCGCTTTCCTATCATGACATGTAGGCTCCTCCCAGTCATTGATTATGAAAAGGTTTGGGAACAATGCAGACAATCTATCAGGCTCCTCCTAGAAGTCATCTGCATCTTTGCAGTACATGCTGCATGCATCTCTGCAGGCGTGGGGGTTGATTCGTTGTAGCAAGGGCAGCAGCTATGTTTTCCACTGGAAAGAAACTGGGAACATACATATTGTCCTAGACCAGCGCTGTAGGTGACATTGTGGATCGGTCCTAAATGTCAATATAAAATTCAGCTGTGCTCTGCCAATTATACATCATGATCCATAAAACTGAGGGTAAGTGGGAAATGCGTCGATAAAGACATGGGCTGGAGAGCTGGGAAATGGAAAAGTATTGTAACATTAAATCTCATGGCTCTGAGTATTCTTTCAGTAAAAGAAAAGCGCGCATACCATTGTGACCGACTAGCTTAGTGACCGGGCGAGTTGGGAAGCTCATCACATCGTTGTGGTTAAGGAAGCTCAAAGCAAAGGTGAGTTCATCACAAAGCTTGACTCCCGGCCGAGGCTCGCTTCGGCCTCCGCCATTGCACTAGATCTATCAAGCACGTACGGGACAACACTCATAACAGTCCTTCCAACGTTTATGATTTATGTTTTTATAGATGCAAAATTGCCAAGTCATGTGTCAACCCTTTGTCTGAGGCTCTTTAAGAATATAAAGAGAATAGAATCTAGAATCAAATTATATCGTGACTACAAGGTATCTGAAAAATCAACGGCATGTCCGTTGGCCGAAGAAGAAGCGCTAAAGCTAAAAATGATTTGCTGGATACCAATAATATGCCTTCTCAAATTAAGTACCTTCGCCGCACCAAAATATTGGCAACACAGCATGGGTGTTCAAGGCGGACCATCTTGGCCACCATGGCCATCTCACAATTATTGCAGAGGGATCTGGCAAGCCTCCAAACCGAATTAACGGCCACGTCCATAGCTGCGAACAGCGCTTCCCTGCATCTGCTCCATCTCTCCCTCGAGCTGTTTGATTCTATATGGCACGTCAGTAATGCTAGTTCTTTTAGCTTCAAGAATTCGATATTTCATACGCTGCGTGAGTGGTCTCCAGGTCCTTGTTGAGGCGGTCTCTCTCGGCAATGAGCTTCTGCTCCCATTGTCGGAATCGCTGCTCCTCGATCTTGACTTGCTCCGTAAAACGTTTCCGGAGGTTCTCTTCCTCCTCCTTGAACTTGGGGTTGTCCAGCTTGCGGGGCCGGGCCTCGCCAAACTTCCGGGTCTCCATCTGCTGGGCACGGTAGGCCTCGTAGTGTTGCTCCTCCGTCGTGTGAATCAGGTCGAGCATGTGCGTACGGATTAAAATGGATCGAAGCTTCTTGAAGTCGCAGTGGTCCTCGTTCTCCACCTCGGCGACACCCCAGGCGTACTGTCGGCCCTTGACAACGCGGCCGTCGGCGCTCTTGACATCCTTCTCCGACCCGATAACCGCGAAAGGCATGGCGGCAACGAGACTCCGTGCATGCTGAAGCGCTGCGTCATCGTCTTCCTCAAGAGGCGGCTGATAGATCTTAATTCCCTGAGCTTCGATCACGGCCCGAATCTATCCGTTGTTAGCATATTTCCAGCTACGGGAATGCTGTTGTAATGACGAACTCTGTGCTTGAACTTTGCAAGGTCGGCGGGGCTCAAGGTGTCAGCCTTTGCGACGACGGGGATCAGATTGACTCTGCTGCTCAGTCGCTTCATGACCTCAATGTCCAGGGGCTTCAGGGTGTGTCCGGTTGGGCGAATGAAGTAAAGGCAGGCGTGCACACGGAGGTCGATCTTTTCCGTCCGGCGAGGCTGCTGCTCTTGAAGCATGTAAGACTCGTGCTGGTCATCGAGGAATTCGATGATGGGCTGCCAGGAGTCGCGGTTGTTGACATAGTCTCCAAAACCAGGGGTATCAATAACAGTCAGACGGACTACACGTAGTGTCAGGTCAACCAGCACGCCTCCATTCCCAGCAAGATATTCTACCTTTGAAGAACTTCTCCTCCAGCTCAGCCTTGGTAATTTCAATCTCAACTGTCTTGTCGACCTGCTTGGCGTGACGGCGCTTGTGATCGGCATAGTTCTTAATGGTGGTGGAAAAGAGCGTGTTGATGAAAGTAGTCTTGCCCAATCCAGATTCACCTGCAACCTGTTTTATTTTTAATATGAATGGACGTTTTGAAAGATTTATGGCTTCTGATCCGTACCATAATAGTGAAGGCGGCCCCCCTTTTAGCGACAATCTTGTGCCTGGAAGACATCAGCTCTGGCGAACATTTTCAGATATTTCTTTCTGCCACGACGAACCGTTGGTTGGGAAGCTAGTTGCATTGCTCGATCAGCCTCTGATCACAGGAAATTCTGTCGTTCGCGTAAATGAAGCACTTACATTCGCAATCCCGATAGGGGACGCGGACTCGGTGACAGCCGGAGCCATTGTGAGTGTGCTCGTATCTACCTGGTACAGGATGATAGAGAGCAAGAATTATGTAGAAAAGGATTCAGAACAAACGAGTGGAAGGAGGGCAGAGGAAGATGGGAATATCCCAAGACAGAAAGGCAAAGGGGGGGCGGAGTGCCTGTACGTCTGTCTTTTGGGTTCTGGCGTCTACCGGGCGTCGGGACGTGGTTGAGCTTCCAGGGGAAAGGGAAGAAGGGGAAAGGGACAAACAAGCCAACTCTCTCCCTGCTTCTCGTTTGCATTTCCCTTCTGGGCAAAGGAGACAAAGGGGTGGCCCGCTCCCCAGATTCGATTCACGCTAACTACCTTGGCTCTAATGCCAAATCTCGGCAGAACCTTGCTCCGGAGCTGGACTTTTTTGTTGATCGGATAAACTTTTTGAAATTCACCTACAACGACTAAGAGACTTTTAGACATGCGATAGTTGGACTGCTTGTGTGTTTTCCACGTTCAGCCACCACCATGAAGACGGAGTTCAAGGTATGAGTCTCTGCATCACTTTTGATTATTCTATACTAAACTTATCAGTTCTCCAACCTCTTGGGCACCGTCTATTGCAGAGGCAATCTGCTATTCACGCCTGACGGAACTTGCCTTCTTTCGCCCGTGGGCAACAGGGTCACAGTCTTTGATCTGGTCAAGTAAGGCTCTACGTGGGCTGTTCAAATGCATTATCATTGACATTTCTCTAGTAATAAATCATATACTCTTCCATTTGCGCATCGGCGAAATATTACTCGCATTGCCTTGACACCCCGCGGCAACCTGCTTCTGACGATTGACGAAGATGGTCGAGCAATTCTGAGCAACTTCCAACGCCGGGTTGCACTGCATCACTTTTCGTTCCGAGCTCCCGTATCAGCTCTGGCCTTTGCTCCTTCAGGCCGTCATTTCGCTGTTGGAGTAGAGCGCCATGTCGAGGTCTGGCACACCCCTTCGACTCCCGACACCAATGCCGAGGGCGAGCTGGAGTTTGCGCCTTTCGTCCGTCATCGCGTCTACGCCGGACACTACGATAATGTTCAAAGCATCGAATGGTCCAGCGATTCGAGGTTTTTCTTGAGTTCATCAAAGGACTTGACAGCACGGATATGGAGCTTGGACCCAGAAGTAGGATTTGAGCCGACAACATTGGCAGGCCACAGAGAGGCAGTGCACGGGGCATGGTTCTCCAAAGACCAGGAAACAGTATGCTGTTCTGCAAATTCTTTGCTCTATATATAAATGTTCAAACTAACATCTCTCAGATATGGACCATCAGCCGAGACGGCGCCCTCTTCCAATGGGCGTATACGCGCAAGCCGGGAGCGCCGGAGCCGGAGGAGGATGAAATGGAAGACGATGCAAATATGAACTGGAGAATCACACAGAAGCACTATTTTTTGCAAAATAATGCCAAGTTGACATGCGCGGCATTTCATCCGGAAACCAACTTACTAGTTGCCGGCTTCTCGAACGGAATATTTACGCTCTATGAGCTCCCAGAGTTCAACATGATCCACACCCTGAGGTAGATACCTATTTCTGCAGATTGAACTCCACCCTTGCTAATAATTTCCTCAGCATTTCTCAAAATGACATTGACTTTGTAACTCTCAACAAGACCGGAGAATGGCTAGCATTCGGTGCATCGAAGCTCGGCCAGCTCCTCGTCTGGGAATGGCAGTCAGAGTCTTACATCCTTAAGCAACAGGGACACTTTGATGCTATGAACGCCATTGCATACTCCCCTGATGGTCAACGTGTTATCACCGCCGCCGATGACGGAAAGATCAAAGTCTGGGACGTCAACTCCGGTTTCTGTATCGTCACCTTCACCGAGCACACCAGCGGCGTAACAGCCTGCGAATTTGCCAAGCGTGGCAACATCCTTTTCACAGCCAGTCTCGATGGCTCTGTCCGCGCATGGGACCTTATTCGATACCGCAACTTCCGAACCTTTACCGCGCCTACGCGACTCGCCTTCTCCTCGCTCGCCGTCGATCCTAGTGGTGAAGTTGTCTGCGCAGGATCTCTCGACGACTTCGACATTCACGTCTGGTCCGTCCAAACCGGCCAACTGCTCGACCAACTCGCTGGCCACGAAGGTCCCGTATCCAGCCTTGCCTTCACTGCCGACGGCGGCTCCCTCGTCAGCGGCAGCTGGGACCACACCGTTCGCGTATGGAGCATTTTCGGGCGGACTCAAACCAGCGAACCTCTAATCCTCCAGGCCGACGTGCTCTGCGTCGCTGTCCGCCCCGACTCACTACAAGTCGCAGTGTCAACTCTCGACGGACAACTCACATTCTGGTCCATTGGCGAAGCCGTCCAGCAAGGCGGTGTCGACGGACGACGCGATATTTCCGGCGGCCGTAAAATCTCCGACCGCCGCACCGCGGCCAACGCCGCCGGCACCAAGAGCTTCAACACCATCGTCTACAGCGCCGACGGCTCCTGCGTCCTCGCCAGCGGCAACAGCAAATACATTTGTCTGTACTCTGTCACAACGGGCTCCTTACTCAAAAAGTACACCGTCTCCATCAACCTCTCTCTCGACGGCACCCAGGAGTTTCTCAACAGCAAGCTTCTCGGCGAAGCCGGCCCTGCCGGCCTCATCGACACTCAGGGCGAAGCGTCCGACCTCGAAGACCGCATCGACCGCACCATGCCCGGCGCCAACCGAGGCGATCTCGCTGCGCGCAAACAACGGCCTGAAGTCCGCGTCCCCGCCGTTTCGTTCAGCCCCACAGGTCGCGCATTCTGCGCGGCCTCGACTGAGGGCCTGCTCATCTACTCTCTCGACACCACGACCCAGTTCGACCCTTTCGATCTCGACATCGACATCACCCCTGCCACGACCCTCGCCACGCTGCACGAAGAGAAGAACTACCTCAAGGCCCTTGTCATGGCGTTCCGCCTCAATACCGCAGGCTTGATTCAGCGCGTCTATGAAGCCATTCCCGTCGATGACATCCCCCATGTTGTCGACGACTTGCCCACCACATACTTGCCCCGTCTCCTCCGCTTTGTCGCCCACAATACTGCCAATTCACCACACCTGGAATTCAATCTCCTCTGGAACGCGGCCCTTCTTGGTCGCCGTGGACGATGGCTCAAGGATAATGCGGCCATGTGTGCGCCCGAATTGCGTGTCGTGCAGAAGGCTATTTCCTCGATCCGGACAGAGTTGATGAGAGTGTATGTCTCTTCCCCCGCCCTATTGGTTATTCTGCCTTTCTACCCTTTTTCCTCTTCCATTTTCGTCTTCCATTTTCGTCTTCCTTTGCTTTCCTTTTTCTTTTCGTCACTTTTTTTATATAAAAGAATCGTGGAAAGCCCTGCTAATACCTCATACAGTGCCGAAGAAAACGTCTACACAATCGACTATCTCCTCGCTCAGCCCAAAGCTTCCGATGTTTCAAACAAACTCGACCTGTTAACTTCGACTGCCCACGACGATTCCAACGCCGCTAGCGTCGACGGCGATGACGATGAGAGCATGGAAGAGGAAGACGGCTGGATCGGACTGGAGGACTAAATTTGTCTAGAAGACAAAAATCCATTATCAGAAATATGGTTCAAAGGAAATGTGGGGTGGAGTGGTAGAATCATAAAAGCATCATCATTTCTTCGGGCGCTCAGAGGCGTTTATTAGCAGTAGTCATTTCTTCATCCTTGGTTTCCTTTTCTTCCTCCCTTCCCTTCCCACTTGGCCAATATCGTATTTCTTGGAATTTGTGGGCTTTATATATATTTCTCCATTTTCATATTTATTTTCATTTCCTTTTATTTCATTTCATATATTATACATTTGTAAGACAACCGTAAGAGTTTAGGCCTAAATATATGTAGATTATTCCAAAAGAAAAGGAAAAGGAAGGAAATTTTGTAATCATCTATCAATCAACCAAGGATTGATTTCTGTCTGTCGGTCCCCGTGCCTAAGTACCAAAGTGCGCATAGATGATCCCAAGAAAACAAAGAAGAAAGAATCGATCGATAACACCACCGTTTAGATGCGAGAACCAAAACGCCAGACCACGACTAGAGAGAGAGAGAGAGAGAGAGAGAGAGAGAGAAATAAAGAAGCTAAAGAAAGGGGGGGGATACGAGGCAAAGATATAGCTTCGGGTGAGCGACGGACATGCAGACCGCTTATCTGGACCCCCGAGTACTAAGAAATACGTTGAAAACAGAAAAAACCTGAAGGGGGGAGCCGTAGCGTCAAATACAAGAACGGAGCCGATGCTAAGACAGAATTTTAAGAAAAAAATAATAATGTCCAGGTCGCTTTTGAATTCAATACAGCTGCAGAATACTAATCGTCGTCATCGATCCTGGCGCGCTTGGACGAGCCAGTGTCGCGCGAGTCTTGCATTCCGTAACGCTTGGTTCCGGCACCGCCGTCTCCGCCGGCAGTAGCCTCTGAGATCATAGCATCGATGTTAAAAGGATCGGCTGTATCTTTTTCGAACTGGACAGGGCCAGAGCGGGGCTGTTCATCAAAGGAACTTGTTAGCATCATTCTCCGATACGGGCGCTGGGATCAAAGCCAACATAGGGAAAAACGAGACAGGGGAAAAAAAGAAAAGGGAGAAGAGCATACCTCTGCATCTGAAGCGCCCTTGAAACCCTCCTTGGCTCGGCCGAGGACTTCAAATCTGTTGCTCTTGCCAATACGATCCATTTCTTTCCCTGCATCGGCGCCTTCGTCCTCGTCATCATCAAAGTTCGTCCGTGGCCGGTAGATGCTGCTGATTGCATCCTGAGCCGCAAAGAGGGGCTTGTCGTATGGATTGTCCTCATTGAAGCCAGTATCAAACCCGCTCGTCTGATTGAAAAGACGAGAGTCGTACATGGTCTCAGATGACTGGGTGGGTTTGGCCAGACCGAGAGCGACCTTTTCGGAAATGTCACGGTTCTGCTCACGCGCCATTGCTTGAATCCGGCGCTCAGTGCCCATACGTGATTGGCGAAGCTGACGCTCAGCTTCACGACGGCGCTCACGACGCATCTCTTCACGCTCCCGAGCGGCTTCATCCTCGTCAGAGCTGACGGACCGAGATCGTGAACGAGAACGCGATGAAGCGATGGAGCCAGAGCGACTCCGGCGGCGGCTCGCTGAGCCGGAGGCGGCGGCGGAGCGTTCCTCGCGGGCCTTTTGGGCGAGCATGCGTAGGTGGTCTTCCTTTTGCGCCTTTTCCTTCTCTGCGAGCTTCTGTTGCATGAGCGCGCGCTGTTTGACTTCTTCTCGGGCATGGCGGTCGGCGGTGAAAAGCGCTTCGGCGAATTGAGCAAACTTGTCGTTGATTGTGACATCCTGCAGGCCGCGACCATCGGCGGCAAGACGCTTGTCCAGTGGGACAGTATAACCCTTTGGATTTTTCCAGTTGGATACCGGAGGAGGTATGCGCCACGCTTCTTGGTCCTCGGCGGTAAGTTTCCTTGGAGGGGAGTGCATGACGGGAGGTGGCGGTGAAGGCGGCCCACGAGGGATCTTCTTGTGCTTGAATTTAGGTGGTTCCATGGGGTCTTGCTGTCTCTCAACGATTTTGAAGATACGATCATTTTTCCGCGTGTTATCGCCCATTTGATTTGCTGGTGTATAGCGGACGAAAGTCGGATCATTTCTCGATGTGCCCCTGACGTTCTTAGGCTTCTGCGCTGCTACAGCACCAGATACGAGTTTCGCGAGGGCATCCTTGGTCTTCTCCGTCTGTTCAGCAACTTGTTCGGCGGAAGGCCTCTCCAAAGAGATCTCCCCAACATCGGCACGTTGTCGAAGTGGAATCAAGTCTTTGAAAGAGGCGTGCACGATACGTTTATCGTTATGTCCTTGGCGGGCAATGGCGTCGTATTTGACTTTGCCTTCAGCATCAACCTGAACGGCCAGGGCATTGGATTTGGCGTTCATTTTGCGACCCATGTCAAGCGGGTACTGCGCGACGGGAATCTCGGGGAAAGCGCCACCATCCCCAAAATCTTCAATGGACCGTGGTCGCCATCCTGCTCGATTACCGTACGGCGGCGGTCCCGTTCTCTGTATAATTGAATTAGCATTAATACAGAATTCCAAAGATTATTCATTGAAGTAGCAAAATTATTCAAGGGTACTGACTCGAAGAACTATCTGGGTCTCATCGAGCTCGCCGGGCCCAAGAATTCGAGGACCCTTCGGTTGCGCGTGCGCGGGGAGCTCTTCATCTTCCCCAGTATACTTCGGTTTCGGAAGAATCTGTGACAATGAAGCTGCGACCGAAGCCATGGTCGAGTTGTGTATTGGTGGGCTTCTTCGTGGCTTGATGGCCAGATTGATGTGGATGACCGTGATATAATTTCGTAGGTTGATGGAGGTTCTCGCTTAGGCTTGCGGTTTCTAGGATTATCTTCGGCTAATACTTCCATATTTGACACGACATTGAGATTGAAACTGTACGGCAAATGCAAATTATAAAGTCAGGCTGTGATTCAACTTAAAATTTTTTACAATATAATTGTAATTTATTTAAGTAGTTCTATCGGTGTGAAGAATATTCGGTACGACATTGACGCCTTGCAACAGGCCAGTTCCATCACTTTCGTATGGCATTGTACCTGCTCCTCCATCAAAACATTGAGCATGATATTTATTCCCAACCATTAAGACAATTCTTCGCAAAATAACAAGAACAGCAGGTTCATATTCGTCAAACTTCGAATATCAAGATGATTTGATCAAATGCCAGTCACGCTCGCCGCAGACCTCACACCAACTCCGTCCGCGCAACTGAAACTCCAAAAATGCTTCCTTTTTACCCCTGAGAGTATTGCTCCTTCTCATTGATCGGCTTATCCTCTAGTATCTGCTCACTGTCATTGTTGAGGCCGGCCCACTTTGGCTTACCATCAGGTATGTCCATGACGCGTTGGCCGTAAAACATATGACATCTATACAAACAGGTGGTCAGCATATGTCAAATTTAAAAGAGAGAAATTGCCAAGAAGCTGGCATTACTATTGTGTTGCATATTTTTCGACGTACCTCGGCTCGAACTTTAATCTATCTTCCTTGCTCTTGAAGTGAATCAATGAGGGGAACAAGAGTATCATATTTCTGCCCTCGTCCATGATGGGCGAATGGCACCACTTGCATCGCACCTTGCATGGCAGCTTATGCTTGGTTGTCTTCTCTGAAGGATCATACCACTCGAGATCATGATGTCCGTTGGTGAAATTGATGTCTTCTTTGTGGAAGATGGCGGCCCACTGGAAAGGCGCGGCTGTCAAAACAGTCGTCAGTAATGGTACATGAATAAAATTACCATTGATTCAAGCGACGCAAAAATATCAGAACGCCCAATTGCCCTGCAAATTATTACTGGAACGACAACAGCAAACTAACTTACCATGCTGAGTTTGACATGTTGTGCAATGGCAGAGTTTGGAGTCTAAAGGCCTATCTCTCTTGAGCTGGTATGTGACCTTTCCGCAATGGCAGCTCGCCTCATAGCGGACGGGAAAGTGCTCATGACGGGTGTGGATTTGGTAAGGAGCTCTCTCCTTCCATTCTTCGTGAACTTCAGTTGAGGTGGTGCCTTTAGGCTGCTCCTGCATCTTACCAGGAGCATTTTCCTGCTGTCCCATATCTTTATCCATCATAGCCGTCTCGTGGTCAACGGCGTCGTGTTTCGGACTTGGGAGTCTGCCTGAGGCGCAAAAAGCTTGGATATGATTCGAGTGAAAAGATGCTTTGTGAGGGGCAATTTGGTGAGACGTTAAAGCACTGGGGTTTTGCGAGTATCTGAATCCTCCTGGGGTCGTGGCAAAGGTGGTATAAATGTCTTGTTGTCGTGAGGTGGGTGAACGGCTTGGAAGAACAGAAAAGAGTCGAGTCGACTGGCGGGAGGATGTGACGACTCTCAGAAATCGTTTGGAAGCCGAGACAGAGATGAAGGTAACACGGCTCGCAGCACAGCTGCTGACAACGTCCATATGCTGAGCAAATTTTACTGTGGAGATGAGCAAAAGTCTAGGAGCAGGAAGTGGAGAAAAGTGGAAACAATCTTATGAACGATGGTGTAGTCTCTTTGGGAGTGGTGATTCTTCAATACCAAGTTGTTGCGTCACAAATACAAATGTCAAAAACAATCCGGGTCTAGCTCTTTCGAGCTCCAGGAGAGGTATAGGGGAGGACGGGGTACATAAAACTCTAGACCAAATCAGACGTTCGTCAATTGATCATGCATGTAGACACTTTCAAGTACCGTAGCACAGAAAGATGTGCTTATGACAATGCTTTGCTCATTAAATGCTCAATAAACTAAAGATATGATCTGTCCGATGCTGTTTCGTGCTATGCAATTCGGCTTTGGAGATGAACAACTCCACAAATGACCATTTGAACTCCCAAACCTCAAGTAAACAGACCTTTGGAATGCGAAAACAAGCAAAACGAGATGCAACCCATGAATTATGCATCATTGCGAGCCGCCCAAGGATTTCGCCCCGCGCCTGATCCAACGCCAAATGCAATATTGAGAGGTACTTTTTTTGTGGAGAAGTTAAGACAGGGGTTTCCTTTGTGGCTGGTACAGAAGCCCCTGTCAGTAAGGTAAGCAAATACGGTGACGTCACTGCTGCGTCTTTCGCTACGCGCGGGGGATCGCGGCGACAACCAAGACCAAAAATCACCCAGACGAGAAAAGACCGGCACTAACTAACACCAATCATTTACCAGAATTGGGGAATGACATCCCAGAAATCCCATACCCTGGACATCACATTCAGGGCAAAATCCCATCTTTTTCGTCACGGAGACGATCAGTCGCACCCCACATTATACTTTAACGTCCAAGTTGCTCCGCTAAGGAACGCTTCGCTTCATTGACATCAAGCCGACAGACGTCCACGAGAAATTCAAGCCTACAGGACAACGATGATCAATAACGCGAGCCTTGTTGAAAAAAGAAAAAAGGGTGCTTTACTTACTGTGTTTCTGTCACCAGCCGCTGCTTGACCTCTTCAAAGCGTTGCTCGCACAATTCCCAGATCTGCATTCGTCTCTTTGGCGAGATGGTCTTGATGCGGATCTGGAATCGTCCGCTGACCGGCCGGTGATCGGAAGCGTATACCTCGTGGCGTCGGTAATCCATCTGTTTGATACGTCCAAGTCCTCGATAAAGAAGGCGGTCGCACCAGGCTGGTGACCGCCGTTTCTCACTTGTATCGTAGTTATCCGTGCCGACATCGTACTTGTAGGTCGGCGCGAATGTGATAGGACACTCCGTGAACGCCCGCAGTCGGAAACCCGGATTGCGGCGACGGGAAAGTAATAGCTGATCACGGTCAAGCAGCTTGGAAAGGTTATTCGCCTTCACCGCGCTGACAACCGTATCTCGGCCCATTGTGTCAATGCGATAATTGAGGTCACCGTTCAATATACAAATTTCATGATCGAGGACCATGGTGCCGTCACCTCCTCCAACAAACATATCGGAGCGAGCAATGGGATTTCGCTCTGAGGGCAGTGAAGCAGTCTCTAGGATAGCTGCAATATCATTGTTCCGTTGAACCGTATGTTTTTGACCGGCCGCCAAATGGCAATTGACCAAGCATACCGAGCTGTCGTCAATGATGAATCGCATGATGAGGGCGCCCTATATCAAGAACAGTCAATTTCCCATCCCCCTTGAAATATAGTTGGGCATCAGACCTTGTTGCCATGCAAGCCACCCATACCACGCTTGACTTCAGAAGCATCAACACTTCGGATGTTATTCCGCTCTGAAGCCTTGACAAAAACGCAGGTGAATAATCCAACGAGGCTGGCCGTGTGAAGTAGATGATATGGTTGATCGATTGGCATAAATTCTTCGACGCACCGGCTGAGGTGATCGCGCCACGCACGATATTGTCTGCTAATATGCTCATGATCGATATCCTTCTTTTTGCTGCTAGTCTTGAAGAAGCTCTCTGTTCCGAATAAGTTTCTCTTCAATTCTACCAATGATGCTGTCAACACTCACTTGCGGTGATTTTCTTATCTTCAAGGTCGACGAGCTCTTGAAACCCAAAGACGAGCAAGTCTGGTGGGTCGCCATTTTGGAGTAATCTTCGAAAGAAATCCGCGTCGCGTTCATCCTGGTTCAGGCTAGAAGGCTTGGTAGCTCCAGCATTCCATGTAACAACCAGTGCGCTGATCTCACGGAAGTTGCAAAATTCGGTATCATGTTCTTGCATGTCCGCTTCTGCAGCAGGAGTTAAAACCAGGCAATATTCTTTGCCGTGGGGAAGGAGTACTTACCGAGCCAATCTTCTTGAAGCAGACCGTCCCAAAGTCGAGCCATGTTATCTCCACCAAGGGAAGCGACTTGCAATCGATCGATTTTCATCACAGCACTCCGGTCGACCACGATACCAGCGACAGGATTCTCATGCGCCTGCCAGTCCTTCTTCACGGTCCATGGATTTGTAGTGGTGTCATAGACATAGATCATGCCGGTGTTGTAGCCTGCCCAAAGGTACGCGCCTACACCTGCTAAAGAGTTGATTTTATAAAGGCTGACATTGACAACGCCAAGACAAGAGTAGTCTTTGCGCGAGTAAACTGTTACTTTGCCATCATTGTGCCCAAAATACACCCTATCAGGTTGGCTCATGATGACGGAACCAGAGGTCACGTCGCCGACATTTGGTTGGTTGAGGGGCCGCTGGAGAACCTGAAATTGTAAGCTTGAATCTGCGCTTGGCTGAAAGATTCTAAGGTCTTTGCCAGTGGCAAGCCATAGCTGATCACCAATGACGAGAGAGAAAGTGTGTCCTTTTGGGACACGGAAGGTTAAAGGACTATAGCCCAGGTTGGGAGAGCCTGTTTCATCGGATGGCCAAAGTAGCAGCTTTCCTTCATCATCCAGAGACCACATTTCACTACCGTGTCGGTATATTTTCACCAATTCTCTTCGGGGGTGAGCATTGGCTTTTGAAAACACAATGGTTTGGGTTGAAATATCCATCTCTTGGATCTCCCCATGGTTTGTGCCCAACCAGAGCCGCTTCCCTTCGTTTCTAAGATCGACTCCAGTTTTGAAGGCCAAAGCTGTGACTTTGGTTGTTTCGCCATGGCTGACGCTCATAAGAAGCTCTCCGGTTAATATGTTCCAAACTTTTGTAAGGAAACCGGAAGTGCACAAGTACTCGCCACAGATATCAAATAGCCTTGTTTCGTACTTGGTCGGAAACTCTCGTGGGCCGTGCTTAAAACACGGCCATCTTCGATTCGCATGCGAGGAATCGGGGTAATCGGTAAGGGTCGGTGTCACATAGTCAATTACAGCACCTGTCTCATCGGAATCGTAGACGTCATCGTATCGATATGCTTGCTTCAAGTCTAATGAAGTATTTGACGCAGAGCGGTACCCCTCCCGCAATGGCGTCTCCTGATCAACAAAGGCGGACGTCGGAGGAATAATAGGGGCGGTGCCTCTCCGTGGTGGTGGAGGAAACTTAGCGGTGGTCTCCGCGACTAAAGTCGCGGCCGTTTTGGAAGCGACAGAAGCAGGTGGTGATGGAGTTGGCAAAGCTAGCTGAGATGTTGGCCGCCCTGGACTTGCATCCTGCGATCCAAAGTCCCTCCGTGGAGGTAGTGAAGGAGGTGGCGGGGGAACGGCTGAGCGTCCTTCTCTCGATGGGTGTCTTGCTGGACGAGAGGGAGGAAGGGGATGAGCATCGAGATTGGTAAGCCCTGATCTTCCAGGAGATCGGGGAGCCGGTGGAGGTGGTGGGGGTCGGGAAGCACGGTCAAGTTGGATTGAATGGCGAGCAGAAGGGCGGACTTGAGTTGGGTCAAAATAACTGTCTCTTTTAGGTTTCGAGCCAGTATCTTGGCTCCGAGTACGTCGCTGAAACGGCGGGGTCTGTTCAGCCTCAGTTTCACTTTCAGGAGGGGTGCTAAACGGAGATACCGGTTCCTCGGGTGCTGTAGGCGCCGCGGTTGGTGAAAGTTTTAGGTTAGTTGGTTTTGGTTTCAATGGGATTGTAGGTGGTTTTGGAGGTATTTTTGGTTTTTCTGCACGATTGACAGGCGGAGGGATCGGTGGCGCTTGATTGGGACTCCCTTCTCCAGACCCTAGGCGCGGAGTCCGGATACCAGAATGACTGTCCGTGGGAGGTAGCAGGGGGGAGGGGCGTAGATCGGTGATTGGAGTTCCCACACGGCTACCAGCTCGAGAGTGACGCGCTGAGTGTATCGGGGATTGACTGGCCGAGCCTGTCGGTGTGAAGGATCCATTGAATAAGGATCTCTGAACAGCCGCCGGCGGTGGAGGCGGCGGCTTGCCGTCTAGAAACTTTGGCGGGGAGCGCGGTGAGTCTACTGTGACTTTTGGCGTGGGGCGAGGAGGAGATGCCGGCCCCATTGACATTGGTCTTGGCCGCCGAGCAGAGCCTGGAGATGGAGACCGCCGAGCATGTGGTTCTGCTGGAGAATGAAGCCCCGTCGGTGCTCCATTAATCCATAGTTGTGATTGTGGCCGTGGAAGGTCTAAAGAAATTCGGCCAAGTGAACGTGAAGGGGGCTCTTCCAGCTTATCGATCTGCGGACGAAGTGAGGGCGAATGTGTTCTAGATGGCCCAGAGCTGCTAGGCCCACGAGCAGCTATGCTTTCAAAATGTGACAGCAAGGAGGACACCGGACGCTACAATTAAAGATGTTCGATCAGTTAAGTGCTTCAAACAGTAGAAAACTAGAAGGTGTCACGACTTACGATCGAAGCGTCTTCGGAATTTTGATCACCTGCGCTAGCCATCTTGACATGAAGAGCAAACTGCCCTTACCGTCTCTTAAGGGAAATTCCACCGCCACATGAATTACAGGTAATCGTAGTCGTCATCCAAGGATCAAGCGCAGGCCGCTTTTCCCTCCATGGATACCCCACACTAATGGATCAAGGCGATGGAGTTGATAGTCTGAGCCTCTAACGGCTTCGACGCCGCAGTCTTTTCAAGCTTTAGATGCTGGTACCCGTATGTCTGTAACCCGAATCTCGCCGATTTCATGAATGTGTTGGTGGTAGCAGAGCACTTGTCTGAGCAAGCCTGAAGCCGGCCCGAGGTCATTTACCAAAACCCCAGCTGAAGCGTAATAATGAATCCTCCCGTTTGATCGTGAGCAGATATCAGTCCCAAATAGTTCTCCGGGAAAAGGCTTCAGATATATTCTTTGGCAATGCAACGCTAGGTACGGTAAGGTCCTTGGTCAATATCCCTCACCGAATGCCCGTCAAGTTGCTCACTTATTATAATCCACCGTTTCAACCTCCAGAACACGCAATGCATCCCCGTCCAATCTCCCAGCTAAAGATTCCCGGCAAGTGCCGCCCCGCTCGGTGGTGGGCTGTGCTCGTTCTGGGGAAGAAGTAGCAGTTACTTCTCTACCCTCTTTTGATTGCACCAAGCTTGAGTTGCCGCTACTGATAACGGGTACCTGAAACAGCGCACTTTCGGTATGCCAAAATTGATACGGATGAGAGCGCTTCGGAGGACCTCTTCGCAACAGGAGTGAGCCAAGTTAAAAATGGGATCAATATTATCTGATCCGATAAGATTGTTTAATCAATCAGATCAATCAGCATAACGTTGAACTCTTCGACTGAGATCCTGAGTAACCCGGATGTTCTAGGAACAGCCGGGTCGTCTTCTACGGTTTTAATTCATTCGAGTCGATTTTACATTTATTGGAAAAGCGTATTTGACATATATCATATCTTACTGTATGTTACTGGCGTACAGAAAATACTCAGATTAGCCAGACCACCTCACAATTATGGTAAAACCGTGAGCTGGTGCAGAACTGTTTGATCCATGTCATAGACCTACAGGAACTTTATAAGGGCCTGTCCTGACTCTTGTTGTTCAACCACATGATTATATATTGCGGATATTGCTTGTTCTAGAGCAGTTGAGCAGATCAATATAAAGGTTTTCGAGATTGGGCGGAAGGTACACGAGGAGGCTGACGTGTTTAACTTCAAGACGTGCACCATTTGTTTTAAATATGCAGCGAACATGGTAGAAGATGCGAGTAGAGCAAAATTGTAACTGAATTAACAGGATCACGGAAGAAATGCTGTTTAAAATTAATCGTCAACGCTTTAACATTATGATACAATCCTGGAATCAACCATGTCAGACATGCTGTCTTGCCCCACTCAAGGGCGAGATATCTTGATAAATCTCTAGCTCGCACCACCAGTTTCACCACCCGGCCGTGTAAGAATGGCGGCAGTTCCAGTTCCTGGTGTTCGGCCTCCCTTCTTTTTCGATGCCTCCTCTTGCTTTTCAGTCTCAATATTCTTCACATATGATTCGATATCCTCAACGGGGAGCAGTTCCAATGGTTTTCCAGGTGCCATGATTGCAATCTCGATGTTCTTGGCACCGGTTTGGACTACCTCGAGAAGTGACTTGACCGTCAGCTTAATTGTCTCCTCCCGGTCCATGCCGTCCTTATGGTTGCGCTCGAGGAACTCCCGCACGGTCTTGCTCGACCGGCCGATAGCGTTTGCTTTCCTGTCGATTCTTTAGTATCAGAAATCTCTACATAGTCGAAATCTCCTTACCATGCGGAGTAGATTCCAGAGGGCTCTGTCAGATATAATCTGGGGGTAGTGTCTCCCTTGTCGAAACCAACAATCAAAGTGCTAATACCGAATGGACGAACACCACCGCTCTGCGTGTACCGTTGCTGCACACCCGCCACGTATTTGGTGATGTAATCAATGGAGACAGGGTCCTCAACGGTCAACCGATGAGATTGCGCCTCTAATCTTGCTTTGTCGATGAGGATACGGGCATCGGCGTTCAGTCCGGCAAATGCTAAGCAAACGTGGGTGTCTATGAGGCCGATCTTGGAGGGTGTAATCCGAGTGTCCTGAAGTTTCATCGCTGATCGCTTCTCACAGCCGAGTACAACGATATCTTTGCCTTTGACGCCGACGGCGCATGTTCCTACCAATAGTCAATCGGGCGCGTACCAAACTAAGCCACAGCTAGGAATACCTCGTTTAACGGCCTCGAGAGCATATTCGACCTGGAAGACGTGTCCATCAGGACTATGAGATGCTTAGAAAGGTATGCTCTTTTCGGGCCATGGAAATCACGAAGCTCACCTGAAAACTTAACAAGAATGTTAGCGGAGGGTTCTCGGCGGTGCTCATAATGCCACTACTTACCTGACAACGCTCTGTCGTAACCAGACATGATGAGATGAAAATAAAGAAATGTCTATCGAATTTCCGAGTAAGTTTCTGCTAAATAGAAACGAAATAAGAAACGTGAGAAGACGGGGAAGAATTGGATGACGAGAATGAAGGTAAGTTTGGTGGTCCGGAGCTTTCGTATGCTCCCTCTGCCTACGGTTAGCTGTCGATGCACGACGAACGGGTAGATGACTAAGCACATTACTCCCATGCCAATTTCGCGAATCGTCATACACGCTGTACGGAATAAATCGTCGGAGTATCATGAAAATACCGATTTCTGAATTATACCAAACGATAATGGGCTGCTCTTCAGGAAGAGTAAAAATGAATCGATATATTATTCGGGAAAGTTAATTATCTGAAACGTATCTATCCTTTATCGCTTTACCCTTTCATAACTGCACCGCCATGTATATTCATCCTCATGAAGTGTATGAGGCATGATGACCATTTCAGGAATAGTAATTTCCGACTAACATTCATAGTGAAAGAGGCCACAGGGTGAATAGAGGAGAGCTCGACTATAAGTACTCCGCTTCTCTTGTCTTGCTCTGAGGTTTATTTTATTTCATGCTCGTATCACATAAAACGTGACTTAGAATCAAGGAGATCAAATAACAGGAGACATAAGAATTGCCCTCGAATCGTTGTTCTAGCGACTGCAAATATTATAACCAGGCATTTACACCTTTAAAATCAACTATACCTTTTCAAAATTTCATACGGTATGCTCACACCGACCTCATGAAAGTCATGACGCTCGTTTCAAAAGCTAATTGCGCAGATCCCTAAATGTTAAATCACCCAACGCTCACTGTTGACGCACTCAATCTCCTCAACGAAAGCGACCACCCGCCGGTGACTGTAAAACCGGGATGGCTGTCGCTCTCTGGTACCTTATGCCGGAGCATATCGATGGCAGATGAGATCAGTATTCCAGAGTTTGTTCACAGCCTTGAGACACTAGAATTCATGGGGTTTGAGAGCGACATAGCACAGAGGATTTGGAGGCGTTACCAAGACCACGAGCAGTTTGGAGACGGAATGATCACCTTCATGGACTTTGTGAGAGGGTATATTCAAAGTTGCCCTGATGCATATCTTCTTGACCACCAATGGGATGAGGTGATGAAGGAAATGGGGGTCACGAAAAAGCTCAGAGATGGAATCCTCACCGAGGGTTTCGACGATATCAGACTGTCTGGGACCGCGGCATCTTGGGTGCTTAAAACTATGGAGGACCTTTACCAGTGGGTTTCAACGGTGTCCAAACAGATCTCCGCCGCAAAATCACGAGCCCCATCGCAGATATCTTCCTCTCGGTGCCGTCAGGAGTCCGCGTCGTCCAATGAGAGCGCCGCTACCGATCAACTGCCCAGCTTCTCAGAGCACGACAAGGAAGCGGCGGAACCCGTGACGATTCTTTTCAAGGGAGGTTCTGTGCCACGGCTGCAAAGGGCTCTTTCAACTAATGATCCAGCCAAGCGGCATGACCTTTCAGCACTAGTCACTTTCCTTCCTGCAGACTTTGGCTTTGGCAAGGTGTACTTTACTCGGCAGAGACAGCTCGCATTGAGATACGCCATGTACGCTCAGGAGCGAGAAAGAATGAACAACATCCAGGTCGGAATTCTCCATCTGGAAATCCCAACGCGCCTGTTGGCCGATGCCCGCGAGATCTATGGACAGGATTGGAAGAGATTCGTCTGGGGCTGTAGAAGATGCCCTTTCCTTCCTCCTTTAGAGCTTGACGAGTTCGACAACGCTGGAATTCTGATCGGCCCAATCTGGATGGTTAGCGAAGATGCCGCTCAATCTGCGACCTTTACGGTCAATGATGTGAAGCCGTACAGCATGCCAAATGGCGTAGATTGCTCGCAGCATGCCTTTCGCCTACGAAAGTGCGTAGAAGTCCAAGAAGAGAGCAATGTCTGGATCGAGCAATTGGAGGCTCTGCCACAGAAAACTTGATAATTCAAGCGTAGCAGAACGAGATTTGATCGTCAATTGTACATGTCAAATATAAACTTCTTCCGCTGCGTGAGACGTAGTAATGACGGAAATTCTCCCATAAGGGGTTAATGATACCGATACATCTGCATTCTCGATTCCGGAGCTGTCTATGACTAGAGAATATCCAGAAACTGAATTGAAATAATTCGATATGCCAGCTACTGGCTAGCTAAACAGCAAACTGCTTCAATAACGATGAATAATTATTATAAACTTTTTAGAACAAGCATTGGAAAAATAACCGCCTTATTCTTTTGAAGTTAAGCTTGTACGGTGTCGTTACCCGGCGAGAATGACAACATCGGGCTAATCCCAGATAGGCAATGATACGATATGATACCGAGTAAGTTTATTCGACACTTTTTGTCGTCCCGGGCCGGTGTCGGACTCAATTGTATCTCATAATCCAGCTGGCTTGTTCGCATTCCCGGTCTCTCATCGGTTGTCATTCTTTGGTTTCCGGGGTGTGCTATTCTGGACTCTGGAGTATAATACGAAAGTTGTGAGAGGAACCATCGGTTTTTCCTGAAGTTGTCTGCCAAAAAGTAGGCGATACAATTGCACAGGCTCAATATGGCGTGCAACCCGAGAATATCATTGGCATTGCTGCGACGGGCTCGTGCTCCAGCTCCATTTGCGCGTGCAAGCCGTACCTTGCGACCTGCAACACAGCTCAGACTGGCTTCGACAACCGCCGAGGCTCATCAACATGATCCTACCGATACATCAAAAGCTGCTCCGAGCCCTCCAAAGGGCATCTCTTTCACAACCGAGAAGTAAGCCTGCAAACATGTTCTGGTCTGTTTTCAGAAATTTGCTGATTTTGGATGTCATTAAGATACCCGCAATTACAACGCGATTCTCGGTTTGCTAAGGTCCGTTTGCTATCGAGATGCCTATGAACTTTCCCTCAGCACTAGCTAACACCCAGCCTCAAGCTCACCGAGGAGCATGTGAATTATTTCAAGGACCTACTCGGAAAGGATTCCGCAGTGATTGACGGCGTATCACAAGATGCCACAGACGATATTGAGCCCTTCAACAGTGACTGGATGAGAAAGTTTCGTGGTCACACCAAGCTTGTGCTTAAGCCCGGATCCACGGAGGAGGTTAGCAAGGTGCTCAAGTACTGTAACGACAACATGCTAGCCGTTGTTCCACAAGGTGGAAATTCGGGTCTTGTTGGAGGATCGGTTCCAGTCTTTGATGAAATCGTCATCAACACTGCCCGGATGAACCAGATTCGCTCCTTTGATGAAGCTTCCGGCATTTTCGTTGCTGACGCTGGCGTCATCCTCGAGACTGCGGATTCGTATTTGCAAGAGAGAAACCACATTTTCCCGCTTGATTTGGGTGCCAAGGGCTCGTGCCAGATTGGCGGAAACGTCTCAACTAATGCCGGTGGCCTGCGGCTTCTCCGGTACGGCTCATTGCATGGCAACGTTTTGGGCATTGAGGCTGTCCTACCTGACGGAACCATTGTGGACGACCTTTCCAAGCTACGCAAGAACAACACCGGCTATGACCTGAAGCAATTGTTCATTGGCGCCGAGGGTACCATCGGTATCGTCACTGGTATTTCAATCATCTGCCCTCAGAAGCCGCAAGCAGTCAATGTCGCCTTCTTTGGAGTCGAAAGCTATGAGAAGCTCCAGCGTGCCTTCAGGGATGCCAAGGGCTACCTGTCCGAAGTCCTCTCCGCTTTCGAGCTCATGGATGGCTCGAGCCAGCAGGTCGTCAACAGCGTTACTGGCAAGAAACACCCCTTGGAAGGAGAGTATCCTTTCTACTGTCTCATCGAAACGAACGGCTCCAACAGCGAGCACGATGCTGCTGTAAGTTTGACCTGCGTTCACCTTCCACCGGGCTACTTCTCCCCGTTCTTTCTCAAATACTAACGCTTTGGTCAGAAACTCGAAGCCTTCCTCGAGCACGCCATGTCCGAAGAAATTGTCGCCGACGGTGTCCTCGCTCAAGACGAGACCCAAATGCGCACCCTCTGGTCCTGGCGTGAGGGTATCACCGAATGTCTAGGCCACTGGGGTGGTGTGTACAAGTATGATCTTTCGATTCCCTTGTCCGATCTGTACCAGCTTGTCGAGGACACCCGCGAACGTCTCAACTCCGCCGGCGTGATTGGTGATGACCCCGAGAAGCACCCCGTCGTGACCGTTGTCGGATACGGCCACATGGGCGACTCCAACCTGCACCTCAACATCTCCACCCGCCGCTTCGACAAGGAGGTCGAGCAGCTCCTCGAGCCTTTTGTTTACGAGTGGGTTGCCAAGCGCAACGGCAGTATCAGCGCCGAGCATGGCCTTGGTCTCACCAAGAAGCCTTTTATTGGTTACAGCCGTAGCGACACCATGATTGGCCTCATGAAGCAAATCAAGAACCTTTACGACCCGGTACGTTACATTCTTTTTCTATCCTTATTTTCTTTATGTCCTTCTTTGTTAGATTCTCTACACTGTTCGTTTCTTTCGCAAAAAAGATATATTTACTAATGCACTTTCTCGCACCACCTACAGAAGGGTATCATGAACCCGTACAAATATATATAAATCTGCATTCCCCCAAAAAATGCATTAATGAGATATACAATTCCATTATATCGGCACTGCCCTATTTTTTCCCCTTTCGCCCACGAGACAAAAGAGCATCTATTCAACACATTGGACTAGATAGCCATCTATCCATCCATCTTTTCTTCGAACTTTTTATCATCTAATTATCTTATCTAGTTGGAGCGAGAGACTGTTTAGTGACAATGGCGTTTTAGCGCCATTATCCTTTTTCATTTTTTTTTCTCTTTCCTCTTTTCCATTTCTACTTCATCTATTATACTTTTCTTTTTAACTTCTTGGCCAATTCTTTTTGGATTCAACTCTATCCTAAAAATCGTTCTGATAAGACTAGAACCCTCCAGCAGTCACAGCCAATACGTACTCGACCGGGCCAAAAATTTTCTTTGGACGAAAAGCGAGGATTTTAGTATAGTCCTACCTTAGGTATATTTGGATCATCTAGACGCTTTAAAAAAAAGTTAAACTTATCTATGGAGCACGAATGTACTGCATGTGAACTACTTGGCTCTCACAACTACATTGTCGATCTACATTGTGCATCAACGCATGTTGGGTCCTGCGCATCGCTGGTGGTAATTGGCAGTCCAACACCAGCTACTTTTGTCAACCGTTTTTATACCCAAGTCTCTGATCTTCACTTGTGCGTCCACTATATGAATTTTATGCATTTCTCGTCTCAAAAGGAAAGTATGCTCTTTATCATGTCTCAATCCACCCACCCAAAATAAATTAAATAATAACTCCAATGCCGTGCTTCTATGCTTCTTAAACGCGACACCCTATGCTATGCCATTATATCCAAAAAAAAAAAAAAGGAAAAAAGGAAAAAAGGAAATAAAAAATTCTGTCAAAATCTAACACGCCGCGTCTAGGCCTTGAAACTGATCAACGATGTGAATGGGACATGTGATAACTAACGAACAACAACAAAAGACAGCCCAATTCAAGGATTTAAGGATTCAAAGCCATATTTTAAAGTGGCTCTAGTGTGCCCGTGAAACTTATAGATGCTCCTCGGTAGGCCGAATGCCCCAGTCAAGCATATCGGCCAGCATGTCCCATGCTGGTTCACCGCCTGCTCGACTGACACTACGTAGGCCGGTGGCAGCGAAGCCGCACAGGCGGTCGATCTCTGCGCGCATTTCGCGTAGACGCGCGGCGAGAGGAACTCGGTTCGAAGGTAAGGAGGAGCGTGCACCTGATCCTTTAGACCCACGTGGATCAAGCTCATCATATTCACTGCTGTCGTCGGCTTCTTCGTCGTCAGAGCTATCGAAGTCCAGTCTAGCAGTTGGCCGCTTCATAGCTCTACCGGCGTATTGTTTGTCACGAAGGGCTTGGTCATGTCGACTGCCAGACAGGACTGAGCGGTCCACAGACCTATCTACCTCAGAAGCAGAATGGAGGTCTGAGAAATGAAATGCCAGGTCAAGGAGTGACATTAAAGCTTGATAGATTGGAGAGAGTTTTCTGGATAGGAGACATTGTTCTTGCAGCTTGACTGCAAAGTGTTCGTGCGCAGATATCATGGCATCGACGTCTTTGGCCGCATTCATGTCGTAGCGTAGTTCCAATGTGCTGGTTACGATAACAGTTTCGGTGAGATAGGAGTAAAGCGTGTTGACGAGCCACAATAGTCGGTGGCGAATGGATAGTGAGAGCAAGTTAACGTCGTAATTGGAGTCGGCGCTTGCATGGTTAGGCTTGATGAAGTCGGTCTTGAGGAGACGTCTTCGTTCGAGGAGGTATTTAGCATTTCGAATTTGGACAAGTAGGGTGAATACACGCTGGTAGGAATCGGTGATGGTGTGCCTGGCTATGATATTTGCAATTGACCAAGGAAGCTATGTGAAGTCAGCCAATTATTCTATTTTGTATTCTTCGTATACCAAGATGCCGGGGGCGGCATGGTAAAGGAGAGAGATCATACAGTGTATTCCACTTTTATAGTACCAAGCATTTTCAAGGATCGATGTGTGCCTCCTGTCTCTGCGCCTTCGCCTGCCAGAGGCGTCGATCGAACAAATAGTCTCTTTGGATCCATGCATGCCAGCGTGCCTAAAGCACCCTGAGCCTGCTCCGTCAGAAGGAAGCGATCATTCCAGGAATCTTTTCGACGCTCAATTTTTTCGAACAAAACCGTAAGCATGTTGGCATAGAGCGAGCCATCTTTCAGGAAGTAAATATGCTCCAGTGCGTCGAGGATAGTAAATAGTCCGTATCGGGAAAAGAGAACATTCCGAAGCACAGTTGATGCAGAGTGATGTTTGCTGTCGAGCCATCTCTCGAAAGCTTCGTCGAACAGGTCTGAAAATGGCGCCAATGGGATGGAGTTGTCTGTCCCACACACTGCGGCATAATCCAAATATGGCTCGTCTTCCAAAGCCGCAGGCCTGCTGCCGAATATTCCCAAGCGCCTCAGAAATACGACGCTCTTCCCCGTGTTGAGAATTTTCTTCGCTTGAGCTCGAAGGAATTCAGGAGCATGAAGCCGGCCTCGGTGATCCTGTCGCAAAAAGTATTGGTCATGCCAGAGATTTCGATTCTCGACGCTTTTCTCAGCCATACCAATAAAGAAAATCTCTTCGTTGTAATACAATTCTCCGCTTTCCATCCAAGCTCGGATTGGTCGCAAGTACGTGTTGAAGCAGTCAAGGAACAAACTCGTCATAAACGGGAAACTGACATCATCGCCTGCCAAATGGACGAGGCTTGTCTGGTGAAATAATTTTTCCAGACATTTGAAGGGATTTTCGCCTGCTGTCTCCTTGAGCGCAGGGAGCAGGTCTGCCAGCATCAGCAGAGGGAGAAGCGGAGTTTGAACACGGTGATAAACATCCACCAAGCTAACCACGACTTGTTTGCGAAGGTGCACAAATCGGCTTTCAATTTGGAGTAGCTTCTGTTGTAGAATTTTGAGTCGGCTGCTTATTGATGCATTCAAGCTTTGTAGTAGCGGAATGGATTGTTCAAGGCTCGTCCATTGCCGCACTGTCTGTACCTGCGTTCCTAAGTTTGCGAAAGCGGCCAAAAGTCCTTGGAATGAGTCATAAGAGGTATGGCCCAAGGCATACTTTTCTACAGGCTTGATGACCCCTGTTGAAGTATCACATGAGAACAGAGAGGTGGGAAGGCCCGAAAGCATAAAAAGCACCTCTCGGAGAGCCTGCATCTCGGAGAGCTTCCATGTTTTGCTGAGATCTATTGCGGTTTCTATTAGATCAACATCTTCTTTTGCAGGCCGTGTCCTGTGATTCCAGAATTGTGCCTTTGAGATGTGGTCCAGGATTGATTGATCGGGTTGCAACAGTGTAACTTCGAGATTCTGAGCCTCGTTCTCTTCAGCGGCCACCGATGAAGGCTGTGTTTCATCGCCTGAAACGCTTCTATCAAAGCTCCTTCGCTCGAATTCCTCGTCCTCTGACGACTCGGCACCAAAGTCCACCTCATCCCAAATGCCTTCCTCGTCCAAAGGATCTTCAGATATAATATCTTCCCACGTCAACGGCGGCGGAGATGGGGGAGGTTTAAGCGCCTCTAGATCCTCCAGACGGGAATTGGTCGCAGGCTTATTCGAGAGTTCCAGAATTAAGGAGAGCGCCTCTGGTGCCCAATTGTAGCGCAAAAGAGTGTCTTCATTTCGACGGTCCTCGATAGCATCGGCTAACTCGTCGCAATTCAAGATACTGAGCTTTTCCTGGAGGCCATCCAATCGCTGAGCAACCTCGAATTGGTTTGTCCGGCCATAGTTATGGTGCTTTAGACTCCGTGCAGCAAACTTTCTGCAGAGACGAAAATTCTGGGGGTCATTCTGTTCGGGTGTAAGAAAGCCGGCCGACAAGATCTAGTACAGCTTACCTGCTCAGTGATGCCCGTTAGGGCAGTGATGAGCTCATCAGTGAGAAGCCCCAGCTTGGCTAAGTGCGCCATAGATCACCAGATGCCTCAATTCCATCCAAAGCTGTTGCGTCATTGCGAGATATGCATGGCTGATAACTGTTGCTGTGACGCGTGAATGGAAAACGCGACGTTCGGCTGGCTTACGGTCATTGTCGCGTATAGATGGATGGCTCCTGATGTCAACAACATAATCTACTGCGGTCCCCTTCCCAATTGTCCAAAATCCGCGCTATAATTCCTTTACTTGTGCTCTTATTGGTTTTCCAAATAGTTTGTAAATATATTTCTAGCATAATAATCCGTATATATTTGAGTCGATTCATTCGGTTTCTGTGGCAATATGTCATGTATTCTATTCCACCCATGAACTCTGGACGTTATATATCTCCCATATCTTTCTTCTCTTCCATTTGTTATGAATAAATTCCTATACAGGGAAATGCAAGGAGAATAATTGAATCCCTAAAAATGGGCATTCTCGTATTCGCTCCTTGCTCACTACGAGGCTAGTCAAGGTGCTGCGTCGTTATCAAACGATATCTTCACGCTGATACCAATTCAATTTGTTATTCTTTTATAATGATCAGATATAGACTCTGGAGTAAAGAGCAGAATGGTTCTCGACATAATCTAATAAAAAAGGAACAAGATATGAAAATGAGAAAATGATGAGATAAATTGTTCTGTTGACGTGGAAATCTAGAAGAGGACGCATAAGGGGTCTGAGGCTAAACCGGATTAGGGAGAGTCCCAGTGACGGTGAAATGGGAATGTTCCCCAAACTCTCATGTGCGTCGTCATGTTCACAAATCTAGAAATCCCCGTTTTCCACTCCTGTTGCCTCTGTCCATCCGTTATAAATTGTCCGTTCCATACAGTACAGACAGGATATCACAGCTGGAGCAATAATTACTCAACATGGCCTTAGCAAGGCCGATGCGCATCCTGGTGGTGCTCATCTGTGCCCTCTTCATGTTCTTGGTTGTCCAAATATCCAAAACGACGCCAGAGGCGCGTCCACCCCCGGTCAAGCTGGACACCATGGAAAGCGACCCCAATCTGGACCGTGAGTAATCCATTTCTTGGCAGCATGCTTTGCTTCAATGCAATGTGGAGTATTCCCAAAAAGTTCTCAGCGGGCGAGCTAACACAATACTCTGTGAAGCAACCGGCGAGCCCGAAGGAATCCTGCACCATGTGGAAGGAGACAACTATGCCGCGGACAACCCCAATTCGGAGCGAATCAATGCGACTCTCTTGTCGCTGGTCCGGAACAGCGAGATTGACGGAATGGTTCAATCGATGCGCGACCTCGAGCGAACGTGGAACCACAAATTCAACTACCCTTGGACATTTTTCAACGACGAGCCCTTTACGGAAGAATTCAAGCGGAGGACAAAGGCCGAAACGAACGCAGAATGCAAATACGGTTCGTTCTTCATTCTCAAACGCCTCTCGGCGGCAGAGCCCTCCCGTGTTTACCGGCAATTGTAATCCACGCAAACTAACATTACTGCTGCAATAGAACTGATTCCCAAGGAGCACTGGGATGTGCCCAGCTGGATCAACGACGACATCTTCCAAGAATCTGCGCAGATCCTCAAGGAGCAAGATGTGCAATACAGCAACATGATGTCGTACCACCAAATGTGTCGATGGAACAGCGGCATGTTCTACAAACACCCGGCCTTGCTCAACACGCGATACTACTGGCGTGTGGAGCCCAAGGTTCATTTCTTCTGCGACGTTGATTACGACGTCTTCCGATACATGCAGGACAACAACAAGACATACGGGTTCACCATTAATCTATACGATTCGCCGCAAAGTATCCCGACTCTCTGGCCCGAGACGCAAAAGTTCCTTGCCGACCACCCCACGTACATTCATGGCAACAACGCCATGGATTGGCTGATTGACAGCGCTCGCCGGCCCGAGCACAATCTCAAAGCCAATGGCTACTCGACGTGCCATTTCTGGTCGAACTTTGAAATCGGCGACATGGAATTCTGGCGCAGCCAGGCATATGAGGATTACTTCAACCATCTCGATCGCGCAGGCGGCTTTTTCTACGAGCGATGGGGCGATGCGCCTGTGCATAGCATTGCGCTTGGTCTTTTCGAAGACTCGAACAAGCTTCATTGGTAAGTTGTCTTTCTCCATCCACTTATCAATCCAACCTTCCTCCATTGGCAACACAAATTCCACAGTAAAAGAAATATATATATCTAACAACGGACTCTCTTAGGTTCCGTGACATTGGATACCAGCACATTCCCTACTTCAACTGCCCCAACTCGCCTAAATGCAAAGGCTGCAGAACAGGTCTCTTCACCGATGGCGAGAAATTCTTGTACAAGGAAGACTGTCGCCCGAACTGGTTCAAATTTGTCGGCATGGGATGATGAACCGGAATCATTTGGTTATTTCCGTACCTTTGTAGCTTTATTTGTTTGGGGCTATTAAAAACCCTGCCTCAATATTTTCTTCAAAGACTTGAGGACTGTCGCGTCAACGACAATATCTTATAATGCCTATTTTAATGTCTCGTCATCCCATACCCGTTTATTACCTCTTTCATTTCCTACACCTTTCCATCCAACATATCATGGCGTTTCGTCTTTCTTTCTTTTTTTTTTTCTCTCTTTCTTTCTTTCTCCTTTTTTTCTGTTTTCTTTTTTCTCATGTTTGGGTCTCGGATAAGGGATTTCAAGGATCGACCTTACCTATACGCAAGGTTCACATACTGTACTGTAACACTGTAACCTGCAAAGTCAAAAATATATTGGCCATCCAAGGGTATGGCGTTAACAATATCTAAGGAAAGAAGAAGGGAAAAAAAAGGTGGAAATGCACCATGTTGTAAGAATAGTAATAATAGATGATATGAAAATGGAATAAACAGACTGGGTATGTCTTGGGAACAATAAACAGTATACCTAAGTATCAACAGTATAAGTGAAGAAAACTAATCCCGCGGGAAATGTATTGAGTCACGAGAGAAACGAGAGATACGAGACGTGGAGCATTGCGGGTTGACAAAGAATGGAAAGACTTTGGCCTTTGGGTCGGCAAACTATCTGTCCAAGATAACAAGATAATGTGCTCGATGATTACTGGTACAGACCTACGTGATATATGGGAATAAAGGTTCGACAAAGAATGGGAATAAAAGAACTGAGAACTAAGGTAACAAAAGTTTAGATATAAGACACTATACAATAGACGATAGTCTACACAAGGCCACTGTCCCTAAAGGGGTACAACGACGACCTCCCTCTCTCTCTTTCAAGCACACAAGATACATGCTCGCCAGATTCTAGCTGTCACGCTCTTCTCCCGACCGGACGGATTACATCAAGACACCGACTGAATTATTTGACAGGAATCGCTTTTTGAATTCGGCAACAAAAAGTCTTAGATCGTCGCAACTGTCCGTCTTCTTGTCCTTGCCTCTCTTCCCTCTCTATCCCATCATGCACTCCCGTTTAGCCATTAAGAATCTATTGCGACTCGGGGTAGAGGTCCTCCTTGAGGTTGACGCCGAGCTCCTCACGGAGGGGTTGCAGGTCGCTCAGGTACTCCTCGTACTGGCCCTTGTTCTCGACCTTGGACTTGATACCTATGAGATAGTTAGACAAGGATTCGTGGAAGGGCTTGTTGTTGAAGTGATGTCGTGTTCGCAAAATAATGGGTTGCAGATCTCTTCGAGGTGTGACATGTGGATTGAAATGTACACCCCGAGATCGGACCATTGACTCAATTAAGAGATGAATGAATGGCAGGGGGGAGACTGAGAAAACAAAGAGCGTTTATCGTACCCTCGAAGATTCTGACGGCGGTGGGGAAGTCGTTGACACGGCGGGCAGCGCGGAGGGCGGCGCTGATGACCGAAGGAGAGGGAACCAAGTCGTAGGCGAAAGCGTTGTTCAGGTTACGCTACATTGAAGATTCAACGTTAGCCAATGGCATTGATTTTGTTTGGCAAATTGGGTGGTTAAGGAAGAGGTGGTGATTCCGCCCGACCGAAGCGATAGTGGAAGCCAATTGAGGTTTTTAAATGGGCACTCGCGTACCTGAAGCTCGAAAACATCCTGCACAGAATCAAACTCCTTCTCGTATCTGTCATTGGCGAACGTGCGAGTCAGCAAATGGTCGGATTGGTAGATTGCGATCGTAGAACAATTGGGATGTTAGACGTCGTGAACGAGACTTGGGCCGTAACAGCCGAGCTCTCCTCGCACAGCGATGGAAAAGCTAGGTTGGATGCAAAGCCTCGTCTCTGATCACAAGTGTCCACTGCCATTGATCGCCAACGACAGGCCCAGTGATGGTGAAATGTACCTGGCAGTGAACTCCTCGAAGCTCTCCTCGTGGTGGTCCTCGGCGCGGCGGATCGAGGTGGTGCTGAAGTTGCTGCAGACCTGGACAGGGCGAGCAGCAACAGCGAGTCGCGGCTGGGCGCGGATGAAAGAGACGGGCGTCTTGCGGGCGGCCAGGCGGAAAAACGACATTTTGTGTGTTTTTTTTTTGTATGGTAGAAGGTATGGAGTGGAGAGGATCCGTCGAGGGGGAGAATTGATGGTTGTGGAGAAAGAGGTTCGAGTTGGTTGGAAGGTTCAAGGCAAGTTAGTGAGTCGAGTTGAGTGATGGTTTGGTGCGATGGGTCTTTCGCTCTCTCTGGTCTCACTCTGCCTTTCTCTCTTGGCTGAATCGGGAAGGTTTTCTTTCTCTTTGGGCTCAAATTGGCTTCGGCTGCCTCCTGGTTGGCTGCTGCATTGACGGAGCACTGTAGGTCACAGACTGTGTATTTTTAAGTACGACGAATCTGATAACGCAGGTACACAATTATGCAGCGATGCATAATTGTGATATCTACGGTGCGGCATTTCTGCCAAAAATGCAAGGAATATGCTACGATATACGCGCACCAATGGAATAGAAGAGAATTAAGTTATCGTTACTGACATGGATCATATTCGTTCCCCGAGTACAGTAATTAAGGCATTCTGACATCTCCGTCGATACGTAAGCTGACATGGTTATGTAGCTTTTCGAAAGAAATTCGTAACTAATGATGATAATGATACGCATTCTTGCTCCATGTGGCTGTTGACTTTAAACTTCTCTGCCCAGTCCGCCGGAATCGACCACCCGCCGGGTTGCAGGGAATAAGGGGGTTACAGTACGGAGTAGTGAAGATGGTTGCGAATTAAATGCTCAGCGTTCAATTGATTGATCACTTTACATTGGAGCACATGATTCTCATCGTAGTTTCAAGCCGAGGTGTCTCGGCTTCTGTACTCTTGGCGACGTGATGAAATTGATCACTAAATCTAGTGAATTGACTGGCTCTTGTTATTTTGTGTTGTTTCCAACTTACTCTTTTTTTTGCTTCCTGGTCGCGCTAAAAATGCAGCAAATCTCCGACTTGCCGACCTCACCCACCCAATTGGAAGGGTACGACGTGCGGCCTCGGCCCCTTTCTTGCTGCCGAGAGCGTCTTTTCACGACAAAAACTGGCGTCTCAACCACCAACGTCTCTCTCCGCCAGACGTCCATTCACCCTCCAAACCCTCCCTTGGGACCCTTGTTCTTCTTTCTTCCTCCACTTATTATTACCCTTCTCGTCGCTCATTAGGCATCGTGGAGTTGTGATAATATTGTGGATATTTTAATTGCTTTATTTTTAACTACACAATTAGTGCATCCTTCAGCGCTCGCAATCGCATTGTCAACAACGGCATTTTCTTCTTGCCTGTAATTGCGCGCGCGCAAGAGAATCAAACACAATCATGTCTTCTGATCTTCTCAAATCCATTCCTCTGCCGTCTGTCGACCGGCCATTTGGCATTCACCTATGGCCTATTTTCGAGAAGGCCTTTACAGCCGTGATGGGCTACGCCCCTCAGGATTTCCGCTTCGTTGACGGCAAAACGCCCATGTCCACCCTGTCCGCCACCGCTACGATGCTTGTGACCTACTATGTGGTCATCTTTGGTGGCCGCGAAATCATGCGCAACCGTCCAGCATTCAAGGCGAACGGTCTTTTCAAGATCCACAACTTCTACCTGACCGCAATCAGTGCCATTTTGTTGGCTCTCTTCATTGAGCAGCTGCTGCCGACTTTGGTCAGAGGCGGCACCTTCCATGCTATTTGCAACTACGACGGTGGTTGGACTAATGAGCTCGTGATCCTCTACTACGTAGGTGCCGCACGAATTCATGGGTTTAATGCCTCGGGCTAACCTTTGATTCCAGCTTAACTACCTGACCAAATACCTCGAATTGATTGACACCGTCTTCCTGGTGGTTAAGAAGAAGCCGTTGAGTATGAAATCATGAATTGGAGGAAATTCGGAAAATTGCCCGCGCTAACGTTGTCCCAGCCTTCCTTCACACCTACCATCACGGTGCTACCGCTCTCCTCTGCTACACTCAGCTCATCGGCCACACTGCCGTCTCCTGGGTTCCCATTACCTTGAACTTGACCGTCCACGTTGTTATGTACTGGTACTACTTCCAGAGTGCTCGCGGTATCCGCATCTGGTGGAAGCAGTGGATCACCCGTCTTCAGATTATCCAATTCGTTATTGACCTTGGTAAGTTTGTATCATATAAGGAATCATTGACTCTACGCCTGGAATGAATAATTGGACTAATCCGCAAACCCTGCAGGTTTTGTCTACTTTGCCTCCTACACCTACTTCACCAGCACCTACTTCCCCTGGCTGCCTAACGCTGGCAGCTGCGCCGGTGAGGAGTTTGCTGCCTTCTCCGGTATCGCCATCCTCAGCTCCTACCTCCTCCTCTTCATCTCTTTCTACCTGGCCACCTACAAGAAGTCGGGCAAGAAGGGCTCCGGCGCCGCCAAGAAGGCCGTTGTCGACATGAAGAACGTTCAGGTCCCCACTGTTGAAGACACCGTCCACGAGACCAAGGCGGTGCTTGCCAACGGCAACGGCGTGGCAACTGCAAACGGTGCCAGCCCCAAGGGCCCCGTCACTCGCTCGCGCAAGGCCTAAACGTGTTGCTGCATCGCAGAACCAAAATCCTTCGCTCTACGCAAAGCTAGACCATGCGCTTACATGGTCCTTGATAGACAACAAGCGGATGGTGGATCTGCCCAGCGTGCCATGACGAGCTCATCTTACCAAACCAAAAATTCTACAAAAATACTCGGGAACGTGCCGGAGAAGTACGACTGCGATCATCGAGTCTCGGGTGCGTTTCCGCATGCAACGCGATACTTCACGACCCTTTGCATATTCATTATTCATCTTCATCGCTCTTGCATGGTGTGTACGATAACAGCCCATGGCGAGCTTCGTTTCTTCGTCCCCCCTCTGCCCAACCACACTTATTTCAACAACGGGCCCCCTTTGAAAGAGCTAGCCCGTTTCTTTGGTAATTGGCAACTGTTCTTTAGTTTTTTCTTCTTTTGCCTGGTGCATTTTCTTTTCGGGCAGAGAAAACCCAAATTTTTTGCATGATAGAAAACATGTACATGTAGATATTCGAGGAGAGAGGAGGATTTATCAGCTGCCGACTTGCGGAGTATGGGCCTTGCAATGGTCTGCACCCGAGTCCTACCACGTTACCGTAATGCTTAATTATATCTTGCCTTGGCATATAGAATTGTAATGAGACGAGCTGTTTCCATTTCATGCCGTATTATCAATATGCTACTCTCGTACAAACGTGTTCAACGTCCAGTAATCTCTTCGTATTGGCGCATATTTGGTGAAGGTCTAAGATCACTGTTGCATAAACACTATTTATGATTTGCTTTATAAATTATAATAAGACCGATTGCTAATATGCAAGGTTCTATGGTGTAGTGGTAGCACTTTGGATTCTGATTCCAACAACCTGGGTTCGATCCCCAGTAGGACCTCTCTTTTTGATTTTTTGCCAATTGCATGTCCCAGTCTCTCTTGCATATTCTCACGTCATCATTATTGTGTCGAACTCTTCTACGACTCTTATGTGCTCTGCTCTAGCTCTTTTACAATCAACTTTTGTCACACCTGCATCGAAGCTCCTTGCTCTCAAGATTCCGGCTGCGCTTGTAGGTTACACAGCGCGCCGAGACCAAAGCGTATCTCTCAGAACGATCACGCATTCCAAGTCACATATGCAGCTTACATAATCCAAATCTCGCTTCGCACACCTCGCGTCTGCTCCCGAGGGTCCCTTTTGTCTATAAATTCCCCTCTCACCCCCCAATTTATCCTCTTTTCTTCTTCATACTTACCTTGTGAGGGCGGCCGTGATCAAGAAGACGGTTTGCCAATGAGAGAACCCTGCATTGCACAGCGCGGAGGTGATCTCGTTTGAGTGTCCTTCGGGGCCCTCACTCGCGCAATTTTTGATGGACTTCATATATCATATACATTATGATTGTATGGTTTTATGGCTTTTCAGTGATAGTGTTTTCGCCTTGTTGCGAGATATCAGGGAAGAGTCTTTAGTAGAGCGTTCTTATGCTTGTAGTTTAGCCATTCAACTTGGAAGCATCGGCTTTCATCTCTCCATCGGTGAAGCTTGAGTAAAAGACGATGAGCCAGACACGTGTAATTTGGTTTGTCTAGGGGTGGTGGTGCTGAACCCAGGGTTTGGGTCTATTGGAAAGCGTTGATACAGGAGGGTTATTCATACTGTAGCTCAATTATAGCTTGACTTTTGCTAGTAAATAATATACGGAGTACTGAGTTCAAGGCTTTTCCGGCTTTGACTTTGCTAGATATACCGCCCAAGTCGTGCAGAGCTTAAGCAAGGTACACGTGGCACCAGCCCAGTAACTTCCTGGTATTTACAGTCGAAGACAAGGACCAACAGCCATCGATACATGATCTGAATTATCCAACCAACCAGAATACCAACGCCGGGCACAAACGGAGGGCTTCCACGGAAGATGCTCTTTGTGTGCCGCAGGCGACAAACCGTAGCTAATAAGCTGGAAGTGTGTCTCTTGCATTTGTCATTCGTCCTTTCGGAGCTTGCAGCAAGTTTTTGTTGAGAACCTTTTTCTTTTTTTCTTTTTTTTTTCTTTTGAAAAAAAAAAAAAAAAAAAAAAAAAAAAAAACAAAAGTACCAAGTTTATCAGATGCGCATGGCATTTTTACACATGTGACTACTAGTTTCGAAATACAACCAATGACAGATCACCACTCCAAATCCCGCAATGAGGAACTCAGTTTCTGTTCACTTAAGGCGCGTATTGAAGATAAGTTAAGATCCTTGAAGTTTTCGACCTCGCGCTCGGAAGGAGTTCTCCATTGCCATAGCTTCGTATACTCATCATGCTGACCTTGGAGCACTTTAAGAACATATTTTCCGAGCGTAGGCAGAAATTTGAACCCTACAAGACGAAAAAGGGGAAAGATTAACAAAGTCCGTTCAGATAAGGCAATGGGAATAAAATGGTCAGGCCAACATACCGTGATTTGAGCCACCTGAAACAACTATACAACCTTCCAAGCCTGGGACCCAATCAATCAAGAAGTCGTCGTCAATAGATCTTGAGTCCCAACACAATTTTGCCATGACGATTTCAGCTCCGCTCAGGTCGGCGACATTTTCCGAGATGAACCTCTTTATGCACTCAATAGATGCCTTGGGCACATTGGTTCGCTCTTCCAAAGACCACGAGGTAGGTATTGACAAGGCATTAATATGAGCAGGTCCAGCCCCTTCAACTTCGTGATATACAGTGTTTCTCCATTGAGGCGCGTTATGAAGTATTTTGACCGTTCCGTATTCTAAAGCCTATATTAGAAGCACCTCATCATTCTGATTCGGAGAACATACCATCAAGAGGAAAAACCGTGAAAGAACCGCTTTCGTCCTCGCCTGTATAGTTCCACATCGATATGGGGAAGTTATCTGGTCGATATCGTTCTTGTTGAGCGATGGGGACCTTAATCTGGGCCACAGTACCCGCCGCTGCTGTCAAGATATCGCTCGACGCTGGGACCAGGACGTGGGTGTGTGCACCAGCAGCTACAATGACAACATCGCTGCGATGCAGCTTGCCATCCTCGGTCTTTACACCTAGAACTCTTCTCTGATCTCCATGTTTCTGTTCAGACGCATATAGTAGCTGGCTCACGCGCCCAGCTGGTCCTAGAACAGTCTTTCCACCTAATTGTTTCACTTTCTCTAGCACGAAGGTACATGCATCCGAGGCCCGAAGAAAGCCTGCAGATGAGTCGAAGACGCCTCCCAGGGGCAGGCCGTTTGACGTGCGGCCAAATGGATCGACCTTGGTGTCGCTCCACCCTTGAGAAATTGCACGCTCACGTTCTGCTGTGTCAGCCAGCTGATACTGCGACTCACGAAGCCCAAGCGCCTCCATGGTTTTGAAATTTTTGACTTCAACAGGGAGGAGTTCCTCTTTGTCATTGGTACGAGCCCAGCCACTATTGATCAAAAGTGGATGTGATGCTTCTTTATTCCACGACTTCCAACTCTCCACGGCCTCCATTGCTAAAGACGTGTAATGGCCCTTCGATCCATACGCAGCACGGATGACCTTGCGAGTATCTTCGGCCGCATATCAGCATAATTGAGTAGTCTTCAAGAACTAGAGCACATACCAGAGGAAGCAGAATCGGCGCCATTATAAGGTGAATAGTTGCTCTTGTCAAATTGCTGTGCATCGAGGATTGAAACGTCTCTATACCCATTCTCAAGAAGATGAAGCGCTGTTGATAACCCAAAAACTCCAGCTCCTGCACATTCATCAGCTGGGACACCAAGACTTTCAAGGATCCTCTTAGAAATTGGAAAAACCATACCTATAATAAGAATTGATACAGCTGATCCCCGAGACAGCACCTCATGCTTACGCTTTTCAGTACTACTTTTGGCTACCATGACCACAACAATTGAGACAACTCGATGGCAGAGAATCTTAGAAATGTAAAACAATGCAAAGTGAGCAAAGATTTCGGATCTTCTATCCGTCCCAAATTCACATGTATGCAGAAGCATTGCTTTAATCAGCCATCCTTGCCCCTCCCGTGAAACCGACGTTCGGTCAATGGTGATGCATCCCGAAATCACCGGGCCGGTTGCAATAGTCATGCAGTAATTACGTACATCTCACTTTTCTTAAGAAGGCCAGTTCGAGAATTACTGTTTATCGCAACTATCTGGTCTCGTCATTTCTGGAAATGTGGTGTTTTCGTTCCCGTAACTTCCCGTGTTAGTAATATTAGTTACAAGCACACCATGCATCATAAAGATATGCCCCGCGTTGTTTAATCCTTGCTGCCCATCTAACGACATAAACTTGCAATGTTACACCATCAAGTTATTCAGACCGTGAGTTTATAATTCTTAATATATTAAAAACATGCTAAAATATGCTTACCGGTATTAGCACCTTAGGCTGAAAGCACGCCATTTGATCCCTGATTGGATACTGGGATCCGTCTCATGGCAACCACGTGGCTGTTAGAAACATGTCAACTAATGGAAATAATATCAAAAAGCTACGATAAAGACATAAAATGGCTTTGATAAGGAAGATCTCTTCGCTCCCGACAACAGTGTTACAGATACATAAGAAGTGTTTAAAACTGGTCGTCGGAGCAATTGGGCTGGATTGTTAAACACTCAGATAGGATTTGAAGGCTCAAGACATTGGTGTGCAGCTTCAATATGGGTGTCGTTTCTTGGGTTGCAAACGTAACCCGCTGGTATCCTCGGGATATGCCACGAGATGAGCGGAGACTGGTCTTCAAACTCGACTGGATGGTATTGGCTTACGCATGCCTTGCCTTTTTCACAAAATACTTGGATGTTTCGGCACTTTGTGAGAGAAGCTCTGAACGGTTGACTGCCTATGAAATTCTGCTAACCAGTGGCTGTTATATTGCAGCTAATGCTTACGTTTCCGGCATGAAGGAAGACCTCCAATTAACTGGGAATAAGCTGAATTACATCAGTGCTGCTTGTATGCAATCTGATTCTTCTGGTGGAGTTGCCTTGTGCAGCATAGACTGACCTGAATCATTGGTACCTGCTGTAGATGAGGTTGGTTACGTGGTTTTCCAAATCCCAAGCAATCTCCTTGTGACTAGGATTCCGTAAGTTTCTTCTGGCTATTTCTGGCTATGACTAGCAAGAAAATCATTTTGGAATTGAACTAATAATGAACTGGATTGCAGGGCTCAATATTATCTTCCTTCATTCGAGATATTCTGGGGTTTATTCACCCTCGGAACTGCCTTTGTTACCAGTTACAAGCAGCTGGTCGTTCTGAGGTTTTTTGTCGGCCTCAGTGCTACCTCTTGCTATATAGGATGCCTGCACGTGGTCAACTCGTAAGTCTAAGTTCCTTCAGACAGAAACAGTGAAGGGTCACAATTGACCCATAGGCCTTGCTATAGATGGTACAAGAAATCCGAGCTAGGTAGGCGCAATGCCTTATTCTGGATGGCCAACCCCATAGCAACCATGTTTGGCGGATATCTCCAGGCTGCTGCGTACAAAAACCTGGACGACCGCCACGGCTTACAAGGATGGAGGTTAGTAGGAAACTTTAGTAACAACGGAACTTTTTTTTCTCTTACAACTGAAGGCTAACTTTTATTCCTTTTAATTAAAGATGGCTTTTCGTCATTTGTTCAATCATCACGATACCCATTGCCCTACTGTAGGCTCAACCGCTGTCCGACTCCTTGCTAAAAAAACATTGTGTAACTGATTGATCTTTGTTTCAGAGGATTTTTCGTTTTCCCCGATATCCCCGAACGAACCAATACTCGCTGGCTCACAGATGCGGAGAAAGATCTCGCTCGTACACGCCTCGAAGGAAACGGTTTTAAGGCTTCTCGAGGGATCAACCGCACACTGTTGAAACGGGTGTTCCGGAGATGGGAAACCTATGCATTTGCAGCCCTGGGCGGGTGGACTGGCATTCTCAGCTACGGTGCCAGCACGCCGTTTTTGCTCTGGCTCAAGTCGCAGCCGCACAAGTATTCTATTCCCAAAGTCAACACGCTGGGCACAGTGACATCTGCCATCTCCGTCGCGTCCGCTTTGTTGGTTGCCTTTTACTCCGACATCACTGGCAGACGATGGGATTCCGCCCTCCTCGCGGGCTTCCTCATGCTTTTTACGAACTCGGTCTTGGCCGGGTGGACCGTCCCCTACGGACTCAAATTTTTCTCTTACATTTTGCTCGGAGCCTGCCATGGCGTGCAGCCTTCTATTATCACATGGACGGCAGAGACGCTTTCCGATGACATGGAGCTGCGTTCCATCATGATTGCAGTCGAGAATGTCGTTGCCGAGATTAACTATCTCCTTGTGCCTTTGGCAGGCTTCCAAGTGTCCAAGGCACCTAGGTTCAGGGGTGGTTTTATTTGGGTACGTTTTTTTCCCCTCCCCCCTCCATTCTTTCTCTCTATTCCTTTTTATTTTTTTTTTCCCCAAGTACGAATACTCAAGCAAAGAATCACCTAACAACCTGGTGTAGAGCGCAGCAACAACTGCACTGTGGCTGATCCTCTGTGGAGCTATTACGTTGATCCAACACCAAAAGCGAACCGCCTCCTCGACAACGGACGAGCCTGAGAATCCACCACCACCAATTGACGAGACCGACAACAAAGAAATCGACGATACTGGCAGTGATGCAGAGACTAAAACTCAAAGCAAAAACGCGCCAGTGGTTACCGTTCAGGATAGCCATAACTCCTGAACTTCAAAGGCCTGTGGCCCTGTGAGGCCGTGTCATTTTCTCAGACCTCTAGACCTCTACATATACCTTATATACCATACCTTTTTCTCATAGACGATACATATACTATTTTTTTTTTCCTTTATGAGAATTTTCCATCTATCCCTAACCATCTTGTGTTTTATATCTAGAGTCATCTACTAGGAGCAGTGCTGCTGTAGTAATTCCAAAAAGAAAAAAAAAAAAAAAAAGAAAACACACAGACACACACGGTATATGATACTGTATAAGTAAATTAATTTACTTATTTTGGCCTCCTAAACTTACGCATATTGCTCTGCCTACCTAGATAAGTGTCTAACCATAATTCATGAGTAAATTACAAACTTACATGAGTCTACCTAGCTAACTATTGACCTGGTCACCTTGCTCTGTACCTCCATAGAACTGTACATTATAATTTTTATCATTAATATGCATCTCTCTACAAACAAGTCAAGACTCAAGACCCCACAGCGGCTATTTCAATGTTTGATCCAAAGACATTTATTGGAGTAGTAGGCGATAGCAAGAGTATCAAGTCTGCAAAATCAAAACGCTGGAGGAAATCAGGATATTACTAAGGTCTGTATAACTATATACCAGTGTATGACATATATAACGATATTTAAAACTACGGCTCCTAACATAACAAGCCGATAGACCTTGAAAGAGCACTACTGACAAATCTGCACGCCAACCACAAAAAGACTTTTCACTTTTAATTTTATAACAAAGTCGTATTGCTTTTGTACTGATACAAGAAAAGAAATCTCTCCATTAGCTGTGATGATAAAAAGCTATACGCATAACCACCATATCGTGACGATAAACACGATCCGCGTATACTTCGGAGCAGACTAAGATAATAGACTTCATGCGCATAACCGTGATAAATGATATCCCCAGGAAAAAATGCAGCATGCCGTTTGGTAAATTGGTATTATGCAGGAAAATAGGACTGGCAAGCAAAGGGAAACGAGACAGAGGAAGAGGATAGAAGGATGGAGAGGAACGGGAATAAGAGACATAAGAAAACATGGAAAAAAAAGAAACATTGAGGATATTGCCTGTCTTCGCCAGCGAGAGACAAGGAAAGCGAATATGCCGGAGAGGGAAATGAAAAAGACGTATTACAAGAATACAATCTGACGAGAGCGCCAAGAGACGTCGTGTGAGGATTCAAGAATCCGAATGCTCCATATTCAACTCGAGGTGACGTTACTCTTCGAGCAACTTTCCTAGGATCAAACTCTGCACGACAAACTCGTCGCCCACAATCTTGACATTATTCTCAAACGGCGTAGTCAGGGGCAGAGCCTCCCCGCGTCGGCGTTTCCTTCCGGCACGTGGCTTTTCGCTGCTGTTGTTGCCGCTCCAAAGGACATTCTCTACACCTTTATCCTTTTCATCAACATATACCCAGTCCCAGCGGCAAGCGGTCGTCTCTGCAGCAATAAGCACCTGCTTAGCTGCGTCCAGACTCGGCGCTCGGGATACGCGTCTGGCCCCAAGGGCATATGTGAGAAACAAGTACGCTTTACGTCGTTCTTCGGCCTTTCCTTTACCCATGACTAGCAGGACGGACCGGCCAGAGAGGAGCCGGGGCCGCGCATCAACGGTGGCAGCAAACGTGGCAGTGTCGGCAGGATATGGCTGAAGGATGCGGGAGTGAATAGCACCACCAAGGAAGCTCGACTCGCCGGATGGCAGGAGATACGGTTGCCAGTCGATGATTCTAGTTTTTGAAATGCAGTCGTCAATCCATCTTCCGGCGAGACAAGGCAGGCCGAGGGCAAGAGCCTGAATGTACTTTGCGCGTCGAGAGTGTCTATCGGTGATGAGGCAGACGAATCCCAGCTTTTCTGCTTCTGGTGTAAGCCGGAATGGGTTCGGAGAATCACTTGGTCGAGCAGCAGCAGAATCGCTGCCAGCTTCTAGGCTGTCGATATGGAAGAGTTCATCGAACCCATCGACCAGGAGGCGTCCTCCATTGTCGGCAATGTGTCTAACAATCCGCTTCTTGGCATCGTCATCGTCGACAAATGTCACTGCAAAAGCCATGCCGGAAAACAGATTACTCGTTGGTCTAGAGATCTCTGACTTTGCCGATTTGATGCTTGCACTTTGCAGAAGCAGCGTCGTCCGTCTCGAACGAGATGAAGGAGTCGTTGGTCCCGCAGTCTCCACGGCCGGGCTTGGTCTGGACGCAATTCTGCTTGAGGGGGTATACAGGCGGTCTTTGAACTGAGCAAACATGGAATTGGTGATGTAAATGGACCCAATTGGAACGCTGATCGTCCCGGTGCTCTCTGTCAAAGGTGATCTCTGATTCCCGCTCTCCTTAATCTTTGGCACGAGAGCTACAGTGGAGTATCCGCGAATATCAGTAATAGGATAGCGCTGGTTACCTTGTGCTCCAGAGCCTGTTTGCCCTGCAGGAGTAGAGTTGCGGGATGTAAGGTCCATCCTCTCGCGGAATCCAGCAACAACGTAGTTCTGCTTTCGGAGGTTCGGGAAGTCAACTTTAACCAAGTCACCAACACGAAGGTCCAGCGATCTAAGCTTGTGACTCTCGAGTGCCACTAAAGAACCATCATCGAACCGAACTTCATACTGACTGTCCTGCATTTTAGGTTCTACAGACACTGACAAGCAAGACGCTGGGTAGAATGCGGGAAGACTTTTCCCATTGAAAAAGGCAAAGACACGATCTGGAGCCTGGACTTGCTCGTCACCGGCTGCAGCTACGTCTACCAAGCCATTTGGGATTCCGTAAGTCGAAGTTCTTTGTTCGGCTGCGGAATTGAAATGAGGCTCAGATTGTTCCCGCCCGTTCGCCAATGTCTCCGTACCAGAGCATTGCTGATCTAGTGCAATATCAGGGTTACGAGCTGCCGGTGGCAGATTTTGTGGAGGTCTAATCTTCTTCGCATTGCTCTTCCCGAGTTTGGTGCGATAAGCTGAACCCCCGCGCTTGGGGTATGCAGCATTCTTCGAAGATGCAGCGTCCTGAAGAGGTTCTGGTTTATTGGAGGTTGGGCCTGGAAGCTCCTCTTCCAGATTCTCTCTGATTTGTTCTTGCGGAGCGTCCATTGGAGCTTGGATAGGATCAGAGCTCATTACAGGGTCAGAGTCAATCTCGCTCGCGACGTGAACTCTGCCATTTACTCTTCTTCGTTTACGAGAGGGTGCAACAGGTGAGGATCCCTCGATGACCCTTTGGAACTCGTGGTCCTGCTCGGACATCACAGAGATATCTAGGTCTATCTCGGGCAGAGAATCCCGTGGAGGCGTGGGGCTTGCTGCAATCTCGCCCATTCTTCTCGGACGAGGGAAAAACTCTGAGGCTAACAGCGGATTCCTGCCCTCCAAAGCTCCCTGCTCAATTGATGGCATGATATGTGATTTTGCAGTCTCAAAATCGCTGTTTCCGGTTCCTTGTAGAAACGAAAACCTCTTAGACGTTGAAAAGGAATCGGTTTCAGCGCTTTCGACACTATCCTTGATTGCCCGTGAAGAGAAGTTTCGAGCAACAGCTAGCTTGTTCACCTCAGGAACTGAACCTTGCTGTGGGTACCGGCTGGACGCAGGACTGGTCTCCGGTATGGTTGTGTTTGTATTATCGATGCGATCGACACTGGACGAATAGCACTGTGAACCACTTGGAGTATTCCAATTCCCATGGCATCCAGGTAATTGCGCCGGCGCAGGATGGTGTGGAACAGTGCCAGCAGATATGATATTGTTGATATTTGGTCCCTGGTTATCACCGCCCTTCTGCAGCATTGGCTTCGCACCGCGCCTTTCTTGGTCCTTGACTTCATCGGAAACGCGAAAAAGGCGGTCATTGTTGTACTGTGTACTCTTTTCTGTCGGGCTGCTGTGTGTAAGAGGCGGGGGAAGGGATGAGCTGATGATATTTGCCGGCATCAAATATTCTCCTTTGCGGGCTTTATCATCCCGTAGACGAATATCTGGCTGGGACTGGCTAACAAATAAAGAAGACCCGACAGAGGACGGTAGCGCAGGAGTATCTGGTGGTGGCGGTGATGAACGGGCCAGGGGGCTTTTGGCCGCCGATATAGAGGGCTGAGAATCCGCAACCGCAAAAGTCTGTACCGTATCATCCTGCGAATAGGACGATGAATGTAATGCTCCATTTTGATGTACTCCCTTGAAGCGCCGCTGCGATGCATTTGCACGCAATGATGTCGACCTGCTATGGCGAGATACAGTGGGTGTCTCATGAGAATTTGTGACTTGATGGTTTCGATCACGATTTGTGGAATCTGGTATTTGCACTTCAGTTCGGTCGATATCCTGCTCGTCCGGATCAGATTGCAGTCCATTCTCGCCCTCATTTTCCGTATCACTGTTGCCATCAACAGGCTCGGAGGAAGACCTTTGAGAATTTGCTTTATTTTCAGCTTCTCTCTGGACAGAGACTCGCCCGCTGCTTCTCTCCTGTGCCTGTTCACTAGAATGTCGCCGTGGGACGGTTATCGCCTTGAGAGCCTCTGTATTCTTTGCATCTATTTTTGCCTGCCTCCGGCGCCGAGCTTGACGTTCCTCCCAAGAATCAAATTCGTCGTCAGAGGAGTTGTTGTCCCGTTCTGAGGAGTGCTGTTGTCGGTCACGTTCAGCCTGAGAATCTTTCATTGAAACATAGTCATTCGATGGTTCGCCAATGATGTGACGCATCCGATTTGGCGCAGGCATTAAGGGCGAGGAACTTGCAGCCAGGCCAGGTGAATTGAACTTTCTATGGATGTCAGGCGATGGTCGCTCAGGGTCGGAAAAGGGTCCATGTTGAACTGGAGACGTAGGTGCTTGTGTTTGCTTGAATAACTGGCTCAATGGCATGATACCATTTGGCGTAGCTCCCTTACGACCAAATATGTCGAATGGCAGTCTTGGTGTGTCTGCCAAATTCTGGACTTCCTCCGAAAAGTTCAGATGGTTTGGCACCGGCCCAGGAGTAACCGGCATGAATCCACCGCGCTCCAAGGCCAATGAATCATATGGTTGAGGTTTGTCATTGGTATTGTTTGCTTGGGACTTTCCCCCGTCAAAGGCTCCCATCAGGTCTATCTGGCTCGTACCATCATCGAGGGTCTGCGGGGGTGACGAAGTACGAATCTCTTTCGCTCCGTAAGCTTCTCCAGCTATATTCCCTTCGCTAAAAGTCGCCGCATTTGCAGCAAACTCTTTGTAGACCCACGATCCAAGCGGTTGGGTATCGCCATCGGAGATGGTGCCGCCGACCGAAGGGGAGAAGGACTGGGGCATCTTCCTATGCTGCGACTCTTGCACAGTGCTAGGCAGGAGAGGCTGGGAGTGGGAATGCCTCGATCTCGAGATTGCTTGAGTCGCGCTCGCAATTGATGTCTGTTCTGTGGCCGACTCTATCGGGGAGTGTGTCGGGCGATCTGTGGGATTTCTGGCTTGTGGCGACAGTCGTGGGCCATGTGCGCTGAGTCCGCACAGAGCCACATCCAGTTGATCGCTGCGGCGACGATTGTTGGCGAGTCGTCCTGGTGATGATAGATCCTGCCCAAGGTCATGGTAGAAGTTGAACGGGTCATTCTGGGGGCTTAGCAAATTCGGGCGCGCTTCCCTCTGATCCTACAGGGAAGATGCGGTCAATGCAAGTCGCTAGAGATGCATAATCGCACGCCTCACGTTTCTTCTCCGTAGACGCGTGCAAAGGTTGGCAAACTTACCGTCATACAGGCCAGGACATCCTTTTTCAGCTGAGAAAAATCGACACTATCGGTTTGCGTATCCATTGTCATGCTGCATTGCGTCCGTATAGTGTTGGACATGCAATTTAGTCAATGCTCTTTCAGTCAAATTGTAATAATTAGACGCCTCGATTCGTGAGGCGCGCCTCAGTCTAAATTGCTTTCCGCATTGGGTAACGTCCAGTGTCGCGTGTTCATGTGCTCGCATTTAATGACTTCAACGATAGCACCGCCTTCATTACTCTCGGTTTCAATGGTTTTATTTTCATCCGTTGAGCAATAATCTTTGGTCTCTTGCTGTAGAACTTTAGTTTCTCAATTATAAGATCCTCTAATAAGTGGGTTGCAAAAAAATAAATAAATAAATAAATAAAAATTAAAACTGGGTGGTGGAGCATCTTTGGCCAGGCTAAATCAATTTACGCTTGCTCGGACTCATGTGTGAGTATTACCACGCGTAAATAATAATCCAAAAGCCCCGAAAATAAATACAAAAAAAAGACGAGGCAATTCAAAATTTGATAATCTGAGTTCCATGATTATTGTAATTCTTCAAACCTTTTAAAGTAATTTCAAGCTGACATGAAAGCATACTATCCAAACATAATGCAGCATGCTCCTTTGTTATCCCATTGAACAGGCATGCATTCATGTCGATCCAAAAATGGAGCAGCAGACCTGCTTCCTTTTAAGTGGCCTATACTATGAATCCTTAAGAAAGGCAAATATAAAAAAATTTTTATATAAAAAAAAGTAATCCCAAAAAGCTAAGCCCCCACGCTGATTCGAACAACGGACTTGTGGATGGTAGCTCAGCCGTATTCGGCTAACTGCAATCCAACACTCTACCACTGAGTTATGAGGGCTGTACTTGTTGAAAGAGCCGAGGATATAATGAAATATATCCTGTATGCAAGTCAATCCTCAAATTGTCCCGCTGGTGAATCGTTTCGGCGAGAGCCAGTTTGACGTTTCTGACGCTGTCGACACAGGTATATAAGAAGTTCCTCGCGGGGTATAAAAGTAAAAATTCCACAGAAGAAGAGAAGGGGATTGTGGCCGACTTTTTTTTCCTGAACTTCTTATCGCATTGATGGAACATGGGGAAGACAACCCGGTTTTGGCAGAATTTTGAAACTCAGGTCCTTATTTTCATTGAGCTGTACTTTTTCATAGTCGTGTCCGATATAATATTTTCCTTATTCGAAAGTTGTATGGAGATACAATGCAATGTAGAGTACAAAAATAAAATACATGAAAAGAGTCTAAATGCTTGCGTTATGAACCCATAAAAGAGGTGATTGGGAGGTATAAATAACAGCAGAGAATTCACCACATCGATGCATTGAAATTCCCCTATTGGCGACATAGTATGTTCCGGTCCAGAGTTGTGGACAATATTGCGACAAGATATAACCATACCATGCCTATGGGCATGTGATGTGGCCCAGAAATAACCGCCTCCTGACAAACATGCCATAGCTTTTTGTCCTGCTCCAGCGCCATGAACATCCATTCAGGCCCATCTTATAACTTTTGGCGCAACTCAAAGTAATGCCAATACGTCCACTCCTGGCTTTTGAAGCGGTCGAGTTTTTATCTCTTCAAGCCACGTCGCTCAGCGTTTCTGAGCTTCCGCTCGCCCAGCTTCCTCCACGCCACGAATCGGTCGCCGCGCTTGAACTTTGGTGTCTTGACACCAGCACGTTCAGCAGCACGGCCAATCTCCCAGTTAGCCTCACGGTACATATAACCGGGCCGTAACTCGAGTTGCATCGGCCGGCCCTTGCGGGCGGACTTCTTCGACCGACGAACGTCAACGACGGTGTTGCCCTTGGCAACAAGGTCATGGTCGACAGCACCCTCAATATCAGCAAAGCCAGGATCCAGCGCCTTCGCCGCATCGGTTATTGGTAGGGCGTTCATGCCGAGTTTTCGCTTGCGCGCCGCATGCTGTGGGTATGGAAGGGTATCTTTACGGTCGAAAACAACGCCAATGTACTGGCGCTTAGGGTGCTTCAGGGGATCGCGGTAGTATTTGACGTAGCCGTGGGCAGTAGAGAAAATCGTGTGGTCGCGGCCCATGCCACAGTTCTCGCCGGGGAACCAGTGGGTGCCGCGCTGGCGGAAAATGATGTTTCCGGGGATAACATATTGCTCTGATGCGTTTTAGTAATGGTTCGTACAAGAGAGTTCGACATTTGGGAAATGAATGGATAAAGAGAAACCAGTTTTAAGCAGATACAACGTACCTCCAGTCTTCTTTGCACCCAATCGCTTTCCGGGTCCGTCCTTGGCACCATTGGCGCGTCCGGATTGTGCGTGCGAGGCATTACGAGAGAAGATCAGCGACGGAGAGATCTTCGTGCTCGGCGCCCAATTTAATCGAGAAAGAATGGCTGAGTTGCTGCTACTTCTTTGCGGAGCAGGAGCGAAGGTGGAATATGAAGATGTTGACGAGGATGTTTGGCTCGTTGCCCGTTGGGCAATTGCCCGCATGCAGGGCCTCCCTACCCGGGGGAGAAGCATGATTGGATGTATGCAGGCGAATGCCTTGAGGGACGATGACAATCAAAGCCCGATCGTGGAAGCTAGACCTCTTGTCAAGAGTCTGTGATAATGCGGTTCATCCACATCTTTTGGGCGATTTCCGAAATCGGTCACGTGCACTGAGTTTGTTGGTGGCGCACGGGCCAAGTGTATATCGAAGTCGACACGGTTGGCATAATTAACCACCTTGATTTATACTATTACACTGGGGCTTGTATTTTCAACCAGTCAAACATATTATAGCAAGTTGAATTCAATTGGCTTATTGTTATTAGTGCAAATATGCGCTCTATCATTTCGCTCATAATATCTTTCCTTTGCCTTGCGCTCAGCGCGCAGGCTCAATTCCAATTCTTCGAGCAGATGTTTCAAGGCGGCGGACATGGGCATGCGCAGGCGCAGCCCCAGAACGTCGCGAGCGACTCGGATTGGTATCAGCGAACATATAATGAAGGTATGTATCTAAGAGCTATTCCCTGGGTTCGGCATCTGTCTCAAGATCACTTGCGCTGACGCAATCTAGCCCACTGCACAAACTACCTTTGCCCGGGAACTCTCTCGTGTGTGCATTTCCCACATCATTGCCCCTGTGCATGGCCGTCGAATGAAGACAAGATCGAATTGGGCGAGGGCAGTGCCGTTTGCGCATCCAAAGGCGGATACAAAGCAGGAGAAATGGCCCGCAAGGTCGAGCTGGCTAGAAAGGGCTTATTATGATTTTTTTGAAGGCACTCGTGCCATTTTTGATATATGCATAGATTTAGAACGCATGGCCCCGGAGTTGAACCAGCTTTAGGCAGTTATTTGGATTCATTAGCACTGCGTTTTGCAGCACAGAGCAGGCGGTTGTTCGATTCTGAGCCTGGCGTATGCTCATGGCGCCTGGTGCTCCTCAATTAGACCACCGAACGAGGCTTTTCCTAGGATAGATATTCAACTGAAAACTATAATTAAAGAGTCTCTTAAACCAAATATATTGAATTTAAGTAAATATCTCCTATAAATTCATGTCATGCAGCCTAGGCAGCTTCTCTCATATCCGTCATTGGCCTTTGGACGCTGAAGCTGGACGTGTCCGAAAAAGGAAATATAGGCGAAAACCATAGATTTGCCGCTCCGTCAAAAGTTTCCCATGAAGCGCTACCGAAATCTATCAGCCATCGCAAAATATTCGACCTCCAACGTCCTCGTTCAATCCGTCGCAGAAAAACCCCTCCCAAAAAGCCGTCAATATGCATCTCATGTACACTATGTCGCCCGAGGGCAAGCGCGTCTACACCCTCAAGAAGGTCAAGGATGGCGAGGTCACCAAGTCCGCCCACCCTGCCCGTTTCTCTCCCGACGACAAGTACTCAAGGTGAGATTTTACACCGATTTTTCTAAACCATTTGGAGTTGGAGCCGCATTCTCAAGACCCTATGCGCGAATATCTTGTCAATGCGGTTTGAAGTGCAGGGTTTTTTCTTTAAAAAGTATGTTGGCACAGGCTAATGCGGGTTATTTTCCAGACATCGGGTTACCCTTAAGAAGCGCTACGGTCTGCTTCTGACGCAGCAGAGTACGTTCCAGACTTTCTCTTATTTCTGATTTCTATTTTCGGTCGATCCGGGCGGGTTATAAGACAAATTGTGCTCTTGGGCTCCGAGGTCTTGACTATCCCTGCGATACCTACAGGAGTCTCTACCGGGGCAGCTACGTCGTCTTACAAGACCCGTTGGTCTTCTGCATGACAGAACTGGCGGAATCACATTTTGTTTGAATATATGGCGCAGGAAGGATTTATCCTATTATTGAACCGATACTGACTGCCTTTCGCACACAGACAACGCTAAGGCTGCCACCTCCTAAATCTTTCCAGACACCTCAATGTGACGTAAAAGACGGAATAGGCAGGCGGTTGGGAAACAATCTCCTTCAGTTATTTTTTTGGGCGTTGGTGTTCGGGAACGAAGATGGCTCGAAAAGCTTTGTTTATACCGGGTGTTCAGAATAACATGTAGAGAGGCATGGAATTACTCCGTCCACCTTCGCATCTCTCCTGGAAAAAGACCGTTTTTGACTTTTCTTTCAATGAATTGACTCTGTTTAAACCTCAAAATCATGCTTTTGTGATTCCTACATAACGTATATGACAAGTGTACGAATTTTCCCAAATCTGACCAACGCCTTGATTGGACAACGATATCAAGGGCCCAAGAATTCAAGCGAAATAGCAAAAGAAATCCTATCATGACTACCCACAAAAGACTTATGCAATGCACGCAAACAAGCTAAAAATCCTCCCAAAATCCATAATCGCGGCCTTAATTACCTCTTTCTTGAATTGACATTTCTGCCAGCTCCAACCCGGATCCTTCCACCGCTGGAAGCCCTCTCCCCCGTCAGAATACCGGGCAGAAAGTCGTCATCCATCAAGTTTCTCTCCCGGCGAGCTTGTCTTTCTTGCGTCGTCTTTGCTGTAATGTACTCTTTCTGATCCTCGGCCAAGAGGAGGGACTGTCCCCAGCCGCCTTTGCCGCCACCAGACGTGATCTTGCCGTTAGCAGAGCCGGCAACGGGTTTCGGGATACTGTATTTCTCGCCCCGTGTGTTCCACTGCATGTTCTTCTTAAGATGCAGCTTGAACTCGCCCGTTTGTTGGTTTGTGGTGCACGATACGCGGGTTAGTGTCGGCTTGCCGCACCTGGGACAGAATTGCTTCGACATATCTTTACAGATTTGGAAGCAGGCGTGGCAGCGGAGGACATAAGTCTTTACCTGCTTGACGCGCTGCAAGGAAGGTGAAAGAAGATTCAGATTTACCTGCAGAAGAACGTTCTGCATAGCAAAATCGGACGTGATGGTTGCCACTTGCATCGTCTTGGGCTCGGGGCCAGATGCAACGGCGGTCTCGGCATCCTTAGCCTGCCGCTTCTTGATATTCGAAGGTGTGATCCAACCTCCATCAGATTCGGATCCAGAGTCCGCCTCTACCTCCTGCTTGGCAGCAGATTTTTCCTCAGCAGGCTTTTCAGGAATAGACTTGGGCTCGTTCTGGGCTTCGGACGAAATATGGGTGTCGCTTAATCCTTGAGTAATTTGTTCCGTGGTGGCAGTTTTGGTATCCGCGGCCAAATTCGAGGGTGTCTGTTCCGATTCCGGCTTTTCTTTCGTCTCGTCATTTTGGGGTTCCTGCTGTGCAGAAGCGCTCTCTGAAGCAGTGCAAGCCTGTTCGGATGCCTCGGCCTTCTGATCTCCTTCAGCAGCGGGTTGTTCGCCTTCCGTCTTCTTCACCGGAGGGGATCCGTTCACACGCTTCTGGCCAGGAACCCTTCTTAGCCGCCAATCGCCTTCATTTCGCTCGCACTCAATTTCATAGGCCAATGCGAGGATGTAGATATCAGGTTTGCTCAGAACAGCCAGATCACCGGTTCGACGTGAGAAATCTTGAATGAACTTGATGCTTTCGGGCTTCGGATGCCGGAGAGTTAGAAATGGAAGGAGCGTAGTCTCGATTCTTGTCCGTGCTGCCTGGTCTCGAATTTCGGAAATGATCGAGGGGACAGTGACAAGTTGTTCAGATTGGGCGAGAAGCGTCGACACGGCAGGCTCATTTTTGATGATCGGTCCTGCATCAAGGATGACAGTGTGGACTTTTTTCGGAGTATCCATATTTACTTCAAGTAGATATCTCCTTGGGTTGAGTATATCTGAAGTGGTGGCAGGAGGGTTTTGTGCGGGGGTGTTTGTCGAGGAAATTCTGCGGATTGAACAAGAGTTGGTGGATCTTTTTCTCTCACCGCCTTCGCGCCTTCCCTCCGAGGGGCTCGTTCGAAAGATTTTACGGCTCGTTACAACGTCCAACAACGCAACTCTGCCCCGCTAACATCGTTGACATCAACATCAGTAATCTTCTATATCCAGATCCTAATTATTTGGCTGACCCCGCTGAGATTGATGGACTTTAGAAATAATGATTTCATGTCCTTCTCGATAATCTAGGCTCTTGAATAATGCTGTCATTATGTGGTTTTACAGCGAGATCTGGAACGAAACAGTTCAGGTTGGCTGGCTGTCACATGCTCTTTGCCTTTCAGTCGTGATTTCTTCTGTTAATTGTTTTGTTCGGCTGGGCTGGCCTGACATAACCGTTCTCATCAATGGCCACCAAATTATTTGCGTAGCAGGATGATGTCCCCAGTAAGGCCTGAATCTACGCTATAGTGCTGGCATCATTAACAGCGCTAGTACCTCTGCTTACAGGCCTAAGTCTTACTGTATCTCGATCCCCAACGACCCGAAAGCTTTCTAGAAACCTGATCTGCCGGTTTGTTTCTTGCAAAGAATACTCGTGGTGGGATGGTTCTACAGTAAAACCCAACACTAGTAGATCTACCGCTTTCAAGTGAAAATGATGCAGTTGAAGCGTCATTGTCGAGAATGAAGTGTATCCGTTTCTGAAAAAGCAGCGCGCTAAGTTGGCGAGTGAACCTCACTGGTTTCGAAGAATCAAGTCATCATCTTCAATATCATCTCCGCGAGATCAAGTCTAGACACATGGCGGAGGCGGAGGAGTATTTGCAAAGATACATGGCCCAGGCGCGGAGTCCCGGAGGGGCCGAACAATGTGACATCGCCAACGGCGCCAGCGGGAGACCACTGATTCAGTAACCGTAGGTAAAGGGGGATCTAACCAACCGTGATGAGCTAGTTAACGATCGAATACGTGTCTTATGCAGAATTGCCGCCATTTTCAGGCTCTCGCCAAGAAGAATAAGCGCCAATGCCGGACATGTTTCCGCATGCAACCAGCAGAAACAAGAGCCAAGAACAACATGGGTAATTTCCACCGAGCCTTTTCTCTGAATAGTAATGCTTTGGTCACAAGAGAACAAAAAGATACTCCTGTAGCGTAGTTCAAATTGATATAGCATACAGTGGTTTCTGGAATTCTTTAGTTCGGCTGCCAGATATATAGAGGAGCAGCAGTCGCGTAGACCTCTGCCTGGGAAATGTTGTTTATCACATTATTATGGCCTATCTTAGTCTCTCTAAGCATCAAGTCCAATAAGTGCAACGATGTATCGTTGAGATCGCCTTAAGCACATTCAAGGGTCGAAGTTCAGGTGGAACTACACTGCGGATCTTCCCGCATAGTTTACCGCTGAATTTCAGGGGTTTCCTGCTTGGCGAGACCCTACGCCACAACACCAAGGACTGTGCCACCGTGAGTTTCCTTCAGTACCGCACTTTTGCACGACAGGAGCTGATGAACATCTAAAATTGTCGTAGCTGCGGAATGTTTGATCTCTGCGAATGTTGCTTCGAGGCAGGTCATAGCTGTGAGAAAGATTCCCACGCCATGGTTGTCAGTTTCTGCGCTGTTGACTGTTCCGCCAAATCTCTCGCGGCTGGCGACTGCGAGCGCATTGTCCGAGAAAGGTTATAAGTATCAATGGGCAATTTGTAATGAGTGTGGGGCAGCTGCTAAACAAGGACGACTCTACCGTAAGTGCTGGATTTTCCATGCTGTCGCTGATGTCTCAGCTGACAAGTAATTTTGCCAGACTGCTGCAATTGAGAGGGGGATGAGCTCGAAATATGCCACGCTTGCTGTATATGCGAGCGGAGTTCGATTCGGCTTCCCTGCCAAGCACACACCCCAATTGCTCTTCGCAGGGGATATTTACCCACGTCAAAAGGGCCTGAGCCAAGCTTAAATCAACTGCTCATCTCGTGTAATGAGACCCAGCAAGACGTCCTGTAGCTCCACTGCAAGTAACCCATTCCGTGGAGACTTTTTCTGGCTTCGGATTGAGTAATCTTCTGCACATTCTGTCCATCGGGTCACAGCCTGGCCTACAGCGACTACTTCGACAGACTGTTCCCAATGCGATAATGATTGACTGTAATGTTTGCATGACTTGCTAGCGTGGCGCATCTGAGCAAAGCAAAATGACGGGATACCCTGCTCGAAGCTGCAGGTCCTGCGTCTGCCATGGCACAGTTTCCGCCTCGCATTCTATCGGACCGACATCAGCGACAACATTGGTCAGTTAGTTGGTGAAAAGGGGGATGAGGGCAGCGTTCGATGACTAAGCTGTTCTTGCGGTGGCCACTTGGGGAGCTTCTCCTTCTTTCTCAACCACCCGATGGAACTGCCCCTTTACAGGGATGAGCCATTGCCGCAGCTGTCGGAGATTTCTGGGAAGGCAAGCTAGGCCTTGTTGCCTCGCTGCCTCGTCCCCCCTTGTCCTGCGCCGTGGTGGTTGCTCAACCATGCTCCGATAGCTTGGACTCGGCACTACTTACCTCAGGGACTCGAGCAACTTCTCCTAGCGAGTTTGCGCAGCTCAGCTTAATTCAACCACGAACAACGCGGCATCTATCGATGTGAGCTGCATTGAACCTGATCTGGGACGGTGTGGCTCTGAGGCTACTGTTCAAAGTCAAGCTGCACCAATCATCCGCAAGAGACTGGTCCATTCCCAGGCACTAATTTTCACAGAGTTTCCGGGCGAGCGAGACTTGACATGGTACCTGGAAACCTCTCTTGTCAACCTTTGCTCATGATGAATTGGGAAAGAACGGGATAGAATCCAAGAATAAACTTGCTCTTATATGATTCCAAGAAGGATTGAAATGATGCTTGGCGTTACAACGTTTGAAGTACAACCTCTTCAAGCAGTCCTTGAGACGGAAATTGCTCCTACTCGATCCTCTATCAGTCAGCACAGCAACCAAATTTGACTCAATTTTGCCATACAAAAGGAACCCGTTTTAATTATGCTTCGTCTTTCGTTTTCAGATATGTCTTTTTATCTCTCTTGATTATTGCTTTTCCCTCTTTTGCATTTGCAGCACCACGAGCAGTTCATGCAGGAAAACATATTCTCGGGTATACTTCGGCCAGTGATATGGTTGATCCGGATATGGAGACCTGGAACGCGGCTCGATGGTTCGCGCTCCATGCATGTGTCCCTGCGGGCCGAACCGCTGCGGCTTAAACGCTCCGAGATCCTGGTGCACGCTTTTGAGCTTGACTGCCGGCGCCCTAACTATTTCTCGATTTAGTTTTCGTCAATCTAGATTGCATTGCACCGTCTCTTTTCTGATCGGCACATACTCTCTCCCTTGCTGAGACGCAGACTGGCCCCTTTTCCGGTGGTGGCATTGCTCTTCTCTTTCGTGCCAGAGATCTATTGCTTTGCTAATTTGACAAGACGTTGCCTTTCAAATTGCGTTGCGCTAGCTGACTGGGTCGGGGCCCGTCCGCGTTTTGCCTGCAATTTCACATTCTCTCAGTTATTTGGAACGAAATCGAGGCTAGGGATTTCTTCTCACCGGAAAGAACATATCTGCCAGAATGTCCTCTGCAAAATCTTATTGTCCACGCTCGCCTCGAAAATGCTTTGCACCCCTCCGTCACCCTCACATTTTCAGGCACGCATTTATTTTGGCCACAGAAGGTAGGGCGGTCCGCCACTCCCAAAGCATAGGCTGCTGGGGCTGGCGTCTGCTTTATGTCAAAGCTGGAAAACGAAGTCGGCCATCTCGCTGATGGCTTCATGCACGATGGTAACCTGCAGGTATTTAGCAACTTTAAAATGACCCCTTGATTCAAACATCAATAGGGGACATAGTCTGCTGGCGCGTCCAGCCGTTCTGTTCCATTTCCGTGCCTTGGCTAGGGCATGCTCAGGTCTTCTACCTCTAATCGTCGGCAATGCAGGTGTCCGGTTTCGTGTCTTCTCTCAAAATCCGGCGGCTTGAAAGCCGAGATATTTCCAACGGCAACCACTCCCTCCAGACGACAGACATTGAACAAAATAATCGACGCAAAAGATGCAGATCCAAGATTTCTAGGGTTTTGCAAGACCTCAACGGCGGTCCTACGATATGAGATTGAAGCCTTACACACGCAATACGGTTCATTCTTCCCCTTCCATTCCAGCCCTAGTCTGCTACGAGAAGGCCCCCTAAAGGAGACCATATCGGTTAGGCAGGGCTCATGGACCAGCAGTTCGGGCTACGGCCTACCGAGCACAGATCATTATAGTGCACCTACTACGGAGCTGGCTGGTCTTGCTATCCCTTTCCGTCCGATCTGCACGGTCCAGCAGTTCGGCGATTCGTTGTTGAGAAGAATTATGGGATTTGCCATTTCCCGTTCGGTCTAGGACGCGGCATGATGAACGCTGCAGTTGGCTTGATCAAACCAACGAAAGGAGCTCGTATTGTACCTTCTACATTCCATTTACTGATGCAGCACAATCATACGGGAAAATGGTCCATCAACTTGCTAAAGTTATAGAAAGTTTGGGAACCAATGGTTGATTCCGTTCGTCCCGCGCAGCTCCACTCATGGTTGGAATGACAGCATTAAATCCAGCACACCCAGCTATGAATAATACCAAAGTCCATGTCACACTAAATGAACCAGGGGCGGAATGGCGCTTGGATTTTGTTGTCACCTCTATATTCGAATTGATGGACTTAAATGTCGCTCTACTCTTGGCTCGACCGGCCCAATATTTGGCATCAGGGAGGATGGTACTGCCATTTTGCCTTCTACTAATAATATAACACGATCTGAGGAACTCTAAGATGCCACTTTATCCAAGTTGTTAATCATCTTGATCAGAAGGTTGACTGATCCCCTGAAATTTCGTCCCAAAGACATCGGCACAATGCCTTTTGAACGTATGTATCTTCAGATCCAGGTTCCTATTGGTGTACGCTATTTGGCTGGCCAGCTACTGCCAAAGAGATCGATATAGGAAACTCTTCCTTCAGCCCGAGCCTGGCGATTTGCTCGATAATACCCATACCCCTGTGACTGCCCATGCCTCCTTTTGCACCTTGACTCCTATAGGCCTTCCTGGCCCTGTCCTGCGCAGCTGATGCATTCAACACGACTTTGTGGAGGGTTGAGCGTTTCTGGGACATTATAAAGATCTGAAAAGAGGGGATCAAAAGATGACGCTTCACGAGCAGAAGTCCGTCTAGCTTTTGCAGAATTATTGTTCAATCATGGCGGTTAGTAAACGATTTCAATTTTTCTTCTTCATCACCTTCATTCAATTAATTCCGAATACAGGCCAACGACGTCTCCTTTCTCTTTCAGATTGATGAGATTCGACAAGTTCACCATGAAAATAGTCCACCTCCGCGAGCCGATAAGTTCGGTCGTTGGCTTCCCCCTGATACCCCCGCTGGTCATATCCAAGTTGAGCAGGGAATAACTGGAAAGATCTATCGATGGGATAACGGAACAATTTCTCCTACAAAGTTCATGGCCACTTCACCAGCTTTTCAACTAGCTTCAGTGTATCATTGCCAGAGCGTTTTCTACACCGTGTCTCACGATGTCAGAAAGGGAAAATGCGAAAAGGACTGGGGAATCCTTCGTTTCCGTCATGGTCCCGGCAGTACTTCCTCTCTAACTATGGGATCTCATGATCGAAGACTGGCGACGCAGAGCTTTAATCAGGCATGGGCCTGGGACCTTTTCCCCGATGCACTTCGCTCTCAGGACGTGACAGGTGATCAAGGCGGTCTCAAGGGAAATTTAGCCCTTATTCTTGCTCTGGCGGCATTCTCGGCTCAGCCCAATAACGTGGAAGACGCGTTGAAGACCGGTTTCAAGAAAGGTCATTGGGTGCGTCATAATCTACCTGATGGCAGTAAGTGACCAGTGCTTTCGACGTGGTATTTGCTCGATCTGAGGAGCTGATTTAGCTTGCCGTAGGACGCGACGAACGAGGTGTCGTCGTTTTAGTCTATGAGGACCCTGGCAGATCGTCCGCATCGATCTTGCGGGGCTTTGAAGAGGGCTTGGTCTTTGCCTAACTTGGCGAAACCACGTCGCTATGCTAAGACCATGGGTAACGTCTTAGTTCTAGCATAACAGGAGAGTGCTGCCTTTAACCGGCGTGCTGGAGTTCATCATGCTCCCCCGACGTAGGTTGATTTGCACACTTTCAAAGGTTCAGCAGCCGCTTTGCTCTTCTACGCGTTCTCGAACACTCTTTGAATTTGTTGGCCACCTCGTTAATCGTATCATCTCATGAGATGATTGCCAGCGAGGGGCCCATGTCTCATTTATCGTCCAGCGGTACTCGCTCTTTAATGCCCAACCGCCAATGTCATTCCTGCACTCCTTATGGCACAAATCCCCCACCAGTGACACTCGTTGTATCTAGTCTATTTTGTTGAATTAAATATACTTGTCTATCCAAGATCTTTTGATTCTCACCGCAGCTACTTTGGGGGTTTTAGAATCGCATATGACCATTGCATGGTATTGCATCTTTTTGAATTCAAAGCATTCTGCTCCCTGAAATACGGCTCTTGATTTTCTTTTTTCAAGATGCGACCCTGAAAGACTCCTGCTAGAGAATGGCTATGTTGCTTGAATCCAAACCGGCTAAGGTGAGTGAGTGTGCTTTTGGTTTTGGTATAGCGGTATGTAAAAGACTTATTTTTTCAACATTGTTCGAGGCGACACGTCGTGCAGGCTTATATATTTATGAGGCAGCATAATCATTTAATTGAAATGGGAAAGGAAAGTAATTTGAAGACCAAAATGGCCAATACATTTCTGTATGCTTTTGAGTATAATAGGTCACTGGGCAATGGGAGGACTCTTTGGCTATGTTAATAGGACCTGGGCCGATATTCCATTAATGGAGTAGTAAAGGACAAACGTTAGATTGTTGAAGTTACGCTGATTACCATCAATTTCTCTCCTAATGTCGTATATTTATGAATCAATTAAATCATTGGAATTCAAAAGAGCTTTCGCTATAACTGAGGAGAGAAACTCAACAAGGTAGCCTATGGTGGAGGTTGCAACCGCAGTACAGTTATGCGATCAGTTAACCGTATAGCCGATAATTTGGCTGTGTGTTTCGATTTGACGTGTTGGGGTTCCTGAAATGGCCTCCCGCAACCTACACTCGGTGGTTTACCCGCTGATCTTTCCATCCGCAGATCCCGCTGATGCGCGGTACAACGAGGGAGATTACTCCAACAGTCAATCGTTTCCCGAGAGTATTTCTTTTCTCTCGCCCATTGCTCTTTCAACACGCTCTGGTCGGGCTTTCCTATAGACTACCGTCTACTGCTTCCGTACCCCTGCACATTTCATGTGCCAAGGACCCAGTCGTCATTGACCAGTGCGCATGCTGGGCCCCATTTCGGCGTGGACAGGCGCCTTTGCGCGCACACTGTCCGACACCACAATTGACCGCACGCAAGAAAATGATGGGCCTCCTACTTGGAAGCTTATTCTAGCTACTATCTGTTTGATCTGGTGCATTACAGTCGCGCTGGTTTGCGCCGTGGGTTATATCCAAATGTATGCTGAATTGCACGCGAATTGACCCGTTCTCAGTGGATATGTAGCTAATGGGACATGTAATTCAACTATAGACAACGACATTATCTCTCGATTCCACGAGATGCTGCGTCGACTTCTCTCCCTCACCGCGACATACCGCATATTACAATTTTGCGGCCTGTAAAAGGGCTGGAACCTAGTCTTTACGAGTGTCTTGCGGCCACGTTTCGGCAGACGTATCCCCGAGACAAGCTTACAATCTACTTCTGCATTTCCACGCGCGATGACCCAGCATTTCCGGTCTTGGGGAAGCTACTTGCTGACTTCCCCGAATTCGATGCCAAGATTCTCATCGAGGAGGACGATGCTCATTTGCAGGCGTATGATTCGACCATGGGACCAAACCCCAAGGTTCGCAACATGAGTAGAGGATACCGGGAAGCCAAAGGGGAGTTGATCTGGATCATTGACTGCAATGTATGGATCGCAAGCGGCGTGGCAGGTCGCATGGTCGACACTCTATGCGGCTTCACGCACAACGGCGTCCCGGGGAAGAAGTACAAATTCGTTCACCAGCTTCCTCTGGTGGTGGACACCGCGGGAAAGATGTCAAGAGAGGAAGTCGAAGCGCGTGGATTGTTGAACGGGCATCACGATGGCGATGGCGACATCTACGTTTCTTCTACGAATTCATCCACTTTCGATATTAATCGAAACCGACCCTCTACTCGACTGGGCACGATATCAAGGATTGGAGGAGGCCGGCTTGAGGAGCTCTTCATGTCTTCTTCCCACGCCAAGTTTTACACTGCGATAAATACAGTTCTGATCGCACCCTGCATCGTCGGAAAGTCGAACATGTTCCGCCGCGCGCATCTTGACCACGTTACGTCGCAGGAAGATCCTTCAAGGCCCTCTGGAATCGACTTCTTTTCAGAGAATATCTGTGAGGACCACCTCATTGGCGATTTGCTCTGGCGCAAGCCTGTGCTAGAAGAACAGTACGAAAAATGGGGCAAACACTGCATGGTGTTTGGCGATTTTGTCATCCAACCTATGGCCGGGATGAGCGTAAAGGAGTACATTGCCCGGCGAGTCCGCTGGCTGCGTGTTCGGAAATTCACTGTCACAATGGCTACGCTGGTCGAGCCTGGTACGGAGAGTTTCTTGTGTTCCATCTACGGGGCATTCGCAGTAACAACGTTGCCATGGTTCCATCGAAGGTTGGGAATTCCTCCGAGCTGGACAGCATTCGCGGTCTTCTGGTTCTTCAGCGTTGCCCTCTGGGCTTTCATTGACTGGACACTGTATCGCAAGCTGCATTCCGGCGCATCCATTGCGGTTGATGGCTATACTCCGGCCTTTGCTCGCCCACCTGGATCGTCCTCCCGCCGTCCTTTCCGGGAGTGGTTCCTTGCCTGGCTCGGTCGCGAAGCGCTGGCGTTTCCTGTCTGGTTCTGGGCGGTGTTTGGAGGAGTCACCGTACAGTGGCGTGGAAAGCGCTTCTGGGTTGGCATGGACATGAAGGTTCATGAAATAGCTGGCCAAGGTGGCTACAGCCATGCTGGAGATCTTGCAACGCCGCGTCCCTCATCGCGGGGACGACGAAGTTCCGTGTCCGCGGCATCATCGCTCTCATCTTCTTCGTCTACTAGTGCGCCCTATGATGGGCGTTCAAAATCTCGGAGAGATTGAATGTCTTAAAAAAAGCACTAGGGTTTACTGTATATAAGGGTTGATGCGATGCGTACGTCGCACCGCACAAGGGAGACGTTGGACGATGTTGATGTCGAAGTTGAAGTGGAAAAGTTCAGCATATGAGATTACGAAAAAGATCCATTTAACATAACCAGCTTAGACTAGATAGCCAGTTATGTTGCACAGCATTTGGCGTTTTATAGGTAGATGATCCATCATCATGACATTTAGAAAGAATTTGCATCTGTTCTCCAACGTCTTAGACAGGGCCATCATATTTCTTGCTGATTGCTGTCGAAATTGACTACCCAACAGCTGTTCATGGCAAGCTCACAGAATTATCAAGTCTGAATGATTACATTCATGGATGTATGGTCCCTCTGACACCGCCCAAGCAACATAGCAAAATGCTCGGCCAGCTCTTATGGGACCAAGTCACAACGGATTCTTCTCCGCGCCTCTATATCGCAAAGTTCATCAATCTAAGTGATCTCCTCAAACCGTAATGCCTGGAACGAACAGAATGCCCGACCAGGCAGCCTGAAGAAATCGTGTTGATTTGCACTGTCTGTTGGGCGCGTTGGAGAAGAAAAAAAGAAAAGCAAGTTGGAGGGCGAAAAAAGGGAAAAGAAATACACGAGGAAAGATGGGGCGCTAGTCTCGGTGTAGTATAGTTCGAGATGGTAAGAATTCAGACAGGATGGAGCCCCGGGTAACTCAGGGTTGCGCTGCGAGAGGTCCCTCCAGGTGTCGTCAACACAACTTCTACAGAATGGCAGACAACGCGGGGCGGGCGAAGGATTAATAGTTGATGATACAGTCTTTCTGATCTTCCTGTCGGCATATTGACATCCTCTTTGACGATCTGATTTCATTGGTTGACAGCCATTCCTGTGCACAGAGCATTTATTGCTCACGCTTCGCGTTGCATCCCTAGTCGTCATCTCTCCTTGACCATGGCTTCGGCCGTTTTCTTCCTCGATTTGAAGGGCAAGGTAATTCCCCAGAGATTGCTTACATGGAGATTCATGGAGATTCCAAAAGAATTTCAGTGCCGAGGGGGGATTGGTACCGTCAAAATGGAAGACTGATCATTTGTTCGCAGGCCCTCCTTGCCCGGAATTACAGGGGTGATATCCCCATGTCCGCCGTCGAGAAATTTCCCATGCTCTTGAGCGAAGCCGAAGACGAAAGCTCCGCCGTGCCACCTTGCTTCTCTTCCGATGGTATAAACGTACGTTCTAACATGTTGAGCAATTTACCGAAGATGGCTTGAAGTGTCGTATCTGCGCCAATTGCAGAATGGAAGCTGTAGAAAGGATACCTAGCTAACTGCCCGCTCAGTATCTCTACATTCGACACAACAACCTCTATCTTCTTGCTCTGACGAAACGAAATACCAATGCCGCCGAAATCCTGCTATTCCTTCACAAGATTGTGGAGGTCTTCACCGAATACTTTAAAGAACTCGAGGAAGAGAGTATACGGGATAACTTTGTCATCATTTACGAATTGCTTGACGAGATGATGGATTTTGGATACCCCCAGACGACGGAAAGCAAAATATTACAAGAGTATGTACTCATTCTTCTTTTCAAGCGACGGGAAGCTCCTCCACAATGGCAATAAAACTTACGCGGCCTCAGATACATTACACAAGAATCGCACAAGCTCGAAGTGCAAGCTCGGCCTCCCATTGCCGTCACCAACGCTGTGTCATGGCGAAGTGAAGGCATTCGGTACCGTAAGAACGAAGTGTTCCTCGATGTTGTCGAGTCTCTGAACCTGCTCGTCTCTTCCAACGGCAACGTGCTTCGCTCCGAGATCTTGGGCGCAATTAAAATGAAGTGCTACCTCAGCGGTATGCCGGAGCTACGACTTGGTCTCAACGACAAGGTCATGTTTGAGACCACAGGGCGAGCAACGCGAGGCAAGGCCGTCGAAATGGAGGATGTCAAGTTTCACCAGTGCGTGCGACTCAGTCGATTCGAAAATGATCGAACAATCAGTTTCATTCCTCCAGACGGAGAATTCGAGCTCATGAGTTACCGTTTAAATACTCAAGTCAAGCCTCTTATCTGGGTAGAATGCGTCGTCGAATCGCATTCCGGCTCAAGAGTAGCCTACATGCTCAAGGTACGTTTTAGTCCTGCTGTCTCCTTTCTTTCATTTTGCATATAATTTCCTGGACCTGACAAAATCTCCTTGCAAACAGGCAAAAGCACAATTCAAGCGACGCTCAACAGCAAATAACGTTGAGATCCTTGTTCCTGTACCAGAAGATGCCGACACTCCCCGCTTCCGGACAAACATTGGTTCAGTCCACTATGCGCCGGAAAAGTCGGCCATCATTTGGAAGATTAAGCAATTTGGAGGCGGCAAGGAGTTTCTCATGCGCGCGGAACTTGGCCTTCCTTCAGTGAAAGGTGACGACGAGCATGGAGGCGGCATGACAGGCGGATTTGGCGGAAGCATGGGCGGCGCTCTTTCCGGCAAGGGCAAGAGACCAATTAACGTCAAGTTTGAGATTCCGTACTTTACCACCAGCGGTATCCAAGTACGGTACCTGAAGATTATAGAGCCAAAGGTGAGTTCTCTCCACTTGATGCTCAAATACCATCCACACGATTCTTCCACTCTGGCCACTGGGATATACAGTATGCTAACAGCTTTCTTAGCTCCAATACCCCTCGCTCCCTTGGGTCCGATATATTACCCAGTCAGGCGACATTGCCGTCCGATTGCCCGATGCCTCATGATAGAGTCTATAGTATACATTCTTCACGCCTTAGTTAAATCCATAGCTATCTCTTTCCCCCTACCCTCATACCTCCTTACCGCTCACCAGGAACTCAATCATCCGGATCCGTTCTCTTCCTTTCTCACACACACTGACGGCGTTGGGTAATATGCGTTATCTCTCATTTCTTTAGTCGACTCCAGCTCTTTCCAAGTTCTACATACCGTTACTGCTATCTATAGCCACAATATATCTTTTCACAACTTTTTATTGATCACATGTCACATGTTACTTGGTCAGATGAGTCTGATCTGGTTTCCGATACCGTGTGCTAGCATACCTGCCATCTTCATCCGCACAATATAATACAATCGGCGCTTTATCATTATTATTATTTTTCCCTTTCCTTTTTGTTTTTCTTTTTTCTTTTTTCTTTTTTCCTTTGTTTTAGTTTCTTTTTTCTTCCTTTATCCGTTAATGTCCTTTTATCAACCCTCTTTTTTTTTTTTTTTTTTTGCTTCCTTTCCTGCCATTTTAAGTGAAGGTGAAGATGACAACGACACTCAAATTTCAAGTCGAAGTCACAGTCCAAGTTCAAGATAAAACTCAAGCTTAAAGAAGCAGAATTCACACATTACATCCAGCATTGTCATTGCCAGTCCCACTGCCCTTGCCCTTGCCATTGTGATTGTCACTGTTAATGCCAATGCCAATGCCATTTTAATATCGTATCCATCTTAATTTCTTCTGTAGTTTGTTCTTGCCATGCCGACTCCGTGGCACGACACAGCTAAATATCTAATTTAAAAAAAAAATGAAATGTGGGATAAATAAAAGGAAAGCCAAATTCGCTATAACGCCAGTGCCAGTGCCAGTTGCCAGTAGAAGCCATTGAGATGGAACCGCAAGGAGGAAGAAACGAGTAATAAGGAAAATAAGGAAAAAGAAAAAGGAAAAAAGGAGATAAAGGTCATAAGGACGCTGAGCACCGTGTCTAGTACGGTAGTGTCTAGTACGGTAGTGCCAAGTACGGTAGTGCCGTCAAACGCTCATCTAATTTGGCCAGTTTATGCTAGCTACAGCGGACAATGCGGCGATGCATGCTGGATCAAGCAAAGCAATGCGGCAATGACTGAGAGACCAAGCAAAGTAATGGGATGGGAGCAGTACATGTCGGATCGAGTGAAATAAAGTATGCCAGATCAAGTGAAATACAGTATAACGGATCAAGTGACGTAAAGGAGCTATGCAATTCAAATCAAATCAAACTAAACCAAGCCAGGTTCAAGGTTCAAGGTCCAAGCCGGACAAGGCGGACAATGCTAAGCAGAGCAAGTAATGCAATAAAATATAAAGCAGGGCATAGAAATGCATACCAGGACAATATATTCATTTAAGAACAAACGAATAGTGTGAAGGAAGAAGGAAGAAGAAGGAAAGATAATAAAAAATGAGGAAAGAAAAAAAAGGGAGAGAAGGAACAAGAGGGAAAAAAGTAATCATACACCATCGAGGACGGCCCAGCGCTTGTCTGCTTCCTTGGTGCCTACTCGCTGGGCAATACTTGTCAGAGTATCTTTGATAATGTCCTTGGAATGTTTAGGGAATCTGCATCAACAATGAGGAGTTAGTTGTGGGATTTGGAGATTGTAAATAAATGAACTCTGGTAGGGGAATAGAGGGAGGGATTGGGCGAGCGGATGTATTGTACCACGACTGTTCCCGCGCCATACGCGTTGCGTAATCTGGGAAAAAGGAAAGGAAACGAAAAGAAAAGGGGGAAACAACACTGGAAAGGAAAAGGGAAAAGGCGAAGAAGAGACGCGGGGCAGCGACAGGGAGAGGGAATGAACAAAAAAGAAAAGGGCTAAGAAAAGCGAAAAAGAAGGAGTAAAATAAAGAATAGAAAAGTAAAAAAAGAAAAGGGGTAAATTAAAGAATAGGGACGAGGGAAGATACTGACCTCTTTTTCAAAACTTCAATGAGCCCCGCCTTTGTCAAGTCGCTTCCATGCACAGCCTGTTTGAACTCGACCAGTTCTTCTGGACTCAAGGACGCCTTCCTCGTGACTTGTCTACCTCGCGACGGAGTCTGCTTCTGCTGCGCAAGCGCAACCTCGTTTTCGGTACCTTGGCTATGAGAAGATGTCCGCAATGGACTTGCGCCGAGGGTATTGATGCCGGGATGAGGTCGACTTGCGGCGTGGAGAGGAGGACGGAGCATATCGGTGAGTTTGTTACTGTTTTTGGCTGATGCTGATGATGCGGGGCTGACGCTGGCGGGATGGGGTACAGATACTGGTTCGGGTTTCTGCCAGTATTCTGTAGAGAAGGGGTTGATAGAGGAATAATGGTTTTCTACATGATATTGATATTGTTAGCCAAGGGAGATCCAGCGAGCCAAGGAGGGCACAGATTGAGAAATTGAAGGGGGAGGAAGTAGAGTGGAACATACCGTGAATAATCTCCATTTTGTAGTCGTGGAGATTGAAATGGTCTGATGCGCGCTGCTTCTTCCCATCGCCTGGGGATCCCGCCCAGCATAACCCGGTCGAGACAGGTTCCAGATCTCCGGTGAGTAGGCGCCGCTTATTGACCGCTGTACCTGCTCCTTCACCCTCGTCATCGAGGAAACCTTCCAGATCATCTCCGTCGTCTTCGCTCAGCTCTTCTTCTCCTTCCGAGTTTAGCTCTTCTCCTTCTTCTGGCTCAACCCACTCGGCCTCGGAATCATAGTCGTAATTTGTCTCAGGCAGGGCACGTTGAAAAGGGTTGCGTCCGCGGCGGAGGGCTGAATCATCACCAGGTTGTCTACTAAAAGTTCCGACATACGGTGGTCGAACATCCTCCGCAAACCTGAGATACTTCAATGGTACGTCCTTGAGCATATCGGTAGGTTTCCGCGCCTTGGACCCATCCCCTGAGCCGGTCAAGTCGACCGGATTATTTTCTGAAGAACCGTGCATCTGAGCAATTACGCGGGCAGTACGGGGATACTTTTTCCCTCGCGGACAGCGCTGTGTGGTAGGAAGGTGTAATAACTCTGCAAAATTGACCGGCTCTAGGGGCGGTCGATCGCATTCAGCTTGCTGTAAGCTTGAATCAATCTTTTCTCGACCACACTGCAAGGCCTCACGATCCCTGCTGAACCGATTGATCGGTGCGACTCTGGTGTGCGGGTGCAGGAAGAAAGATTGGAAGTCATGTCGGTAGTCAGACTGGCGTGTCTTTCCAGGAGACTGCGAGCTGAGTCGTGATCCCGACGGCGAATTGCGCGCCTCTGGTGATCCGGCTCTTGGCCGTTCCGTTCTTTCAGCAGGCGCTTCAGGCGCAGCATCGCCGGACTCTGCCGCTGGCTTCGGAGCTGGCTTTGCAAAGAACGCATTCAGACGTAACTGTGCCTGTGGAAAAGAAGTCAGCGGCCAGGCAGAATGTTGACTATTTATAAACTCCTTACCTTTTCCTTTTTATTCTTTTCTTCCTCCTTCTTTTGCTTTTCTAGCTCCTTTGCTCGTCTTTCCTCTTCCTTCTTCTTCTTCTCACCCTCTCGCTGTAACTTTTCCACCTCGCGGGCTTTCCGTTTTTCTTCCCGCTGCTCATCCTTTTTCCGCCTCTCCTCCTCCTTGGCCCTTTTTTCTTCCTCCTTCTTTGCCCTTTGCTCCGACTTTTCCTTTTCCTTTTCCTCTCTCTCCTTCGCGCGCTCTTCTTTGGCTTTTCTCCTTGCTTCCTTCTCAGCTAGCGCTACACGCTTCGCTTCTTCTCTCTCAGCGAATGTCAACTTTCGTTTCTTTGTAGGAGGGGCGGAAGGGCTGGAAGGGCCCGCGACTGATTCGCCATTGGCATCAGTCTTCACAGGCGTGGGTTTCTCGTCATCGCTAGCATCATCGAATTTTGTTGAATCGATATCACTCAGCTCAGGTGAACTGAGTCGACTGGAAGCAGTGCTTTCGGGCGGCATGCTGCCGTTTCGAGATCCGTGGGCCGAAACCGAGGCAGACGAAGGAGATGCAGGCGTTGAAAGTTTTTGTTCCCTTGTGATATCAACGTCCTCCGCGGTAGGTTTGTCTTCCGTAACCATCTGCACATCCTCCTCGACAGTTTTGTATTCCATCGTCATAGCAACATCCCCATCGGTATCCTTTCTTTCCACCATCCTGCTATCCTTCTCCTCGACCGACAAGGCCCTGTTCTGCGGAATCGACGCGTCCAGAGTCGCCGCCGACATTTCCACAGTAGCTCGTACACCCCGCAATATGATTCCACCCCAAATCCTATTCCGGGGTCTTCACAGTTGTCCTTGGTGCTGAACTTGGACAATTCAATGACACCAGCCAATTTCCCTCCTCAAGATTTGCCTTGGACGTTCGAGAATCTTAAATTCCTCAGACCGGCAAGTCTGTAGCCTTGGGTTTCAAACACAGCAATATATCCTGCAATCAAGGCCCAACTTGATTCGAGCGTGCAGACGTATACACGGGAGTCGTGCAATTGTAACGCTTGCACACTTGCACACTGTGTCGCCAATAGTGAAATCTGCCAATGATATGGAGTTCGGTATCTCATGAGCCTGTTGATCCTGTTTGCAAGAAAAACAGCAGTAGTAATCAATTCGTCAATGGCAGAAAGTTGTAAGAAGAGAACGAAATGACAACAAGCTTTGTTGCAATTGTGCACGCGCGCGCCCGTGTCTATCACACTCTCGCCTGTCGTTGTTACGTTGCACTGGTTGGAAAGAACCCTTAATGATGGCAGTCCGCTAACGAATAACTCCGTACAGTGGAGCGCCAGTGTGCCCAACGTGCACTTGTGGGAATCATTCGCGTTTCCGACGCGAAAGGGGGACGGGGGGGGAGAACGCGCGACTTTGCTCATTTGGGCCTGTTTCGGGTTAAGGCAGATCAGCGGGGTCACGTGATATCGCGTCTGACATCTCCGTTACGGAGTACCTTGACAATGCAGTTCAAGCTCAAATCAAGGGCTAAAAGAAAAGAAGAGGGATAATCAAGGGTGAGGGGCGAGGCACAGATTTCCCATCTACATGGATTTGAAGCTACAATACACCAGGGCTGTGGTTGGACCGCTCGGCTTCGAGAGCAGATTACTCGGATGGCATTTTACACGACTTCACCAGGAACAATTTGAAGAGAGGGAAAGAGTTGTTTAATAGTCATCTGCCTTTTCAGGCAGCTTCTTGATTGCGTTGTTTGTCTGTCGGTACTATGGCTGATATCCTTGCCGGGCTTGCCAAGACGCTTCGCACCGGAGAAACATGTCGATTTGCTGGTGGTATGGCTTGAAATGGAAAAACTAGCATTAAGTGGATGACATGTCGCATATTGGCATGCATCGCTGGATGTTAATTGGAAACGAAAATGAGCAAAAAGAAAAAAGAAAACAGAAAATAAAAAACCCTTGGACCGATATGAAGCGCCGACAAGTGAAAAACGAATGGTCTCCCAGCGACACGGGATTATCTACGAAAATCAGAGTATAGACAAACGCCACGCCCTTGCCGAACTCCAGGGTAGCTTCCCAATAGCCCCATGAACAGAAAAGATAAGACAATTAATTAGCTGTAGTGGTCCGCAAATGCTCCTTATCCGGGGCTCTGAGAAAGCATGATTTAACCTGAGAAAGGAGATGCGCTAGCCATGGAAACGGGTCAGTGCGGACAATAATGTGAAAGAGGTAAAAGAGAAAATTGAGAATAGTATAATTTGCCGAGAAGAAAATGGGGGTATAGGCGGAAGAGAAAGGATGGTTTGCGGCGGGGAGATGACAAGATCTCTCCCTTTTCGGGGCCGCGGCTCAACTCGCATCAGGACATTCAATCACTCAGATCCGGGTTTGCGACAAAGAGACGGACTCCGCTGAGGGTCATGGTCCGATCATCGACGCTGCCTCTCCGTCTGAGCTCCTCAGACGTCGCTGTTGCTCCGTCGCTCCTCTGCGCAGGTGGGTTCGGGGTATAGTCACTCGAGCTACCGCTGCTCGCGCCTGTACTGCCACCGGCGAACGAGCTTCGAGGGCGATTGAAGTAGTCCTCGCGGGTGCCATTCGATGCCGGCGTCTCAGCCAACTCGGCCACGGGTCCAGTGCTGGTAGGAGTAGGCCCACCGGTGCTCAGACGAGTTCCGGGTAGTGAGCCACTACTGCCTTGACTGAACCGACCAGGCGACACGGCCGGCGCTTGCAGGCCCAGGCTGCTATATCTCCTGTTTGAGCCCAAGGAGCTGCGGCCGCTGCTAGAGCGGTGGTGGTGGTGTTGGTGATGATGATGATGATGATGGCGTTGACCGCCAGGTGACGGTTGATTATTGTCGTCCGCATCCTCATCACCCACTTCGCTTGCACTAAGGCGCAGAGGCACACCGTCGCCAGCCAGGTTTGCTGTGCTGTAGCCCACCGTCTTCTGCGCGCCATGATGCCGGATTCGCGAGCGAACACCAGCGCCCAGCATGCTCGACGTCGTGGATGTACGGGTTCCTGGTACGTTACGGCCTCCCACCACTTCAAGGGTTGCCCGCACCTTGGCTGCCTTTTGCTGCGCGAGCAACCGCGGATCCTCGTGCTGGGTGCGGTCGCACCATACCGTGGCCTTTTGCTTGCGCATCAGCGCCACATATCCCGTGGGGGAGCTACCGCCGCCGGAACGAGACGAGGTTGAGCGTCGAAGGGAGGCGGATGCTGAGGAGTTGGTCCGTGCAGGAATGAGGCCTCCGCCTGAACTGCCTGTTGTGGAAGTCGAAGCGGTCGCGTTGGAAAGAGTTCGTCGCGTGGGTGCGTAAGGATTTTGGTAGGTTGAGGTCATCGTCGCACCTTGCTGGGAAGCGGTCGCTGGTTGGAGCGGCGACGGTTGTAGCGGTGGCGGATATGGTGATTGAGATGCGTAGTAAGCCGGCGAACCGCGTGAGCGACCAGATGCACTCGACATGGACTGCCGACCCGCGGCAGTTTGTTGAGAGTCAGGCACAATCTGTGTCAGCGGTGCCAACTTTGAAGCACTGTGACGATGGACTGGAACAGGTTTGCGGTGCGGCATGGAGGCCGCTGGGCCTCGAAAATCGACCATCATGGTTCTCTGGTCAACCGGGTACTTCGGTGGCCGCCAAGGCTACCGAAGAAGCTGCCACGAATGGCTAAACTGTCAAACAATCCGCCCTCGATGCCTGTCGCCAGAAAGATTCCGCCTTCTTGTCCAGAAGCGATTTTTTAAAATGTCGCAGGAATCAATCGGGGGCGATGGCTTCAGTATACCCCGTAAAGTAGTCTCAAACGGGGAGGAAATGGCTTCGCTTGTTTATTCCAACTCGGTCTCGGGGTGAATGACCGCGAGACTTACCAGATGGAAGTTCCTCCAAGTGAAAAATCTCCTCCAAACCAATGTCACGGGGGAGGGGATTTAGGAGGAGGGAAGTCGAGGCAAAAAGTAGGATGGGTGAGGATGAGGAATCGAGAGGAACGACGATGATAAAGATGCTGTCACTGGTGGGGGGAAGGGATGGCACGATATATGCCAATAGCCCTCAGGTCTTCTCTCTCACAACCAGCCAGCCGGGGGGTTGTTGCGTCCGGTGGTGTAATAGTGTGAGAGGAGCCCTGTCGAAAACGAGCTGAAGCGACGAGGATATGCAAGACGACGAGCTACCAAAAAGCACAACCCCCCCGGTTTGAAGGTTCGGGTGGCCTTGGTGGACGAACGAGGTAGGCGAACGGGGAGGGAGCAGGTCGTAGTTGCGCTCGGTAGCCGGAAGCAGCCTGGCGATACGTGGGATTGGCCAGGTCGCAGGGGGCCCAGGACGCGGCTGACTGCCTAACACGGCCAGAAGACGAAACGCTGTTCCCTTGCAACTATAATGGCACAACGCGCTGTCGCTCTCCTTGTTTCCCTGAACGGTAGCAACACAAGGGAGCTAGTGGTCGATCAGAGAGTTTTAAGACGCCGTCTGCGTCGTATAAACACCAGCAGAGAGGAGCCCGAGACGATGCAAGTCGTGATTAAGGGAGAGAGCGAAGACAAGACACACGCCAGAAACGGAGTGTGGCAAGCTGGAAAAATCGATCCTTCCAGACAAGAGGACTGTCCTTCTCTTCTCTCAAACTCTGTCGTCAGATAGCGCAAGACGAGAGGAAAAAAATTAAAGAAGGGAAAAAATTGAGATTAAATGTCTTGGCTGCGCGTGGAGCGTGGACTGCACCTAGACTGCAGGTACCACGATGTCGATGTCGATGTCGGTCTCAGTTCGAAGGCGACTCAGCGATTGGACCTGATGCAGTGAAGAGCATTGATGCTTTTCACCTTCACTCCTTTTTCTTGCTTTGATATTCTCTTTGTGGAGTAGTAGCAATCGGAAGAGCACGAAGATGGTAGTGATCTCTCGTGACAGGTCGCCAATGATCAGACGGTACTACTGTACGCTGCTGCAGCCCACAAGACTGGTGCCCGATCAAAGAGACGACGGAGGCGAGTAGATAAAGTATGCGAACAGGGGTTCAATGGAGCAACTGAAGGGCAAATGATGCACGAGTAGGGGAAATGATGCTAAATAGAATTGAGGGTTGAAGTATGGCGGTGCAGGTGGATCCTCGGACCAGGGCGTGGGAGAGTAGTTCTTTTTAGTTGGTGACGGCGGGGGGGGAGGGAATCGTATACTGTAACACACTTGCTGCGGATGATTCTGTTACGGAGGTTTTTAGTCGACTCTGCCTTGGACATTGGCACAAAACCAGATAAGGCCAGTACTAAGTTTAGTGGGCCCTGCACAACATTATCCCTCGGGGGCCTTAATTTTCACAATTCCGAGACTCCAATAGAGGCAATTCCATAGATGAGCATACTTTTTCCATCTCGTCCGGTCATCAAATCACATTTCACCTTTTGCAGGAGCTAATTGACAAAATAGGGATCTGGCCCTCTCGGAGGAAAGTAAGAGGGAGGGGCAGGCAAAGGGAAAGGCCGAGGCTGTGTGAAGCATCCGTAAAAGGACGAACAAGAGCGGAACATGCACGAACCTTTCCACATCAGAAGGAGGAGATGCAAACTATCGCCATCGGTACCAGCAAGAAGAGGAGACTTGAATCAAGTCATACTTCTACCGTAGTAGAGAACACACCCGAGCCACACACAGCAAGTCCTGCCACAACGTGCGGGTTGGCCCCAAGTGGATCCGCGATGATTTCATCGCGTGTAGCCATTTCCTGAGTCGTCGCTCCTTCCGTCCCCGAGGCGAGACGGAGATACCGACCGTCAACCTGCGCCCCACCCGTTGACATCGTGGGAGGCGAAGTACCCTCCAGGTAGAAATCTTCCACCATCTTCTGCCCTTTCCTTTCTCGGTCTTTTTTTTCTCGCCCGTTCAGACTCTGCCTCTTGTACGCGATTTGAATCCGATCTGGCTCCTGCCAACTCTGACGGTCGCTCTTTCCCCTCGAGAGACTTACAATTTAAGCAATGAACGGACCGTTGTTTCGTAGCAAGATTAACCCGAAATTGGCTTTTCCCTCTCTCTTTTAACCTACAGGAGCCGAAACGAGCACACGCGCAGAAGAATGGTTAAATTTCAGACGCCGGCACGTGTACTACACAAGTCATTTTTTTTTTTCTTGGTCTGGTCGAACACAAACGAGTGAACTTCTCCTGCATAGATTAAATCATAGGTCGAAAAGGACTTGAAAAACTGAAACCTATGAGAATCTTGTCAAGTGTGATTGCCTCTTAGGCGAAGCTAAGGTACGGACAAATCAACTGGTGTGCGCACAAGTTACCTCGAACATAGCCATACACCGACCTTCTCACGGACCAAGATTCACCTTATCTTGCAGGAGGCTAGTTCACAGGTATGACTGCTGGAGACAATTATAGCTCATGGTCACATCACCTGCAGCTGCAACGAAACAATGACAGCAGCAGCAGTAGCAGTAGTAATAGCAGTAGCAGTAGCAGCAGTAACCAGCGTTCGCTTTGTCACAGTACACTACCCCTCAAAAATGTCCTTTGATTCCACCTGTCTCAGGAGCGATAGGCAAATAGGCAGCTCGAAGCTAGAGGCAAGAGCAACAGAGAAGCGTGCTAGATAGTAGACTCATCAATGGAGGATTTCTCGGGTATCTCACCATACTCGTAGGTTGACAGGGCGATGTGCAAGTGGGACTATCAGATCAAGGCAGAGAAATGCGTGCGAGTGGATCGCACGCACAGCGCTATCCAAAAGACTGAATCCCATTTTCTCCGCTTGCTGCAGGCGCTGTAGTGCATTAATTGCGCATGCTGCCCCAGGTTTGCCTGGTTGGGGCTTGCTGTAGATCGGAAAGATCGAGTATCATCGCTCAAAATCACCATGTACCAATGTATCGTGGGGCCCGCGGTCTGCGCTTTCCATGGGTTTGCATGTCGAATTTCCTGGTTCTGCAGTCGCGAACGCGCAAGATATGGGAAATTCTCGCGGCATTTTATCCAAGAATCCATTAGTCGAGGTACACCAGCGGAGCAAAAGTGCATGATCTTCGCAAGCAAGGCACACATGCTGCGCACGCGCTCTCGAGCAACTCTTGTAGTTTTCAAACGTGACAAGGCCATTTTCTCCCGTACGTCGGCGACATTTGCCCAAGCTGTCGCCGAAACACCCAAAGAAGTGTACGGGCCCACCTTTTTCCATTTCCGCGTTGAGCCGCGAACGAAAAGATGAGGTGGGATGGTTGGATGTCTTGGCAGTTGCAGAACAGCGCGCTCCGCAAAAATGGACACTCCGAATATTCTTCCGTGGTTGACACTCGAAAACGCAAGCAAACCAAGCTTTTCTCATACTGTTGCGACAACTTTTCGGGGTCAGGCACTTGGCATGGCAGGGTGGAATATTGGTACCCTGTTTCTCTGAGGCAATCGCGTTGATAAATTTTTGTAATCCTTATCCATAAAAGAACCGAGATGTTTGAAATTTTCTTTGTCAATTGCTTTTGGTTATCTTTGATATTAACATCACTTCCTGCTCTTCCGCATGTGCACAAGGTAGCGTCGCGCCTCAGGTCTCGTACTCGTACTGGCTCGCCAAGTCAAGTATGAGCCACAGTAGGAGTAAAATACGGCCGTCAGCCGCCACGCGCACACGTTGTTTGTAGTGTCTGGGTGACATGTTCAGAACCACTTGCGGACTCTCAAAGTCAGCCAGATCAATGATTATCGCATGATTACCACGAGGCTCATTTCGCGGAATATTTTCTCAGTGGCGTCGAAGATTGAGTCCAGACGAGGCTCGGCCACTCATAGCGAACAACAGTCTCCAAGTGTCGAGCTGTTCCCCACCACATCAAACACACTACTGTGTGGGGCCGCGGGAGGAAAATCAAGGGTGGGCGCTGAGCAGGGAACTGAACTGCTTAGTTACGCCTACCCGTGCTCTCCCCGCAGATTTGCATGGGCGAAGAAAGTATCGTCGAGCGCCGAAGTCGCACGTTGCCTTGTAGGATTGTGAGGTGTTGCGAGCAGGGGCCATTTTGCTCTTGCTTTGATGATCAGGGTGAGGTAAGGCCGCAGAGGTTAGGTAACATGCAAAACCAGGCGAGGGGAAGAAGACCAGGCCGCCATGACGGCGCATAAGTAACAGCAGCACTTGAGGGCCGTAACCGTTTGGATCATACCATCCAGCCATCTGAACATGGATATCCATACTTCAAAACCCAGTAAGATTGAGTAATCCATTCTGCTCGAAAACCCAATTAGGCAAACACTTGGATTTGAGTTATGCCTCTACTGCCATGGCTTGCGTTATTCTGTTGAATTGTTTCACATGTTAGTCTCTCCGTGATGAACAAATTCTGTACTTGCCTTTTGCATCTCCATCTCTGCACATCACTTATTTCTCCGGCAGAGTTCGTTCCTGGTTGATAGCCTAGTCACATGTCAGATACTTTGACCACTCAGGTCCAGAGCGAATCTCCCCTCCCACCAGAACGAGGCAAAGCACCTGCTTGTAATATGAATCTAATTAACATAGGTTCTTAACCTTATATCGTCAAATCTCGAAACAGTAGTCGAGCTTCTTTAGCTCTCCAAGATAGGTATAACTATACTGTTTGTATATGTCACGGCAGCTTGTAACAGCCTGAATGAGTACTGTCGGGTATACTGAACAACAATATTGGCTCTGGTATTCTCTTGTCTAGAGTAATGCTAGAAAAGACCTCGATGATATTCAACGCTTTTTGAGATTTGAAGTAGCATAAAAGCTTAAGATAATAGACTGTATGAAACAATGATCTTGATTACATGGGAGTTTCGGGCCAAGGCGGTCAGGGATATGCCGGCAATATAATACATTTGATTGGTGCATATCGAGGCGGTCAAACACATCAGGGGTGATGGAGGACAAAGGGACCCTTTCAGGCGGAGGATCACCACAGGCTCACTTATAAGCTGACGATCTGGGAAAACAGAAACCAAAGGACAATCATGCTTCAACTCTGGCAGCGGTTGAGCGCCCCCTCACTAGCCACCCAGAATCTCCGATTATGTAGCTCCTCTCAGCGAAAAATATCCGGCATGGGGCGCAATCCCAGCGCCATTTCGCGGCATCCGGTGCCTGAGAGCTTAACCACAGGGACAGATTCGAAAGAGTGGACCCCACGTAAGAATCATCATCTATGCTGAGCTCGCATTACCTGGAGGGGTGTTGTGTCACTTAGTATTCATTTGTAGGATACGATCCTTATTCATACACCGGTGGAAGATGGCTTAATCGGGATGAGCTCCAACGAAACTCTCGCCATATACCGTTTGACTTCTCTGCACTTTGTAGCAGAGCTATCTCTCTGTGCCCAGGAGCAACCAATATTGTCAAAAATGAAAAGAGAGAAGGGGGATTTAACAGAGTCTTCCTATTTACAATGGACAATGGTTCTTGTGTTGTGGCAAGGTTACCAACCAGTATTGTCGGCCCACCGAGGTTAACAACCAACTCTGAAGTTGCAACAATGACGTATTGTAAGGCTGATTTATATAAGTACCTCCTTGAGGGTGCAGCTGGCATGCATCATTAAATGCTGATTTTTCATATAGTACAATCCAAAGACTTGCTTCCAATACCAAAAATCCTTGACTGGAATGATGATCCGTTGAATCCAATTGGCACAGAATATATCATCCAGGAGCATGTACTCGGTATTCAGCTGCACCAAATGTGGCCGACAATGAATTCCGTACAACATATGCTGTGCACCAAGGCACTCTCATTGGCAATGAAGAAGATGTCGTCTTTGGACTTCCCGACCTATGGCAGCCTTTACTTCTCCGATGCGCCACTAGACTCGCACATGAAAATCCCCTTTGAGGAGGGCTTTTGTATTGGACCACATTGCAGTCCGGTTTTCTGGAACCGGAATCCAGGGGAACTTGAGCTCTACGGCGATCCCAGTCCCAATTGCGGTCCTTGTCAGTTTTTGCCGTAGTCCATACTCTCCCGAACGATAGCTCTAACACAATGGGTACGAAAATTAGGGAAAGACCTCACAAGCTATTATCTAGGCTTAATAGAGACCGGTTTTTCTCGATTGCCAAAAGAAGAGGACACCATCAAGCGCGAGCTTATCCCTCATCAAGGATCCATTCAAGATCACATCCGTCTGCTGCAAATAAGTCAAGAAGTGATGCAGAGATTGGTCAAAGATAAGCGCATTCAGGACGCTGCTATACCGGTGCTGCTTCACCCGGATTTTCACAAAAGGAATATCTACGTCTCGGCCGAGGATCCGACCATCATCACTGGCCTGATTGATTGGCAATCAACGAGCATCGAGCCTGCATTTGTTTATGCCAATGAGACTCCCGATTTCGCTGCATTGCCCGAGGAGCTCGAGGAGCTCGAGGAGCACGAGGAAGACACTCTCAAAGACGAACAAGACGAACGGAAGGTTCCTGGCGACAAGAAACGAGAATGGAAAGATGCATTGATCTGCTATCAGACCTACGATGTGTGCATGAAAGGGCTTGCTCCTAAATTACGTCCCGCAAGACTACTTGATCCGACTTTGTTTCGTCTCTTCCATTACTGTCACACGACATGGAGAGACAGTGCTGCAGCTGTTCGCCAGGAGTTAATCGAGCTTTCAGCTGGGTGGACGGAACTCGGACTGCAGGGTTCGTGCCCGTTTTCTCCGACTGAAGAGGAATTAAAAGAGCACGCTCGAGATTATGAAGACTTTGAGACTGTCCAAAAACTTAAATTATGGCTCAAAAGCTCTCTCAATACGAATTCGGATGGGTGGGTCCCGAACGAGATATGGGACGCTGCGAGAGTTGCTCATCGCGCAGCGTATGATGAATGGATACAGACGGCCAGAGAATCGGAGTCTTGCGGCGAAGATCTGACCGTAGCGAAAGCGGACAAGTTGTGGCCATTTGATGCGAGATGACAAGAGAACTCCAAATGTCTGCCGGGCATACTATACTACGGTATTGTAATGATTAACGGAATCCGTCCCGCGCCAGAGAAGCACGCGGAAAGGCACAAGTGTATCCCTGTAATGATTTCCATCCTCTGCTTGGCTGCTCTACAGGGGACGAACGGGATAGCGACAAGTGATATCAAGCCCGGTAAGACATGTGGCTATATGACAAGGTACCTACCTACTCTTTAATATATTTTGCAACCAGTGGCGCCCTTGAAAGATTAGATCAAACTCAAACTCAATTGCCTCGCCATGTTTTTTGTTTCCTAGGTAGGTACGAGGTGATCTATTATACCGAATTCGTCAAATGTTATAGTTAAGCTAGGTAAGGTAAGTTAGTTAACGGATGGATACCCTGCTCGCGGGATCTCGTTGGTCAACCGCCAGGCCGATCTGCTTCCATTCAGCCTCCAGCCTTCAGCCTTCTCGAACTTTAGTTTTCTTTTCTTTCTCTCTCTGTATGAAGTAACACTTAGCTTTGTATTTCCCGATACGCTCGCTTCAATCAAGAGTTACTCTAAAGTTTACAGCCACAGCGCAGCAAAAAGTTACTTTAGTTACTTTCTTATCCTCAAATCCCCCATCCTAATCCCCAATTGAAGTTTGCGGCGTATTATGTTATTTCAAATCGTTTCCGCGCAGAACTTAGCTCAGATCAGTTCAGCTCAGCTTAACTCTCCCTGACGAAAGCCGTATCTCTAGTCCAAAAATCCAAGCGTATTCCGCTGCTTTAAATCCACGGCTTCATGGCTTTGGGCTACATGGCTTCATAGTTTTATGGCATTCTGGCATTCTGGCTCTCAAGGTTCTAAAACTCCACATTATGCTGTCCTATAGCTCATAGCTACGGGTAGTGTCAGACCGTCAGACGACGTGCGGATGAAAGTGGGGCAAGTTATCGGTTGCCTATCCTCCAGTGGAGAAGTGTCATAGAACGTTGCTGTTAGAATGAGATATAGGTACCTTCTAGACCATGTGGTGGCGCCATTCCCCACATCTCCAAAGTCGCATTTAGTATAATACTAGGTAGGTAGGTAGTTATAATACTAAGATAGGCCAGGTAGGTAAGGTAAGGTAAGGTAAGGTAAGGAACATGGAGCTACCAGGTAACGTAGTACATGAAATATGGCTCATAAGCGTTAGACATCAGGCGTGGGCGTGGGCGTAGACGTCCAGAACATTATATATCAGTAGTTTTAGTCTAAGTGTCTGTGGCTAAGCGGGGCATAACTTATCGTGAGACTCGACTATATACCTTACCTACCAACGCCAGGACACGAATGTGTCAGTGGGGTTTCCAAGGTAAGTCCCAGGGTACGCTGTAGCTTCTCATGGAAGCCGAAACGACATACCTTTAAAGGTACTATGTAGGGAAATTGTGTGATTGGGAGATAATCTTATCGTCGAAACGTGAGTCGTGGATCATTGAGCAATGGGGTCGCTTCTGGTCTGTGACTACGGAGTAACTGACCCTGGAGATGAGATCCTAGCACTTCCTCCTCCTCCTCTTAATCTTCTTAGCCCCCCTGACCGAGGGATGAACCAGCGTCTTGACATTCTGCCTAAGCGATTACTGTGATCTACCCCGCCGTCTACCATCCCCCGTCCCCCGCCCCCTCCACAAGGCCATCTACCTTAGGTAGGTAGATAGGTAGGGTATAATAGTGTCATACACCAGGCAGTCTAATGTAGGTAATTATTCCGGGGTATGTCTATACTGTAACTTACCTACCTTACCTTAGGTAGCTTAGGTATATCACTCCCTCCCCTACGCTCCCCTCCCCGTCCCCGCAGTATCAGAGTAGGTAGGGAGGGGTTTGACCTTCGACCTTTGACCTTCGACCTCACCTTCGACCCTGTCAAACATACAGAGTACGAAGCTACCCTGTGGAGCTCCAACGTCTACCGTTCAGCCAACGCCCTGGCCCGGTGTTTGTCACTTTTCTGAATTGTCCAGATCTCACTGACTCTACCTCTTATGAACTCATACTTTCTTTTTCTGAGGCTTGAAATACAATCATCAATTCATCAATTCATATGTAGTCATATCAGTGCATCAGTGTATCAGCTTATTAGCATTCAATGTATCAGCCACATTATTGCCTTCTACTTGTCTGGTATTATATCCATAATCCTCGTCATGAGCCACCTGTGACCTGCACAGTATGCATTCATGCATTTCCCTTCCATGTAAGCATTTTTTCATGTGCATATATTTGTTAATTGTTAGTTGTTAATTGTCATTGTCTACGGTAGGTCTGTTAGAAGGTAGAGAGGTAGTAGGTAGGTAGATACTTTCGTACTATGTACTGCAAGGTTGTTTCACCATGTATCGGTTTACCTTGTCGATGCATAAAGCCAAGGACTAAGGACTAAGACTTAAAACTAAGAACGTGATCATGGATAATAACTGTAAATCAACGTGTCATAGGTACCTATAGGTAGGTGATTTGCTTGGATTTGGGGAGTGGGGTTTGACATGCGCTGGCATCTGGCATCCGGCCGACCCCGCAGTCCGCCGTTAGCAGTCTGCAGTTGTAGCCCGCAAGGACGTCGAACCCTAGAGACGTCGAACCCTGGGACGTCGAACCCTGTTACATTCTGCAGAGAGCGTACCGTAGGAGAAAGAAGAACATAAAACGCAGCCATATAGTCCTACATTCATCCAACCATCCAACCATCCAACCATATAGACCTACAATTATGCAACCATGCAAACGTACAAATATGCATTATGCAAACATGCCGCGCATCCCGCCCAAAGGCCAGCGTATCGGAGTGCTTTCCCTCTTCCCCACTTCCCCCCTGGACCCCTGAAGTCCCCCGAGGTTCCATCATGTCCGAGAAGGTCTCTAAGGTCCCTAAGGTCCGCAGGGTCCAGCCAGTGGGGGCCAGGGGGGAGGGACCACAGGGAAGGAGGATGGAAGGAGGATGGAGGAAGGAGGGAGGGAGGGAGGAGGATGGAGGATGGAAGATTATCAAAGGTAACTTACTCGGTAGTGGTAACTGATACAAAGTACTGTATTACTGTGAGAGCAGCATTTGCTGGCTGGACTGCATGCACGAGAGGGAGAGAGAGAGAGATGAACGGTAAATGAGAACGAGGAATAAGGGGCATAGTTCTAACATCATCATGACTACTGCAACACTGGCTCGACTGATTACCGCTGCATAACATAGACATCCGGCTGCACTGTCCTGCCAATGACATGTAAAAATACCAAGGTATATAAAATAATATCATCTACGTCTGTTCTGCTAGAATATGCATGCTACCTAATAAGTCTATCCAAATATCCAAAATCAAAGACGTCGAAATTACAAGGAAATGATAACCACTTGATAACTCATTAGAAAGAATCTGATCAAGCAAACTCCTGATCGACTTCCTCAAAGTAGTCGTAAAAGCCTGCAAAGACCTTGACACCAAGACCGGGGTCCAAGCTACCAGTCGTGGCACGAATACTGTGCATCGACAGCTGGGGAATGCCCGCGTCGAGGGCGCGGATGCCAGTCTTGGACGAGAGCATGGGACCGACGGTGCCGCCGCTGCGGGTGTCGTTGCGGATCTGGAACACCTGCAACTTGGACCCGCACTTCTGCGCGACGCGCTGGAAGATTGACGCCGACACCGCGTCTGTGGTGGTGTTGCCATTGGGGTCGGCTTCAATGGACACGCCGACATTCAAGCGGGGCGCATGGTTCTCGAGGTAGACCTGAAGGAAGTTGGGATTGACAGCGTGTGTGACGTCCGCAGAGACGAGGAAACTATTGGCGTAGGCCTGGGAGATGAGATTGGACCCAAACGTCTCCGGGCCAGCGAGTCCTTCTAGAGCCCGTTCCAAGACAGAAGGCAGGAAGTTGCCAAAGGCGCCCTGACGGAGCTCACTACCAATTTCCTCGTCATCAAATAGGCCGAGCACTTTGATGACACCGCTCTCGTCGGGGCCACCGCCATAAGAGTATGGCGAAGAGCTGGAAGACGTGGAAAGGAGAAGGGCCTCAAATGCAGCGTATGAGCAGAGCTTGTCATCGATGCGGCCCGCAAAGATGAACTCCTTGTCCAGGCCTCCGACCTGCGCTGGCTGAGTATCAAAGAGCTCCAGCTCCCAATTCACAATGGTGCTGACTGCATGCTTATTAGACTTTGGGAACAAATTTGTTTGCACATTCAGGAGAATTCATACCGTCATCAATTTCAAGTTCCTTGGCAATAGCCTTGACAAGGCGCTCGGGTTGGGTAGCCGCGAATGTGCCTTCGCCGCCGAGGATGCCCGCCTTCCAGGAGTTCTCCTGTTCAGAGGAGCTAGAAGAGAGGTCAGAGTTGTCTAAACCAATGATGGGCACCAATTGTGTCTCCTTGTTGAAAGGCCCGCTCGTAGGAATACCAAAATGGGGTGCCAATGTGGGAATGCGAGCAACTGTTTGAGTTTTATTAGCCAGATGGACAAGCAAAATAACGGAATGGGGCTTGAATACTGGGCCAGCCCAACTTCACGAGCTTGGTGACAATCTTTCCAGACTTCTCGTCCCGAACCAGAACTCGGCCTCCAATCCCCAGGTCCCGGTCGAACCATGTATTGTTGAGACCACCCGCATAGGGTCCAACGCCTGTGACCAAATCAGTAAATCTAGTTTCCTTACTGGCACTCCAAAAGGGTACCACGAAAATCAAGAACCAATTCGGGTACTTACCGAGCTGTACAAAACCAGCCTTGGTTTGGAGTTTGGGAATGGGCTTCACTGTGGAGACACCCAAATTAGTTGACTGTTCCTTACAAGCCGCCGAAATGCTCTCATCTTTCAGTACGAAACAGCAGATAAAGCGTGACGATAGGTTAACGGCCAGCAGGTATCAGAAAATGACTCACGTCTGGCGGTCAAAGCATCAATGTGGCCGGCAATGATCGCTGCTCCATTTCCAGGCTTATACTCTCCGCCGACAACGAACGCAATCAGACTACTGCCGTTTCTCTCAACAAGGTATTTGCCGCCCTTCTTCAGCTTGCCGCCAGTCCAAAGCTCGCGTTCGGAGAGCTTAGTAAAGCCATTGTCCTCCAGCTTCTTGCTGAAGTGAGCGACAGCATGGAAAACCGTAGGGTTCTGTGTCAAAAAGTCCATGAATGGAGTAGTATATGATGCAGGCGCAATCGTAGCGGAGGGCTTTGGCTGAGGGGGGCGGGCTGGGACCGATGAAGCTGTCGCATTATAGGACCGCTGGTCCATCTTGGCCTGCTCCTGCGAGGTTGTGGGATACGAAGATTGAGCAGGCCGAGTCAGAGCTTCTTCGTAGCGGTCGTTCCGAAGACGCATCTCCTCAAGCTGCCGCCTCATCATCTCATTCTGCTCCTGCTGCACGGCATTCTGGGCCAGCATGGTCTGGTAGAGAGTAGTGATGTCCGTCCCTGACTGGCTGCTGACAGGGGGAAGAGGAGCCTCGCGAGGGGCCGAAGTAGGATCGTACTGAAAAGGGTAGTTCTTTGTCATCTTGCTGGCAGACCTGTTTGTCGGGGATTAGTATCCATTGTTGGAAGTATATCAGGGACGAATATACGAACGCACTCAATTCTGTTATAATTGCGGGGAAAAAGACGCGGAATTCGCTCGTCAAACTGTACGCAGAGAGCTTTATGATTCTGACAATGAAAGGATTGCGGACGGTGCGCGTGAAGAGGACAGGTAATGTGTCTCAGAGAGAGTTAAGAGGACGCGAGAGGAGGTCGAGTTGTGCAGGTGAGTGTGTGAGTGAGTGACACAGCTGGAGCTCAGGAAGAGCTTCCCTTGGCAGCTTAGCTTAACCTTCATTAGCTGGTTTGTTCAGGTAAAAACTGGGGCTGGCTGGGCCGAGACAGGGGCAGCCCGATCGATAGCGGGTAACCATGCGCGCAATTGATAAGCCTCATGGTGTCATCCAATTCGGTATCGGCCGGCGATCACGAAATACACTGATCGCTTGAAATCCGTTTCCTCATAACTCAGCTCAAATGCTCAAGAACTTGACATATCGTACTTGGTGACAAATAAGTACATAGTAATGTGCATATAGCCCATTATATGTGCTCGCCTTTTGAAAGACGAATGCATGACGACGGAAAACCAGGCATATTGGGATGCATGCCATATAATGCGAAGACGGAAATGCAAAACCTCAATTAGATCTGTGTAGGGTATCTAGAATAGATAAAAAAAAATATATATATATACACAAAAATTTCATTTCCAAATCGCCTTATACCACCGCTTCTTGTCTTCCTCAGGACCTTGTCCTTCTTCCTCTACGTTGTGCTTGCCGACAATGGCGAGGAAAACTTCATCCAAGCTTGTTCGAGAGACCGAGTAATAGGCCAACCCAAGCATATCCTTGGACGCCTCGAGCAGAGCAAAAAGTGCGCTGACTTTGCATGCCATAGGTGCTTGATATTCCACAACGTCATCTTGTCCCTTCCTCGCCACCAGGTATTCTGTTCCAGTTGACATGGCGGGAACACTGAAACGCACTTGGCCATGAAAAGTTCGATCTTCCACTTCTGCTCCAGGAAAATATTCATAGATCCATGTTTTGATGTATTGCATCTCCTCCGGATCTGTGTGGGGCGCGCTTTTGGTGACCAAATGAACATAGTACGAGCTTCCATATCGCCGGCGCAGCTCATCGGCAGTTCCAAGCGCCAGCATCTTCCTTGCCATGATGCCTGCTCGGTTCGCAAGCGCATCAGCCTCCTCCATTGAGTGTGTAGTCAAGATGATTGATCGACCAGGGATCACAGAAGAAAGTGTTTCCCACATCACACGCTTGGAAGCAGCATCCTGTTTGCCCATCATTAATTAGCAAAAGAGAGATCTCGCGCGTTCTCAAAAACTGGGACTCACCATTCCAGATGAAGGTTCGTCCAACAGGACGACACTCGGGTTACCCATTAGTGCAATACCCAAGCTAAGCTTCCTCTTGTTACCGCCTGACAACTTGGCAGCCATACGATTCGAGAACTGCGAGATACCGACAGCGCGCATAATTTCTTGAACATTCCGTTCAACGTCAGCAACGCCTCTGATGCGAGCATAGAATCGAAGGTGTTCGCAGACGGTCATCTGATCAATCGCATCCTGCAGGATTGTTAGCACAACCAAGGTCATGGCCATAGGGCGAAACTTACAAACTGCGGGCACACTCCCAGTCGCTGTCGCGCAAGTACAAGATGCTTGTTGAGCGAGATATTATCAATGAACACGTCGCCATGATGTGATGGCCGAATATCGCCTCGGATCATGCTGATTGTCGTAGTTTTCCCGGCACCATTAGGCCCAAGCAAGGCAAAAACTTCACCCTTCTTGACTCCGAAGGAGATATTCTGGACGGCGGCAAATTTCCCAAAGGACTTGTTGAGATTCAGTACTCTCAGGCCATCGTCCGCCTCTTGGACACGCTTTGCTTCATTGATGACGTCTTGATCCTGAGTGTTAATCTCCTCGATATCCTCAACACGTACTGGCCTTTGAAATCGAGCGAAAATAGATCCATGATCCCATCTAAGTAGAATAGCGAACAATACAACTCCCTGAATGATGAGATAGAGAATTGGTCCACCATAAACAGTGATGCCGGCGGGATAGGACACAATTTCTTGGTTCCGACAGAGAATGGAAAATAAGTTGAGGGCGAGGAGAAGGGAACGCATAAGATTGCCCGAAGGCGTAATCGCAGCGATCGTAAAGTGCACAATATTGACTGTTTGAGATACGATCTGGACGGGCGCATATGTAAGAGAACACATATACCCGATGAAGTATATCAAGAACATGACACTGTATCCGAATTAGTTTTGAGAAAAGTTCCCTGTAAACAGAGGAAGAACCTACGCTTGACCGCCAGCAGAGAAGGCAAATGCCGCAAGCTGGGACGGTGCGAAGAGAGAAAGCACGTAGGAGAGCAAAGTTGATGTAAGTCCGTAAAGCAGGAAAATCAAAAAGAGATACCCGACATGGAACCAATGGGAATAGAGCGCAGCAAATAGAATCGAGACAATGGCACTGATGACCAGGATCAAGATAGAATCAAAACCGAAATGAGCCAGCCACAATGGCAAACTGCGCACACCATTACTATAATGTAGAGCTCGCACATTGTGGAGGCGCTCCATGGTAGGATATAGTGCGAGGAATGCTGGATAGACACACATGGCGAGGCCAAAATAGAGAATGAGTTGTAGTGGATCTTGGGTGTTTGGTCTGGAAGTAATCAGCAGCTGTCAAAAGTGAATAAATTCAAAAACTTACTGCCAAGATATCGGAAAATTAGTATATTGAACACCTATGGACATGTTCCCTACAATGTTATCGAACATGTTTTGCACGGCGACAGCATTCTTCATTCCTCCATTTGCCTTGTAAGCGAAAACAGGTGTGGAATTGTCGAGAAAAAAACCGCCAGGGGCCAGACCGGCGAAATTCCTTCCAATGTCGCGGCGCCATTCGTTTAGACTGTCAACCACTCGAATCGATTCATTGTTGCCAATCTTGTCAAGGACATTGGGAGTGAGGGCGCTCGGAGGCCCGACCAGTATCGTGGCATTCTCGTCCGCAGAGTCAACCCAAGCACGTTTGTGCATTGACAAATATGACTCTGAGGCCGATCGCCTAGAAAGCGATGTATAATTCATCGACCGGCAGTTTGCGCGGGTGTAGTTGCTGAGAAACATGGTGACTGAGGAATCGTTAGTCGAGAAGATTCAATAGATTAGTGGAATAACCTTACCTAGCCCAGCTGTAATAATAGGGACAAGAAATGCCGCAGAGTGCGGCTTGAAGTTGCGTCGAAGTATTGTCAACCGCTTTCTGAACAAAATCCAAAATTGGCGTTTCATGCTGATGCGCTTTCCATTTTGTAGCTGCAGGTCCGGGTTTCCAAGGTTGATGGTAGTGGCCTTGCCTTCAGAACCCAGATATAAGGACTCTGTAACATAACTACTAGATTGATATGAGGATCGTTCGGATGCACTATTCGATTGAAATTCATGGTCTTGCCCCGCAATCTTCAAAAATACATCCTCAATCGTTGGACCATTGACGTCATAATCTTGGATATCCGAGTGTTCCAATGCATTGATAAAGGACGAGGCGTCAGCAGAATTGCACAGGGTGTAGACTGATCGATCGTGTAATATTTTCCTTTTAACATTTGATAGACTGTGAGTAAAAGGTTTGTGCGAATCATAGACGTAGACCTTGTAGCCATCACCGAGCCTCTGTTTGAGCTCGACTGCGGAACCCTGCGCCTTAAGAACACCCTTTGCCAGGATGGCGATGTGATCAGAGAGCACGTCTGCTTCGTCCAGAAAATGGGTAGTAAGTATAATGGACCTACTTCCTCGCTCAGCAAGGAGAATGTCCCATATTTTCCTTCTAGAGAGAGGGTCGACACCGCTTGACACTTCATCCACCAGGCAAACTTTACTGCCACCGGTCAACATCATGGACAACTGGAGCTTCCGCTTCTGGCCGCCAGAGAGCGTTTTTGATCGCGCTTTTGACTTCAGCCCGAGGTCACAGGCCGTTATGAGCCTTTTTATTTGATCTTTCGAATCTAGTCCTTGGGTAGACTTTAGTCGATTGAAGAAATATACGTGCTCCTCCACTGTAAGTTCGGGCCAGAGGACATTGCGCTGTGGACAGATTCCTAGCCCGCCGGATGAATTAACAGAGACGCGACCGCTAGTTACTCGATTCAGTCCGGCGATTGTGTCGAGAGTCGTGCTCTTTCCGCTTCCATTGGCCCCCAAGAGCACGAGAATCTGACTGGGAAGGGCGGTGAGCGAGAGATGATCTACTGCTTTCACCGTGGTATACTTCCGCCGAAAGAGCGTCAAGAACCAACGGGAGACCCTGTTGGGTCGGTAGTAGAGACAAAAGGAATCCAAATGCACGGCCTTTTCATCATTGTCTCCATTCCCGGAAACAAGATTCCGGCCTTGAGAGGCAGTGCCATGGAGAGTCCGCTCAACCAATGCGGCCAGTACTGGAAAAGCGAAGATTTGTATGACCAGGAAAATCCAAAGGGCAAGACCAGGTAGATCCCAGGGATTATGAGGAGCCTGCTTGAGTAGGTTGGCTCCCAAGCTTTGCCTCTCCCAGCGAGCCATGAGTATTATGAAAAATACATAATTCATGGGAGGAAACAAAAGGCCGAGAATTGCAATTGTGCCCGCGGAATGTGACTTGGAGACTGATACCTGGGCAACGATTGCCAGGACGAGGAAAATAATAGTCGCTGAGATACCCGAGAGCTGCGCTCGCTTGAAGAAGGAGGCGCTGAAAATAGAGAAGGAGAGAAGGGCAAAGCCGTAGAGCAAGTGGTAGATGACGACAATGGCGGCATTGGTCTCGGGGAAAAGACCATATGCAAGCACACAAGCCATAACGAGCCATCCCGGAAAATAAACGATATCGAAAGCCAAGTGCTGCGCGGCTAGCCGGGCAGCTTGAGGTTGCCAGCGGCGAGGATTAGGCATCATGGCATCGATTAGTTGAGACATGCCCGATTCGCGTTCCGAGGCCATGAATCCGACTTGATGGTACACGACCCCAATCATACCAATGACAAAGCCAATGGCCATGAAACTTGAGACAGATCCCATATAACCAATCCGAAGCTGTTGCTTACGCTGCTCCTGTGTTTGCGAGGTATAGGGAAGCTCATACGTCTTTACATTCAGCAGCGAGTGACCGTGAGTTCTGTTTAATGAAGCAATGGTATGTTCAACTGCTCGCTGCAGAGGAAGCACATATTTTTCGGCGTCATTGTTAGAATTGGTCATATCCAGCCTTTCGCCGAGTACTGCATCGCCCTGCAGAACTGCAAGGGGGTTAGCAACAATAGACAATTCAGAGGAAATTTTTTTTTGTTTCGAAATCGCTACGTACAATAATACCATCCGGCACCCCAGCCTTCTGACGGTGAGGACTCAAAAGTCACAGCACCGAAACATCTCGTGAGACCTTTTAGATTGCTTGGACAGATAAAAGACACCTCGCTGGGATCGGAGAGTATAGCCACATCGACATGAGCATCTTGCAGAGGTTTCGCGACGGTTTGAATGACATGGTCGATGGCGCCCCCGGAAAGACCGTTGTTGCAGAAAACAATCTTGTGGCGTCCAGTGGTGTCGGATAGAACCGCGTCCGTCAGGTTTCTCACGGCAGCGGGCGCCCCAATTCCGTACATGGATGGTGGCGTAAACAAAATTCGGGCATAAGTCAAAAATATCATAAAGGCAATTGGAGCCACAAAGGCCCGTACGACGGTGGTGAGAGCATTTCGATACAATGCTATTCGGAGGGTTTTATCGACAAGGGTCCATATCTGCCGGAAAAATATGGTCGTGGCAAAGTCCACGTGAGGTTTCTTTGCCATTGTGAGACCGCGAGTTTCACTCTCCAAGTATTCGCCTCATTGACTCTTCTCTGTCTGTCTTAAATATCCACAGAATCAGGCGTAACGACTCGATTGTCTTAGCTAGGGCGCAATCGCCAAGAACAAATTTTCGGCCGACGGAGATTTTTGACAGAATCGCCGAGAAGCACAGCCCCAAACAACGTCGATTGCAATGACTGTCTTAAAATGTGCGACGCTATCTCAACGATCGCACGATTACTTGGATACAGAGTGCATTTGACGGAGGATTCGGGCTTGTAGCGGCGTTCCACGCTTTTGTTTTGAGGTCGACGGGGAGACCTTCGGGTGGCGGAGACAATGGTTGAAACAAACAAGAAATCACAATGCTAAAGAAGGCGAACCAAATGACCAAAGACAGAAACTGAGTCTCACATATATGCAAAGGTTCCGGAAATAGAGATTCTTCCTTCTCAACCAAGGTATTTTGAATTTTGCTGGCCCAATTTCTATTTATCAACTTTCTACGGGCAGAAAGGGGGGGTGGTTTGACAGTTGCGGCAAACGAGTTACAGCCAAACTCCGTTTAGCCGGTATCATCTTCCGCGTCGCGTGTCGGAATGTGGTAAATAGAGAATATCGCGTCTGTGAGCCGACTGTTCGTGATGCCTCGACAGTCGAGAGCCACGGCAATCCACTCTGATGGGCGACGCGTTCTCGCAATGCCACTCAAACAAAAGCAAAAAAAGAATGCAGATTTCCTTGCATGGACCACAAAAGTACACACCAATGGGGCTCAAACAACGAGATAGGACGAGCGAGACTTTACGTCCCTAACAAAATACTAAACAACGCCATGTCCCTAGTAGGTCGCGGTAGACATTCAGTCCGAGTACCATTCCCCATGGTCTCACCGTTGAAATGAATGTGAAAGCAGCCCCACGACGCTGTCTTCATACGAGCGGTGACTCGAGGGTCAAACCGTAGCGCATAAGGTAGTGTATAATTCAACGGCTCGCACAAATCGGTGCAGATGCCAGGAGATATTCTTGGACAGTTATATACCCAAGGAGTTAAGATTAAAGTAGCCTTGAAGATTGTGTTTTGTACTGTGGCATGCCTGTGGCTCATCTTATTAAAACAACGCCTTCATTGCATAATTGCATTGCTGTAATCTCGTCTTTTTAACCCAATTTCAAAACGACGGCAACAGATAATCTGTGTAATTCGCCGTGAGAAATATGGCAACGGTTTTGGTGCGAGCTCATAATACCTTCCTACACTGATTGGTCTCATCTTCAGTTAGAAGTCAGGGCAAGTTCTACATCACTTAGCCGATATTTCTCTCCAAAAGAAGGCGCGCATGGTAAGGTAAAGCATCAGTTGATCGTCTCAATGAGAGGTATCTCAGACGAGAATCGCTTCAAAGGGGTTTGACTGTACTGTCAACGGAGCTCGGCGAATGTACCGGAGCAGCCAAATCCATCTCCTTTTCGGGAGGGCGGTGTGGTATAGAACTGGCCAATCATGGCTGGTCCGCCGAGAGTTCTCGCGGAGAATCTTCGGAGGAGAGCGAGGCCTCGGAGGGTGACCTGACAGCTGGAAAAGGTACCAAAGTTACCAAAGGTACGGGCGAGGGGAGCGAGGAGTACTGACTGACTCACTGCGGAGCGTCGGAGCAACGAGAGCTCCCCCCTCTCTCTCTCTTCTTGACAGGTCCCAAAAGGGTCATGAAGAATCTTCCAAAGCTCTGGTCCCACATTATTGAAACATGCATTTTCGGATATCGCAATAATCGGGCCGCGTGGCTCTTCTGTCTTTCCATGTCCTTTTTGGAACCTTTTCCTCCTTGCGTCGTCCCCAGTGGTGCCGTTTCTGTATCGATGGTGTCTTGCTTTGGACTTGCCCTGTTGCCCTAACCCGTTGATCAATATATTGAGACGACTCCACTCGTTGATCCGTTGTTTCGTCTCTATCCGGCTCCTTTGAACACCCATGGTGATTGGTGCGCGGGTAGGGTCACTAGCCTCTCCGCTCCCCTTCCGTCAGGGCCCTCTTACCGCAAATCCTATCATCGCACCTTATCTGAGCGCTCCCTGCAAGCCACAACCGCCATCGATGCTCAGGTACCCGCATTCTGTCCGAATGAAGCTTTTCAAGCCCCAATGAAATTCACCAGAGCGCCATCCTTGGTGACCCGCTGGGCCCAGCGGGTCACCAGAAGATCTTCAACCGAACCTATTGAGGAAAATCAAGCACCTTCGAGTCTCAGTACGTGGAACTGATTGCCCCTAGAACAATTTGACATTGTGTTTCAGCCTTGTTAGCACGGCCCCCGCAAAGCTTCATTGAATTTGAAAATGTTATATAAGATGTCTTCTTCTTCCGCTCTTTTTTGCTCGAATCATCGCGATATCCCTCGGGGCCTTTGACAGACCACCGTCCTTACTTCCTTGGCTACTTTGCATTGACTGCAAAGCCCTTCTCCCGGTTGAGAATCACAATCATAATAGTGCACTGCGTGCATTCTGTCCTTGTGCCTCGATACCATTCCTTTGACGCCGAGCTCAACTGTCATTTCCTCCCCAACCTATTGCATACACGTTCATTGATCGATCGTCTGGCTTTTGACAAGATGCATTTTGCTTATGCGTTCCTTCTTTTGGTGGCAGTGGCGGCAGGATTCGCCCAAGCCCAATCCAAAGCAGTATTCGCTCATTTCATTGTACGGAACAAATGCATCCTCAAGGAAAGAGAAATCACAGTACTTACAAGACATATAGATCGGCAACTCTGCGGGTATGAGTTATGATGACTGGGTTAGCGACGTTCAGGCTGCCAAAGCCGCCGGTATTGATGGCTTTGCCTTGAACATTGCTCCAGGCGATTCATACACCGACAGCTCGCTGCAGAATGCCTATAATGCGGCCGGCTCGGTTGGCGACTTCAGCTTGTTTCTCTCCTTCGATTATCTCTCTCAGGGCGCTTGGTCTGCTTCCAACGTCGTGTCAAAGATCAACGAGTACAAGCAATTTTCGGCGCAATTCCAATACAACGGCAAGCCCCTTGTGTCCACCTTCGAGGGTGTTGGCAATACCGGCGACTGGTACGGGATCAAGGAGCAGACCGGCTGCTTCTTTGTGCCTGACTGGAGCAGCCTTGGGCCCATCGGGGTTGCCGCTCAGGGAAGCGTCGATGGTGCCTTTGGCTGGGGTGCGTGGCCCGTCGGTGCGACTGACATGTCAGTCGTTGAGGATGAACTGTACATGACTACCCTTGGCTCGAAGCCCTACATGATGCCTGTTTCTCCTTGGTTCTATACAAACATTCCGCAATGGAACAAGAACTGGCTTTGGCGAGGCGACGATCTCTGGCATGACCGCTGGCAGCAGGTGATTGAGCTGCAACCTGCTCTCGTCGAGGTATGCTTTCAATCACAAACTCCTTCCATCACATGATAGATAATCATGTCTTCGATAATACTGACTTGGGCAGATTCTCACCTGGAACGACTTTGGTGAGTCGCACTACATTGGGCCCATCCACTCCTCCGGAATTCCTAGCGGAGCAGAAAAATATGTCAATGACATGCCGCACGACAATTGGCGAGATATGCTTCCCTACTACATCGCGGCCTACAAGAGTGGAAACACCACCCTTCCCGAAATTTCCACCGAAAAGGCCAACCTTTGGTATCGCGTGAACCCCGGTCATTCCGGCTCAAGCGATGGCACTACTGGAAATACCCCATCTCAGGGCCAAACCGTTGTCGATCCAACTTTGGTATCACAAGATAAAGTCTTTTTGTCCGTGCTGGTCAACTCGCCCGCCGATGTGACGCTTCAGATCGGCGACAATCAGCCTACATATCTTCGAGCAATGACTTCTGGCGTCAACCATTTCTCTGTCTCTTTCAATGGCCAGACTGGCGCTGTCACGGCGAGTGTTTCTCGAAATGGACAGTCAGTTGCGTCAGTGACTGGCCCAGAGATTACTGATGCCTGTGAAGATGGCAACGTCAACTGGAATGCCTGGGTTGGAGGCTCATCATAAGCAGCCTGGCGCTGCTAAACGTATGCAGGTCATACACCGCGCTGAGCTTTGAAGCTCGCGATTTTGTTCATATATCCATGCCTGGACATATTGCATTACTTTTTGCGTTCAACCGGACATTGGGAATTTCTCCAACGTCGACCTCTCTTTTTCAGATTATTTTGCTTGTCAGATTCTTTAGGCGTCTCGGGGTGCTGGAGCTTGTCAAGAAATTTCCTCTCCCCTAGTCTGGCGTCTACCCCTCCGATACTGTCTTTTGCGAATAGCTCGAGCACAGTCATTACATCCTAAATTTGAGCTGGGGCAGCGGCGCCGTGTCTGAGACACTGAGCTGCTCGCACGTCCTCTCATGTTGGTGGCAGGGCCCTTTTATGATTCTATGATTCCCGATTCGCTTCTTCTTGACGGAAAGTCCGCGTTTAGACTGCTTGAAGAAGTACAGACTCTCATTACGTATTTCTGCTGTCTGCGACTGCACGCCGTTCCTCTTTTCTGCTTTTTGCCTTTACAATCATACCCTTTCCAAGCACTCACGCTCTCTTTGTCTTCAGATGTGTTATGAATTATGCAATTTAGACAAGAGACGGTGAGACAGTATTTATCCAATTTATCTGCACGCAAACATAGAAACAATACAAATTTACCCTTGTATTTACAGCCTCAACAAAATCTCAAAGTCCCAACACTGAGTCGATGTGCAACTAATTAGTTCTACAGCGCATTCGCTAATTTCGCTAGAGTGCCTTGATTATTATGGTGTGCAAGACAATTTTTCCCGGTCAGATCTTTGCTAACCATCACCAGTAACGGCAAATTTTAACTTAGGGCCAAAGTGTGCGGCTCTCTTACATCGACAAACAGTTCGGTGGTCCATTAGCGGAGGACATTCATCTACTTTCCTCCACTTTTACTGACCACGAAAATCTCCAATCCTTAGGGAAGATTTCAATATCTGGAGAGACCCAGCCAGTCATGTCTCTCTGCACGGCTTTTCTGCAATCACATTTCCCGAGACATGATGGTAAGACATCGGACCTGCATTGTCCCGCACCCTCTACAGTTCTGATACTAAAGATAAGCATGGGAGGGAGAAAAGCCAAGTAGACTGTCCATATGCTGTTTTGCCAGCAATCGTGAGCAACAATTTTCACACCTCAGCCGGTCTCTGGCCCAGTGACCGTGTCTTCAGGTTGCATATTATGGAAATCTTGAGCATTTGTTTGTAAAATGAAAGGAAATTTGCTATATTATGCATTTCAATCCTCTGAAATGAATCTCGCTCCCAAATGGGGAAAAAGGTAGTTAAATCATCCTCTTTCTTTTTAAGCAAGAGAACTTATCGTCAAACAGATTGAAAAAGCCAAATCAGTGCCAAATCGGCAAAAACTGAATGAGGGACGAAAATATAAAAGATACGCCTGACAACAATGGCAGATACTACAGATCGGTTTTCACGCCGCCTCAACTCTCGAGAACTGGTTTTGTCAATGTTCTCTTTAAGCAGTCTACGGTTGGGTCTCAGTCTACGCCTCCGGGGCTCTGAAAGACCCAGGCCGCCATATCACTTGCCGCATAACCTTGGACATCAGCGTCCACGGCCTCAATCTATTTTTGCCAGACTCTCCCTACGATCTTCTTTATCGTCGATTACGCTTACGAATCTGAAGATTGCCAAGATGACTCTGCGTGTTCTCGTTCCTATTTTTTTCTCTGTCACGTTTCTCGTCAGTTCAGCAGTAGTCATAATCTACACTTTTGTGCTGAAAAGTCGATTACCGGCAATGCTTGTTGTCGGTCTGGCCATTGCTTTTGTATCAATTGCTGTTTTGGCATTGGGACTTTGGCTGTGGCTGCTGAGCATCAAGAGAGGACAACGAGGAAAATATGACAGGGTAAAAACCAGTGTCATTGAGCGAGACGTTGTGGAAGATGTGGAGAGAGGAGGGCAGGTTGAGTTGACCAGAACTGATAACATAGGAGAGGTTGATTCCAGGGAAGTCAAGTACGAGGCACAAGAAGAGCAACATGGCTGTGAGTGCAATAAAAACAGCAAGGGGGAAACAAAGGCGAATCATGGAAACGGACACGGTAAATTTGCCCTTGGAATGGCCAATGGTGAGAATAAAGCCAAAGTTCAAGGTGCTGAAACTCATGATCACGCCCTGAAAACCAGGACAGCACAACCTCAGTGTTCGTCCTGCTGCGAGCTGAAAATAAATCGGGATGCAGACAAGATCAGAGATAGAGGAGAGTCAAAACAGGTTCCTAAAACCTATCATCTTGCAGAACCTACTGCAGCCAATTCTTCAATCAATTCAGCCGCAAAAGCGAACGTGGGAAGAAAAGGGGAGAGCCCCCACGGCAAGGAGGAAATCGAAGCTACAGAGAGATTTCGCCCTGCCGAAGAGTCAAAGACGCATATCAAGAGGTAAGAGAAAGACCGATGCATATGTAGTCCAGAACCAATATTTATCTGTTTCTAACTCGTCAAAGGCTGAAAGATATACCTCAAATGGGGAGCTTAATCCTCAGTAAATCAGACAGCTCAAACGGAGATCTTTCACCTCATACTCGGCAGACTCTTTCTGGCAAAGAACCGCAAATTAAAGATAAGGATGAGCAAACCAAAGCACCAAATCCTATTAGCAAAGGACATATTACTAGGAGCGGGAAACAAAAGGACTTGCAAAGTGTCACTTGCCCGTCACTCCTCCCCCCTTTGGCTCCTGGACCGCAATCCCCACTTTTGAAGCCGGAGGTAGTAAAATGTCTTCCAAATGTCTATCAAGGCTCCGTGGCAAAGCAAGAATCCGGCGATGCTTCTTCGAAGCCTACCCAACCGCGTCACATAGGTGTTGTTCATGGCGGTGTCCTTGATCCCAGTCCTGTTTCATTGAAGCCCAAAAAGCCTTCCAACATTCCATCCCTGCATCGAACCAGCTGTTCATCAAGATCTGAACGACAAGATCAATGTCGAAAACAAATTAGCGACCATTCCCAGCAAGGCGTTTCCCAGAAACAAAAGTGCCAGTCGAATAATCCCAAGTGTCCTTCGGAACAGAGCCTTGCCCCTCGCCCATTCGAGGGTATAATCGGCCGCGTTCATCGGCCACGAGTGGTTTCAGTTCCTGGGAAGTTAACCCAAGCTCGAAATCGAGCTCCTCTAGCTCCTGGCATTACATCTCACTTAGCCCCACGGAAGGGATTGGGCTCAGTGCCTGAGACCGCTGAATCGTCTGGAGAGCTTACCAATCCACCAATTCCTGCAAAACGGCTGGCAGAGGGAGCAGCAGCTCTTCACAACACTAACTTGCTTTCTTCCGTCAAAAGCCAAACGAACCCTCAAACAACTGCTGAATTGAAGCAGCAAGATACGGCGGCCACAAGTCACCAGCATCAGAATTCCTCAAATCAGCAAATGACCGAGTCCAAAGGAGGTTCACCGTCCCAGTCCATACTCAGAACAATATCCAGCCTGAGTCAACACAGAATGAGTCTACGTCCGGACTGCGACCCTCGTGGTCCATTTCGACTTGGGCGGCGGACTACTACTCCCAGAATTCAGGAGGACGCAGCACAGGTGGCTCCCACAGCGCCAACAAATCAATATCCGTATCACGCTCACCACGAACATCTCCAGTTCAATTTCCAACAACAATTTCCATCCCAAGCCCCGGTCCCGGTCCCACCTCCGGTTCCAGAGCAACTCACAACTGTCCTCAAACACGGCAGCAGCAAAGCTCGAGCGCGTAGCTACAGTTATCCTCACGGACAGCCATACTCAGCATCACATTCTCGATCTCATCTTCACCATTTCTACCGCCGTCGCCGATCACTTCGACGCATTCTTCCACGACTAAGCTTAAAGATTCCGGGCCGTAGCGCTCCTTCCAATCATTCTGTCCCTTCACTGCTCCCGGCAGCAACGTTCCCTCCGCTGTATGCACAGCGTCATCTAGTTCCGCAGGAGCATCTATTCCGTCAGAACATCTTCCAGGCTCCTCCTCCTTTGTCACGTTTATATCCGTCCCACCCGCAACATCCGCGCTTAATCGCACTTACCAGTACAGCTACTCATAACAGCAGGGGCCTGGATTCCTCGGAGAACGACCGGCGCGAGAGTTTCCAACTGGAAGCGACGTCTCCGCGTACTGTCGTTCCGGCACAGCGACAAGAAAGCGAACGCGAACGTCAACCTACAGCCCAACATCACGCCACTGTGGAAGGGACCAATCCTAGTGGTAGTGCTGGAGCTGGAGCTACGAACGCAAAAGATGCCAAATAATCTATCTAAATACCAGACGTGCAGACAGACATGGACCAAGCATGTTCAACACAGACAAATCAGCAAATCAGCAAATGCTATACATGTCTCAGGATGATTAATTAGTGGTGACACGGTAACACAGACACTAGGCCTTACGCACAAACCCAGACCTAAACAGCATAACACTCATGAACGAAAATAAAACCTTTTTAATTAATTAAAACACCTAATACTTTTCAAGAAATCTGACAGAGAGTCGAGGACTCGAGACCAGATACCCATTTCAAAAAAAACATTAAAAATGTGCAACTCCAATTACATTACCAAAAAAATGAAAGAGTCCAAATGCAGACTGTTCCCTTTTTTTCAAACAATCGGTTTCTTCCCCCAGGATACTTCCCACATGATAGCTCGGGGTTGTTGTGAGTCGTGCCGTTGGTGAGCATATCAATAACTTCAATGACAACGACAACAACGACACTAATGACAAAACCCTCGAAGGAAAGGGGGACAGAAGATGGTAGTGTAACGCAAGATGAGAACGTGGGTATGAAGCATGGAGCATGGTGCATGGTGCATGGTGCATGTCATATACTCCCATGTCACACATCAGCAGACTTCTTTAGAAAGAAAGTAAATAAAGGATGATAGAGTAAAGGGTATGTGAACGACGTGGCGATACCACGACGCGAAGGTATTGGTATCCCGTGATTTTATTTTGCTCGATTCCTGCTCCTTTGTTGAAAAGAATCTGGGAAGAAGTGCTACTTCTTATTCTCCCATCTCAACCAGAGGGGTAGACAGACTCCAGACTCCCGAGCGAAGAGGCCTCGTTGGAGGAAGTTGTCCACGTAAGTAACGTAGCGTGGAGCCACGAGCCACGGTGTGATCCCTTTGGGAAAATATAAGGGTGATAACTTGCCCCCAGGAAAACGATTGCCGCATTGAGTTCTAATTCTCTTCCCAAGCACATATATATAAATGTGGGGAGAGGATAGATGCCAAGCTACCATAAGACTGGCAGACAGGATGGCATCAGATAGAGCCAGAGCCAGAGCCAGAGCCAGAGGGAGTAAAAGCTGGCTTCTTACAACTGCCATTCTCGTCTTCGGTGCTATGGTGAGCACTCAGCCGTCATACGGATAAATGGCTCGAGGACGATAGCTGGCTCAAGGGCAGATGTGCAATCAAGACTAGAAGGGACCATCCCAGTTATGCCGACTACGTATTCAGCCCGTCTTCTCGCCATTCCTCATCTCGACATCGCCATCGCGCTGCATCGATTCTGGCCGCTCTTTGATATCGCCCGTGTAGGGAGGGTCACCACGGGATGGCGATTCGGGCTCACCGCGCTTTCTCCGTCCCAAGCGCTCACACCATTCTTCGGCGCTGACAAGGGTGCCGTCAAGCACTCCGCTGACTTGGGACATCATGTCTAATCCTTCCTTGGCAAGGACCAGCACACGGTGGGCGCTCGAGATAGCTTCCGAGGCAGGCTGGAGAGAGTCGCTTGGGGTGCCGTTGGAGGAAGACGAGGCGAGACGGAATCGCTGAGGGAGGGAGGTCAAGTGTCGACGCACGAGATCTCTCGCATTCTCAGGCAGGGCGCCGCCGGCGTATCGGGACACGACATCGACGACGCTTTTGAGCGTCTTGAGCACGTCTCCTTTGAGTTCTTGGATGCGCGCAAAGAGAGCTGCAGGGTCCCGGGAACTATTTTGCACAAGAGCTTGCGAAGCATCTCTCGAGCGGCCTTCGCCGTCTTCCATGATTGCGTTGCGGTATCCGTCCGAGCCCGGCCTTGATTGCTGCCATTGTTCCCATTCCTCGACGACATTTTTCAAAGCGACAATGACCTTGCCGAGGTGAACATTCGCCCAGCGAAGCCAGCTAAGGCAGTACTTGAGACTGCGTAATGACTCTTCGCTCATGGCCACGCCGAGGCCAGACGTCGAGAGCATCAGACGGGAATGCCAGGTCGAGGGCTGCGTTTCTTGCCGCTCATCCTGCTGCGTAGTAACGAGCGCGCCTGAGCCGGTCTGCTCATGCTCTTCGTAGCCAGGCGAGCGGTGGTCGTCATAGGCTGGCAGCGATTCCGCAAATGAGGATTGGGACGTCCGACGGTGACTGGGCTCGGTCATTTGGGCAGCATGTGGCTGCGAGTTTTGCTCAATGTCCATGCCATTGCTCTGCGGTCCGCTCACTTTCCGTCGTTTGTTTGTGCCATTATCTTCCAGTGAATCTCGTCGCTGGTGTGTGCTTGGCCTTCGACTGCCTCCCAACCACCATCTCACGCCGCCTTCGACGCCCGTCCTGCGGCCGACGGTTCCCATGGTATTGGCAACTGGCGTCAGTCGCCGTTCGACAAACTCTGCACCTGTCCGAAATCGCGGCGAGTAAGATTTGGAAGACGAATAGGCAGACAGTGACCCGTTAATGGCCGTGCCAATCAGAGGATGAGACGATGTCAGAAGAGAAAGTAGCGGTTCAGGTGGCGCGGGTTCGTTACGCTCAATGGCTGCTTGGCGCTCCGTGTCCTCGCTCTGGGTTCGTTGGCGTGTGTCTTTTGCATTTAGCTTTAGCATAATGCCCATTCCATGACATCGAGACGTCTTCTGCTCACCAGTTCCGAGATTGTGCAAAGCCTGCGCAGCAATAAGGTCGTCCATGGAGAGTACACTGACTGCTCTGTTGCTGCGGTCGTCGATGATGCTTGCATTGCTGACAGACACGTCGCTCCTCACATCCATCTCAGAGCCCTCTCCAATAGGCGTGGTCGGTACCGCAGGGAATATTTGCTCTCGAGGCGACAATACGTACTGTTGATGATGCGCTTCGATGCTGGTCCGCAGCTTAGGTGGGGCGGGATTCGGCGACATCACCATTGGCTCCAGAGTCGTTCTGGGAATTGTTTCCTCTCGACGAGACGGGGCAGAAAGATCTCCCGTTGCAACGGGCGGAAAGACAAGCGTTGCCGGATCATGAGAATGGGAGGAGTAGGCTGGTGGATATTCCTCCTTTGTCGCCATGGCTGCTGCGACTTGCACGTGAAAACGTGAACGCCGGCCACAACGTCGACAGATAGAGTTTGGATTGTGGAAGATAACGGTATCAGCAGCTCGCAATCACTGGCATCAATGAAAGAAGCGACGGTAGAAGAGTTTAGTCGGTCGTCGAGCACAGGAAGGCTGGTTCAAAGTCTGAAGCTGAATACTCAATGTGGCATCGACGGCTGGAGCACGGGCCAATCAGAGGCACGAGGAGTTGGCTCAAGAGGGCGGTAGAGGCAGATCTTGTGCCCAAGTATTGGGGGGCAGGGAAAGACCGGAGGTTCTCTGCCGACTTCACCTGCTGCTTTGAGTAGGGTCCAAATATAAGGTCATCCAATAATCAACCCGAGATAGCTCTCTTGCTTAAGCGTTCGCCGGAGAAAAATGCAGCAGGGTTAAGATAAGTCTCTTCAACCGGGAAAAATCCCATCTGAGGGGAATCTAGTCGGGGGGGAAGGAAAAGGGAAAGGAGACAGAGATGGAAAAGACAGTCATGTCACATGGGAGTCACATGGACGAGGCGAAGCATCACATGCATCTTTCCTCGGGCCAGCATTAGCGGAAAATTACACAAATCGGGTTAGCGCCATTTAGTGTCAGATAATACTCCATTAAAGGCAATATCAAAACTTCCTTGAGAACAATTGCTGCTTTTTACTTTTGTTTCATTGCACAGCGCTTTTCGGAATAAGGATTGAAGATTTGAATTCATGTTCCTATTCGTTTGTCTACCACTCAGCTAGTCCAGGTATTTTTGTGTCTTCCAGCTTGCCATGCACAAATAAGGGAAGCTTCTTTCGCTGTTCATCTGTGAGCAGATTTAGCAGCTCTTCTTCACGTTCTGTTTTAAAATGCCGGTAATGAATGAAGGTCCAGTATACCCTGTCAAAGGCATAGCTGTTCTGCGCAGCGTAGATGATCCAAAAAAGCTCAAGGTCGTTTTCCATGTCCTTCTTCATCTTCTCAGAAGTGCGTTGTGATTGCCGAAGTCTTCCTCTACTCATCGCCAACGCTTCAGACTCGGACAATGCTTCTAGAAATAAAGGAAGTTTGGATCTAAATGCTGTCTCAAAGCTTTGAAGATTCGGTTGAAAATTCTCCGGTCGCTGAAGTAGTAACCACCACGGAGCCACCTGTCCAAACTCCGCAGGAGCAGCATAGCAAAACTCCCAATCTATGACGGCCTTGATCTGTAAATTCTCATCAACCAGCACATTCGTGGGGCGAAAATCGTCACAAGCCAAATGGGATCGGCATTTGGGTCGAAAAAGTCGAGATGGAGCGATTCTCCCGAACCTGCCCTTAGGTCGCAGTGAATCGACAATGTTCTGGAATATGCAACGCGCAATGTACTTGCGTCGACAATCAACCTCGTCCTTGATAAACCCATGCCGTTGTGTTTCAAGATGGTGAAGGAGCTGGGTAGTCAAAAATTTCAAGTAGTTGCGGGTAGATGAGAATGTCTTTCCTGCTTGAATAGATGGCTGAACATTTCCCTGTTCAGCCAGGAAGACCATGTCCTCTGTAAGCGGACGGCCGTTGACAGTACCATCGTCAGTGATTGAGCCAATGCGAGGAAAATTAATTCTTGATAGTTCAACCATGACATCTGCCATTTGGCGATACACCTTCTTCAGCTTGTCATCATCAATGTCTTCCTTCAGTGCAGCATTGTCTTCAGATATCTGTAGCCCCATTGATAACTTGTTTCCATGGACATATTCCATTATAATATAGGGCCCAAATTCACATTTCCCATGCTCGAGTATTTTGGGTACTGGAATGGTCGTATGGGTTTTGACAAAGCACATGACTGCGACCTCCTTTTCGACCTTTTCGTCTGGAAATCTCACCCGCCCCGGTTGAGGAAATCGAATGACAGTGTCCAAATGCTGGTCCTCATATCGGAAAACAAAGCACGCATTGAAAGCGCCTTTCTCCAGTTCCATTGACTGTGCTTTCTTGCCTGACCGAACCTTGGCTACCAGACTTCCGAGCTTTTCTAGGTTCTCCCTGGTACAAATCTGCTTCACCCAGGCATAGTATACTTCATCGGCTTTGTCAGCTGCAACTTCGTCATACTCCATCGTCATATATTGTAGATCCGCCGTGAATGCTTTCCAGTAACACAAGTAGACAATTAAGGGGTGCAGTCCCCTTTATGCGAGAGGGAGAGCCAGCATGTACAGGACTACATGCACCCTTTGACTGGCGGGCCAATGGCTTGGAAGTATATAGCAAGTACAATATCTTGCTGAACAGGAGTATCTCCTCTCGTGGGTGAATATTGCTGAGTCAGTGCAGCATTTGAGTTTCTATTTTTGTTGCAATTATGCATTTCTGATTCATGCTCGCAGCAGGTCGAGGGGTAAGCTTCAGCATCATGTCAGTCTTTGGTGAGAATTCTAAAATGGAAATTTTGTCAGCAGCGCAGCCAGCCTTGGGGGATTCATAGGGCAAGCGGGCATGATGTCAAAACTGGCCGGAGACATTCGCTTTCGTTTAAAAAAAAATTGTCGATCTGGGCCAAACAACCTCACGTTTGTCCCGTTTTTGTTTGCTTGTTGCTTTATTTATTTTTCTGTTTTCTATTTTTATCTTTATTTTTTGGTGCGGCTGACAGGTTTGGCAGTGGAAATTGTCGTGCGATACAGCGATACAATAATGAATCACAATAATATACTCTGTCCTGAATATGCTATGTCATAATGCGACAGGGAGGTACGAGCACAGAAATGACCCCTTTTCTTTTTTGAGAAGATTTACCGTTCGTCGTGACATGGATCAATCGAAAGAATCGTTGATTTCGAACTCTATTTCTCCGCATCCTCCCGTGCGCCGCGTGAATGAAGACGGCCTGATCGTTGGCTGGCGTTGGCATCATTGTTTCAAGAGATTTTTTGCTGTAGACCCTTCTGGTTGATTTGCATTCGTTTTTTATCCGCGTGTCAATTTATAATTGCTTCACGCAGGTTGAAAGGCTAGCTCAGGGATAGTCATGATGTATCTAGACACTAATTTCATGTCATGACTGTGCATGCTGGCATTGGCAGACGCTTCCGCAAGCATAGACTGATTTGACCGCTGGCCGAAACGGCGCTCGCCCAGCTCGTCTCATGACCAGAGTTCAGAGCGAAATCTCTCGAGCCAGAACGCTTCATTGGTGTAATTGTCTAAGAATTCGTCCAACCACTGATCCCAGTCGTCGTTCCACCTGACAGCCCAAAAAGCAAGAGAATATTCCCAGTAGCTTGGATACCATCCGGACTTCTCCCAATCAACAAAGACAGGTTCCAAGTCCTCGACCGGGCTGCCTCCGTCAATGGATAGCGCAGTCGAAGCGGTCTGTCGCATCAAAATGTTCTTTCGCTGACAGTCGCCATGCGTAAATGTCGGCTTTGGACCAGAGAGAATGCAAGGGAGGGCATGGCAATAAAAGGCCGCTCTACGCGGTGACGGACCATCGCAGGCATATTTTCGCATTAATGCCTCGTTGAAAGCGTCTTCTGTGTGGAAAGGACCGTTGGTCGAGGGGTCCGGGTCGGGTGTCCAGAACGTATCGTCGAGAAGAGGGCGCTCGCCAAGGCTTCCGAAATATCCAGGTGAGGGTATTCGGCGTAGCTCATCAAAGTAGGCTCGGAGTCTGGTGACAACCAGTTTTTTCTGGCTCAATAACAGATTCGGCCACAGTGACTCGAGTGTGTCGCCCACAATGTGTTCCATGATGATATATTTCACTCCTGTTTGCGGGTCAGAGTAAAGGGCATACACCTCAGGAACAACAACATTAGTTGAGGCCCGGACAAACATCATGTTCTCTCCTTCTACCAAGTCGACTCCAAGCCCAAACTTGACTACAAAGCACGGGGCCACCCTGACAACACGGCGTGCTCGATATGGAGTAGAGATGTCTGGTGCCATTTCAATATCACTATTTGTTGGAAGTGGTGAAGGAAGGGTCCTTGTATAATATGGTATTTCGATAGAACTTGTCATGATTTCAATGGTCGAGCAGCCGTTTCCTGAAGCAGTAGTATATGCAATTGTTGGCCTGGATCACGAACCTAGGATTTTGGTGTTTGTATTAGTAGTACCGGGGAGGGGGGATGGGCAGGTCTTGACAGGGTCTTAACAGTAACTTTACTGGGAAGCTTAACTAGTAAGTTACCTAACGAATTGTAGCATTTCGTTAACCCCTGCGTTAACCGGCGCCACCAAAATTATCTGTTCTACCGACCACGCACAGTGAGTTACATACCATTTCATCTGCCAACTATAGACAAAATCTCTGGAAGGATGTGGCTATCAAAGCTGTATGGAAGAAGTTTGCTCGAGGAGAACCCAATCCAGCCGACATCAAATCGACAGCGCAGAAGAGAATTCTGAAATTGCTCGACCAACACCTCCCTTGTTCTATCTATCGATCATGAACGACGGGGTTAGTCCGAGCCAGCCAGCTTTTGATCAGCTACTCGGCGAAAGTTGTAAGCTGTGGTCCTCCTATCGAGATGCTGCCAGTACGACACCCCTACTTCCATCTGATTGTATCAATTTGAAAAGTCTCCTTGGTCGAACACCTTCGTTCCTCGGGAGCGGGTTACTTCCTGATGATGTCCACGTCTCCCTCGCGTGCAGGGAAGAGCAATCTACACAAGGACAGCAAGGCCTACTCACCAGCGGGCGTTCTATGTGGAGAACTTCTCGAGGCACATGTATCCTTGAGCATAAGGCTATGACCTTGGATTTACTATTGGGTGTTCCAACACCACTTGCGGTGCAGATTTCCGACTGCGCTCCGTTGACGGAATGGCCCGGCATCCAAGGCATTTCGGGCCATGACAAAGGCAACTATCTTACCATCTTATTCCTCGCATGGGCTTATATCCTCTCGGCACGATGGGCCGAAGTTCTAACGGATTCGTCGGAGCTACAGTGCAAAACCCGCTTTACAACTGGAGTGGTTTCGCCCCGGCTCGGACCGAACCAGCAAGGTGACGTGGAGATCGATTTAGGTGAACATGTCGAACAGGATGAAGCGAGTTGGTGGAAGGCTGTATTAACGTCACCAGGCGGCTGGGAGGTGACTGCGGACTACAACGGGAGAACATTCCTATCCCCGTGGTCTGTCTCGATCTCTGCTACAATACGCATCGCTGTGGCCGGAGATCTCGTGGTTCCTGCTGCCCAACCACCATCATCCAGCCAGGCCCTCCAGTATTTGGCTCGATTTTGCTCCCATAATCGCCTCCATGGTCAATGTGTGACTGCTCTAGCTGGGGCGCTCTATATCCCTTTCCTGAGCGGAAAGTCGGTCTCACTCCCTGTGCCACAGCCCGCCCCACGACACCAATCCCGGGAACCTGTCGCATGTTTTGCGCAATCTCACTCGGATGTCGTTGCAGAACACGGCAAGCTTCTCACGTATTATATGACGTTGAGCACCAATGTGTGGGGCATGCGGTCACTGCTCTGCAGCACTTTTTTCAACGCCGATATCGAATGCAATCTGGTCAGCGCTTGGCTTAACCCTGCATTTGCAGTCATTGATCCGCTCTTGCGAGAAGAGAATGTGCCTGTGCTTGCCAAGGTCCTGGCTAACCGGCAACCCAAGTTAGGCAGCCTCTGGCTTGGTGCAATATTTATGGGCGTCGCCAAATCTACCTTACGGGATATTCGAACCGGGCTCACGGCAGTCAATCTTAGCATGGCTGCATGGACCAGGACAGAGCAATCATTCATAACATCAGAACCAGGTGCTAGTAATGGGGAAACAATCCGCCGCGAGGATGAGTGTCGACTCTTATTCATTTTGGGTGTAGACGGATATACCAGAGCACCTGTCCATCCTTGGAAACCTTTTGGAGAGACTCGCCTGAGTGATGCCGAACTCTCGGTGCGGCAGCATGCTTCTTGTGGGTGTCATTGTCTGGAGTACATTTCATGGAACTGGACCCTCACGAATGGCAAAGAACTTGAAGACCCAGGCATTGATTTTATTTCCGACGATGAGAATAATATTAGCATACAAAAAGGAGAGGCACATGCTCCAAAGCAGCACAATAATGAGTTGTGTTCCCAGTCATTGTCAGAAATTTCTACACGCGGCATCTTTGGGTGGTTAAGATCCACAGGATACACAGCCAATGAGGAGTCCATATACAAGCACCCCTGGATCGATATTGAAGGCTCTGACGATGAAGATGTAGGCGACGATGGATCCGATACTTCTGAGCATAGCGCTGCGCCGACGAAATTGATTCTTGATTGGCTCAAGTAACGTTGAAGCCCAGGGATGTTGGTCTACTGTGTCAAGTCGATCCACTCTTCAAAGCCGTCTGGGCCACCAGCTGGATGGTCCTTGCATTTGGAACATATGGCATATTTTCCTGAGATTCCATGATCGCCAGTTTGGCAAATTTTCCACTGCTTCCGACATCCTGGTGCTTTGCAGACAAATCTGTTATGTGCATCATTCCAGTGGTTGCAACTGGCGTTCCTGCAAGAACCTGCTTGACCAGAACTTGCAGTCATTGTTGATCCTCTTGGTGCCCGATGGGAAATCGAGTGCTGCTCGGATGGTGAAATGGCTGTTTAAAATTTTAGCAACTTTGTTGTATGACAGCTACATGTCCCATACCCTGTCAACCTTACAGTCGGCCAAATGTTATCTTCATTTTGTTGTGTAATAAAAATATACAGCCGTTTAGGTAGGAATCAAATAATGATAATGGAAATGTCTGTAATACTTCCTAATCACAACTAGCATCTAGAAGAGGGAGAACCTACATTTATACACCGTTCGCGCCAGCTGACAGAAAGCGAGCACCCTATGTCCCCTCCCCCCTCCCAGCCAGGAGACTCTATTTTGGGCTCAATCAATAAAAAGGGCTTGCAGTGGCTTGCAATCGAGCAGCGAGTAGTAGCCCTGTCCGCCATCATCTTGTCAACATTTAGTTTACCATTTCCCTAAACTATTAAACTTGAACATGGTAGCGCTAAGGAACGCTTCATGATAGGTTATGTACCCTCCCCTACCCCTTATAAATACAGCCATGATCCAAATCCCATTTTATCTCTTATCATTTTCCCTGTACTGTAACTACAAGTTACAGAGCTGCACCCATAGGTACTGCCAGGGCTAACAAGCAAGAGGCTCCTTGAGGGGTCAAATCAACATAGACTTGGTCATGGTCACAGAAGTACTTGGTATAATGGCAGAATGGTTATGAATCATTACTTAAAAAAAAAAGAGAAAAAAGAAAATGAACACGAAGAGGCATAAGCAACCACCCCGCCCCCAAAAAATCTGGGAGAAAGTACCTATGTACAGTTGGGGGTTACCAATATTTACTCATTTTGGTAACCTTACCAAAACCTGTAATATCTAACAATATAAGTCTTTCTCAACAACCTATATATTGTCCTAAATTTATATGCATTATAGAGTTATTTATTAACTCATTATATTATTCTAATTTTGCTTGATTTTGTTTAACTAATTTTTTTGTTATATGTAGAAGACTTTTATAGGAATACTAAGGATTCTAGTTAGTATTATATAGCCTGGAATAGCAGGGCATTTCTACAATAAAATGATATAATGTTTATAGGAAATATACAACTTAACATCTTATATCTATCTATTATTTTTAAATTTCTATACTATTAGTTATTGTTAATTTATATGTGGCAAAACATCATCCCCCATTAAGCCAATGACAAAAAGATTTTCACACCCTAATACTGTATGTATAATGTATATAATGGTGAGCTAGCTTATTATCTAAATGCTATAAGCGAATAGTATAGCTAAAGCCCTTGATCGTTTTTAAACCATGAGCAGCTAACGGGTGAGCGAATATCCATCCCCATCCTTTGCTCTTGCCTCCACAGCACTCATGAATGGAGGGAAATGTTACCTAAGTTAGGGTAGGTAGGTACCGGATAGAACTTAAGTTCATACACCCCTAAGGCCGATTAAGGTTACTGAGGAGAGGGGGAGAAAAGAAACGAGGGCAGCGTTAGTTGAGGCAGCTAATAGCTACAGTACTAGGCCACGAATGAGTGCCGATCGGGGACCCCGACCGCCCACAACATTTAATTGTAAATTAATCCACGACCACATAATTAAAATTTGTTCTGAATAGACCATTGGATAGCTGAGATTATATAGTATAATGCACTAAATTTCTAATATTTTGTTGGCCCCCCTTGTGCATCTATCACTGCTTGACAGTGAGACCTCATGCTCCCAATAAGACTGTTGAAGAGACTTTTTGGCAAAGCAGACCACGCAGTTATACAAATATCCCCTAAATTGTGATTGTTGATTGAATCCATGTCAAAGTCTTCCATTCAATCCCCATCTGAGTTGTAGACCTCTTTTTTCAGTGGAAACCAGCAGTGTTCTATGAGATTCAGGTCTAGAGAATAAGGTGGCCAGTCTATATAAGTAATACCAGCATCCATGAGCCATTGTTGGACCTGTCTAGCAACATGAATGGGGGCATTATCCTGTATGAAAATATGGTCAGGATGTTAAGCCATAAAACTTGCAAGATTGTCCTTTAAACACTGTAAATAAACCTCTGCAGATATGCCTCCTCTTCAGGCATTTGGATCCCCCTTCAAGACCTGTGCTGCAAGCTGTGTATGGCCACTAAATGCTGCCCATATCATGACTCTTTTGTCCTTCCATGGTCTGGCTCCAATGAGGTCAGGATTCCACTTATCTTTCTGTGTATAGAAGACCCATTGTCTGTCCTGTCCAGAACCCTCTTGTACTGAACATTCATCACAAAATACCACATTTTTCCATTGCCATTCCTCCCAATTGACATGCTCCAAGGCAAATTAAAGTCTTTGAAGGTGATTTTCTACTGTAAGATAGGGCTTAAGGGGCTGCCTATGCTTTGAAATGCTGTGCTCAGCAAGGCACCTTTTGACAGTCCTCTGGGAGATGTTTGGAACAACATTCAAGTTGATTTTGTGTAAAGTCTGTAGAGGTTTCTGTGTAGCACTGTAAACAAGTGCTTCTTCTTGTTCCTCTGAGGTCTTTTTTGACCTGGTTCTTGGTGTGGATTGATTGTTGACATAGGTTGAAGCCTTTGCAATGGTATTGTATATAGTCTTAACGTTGACCCTGTATTTCTCAGCCAATTCCTTGCACTGAATTTTGCATTTTAATGTGCCAATAATCTCCGACCTCTGATGAGGAGTTAGCTCTTTTCTAGATGTTCTCGGCATTGAATTGGTGGAGATGACTATACATGAAGATTGGGGGGACCGCGACACCTCCGCGATTGTTTTGGTGTTTTCGTGTTGCATTCCCGATCGGCAATCATTCGTGTCACCCGACTGTAGTGCATAAGGGGCCAGGATTAGTGGTTTATAGTTATGACTACAGTTGACCGCTAACACTAAAATTGCTTATATATAGCGGCTGAAACCCTCCCGCCCCCCACACCCGCCCCCAACCTGTAAGGGAATGCGCTATGGCCCGTTTGTTTCTTTGTTGAAATTTATGACTCCTCCAACACCTTTTGCTCGTTCAGCCTGGTAATACTTTTACCAAACGCTCTGTCACAATCCCAATAAAGAGATTAAAAGCAACGTATGCCAACTTGACAGTTTACAACGGCTGAATTCTCTCTCTCTCTCTCTCTCTCTCTCTCTCTCTCTCTCTCTCTCTGAGATATCACAGCGATGGCCAGGGCTATCAATCAATCCATCCAACAAGTAAACTCCAACACCTGGCTCATTTGTGGCCGATTACTTTGCGAACGGATTTCCCGCTCAACAGACGCTGATTGGGACGATGAAGTGGATATAGCAAAAAGTTACCGTCTCACTTTGGATCCTTCTCCAGCTCCCGATAAAGTGACCGACCTGGATTCCCACGACCCTCATATTCAGCTGCAATATGACCCAGGTGGTTGTTCTGCCGTCTGGGCCATTGGAAACAACGCCTTCTGCAAAGTGAAAAGCCTTATTTCAGGTGTCACCCCAGAAAAGGATACACTTGCCTATGTAGAAAACCTACACAATCGCAAATTCACTACCCCCAAAGTCATTTATCACATCCAGCTCGAGGACCGAACCATTCTCATCCTTCAGAGACTGCCTGGTCGGACTCTCGGAGAGGCGTGGCCTACTCTTGATATTCGTTGGAAAGAGAACTATGCCAAAATGATTGTTGAGAGCTGCAAGGACCTCGCTGTGCAGAAGCACGGAAAGCTATGTGGTGTGGATGGTATTAGTGGTATACCTGAAGAATACCTGATCCAGAAGCGTAAAGAGAAGGATTTTTCGTGTACAAATTTGCAAAAGGCATGCGAGCAAATCGGCATGGACTGCTCTGAATTTGTCTTCTACCATGCAGACCTTGGTCCGGGCAATATCATTGTAGAAGATGATCCTCCTCAGAAAGGAACGATTGGGATAATTGACTGGGAAATTGCAGGGTTTTCCCCCAGGGGATAGATTCGGACAAAGTTTCGAATATCGAGTGGACTGGATTTACCAGATGGCTCTTTGGAATGGCGAATATTGGTGCAGGAACTCATGGGAGCCAATAACTTTGAATCACATCTACAGGAGTGGGCGGATTGGTGGGGCTATATAATTAATTGAGTGCTCTGTGGATTTATCAGATGGATAGGTATTGGAAAAGACTGAAACATCCGGATCCAAGAAACTTTGTTCCATAACTGGTTAAATGTTGATCTCCAACACAACCAACAACTACCTAGTAAAGGAGTACCTAGAAAGAAAGGATGACTTTGAGCCTTTGACCAGGTTGTGGAGGATAGGAAGATGGCGAGAAGCAATTTAAGTCGGTCCGTTGCCAAGCTAGGCGGATTAGGTCGTTCAATGGCGGGCACTAACTATAAGGTAGGTAGGGTTGGGGTAAAGTTACCTACATACCCTCGTAACCTCGTTTGTCCCCCGGTCCACTCGGTCGTTTGGATGGGCCCGTCTGACAAAAACTTCGGTCGATACCATAGAGTCAGTTAGAAACCAAAGTTAACTTTAAGAACCAAAGCTAACTTTAAGTACCAGCTCCCAAAAGAAGTTTTCAGGATTCTTATTGGTGCACTTGTCCTATCGATATACTGGCCGAGAAGAAGAACAATTTGGGTAACTTATACTAATATGAATGCCTTTCAACACACTTACACAACACACGATACTCCGAGCCTCTCGCAACAATAAACATCTATGCATATAGGGAATCTAGTGAAAATCATATCGTCCAATCCTCCATCATTCGTGTCATTATATCATCACTGTATCGTAAATATTGGCACCACCCTTTTTCCTTCTCATGCTATGTCCAATCTTTTCTCCATTCAGTTGCTCGGCCGATATATCTCTTATCAGGCTTATACGAAGCATGCAAAGAAGGCAAAACGACAGCAGGCCCAGAGTCTACACACATTTCTTGCCTCTCCAATCGGGCTGATGTCACTGCTCCTCGACTTACAACCATTGCTTTGATCATTCCGAGTTCGCGTCCAGCAACGTACCAGACAAATTTACTTCGATGGTGTTTTGCAAAAGCGGCCGATGCACGTAGAAGTCTCCAGTCTGATAGATTAGATCCGCCGGGTCCAGCATCTTGGCGCCAGTGAAGGGCCAAGGGATGGGTAGAGTCTGATGGCGGAAGAATACCAAGAAATTGCGAACGACATTTCTCAACGCAGGCAGTGAAGTTGTCGCTGCCTTCAAAAGAACGTGAAGACGTTGATTTCAAGGGTGATTTCGACGGACTGGTCGAGGAAAAGCTTGAGCCGCCTCCATTATTTGATGAAAGGATAAGCGTGTTCCATGCTTGACGAACTTTCTCAATATCCTGAACTAGTCGTACCAGAATCTTTCGCAATTCTGCGTCGTCCCTCTGTTCAGACCTCGACTGGACGCTTTTGTACAGCGACACTAGGTCTGAGTCAAATGTAGTCACTTCTCCAAATTGACGAGAAAAGTCACCCAACACTCCTTTGATCATCTTGCGTGCGATTCCAAGTACGAGGTAATCCAAAATATGGTTTGTCGGTCGATTGTTGTTGGGATCTTTATACGCAGGTCTTCGAGGTTCCTTGCCAATCTCTAGTCGGGCTCTGATAGAACGCCAATCATCTTCAGTGAAGACGATACCTTGCTTTGGTCGATCAATCAAGAAGCCAAGTAAAGTCGCCACGGTGATGGAGTCAGAAGTATTCATTGACCCCCTTTCATAACACATATGCTCATGAAAGACGGTGCACATGCCGAGCAAGCTTGGCTCAATACTGAACAAGAAATTCTTAATCAGGAACTGTTGGAAAAAGTCTCGATGGGTGAGTGAGAGGTCCGAAATAGAGGTGCTTTCTTTAGCAATTCCTAGCTCTTTGAGCGTTGGCTGGTCTGCCGGCAATGGTGCGTTCTGAAAACGGCCAACAATGGCTGGATCCCAGCAAATCCAAGGCCGATCACCGTCGTAATCACCACCTGAGAGCATTTCCGCCAAAGGTGTCTGGCCCATCGCAGAAAAGACAATGACATCCTTCAAACCGCGGAGCTCCGGCTTAAAGACCGCTCTCACTTTTTGGATATCTGAAGGCAAATGCGCAGGTAGTCGCGCAACCAGAACATCCACGTTGTGCAGTAAGGTATCTTGAAACATCGAGACTGGATCTTTGAAGCTTGTGGAGAATCCGATATGAACCTCGCCCTCCTTGAGCACTCCCAAAGGATCGCATACACAGAAAGCATAGCAAGACTGACCGACCTCGATATTTAGCTTTTGTTGCAGCCGATCGCAGTCCTCTTTGACCTGCTTCTGCACGATGTCGCTGAAAAAGCTGCACTGCTTAGGATCGAACCCGTTCTAGAGCTGTCGTCAGCGACCTGAACCCACAAGCTGAAGTGTAACAAAATATGGAGTCAACCAGAATCACGGGCTTCGAAATCGTTTGAGCTTACCTCCACACACCACACCATCTTCTCGGCAGGGAATGCAGGTATTGCACCACACCAGGATACACCGTCTGCCTTTCCGTCGATGCGGGTGTCAAGAACCCGGTATGCCTCATGTATCCACTTTCGAAAGCTCAGTGGATCATTCATTGAGGTGACTTGCTCGTCAAGCTGCCTTCGTAGACCCCGTTCTAGATACCCAGCAAGTACCTCTCTAGGTACTCCTCGTTCTTCGAGGATAGGTATCAGCTGGATATTGAGCGAAGCGGAAGCCAATGGTTTCGACCAATCATGGACTTCAAATGTGAGCTTATCTTCTTCAATACACGATTCATCTTCGGCGAATTTAGTTTGAGATACGGTGAGCTCAATCCAGATGTCTCCTCCGTTCCTTTCGCTCAGGACAGAAGCTTTCTCTTCAACGTCGCAGAACCACAAGCCTTTTGCACCCGCGATACGGCCCTGAAACGCGCTGGGAAATACCCCTTGGAGACCTAAGCGCTCGGAAATGATCCATGCTGCTGCTTTTGAAAGCTTTCCACAGCCCTGTATAAAGCGGTAAGCGATAAGCATCCTTCCATTCTGCGCAGAATCTCTTTTTTTGACTCACATCATTCATCACTTTGTGGTACACCCGACCTGTCCCTGTTTCCGTTGAAGGAAGAGTCGATAGTTGATCTGGCACATATTTACGAACTTGGCTTGGCGAAAAGACTATCGTTGGATAGGTCTTTGAGAGCCCCAGATTCATTCGAGCAAAAGCCTTGTGTATTCCCATGCTCTTATTTACTGTTGCTGGCAAAAACCAATTCCAGAGACCTTCGACTGACATTTTCGTGTGGCTGTCGGGTTTTTCGCCCTTGGCTGATATCATCTGGTGAGTCAAGTCAAAGCCATAGCCGTCCATGGCAAAAAGATAGACTAGAAACTTGGCCTCATCAGATGGCCCTTCTTGAAGCTTCTTCTTGCGAGTTCCCTTATCTCTGACAAAGAATGCTTGGTAAGTTCGTCCCATGATCTGATGCTGTTGATTGACCAGCCAATCTACCACCTTTTCACGTAGTGCATCTTTCTCTTTACTCAAATGTTGTGGGATGTCAGACCTAGAGAATGAAGGTAGGCCAAGAATCAGAAACCGATCGTTTCCAAACCTCCTGAGGAGGCGAGAGGAAAGCTCTATTTTCATGGGTTTCAACCGAAAGTGAAAAAGAGGGCCATTCGTGGAACGATTGAACGTCAAATCACCGGTCAAGGCTACCTGGTCAAACATCCGACCAGCTTCATCCCAAGCATCTCTGGGAGATCGCTCAGGCCACGATTTGCCTTGCGCTTGAGCGTTCAAGACAAGCCAATTCCAAAGGCTTTCATAGTCATTAAACGGTATCGTAGCATCGTCTGGAAGTCTGAGGTCGCCGTGTAGCATGAAGCGGTGAACTTCATATCGAACCCGAAAAGGGGCACTGCTCAGATATTCCGGGGGTTCGGCACCTAGAAGGGGGTCAAATTAACCGCACATCCAACTGCAGTAATATTGACTCACCGAAGATATCCTCGTTACTCAGTCTGATTGCATCATTGCTGCGATCTGCCGTCGGGACTTCATTCAAATGAACGTCTCGAAGGGGTCGAGAAAGATTAGAGCTTCGACTCGATGCGTCGTTCATTTGCATTTCCGACACTAAAAGATCTTCGGTCAAAACGGATGACGCGTATTGCGATACACTGTCAGCGTGTAGCCATGCGTTTGCCTCGCAGTCCCTTGCTTTGCTATTCCAAACGGCTTTTTCGAAGTTTTCCTCTTCCTCTGCCAGCTGATGTCTCTGGTCACTGCTATTGAAAGAAATATCAATCTCCGTGGGTACTGTTGACATGGAATTCGTTACCGAGAATGCACTTGTTCTTGAAGCTGTTGTTGTCGAATTGAAGTTGATCTTTGAAATTTGTCTTCCTGTTACGGATCTTTTCCGTGGAGAAGGGCGTCTTACGAGTGCAGATCCTAGGTCTATCATTTCTGGCCTGTATTCATTTACTTGAATGCTCCTCGGAAATTTCTCCACAGTTGCATTTCTAGGCGACTTTCTTGAGTAAGGCTCGTTACCATTGTCACACAGTGGGCGCTTGTGCAAATTTATTTCATCGGTCAGTGATGGCATGGGTACGTGGTCCACACTCCTGGTGAAGAGCATAGGCGACTCTCCATTTTGGGCTCGTTGTGACCGCTGACTGCGCCGCAATGCTACTTCCTCCGTGGGCGATAAGGGTCTTGAAGGTGTTGTCAAATAGCTTTCTGTATCAGAGGAGTTTTCTGGGGAGATTTCGTCTTCTCCGAAGCTGCTGTATATTGTAGCGTCTGCGCTCGACCATTTGCTCCGTCCCCACTCCGTTTTCTCTGATAAAGTCCTTGGCGGATGCCGTGGATCTGGGTGATCAATAAGTACGTTCTTTGATCCGCATACCATTGAAGGTTGAGCAGCGTTATCCTCGTAAAGAGATCTATAGTCTCTTGTATGTGGGTTAGTCACATGGCTGGGCTCTTCACAAATATTGTAATTCACAGGCCTCGATGGGCCAGCTTCGGTGGCTGGGGGCACGTCAGGTTTCAATCGCCATGGCGTTGGACCGGCGTTTTCATCGAGCCCGTCCTTGCTAATCTCAAATTTGGTCCTTAAAAGAGCAGTTTCGCTAACAAGTTGCTCAAGGAAATAGCGTCGTAGCTCTTGAACGAGATTGGAAGATGTCTGTGGCGTTCTGAGAAAGCCTCCGACTGACAATCTCTCCTTGCCTTTGGACTGCTGGCCCGGAATAACATCTGGGTCCTGATCCGGCTTATAAACCCAGTTGGAGATCAATCCTTTGGCATATTCGTCAAGATTCTGGATGGCACCATTTATATCGCCATTTTTAAAATAGAGGAATTTTATATGGCTCAGTATCCTCTCCTCAATCCGATCTCTATTCGGTATTTCTGAGGGTGACCATGGAGCGCCATTGCGGTCTGGCAATTGGAAGTTATATTTCCCATTAAGCTCGTCTATAATTTTCTTGATTCCTCCATCGCGGCGACCATTCGGTGTTTTGGGCGTGGTCATTTGGCATTCCGGCTGCGGCGGTTACACGGTCGGCAGCGATCCAATTCGAAAAGAGGATTGTACCCGTTCGCTGGATCTTTCAGGCGAGTCAGCGTATAGCATAGAGAGCTAAAGTGTCAAAAAAGCATGCTAATTCTTACAAGGCTATCTTTCTGGGCTCTTCGAGGTATCCATTAAAATTCAAAGACAAAGTCCTTCGTGCGAAGGAGTTGATAGTTTGGTGGGGTCCTCACAAGGGCAGCCAGGGCGGCTAGATCAAATCAGAGGACACAGAACCGCACACCCTGGTTGCCTCCAACCCCAAGCAGAAATGTCAGGAATTGACACGACAGACGGGCTCTTACGACGGGATTTTGCAACTCTCATAGAAGTAATTTTGCACCTGCAAGTGTCCGTGTACACGCCCAGCGGAGTTTCAAAACAGTCGTCACAGTGGGGGTTGATTCTTCGCTTGATGTCTCTCAGCGATAATATAAACGAATTTCCCCACACGGTTAACTGTTGATCGGCTGGCCCAGATAGGAAATGTAATTGATCGGCTGTGGTCGAAAGATACGGGAGAGCTCCGGTTTACAGTGCAAGCCATATTATGAAAGCCAATGTTTGTTGCGAAGATACCTAAGCATCAACGGTAGTGTAAAGTTGCCGTAATTGTTCATTTCTATAAAAGCTTAACATTGGAACCACCTATAGGTATCATGGTACATGCGGGCAGAGGATTGAGAAGCTTGGTGGTATGAGGATAGTTAGTAGGCAAGGGTCCGTTCCGAACTGTAGGGATAACACGACCTTTCGTACTTTCTGCTCTCCTCATTCTCCCGTCTCATCAATCAGACGGAGAATATGGGCTCGGATTACCGGCAGTAGTGTACCTCTGTAAATCAATCACCATATCCGGAGTAATGCACCCTTCTTGGGCAGGGCAGTGAAACCGGTGCCCGCGGTATTGACAGGGGGCAATCTACCATGCATATATCACCGCTTCTAGCCAATGGCTTACCGTCACGCTTCCCTCCAACATATCTTGTCCACACTCTCTTATTTTCTCCCACTTTGGCCCCGGTCTTCTCGTGCTTTCCTTGGTTCGCTTAGGATATTAGATCCCGGGGGCCCCGGATAAAACGTATCCCACAGCGCTATGATTTACTCCGCACAAAGAAATATTGCGGTCTGGAGAAATCAACGCATACGAGTGTGATAACGCGCACCTGTAGAGCGCCATGGTTACTCCATGCACATGTGCCCATGCAATGTCCCTCATATGCTCCTCTCTCCACCTGCACCCCTCATTGTTACTTGCTGAGAGCACCAAGATGGACTGCACAATGGCACGTCCGCCTTGACGCTTGAATTGGAATTGCTGACACGAGGGAAAAAATATTCCATTAAGCTGGTGCAGTGCATTAATTCAGTGTCAAAAAAAAATCGTCAAGATATCACCAATTAATTGTCACCAGACTGAATGGAAAAGATAAAAACGATTCTAATCGTCAAATTTTGATTAAATTGGCATCAAAAAGGGCCGATATGCGGTTCCCAAAATACATGAGATATCATAAACATCGTAAGAAAAAAGTACCCATTCCCAATCCGTAAACAATGCAATCTAAACATTTAAGGAAGAACGTAGCCACCGTCGACGACAATGTCGGCACCAGTGGTGTACGAGGCGGCGTCAGAGGCCAAGTAGAGGTAGGCACCAGTGAGCTCGTGGGCCTGACCCTCACGGCCCATGGGGATCTTGTCCTTCCAGATGTTCTTGACCTCCTGGGGAACGAAGTCGGAGATCTCAGTGGCGATGTAGCCAGGGGAGATGGAGTTGGCACGAGCGTACTGAACCCACTCGACGGCAAGAGAGTGGACTGTAGTTTCACTGTTAGTATCGACTTCACTGAAATGTAGGTAGTGCGCAAGAAAACATACCGAGGTGGATGACACCAGCCTTGGCGGCGTTGTAGGCAGCCTGGAGCTGAGGAATGTTGACAATGTGACCGCTCATGGAAGCGGTGGCGACGAAGCTACCGGTGGTGTAGTTCTCGAGCTTCTTGCCGTTGAGGTCGGTGCCCTCAGCGGCCTGACGCTTCCAGTGCTTGGCAGCAGCACGGGCGCAGTAGAAGGTACCGTCAAGGTCGGTGGTGACGACCTTGCGGTAGTGGTCAATCTCACCGTCGATGATAGCACCCTGAGTCCATGGGATACCAGAGTTGGCGATGAAGATGTCGAGACGGCCGTTGAACTCCTTGACGATCTCGTCGACAGCTTGCTGGACAGCCTCAGCGGAGGTGATGTTGACCTGGTAGGCGCGAGCTATTGAAAATACAAGTTAGCGAACCAATTCGCCCAATTAATCGTGGCATTGAGTAGAAACCTACCCTTCACGCCATAGGTCTGCTCAATCTCCTTGGCACGGTCAAGAGCCTTCTTGTTGCTGTTGTACCAGATGGCAACGTTGGCGCCAGCCTCAGCGAGGGCATGAGCGACAGCCAGACCAATACCGGCGCCAGCACCGGAGACGATGGCAGTGCGGCCCTTCAGAGAGAAGAGAGGAAGGATACGACCAGCCTTGGGGGCAGGGGTGTTGTCGTGCTTGAAAAGACCGTTGACAATTGGCTCGGAAGACATGATGAATAGATTAAATTCGTAAAGACGAAGTTAATAAAAGTGAGAAAGTTGATTGATTGGGAAGATTGGGAATGAGAATTGTAGTGAAGATGCTGATGAGATGAGACGGAAGGAGGGAGGGAAGCAGTGCCTTTAAAGCAACTCTCTGGGGGGTTGGATGGAAGATTCGAGGGGAGACGGTAACGTCAGTGGGATGAGAGTTTAGATTTGCTCTTGTCTGCCATTACAGTCTGGGAGGGAATACGTCGACAGCGGGGCCAGGCCGGGGCAGAGGGGCCACTATGCTCTTCCCACGACAGGCGCTATCCACCCCCCACTTACCCGTTTCGCACTATTCCAACCTCCATCCCACCACCCGGACGCACATACACACACCATTATGTTCTCATCCCTCCTGCCAACGCCCAACTTACCGCTCCATCGATGGCGCAAGGCACGTCCTGTACTCGCACAATAATAATGCCGCCCGTGCGACGCCAGGTTTCCCCCGCCGGTATAGGAGGGTCCTTGGTCCTTCTCGGACCAGCGTCGGGCTTACAACAACTGAATTGACCCATGAGGCGGTGGGTCTCTGACTACTGCACTCCAGCCTCTCGCTGAACACTGTCCGAATGGCCCGTGGGGCTACCAGTCCTGATGGAAAACGAAAAATAGATCATGGTCAGTTCAGTAATCCTTTTGCCAAGAGGCTGCTCAAAACAAGAAGCCGCCAATCCAAATGTGAATACTCCTGTCTACACTGATCTCTAATATTATGACACTCCATGCTGACTATTTCTTAATCATCATTTCATAAACAGAACTTGGAGGGTGTTGTAATAATTTCAAAGAAATTGTGGACGAGGTATAGATAGATGCCCGCCAAGAGAAGTCAAAAAAAGCTTTCTCGTGCTCCTATTTTTCCGCCGTCTCACCAACATACAAACTATCTCAGTTGTTTGCTTCCGTTCCGACTAACTTAGGTCAAGGCATCGGATGCGGATGCAGCAGAAGCAAAGGGGGAAAAGTAGCTTCAAGGGGTGGGTTGCATGTGAGTTAGGTAGACTGAACAGACAGCTCGAGTGATGCTCAACGAGAGGTCCGGATGAAGTACCGAAGACATGATCTCATTGCTTGCTTTAGCGTAGATTCAAGAGTTGGGGAAGCGGATGGCGGATTGCAAGCTTGCCCGTCGTCAAGGTAACGAAGTATCGAGTACTTTCTGTGCCTGAGCGTCTGGACTGCTCCATGAAACTCGATGGGGCGTTGCTCGAATGGCGTGCAGTAAAAGAAATGAAAAGGACCCATAAACTTAGTGCCGTAATAGTAAGAGGAGCATCAGGAGGGATATTTGCACCGACTTTACCTTCGTACGGGGCAGAGAGAGTCGTGGATGTTCATGGACACTCGTAGATGTTGAATGTGGACACAGCGTGACGTCGTCTTAATGGGGGTAACTGGTACCGAGTACCAGGAGTACTTTCGACCATGACGTCGAGCTTAGCGCGCTCATCAACACGTAACCGCCTCGCTCCAAATAGACACCTCTTTGGTCGCTGAGACTCAAGAGGACGACCTCGGTCAAATTTGGCATTTTAACCCCTTGAAGAATATCGTTTTCAATACATATTATCAGTTCTTGCTTAAGTTGCTTCATGTATAATCTAGCCGATGATTCTGATTCTCTTTGGACCTTGGTTGTTGAATTCAGAAACTACATACGGTGGTGCGCGGTCAGAAAGTACTCCGGTAGTGGCCCCAGAGCTCAGCTTAAACTACTCCGTACTGTAGATATCCATTCAAGGAAATTTAGGCGAGAGCTCGTTTCTCTACTAAAACGGAAATTTTCTGAAAGAGGTTAAACAGCCGAGTTTCCTCTTCACGTATAACGTACTCCGGTATACTCTTGGTTGCTCTCCCGTCCCCGCCTTCCCCAATCCAAGCGTCCACTGACAATACCCATTCATTACGAAACGTTCGACCCATTCAATTACTTGTGCCCACTTTATATTCTCTGACGAAGTCATTACACAATCATGGCAGCAAAAAGGAGTCCACTCCGTAGTGGCAACTAGTGAATAGCCCACCTTGTGTAAGCATGATGGCAATGTCTTGACAGGAATTGAGATTCCCCACTCTTCCCCCAAGCCTTTGCATTCAGACAGGGGGAAATCAGAGTAACGCCAAAGTCAGGAACACGATAACGTTTCATGACTAAGCGATCGACGATCAGACCCCCTACTTGTCAAACGAAACAAACATTCCCCTGCTCATCTCCCGGACTTGGTTCCGAATAACAATGAATTTCACATCAAACCATTTGTATGCAATCAACAAAGCTCATGGTGAATATTTGCCAACGTGCATCTACCGAATAACCTTTGATTTGATGAGCTTTTTCGTTGATATTCAAAATGAGTACTATCAATAACAAAATTATTATTGTTACTAACAACTAGAAATGATTCTTCACGTGTTTACAAATGACAGGTCTTACCTGCTGTAGAGAGGATCTTCTACTCTCAGTCAACTTCAAACCATGAGCACACAGCTTGAAAAGCCAGTAGTATGTCTGGGTATCCTATCAGGTCATCTGGCAATACGGTCTCGTCAGTCTTCACAGCTCACGTTCTCTTGGCCATTTCTCGTGCTTATCCCTTGCTTCCCTAACAACTCAGAAAGAGGGGCGCCTGGTGATTTTGCCGGATTAACGTCTCGTCCGGTACATTCCTTTCATGATGCTTATTTCCTGCATTCCGATGGCCCAAAGTGGTCGTCAATTTCTATACACTCGACTATGTCGTCGCGATGTAGGGTTTCCTATTTGCCTTCCGCTGTGATTTCCGTTTTGTTTTGTTGCGCTGTTGATTTGGGGATCAACGCCGTGTTCTTGACGCGCGACGGGCATTGCGTTTTGGTGTGGGCTCACTACAAGGCAGATTCAATACAACAAGAGCAGTCGCAGCAATTCATCACGAGGCACAGCCCAGGGGACCAAAGTTTGGAGAGAAGCGTAGAAGCCCAACAGTCATGCGCTACGAAGTCATCGAACAACAAGAGTTAGGGAGTTTTCGGCGTCGACTAAGCACTCTGTGAAATCGAAGCCGGCATTGCCAGCTCTCGGCATCGTTAGGCTATTCATTTCACGCTGAGATCGGGAAAAGATCCAGCTTTTGGTGTATGGGTTGGCACAAAACGAGATTCGGACTACATCTGGATATTCTGCGACGATGCCGGTCTTAGAAGCCCGCGTAGCCTCATCCGCATCTCCAGTTCAAACTACCAGTGCAGGCGCCGTTATTGGTATCGCAATCGGAGTTTCTGTGGCTTTGTTCTTTCTCCTCTCCGGTGTCCTATTTCTCAGTCTGCATGTTCGACATAAGCGTCAACGCGCCGCTGTCACAGAGGCAGCACTAAACAGGCGCCTGTCCACGTATCCTGGGGGCCATTGCAGCATTTTGGAAGATGAACATGGCTCTTTGACCAAGCCTAAAATTGCTTTGCCGCGAGGTTCCAGTGCACCGTACAATAGCCAAGAAGGGTGGGATTTATTGTCCTCTCGAGAGGACTTACCGGGTCAATCCAACGGGAACGGTAACGATGAGACCGTGCAGGTAAAGCCAGCTCGAACAAACCGAACTTCTCAGTTTTCTTGGCCGCTTCCGCGCAGAGCTACACTTGGTGTCTCTTTTCCTCTGCGTCAAATACGAGGGTCTCCGCTCTCAGCTATCACCGAGAGCCCTCGAACGCAATCAACAGCCTCACCAAGGATAGGTATTGCTGAGCTGCCGGCTGGTCTTCCTAGCTCGCCCTTGCAGTCAGCTGGGGTGAGCAGCGGCTCGTTGGGAGTGTATGATAGCTTGAAAGCCTCCCATGACTTTACCTCCCAGGATTCTTTGAAACCAAAACCATTATTCGATCCCTATCTCGGCGGCAATTTGTCTGATGCACGTCCGAAACGGACACAGAGTCGTTTACAGCGGGCAAAGACCACCAGCACTGAGTATCTTGTGTACCGTCCTGGAGATGGATCTATCAGGCATTCTTTGCCTGTTCGATCATTCAGCTGGGCCAGCCAAGCCTCAGGCAATCCTCCGGAGCGCCCAGTTCCACCTCTACCTGCTGAATCCAATCCAAATAGAAAGAGCTACCACCGAAACAACAGTCAACAATCATCACGGGCTTCTGCCGTATCCGTTGACTCTGCTGGCAGCTCGATCCTTGGAGCAAGTCCGACAAGATCAGGTTCACGGAGCGGAACGCATCCGATGCTCATGGAGTTTTCCTCCTTCCTTCCAACTTCTGGGCATGGTCAGGATGCAAGTCAATATCGACGGTCCTCAAATATTTGGAGGTCATCCTCAGTTGTAGGACTTAGGCCGCCACCTGGCAAAATACCCCTTCACAGCCCTCGCATGCACCTTGGGCCAGGATCTGTGCGTGGCAGCATCAATATGCACAGTCGGCGTCCTTCCATTGATCAAAACATGGTAGAGGACGATCGATATCATTACCTGGAAGTAGCTCGAAGTACAAGTCAACGCTCTCGAATGCAACCTTCTCCGGCTCCACCCCAGCGAAGCCGGAGCCAAGGGTCGAGCCCCGCTTATAGCAGACTGCAAGCTTCTCCTTCCCCGTCGCCCACCCGGTCGATTCCAGAGGAGCCTCAATCGATGATATCCAGCCCCAACCACTTATACCGTAATATTAGCCCTGATGGATACCGCTCTAATACAGACTCAATGGTGCCTTTGAGGACCATTTCAGGCAATCAGCTTAATCAGTCCCCTGGAAGAACACCGTCATTACAATCATCGGTAGCGGATACAAACCCCTTTCATTGGGACTCTGTACCCTTACAGACGGGGAAGCCCTCTGCTATGAAGGGAAGCCCGAGAGCTCGAAGAGGCCACAGACGTCAAAATTGCGTCCGCATTTCCAGTCAAGCGCCAATGGTCATCAGCGGCAAGGTTGTCCATCCTCAAATGGAGAGACCAGAGTCCAGAATGTCGCAGCAGGGGCTTGAACAACGTTATTTTGCGTACGGAAACCAATTGATGGCGGGCCGTCTGTCTATGATCAGCCTTGACCCACGTCATCCTACCCCTGTTCAGATGTCTTCTCCCGATTGTTCACCCCCTCGTAATCTATCAAGGTCACCAGGGTCAGGCTCGGACTGTGTGTCCATAGCTTCAAGTCCTCAAAGGTCACCTTCACGGCTTTCGACTGGGTCAGATGTCTTTTCCCCCCAGAGTTCTCGCCCCCTTTCGGCGCTGCAGCCGCGCCAGCAGCTCCATCCGTCCCAACGTCTCTCAGTGTCTAGCGGCCTCGGACAGCATCCCATCTTTGCATTTGCAAATGCCTCCCCATCCCTATCCCCATCCCCGCCTGCACCCCGACCTGCGAGGAACCACCAGTTGAGAAATCTGAAAGAGCCACCAGCGCCTCATAATCGTTTAATCTCCCCCATGCTCTTGGCCAACTCTGGGCCTCCTATCTCAATGTCCCCCCCTCGTTCATTAAGTAGTAATCGTCTGATCCAATCTCAATCCCAATCCCATCGTTTGTCACACTCTGGATCCCACTCACATTCCCGCACCCGAACTCGCTCGCAATCCGCTATACAGGGCCCCCGCAGTCCACCTCCGCGAGACCTGCGCAAATCCATTATTGCTCTTCGCCGCATGAATTCGGAGGCGACAGATGACATTATGGATCCAAATTCGGCGCGATCCAGCCGGAGTTATCTCAAGTTGAGCACTCCACCGCCGGACCTGATGGCAAGGCCAAACAGCCGCACCAGCCTCTCTGCAGTCGGTGGGTCTGGCCTGAGACACAGTCTGATGAATCTTGCTTCGTCCACTGTCGGTGGTTACTCTCGGCCTCAAAGCATTGCCAATAATCGCCGCAGTCTGCTCCGAGTGAATACGGCCAATATCTCTAACCCAACGGCGGTCAATTCGGCTTCAGCTTCGAATCTCGTCAGTCCCACTTTTATTGCCACCGCCACCAGCGCCGTCTCTGCTACCGGCTCACTGGATATTGTTTCTCCTCTTTCTGCATCCAATTCAAACCCTGGTCGCAGTCCTGTCTCTGCAGCCACATCTACCTCCCCACCGACCGCGGATAAGTCTGCTTCAGCTACATCATATCCGAACCCGCTCAAGTCCCATCCTCCTAATGCAAAGCTGTATAGTCCCGTCAAGAACCCAACGGGTCAGAATGGTTCATTGAATGAGACAATTGCCCAGACTGTCCGGGCTGTTCAGGCAGACCAGAAAGACCAACCCCCGAATCAGGATCCGAGCCAGAAGAAGGATGACAAAGGTGCCGGCTCCGGATCTGGACCCCAGACCCCAGTCTCCGAAGAACCGGTATCATCCGAATCGTCTTCTCAAACAGAGCAGAATCAAGCCGTCAAGGATATTGCACGCCGCATGAGTGCGCGAATCGAGCGAGCACCCGAACTCAGCACGCCGAGTCCAACCAAAAGTCCCGTGAGATCACCTTCCAGTCCTACGAAGCCTGGAATGAGCCCTACACGTGAAGGACCTGGTCCGGTTGCTCTGAAGGGTCGTGTGGGAACATTACGAGTGACTGCGCCTGAAGGCAGTGGGAAGTCTCCAACCACGCCTGGCAGTTTGTACGATCAGAATGGATTCTTGAAGGGATAACTTTGTACTGAATTTCACCTACTGGCTTTGGCGTTTTGGATTTCCCTACAAGGTAGGAACAGGTATAAGTAGGCCATGCGGGAGCTTGGAATCTGGTCTGAGTGTCGGCGCATAGGGCGTCTTTGGATGATTTTAATATTGCCATATACTGGCCGAAGATAATTGGAGCTAACTAACTTTTTCATTTCGAAAGCGTAATATGTAATTATAACTTTCTTGGTTCTTCTTCTCTTCTTTCATTTTCTTCCATCTTGTATTATTTACTTTATTTATTCTCTTTTCAAACTTTAACCTCTTGATCAAATCAGCATGGGGCATCGGGAAGAGTATCATGATCTCTTTGTCCCGTAACAATCAACACCATAAATCATAACCTCGTAAACCCTTGACAAACACATTTACAAATCACACTCCCTCAGTCAACTCCTTGACCCACAAACCGTAATCAAACGAATTCAAGTCCTGTCAAAACCCCACATCTAAATTAAAAATCCCAAATCCCCCAAATCCTACCTTCCAAAGGATTAAGGATAGCAAAAAACCTTCTCCGTCGCAGTCGCCGTCGTGGTGATACACGCCCACGTATAATCATTCGAATCCGTCATGACCCCGGCCCCCGCAAAATACGGATTACACCCTCCCGCCGTGCTCAAAAAAGTCTCAATCGTGGACGCCACATTGATCGGGCTGCCCTGGGTCGGGGACACTCTGCACACCATATCCCAGCCATTCGGCAGCCCGGGGACATATTTCAGCTTGGTATAATCAGCGCGATCCAGCCCCGACAGGATATCCCGAATCGTCTGCTTCTGGGGCACGCATAAGTGGATATGGATCTGCTCTTCGGTGCGCGACGCCACGGAATTCATCGCCAGCGCGCCCGCAGCGCGATCGTAGTTTTCCTGCGCAAGCCTCCACCCGCCGTCCGGGTCGGGGGCTTGGTCGAGTTCCAAAATCCCGGGGATAAGTTGCGTGGTGGTCACGAGCAGGTGCGAGTTCAGGAGCATCCAGATCGGAGAGCCCTTGTTGGGCGAAGGAGGGTCGCTGGCGATGCAGTTCGTCACAAGCCCGTTCTCGAGCCGGTGGATGCATGTGCAAAGCCCCCCGAAAAATAGGTTGCAGGCCGAACAGATGCTGTTGGACTCGACGCAGCCGTGCCCGCACGCGGCGAGCTGCCCGTCGGGGATGATCTGCAGGATCCCGCCGCAGGAGACGGGGCAGGGCCCGCAGCCGGCGCTGCTGGAGGAGCCGACGCAGTCGCAGCCCGTCATGACGTCCATGCGGGAGATTTGGTCCTGGGTGCATGAGGCGCTGTGGGAGGTGGGGATGAAAGTGAGGAGGGTGAGGAGTGTGAAGAGAGCGAGGATGTTGAGGGGAAGTAGGAGGTTGTATAGGTGGTGAAGTGCCATTTTTGGTTTATGTTTGTTTTATTTCATGCCTTTGTAGAGATGTCGCTGGATATTTGACGATTTGTCACAGGTGGAATTAATATAAGAGGAAGTTTTGGAGTAGAGCGGGAGAGGGAGGACATATCGTATATAATTCATCTGGTGCCATTCGGAGTTTTTTGGGAATTGAGATAAAAGTTAACCTGAGGTGGTTAAACAATCTAGGGAGGATGTTTAGATTTACTGTGAGCAGGTTACCAGCCTTCTTGATCAGCCGGCTTGTTGTGAGAGGTTTTGTAGAATTATTTTTTGTTTCTGAATGCGGGAGTCCCGCATCGCGAAAAATGGAAACTAGGCCAGTTCAATATTTTTTATTCAAGGAGATGATGGTGGTTGGTATGCCAAGCCAGCGGACTCAACTCCGCGTCTTTTGTATCCTTTTTATACTTTTCCCCTTTTTTTAATGGATAGCCAAGGTTGATGAAGAAGAAATGAAAGTAAAGAAATGAATTCAAGTGGAAGAGTAAAACGTAAATCCAATTGGATCCATTCTGCTCTACTCTCCCGTTCGACGCCATTTGGTCTCTGCGTTGTCGCCTTCTGCTGTCGCGTTTCCCTCGCCATCTTCTTCATCTTCTCCGCGGGGATGCACTGACCCAGCGCCGGGGCCAAGAGGTTGGTTTTCGATTTCGTTAGTCGCGGCGTCGGTACTAGTATTCTCCAGCTCTGCCTCCCGCGCCATTCTCTGCCCTATCGTCTCCCCGCGAGGATTTCCGTCCTCGTCAAAGTACTCGTTCACATTCTCTGAAGTGATCCACCCGCCACCGGCCAGTTCTGCGGGAAAATCAAGAAGCTGAGGTTGTTGCTGTTGGTCACCTGAGAGTTCGACGCCGCCCTCGGGACCGCCAATTATGGTGATCCCCGCTCCAGCTCCCCCTCCAATCCCCGCTATACCAGTGCCGCCTATTATTCCGCCTGCGCCAAGAGTTCCGACGCCGTCGCCTTCTTCGTCCGACGCATCAGGGTCAAAGTCCGGATGTAAGTCTGCGCACGTAGAGACTGCTGTGAACAGAGGCGTTATTGGTGAAGAAGAGTCGGAAGAGGATTCGGTTTGGGGTGCTGGTGAGGGCTGAGCGGGCGTCTCTGAGGAGGAGGAGGCGGCTGCTTCATTGGTAGAAGAGGTGGAAGGAGTGTGAGGCGGAACAATAGTCACGTCAAACGTTGAGAGGTCTTCAGGGTCTTGTACTTCGGCTTCGCTGCTTGATGCGAGGACTTGCATATACAGGCCTTGTACTTCGGCTGCTTCGGAAGTGGTTTGGGAGGGAAGACGCAGGCGTTGCACGGCGTGGAGGGGTATGGCTGGGTATGGAATGGATAAGCCGGTGGCCTTGGCACTGTTGTAGAGGATGAGATTCCTGCGATTGAGCTATTAGCTTTATATCGATAATTTCGCAGCTTAAGTCTTCACAGAGCCAAAGATGCCTAAAAATATGAAACTATAGAACACGTACTCTGTCGTCACCCACACATCGAAGCCATCGAGGACAAGGTCGTTGGATGTGCTAGATGATGTAGTACTCTCGCCATTTGTAGCGGCAGAGCCATTGACTCCGGTATCATCAGCTTCCAAAGCTGGCTTCCCATGTGCAAGCTCCGATGCGATTGTGAACTCCTCAATGTCTGCCTTGGAGAGAACGACATGGGCGTTGGAAGTGTGATAATGAAGAATGGGCTTGTTGTCGTGATAGGTCTCGGGTGTCTGGGTTTCATGTTCGGACAGGGCGACGAATGAGGATGCAGCTGGTGCTGCGCGAAGAATTTCGACCGTCATGATTGAGCTATAATCTCTCTAACAGCGACAAGGAAAAGTTTATGGAGATGATTTGCTGAGTTAGAGAGCTTTCGTTCAGGTTCCTTTATTTCTGCCGCGCCCCAAATGGCGGGACGAGAGGATTACGGGAGACGGTTGAAGCTCTGTGTGCACAATTGCTCACCGCCTTGGACTAACCAGAGTCGACGGAGATGGTCCAGTGGGTATGAACAGTACTGTGAATATGCAGAGTCCTGATTGATATTATGCTATGTGGACATTATGCATGTTGAGAAATAAGAATGAGACAGCACTCAAGTGAGAGACCAAATTCGTGACACCAACTGGTCATCGTAGTCCTAGCCCTCCAAACGCGCGATCTAACTCTTCTCCTTCCCCGCCATCACCACCAGCTGGAACATGTCGTTGTAGAGGAGCCAAACCCTGCCCTATCATTTGTAAATCTTCCTGGGCTGATGCATTCTGATCTGCTGGCTCATTTGGCTGTGCCTTCTTCTCTGGCTCGAGAAGTTTGGCGTCGCTATCTAGCCAGCCCGGTGCAATCTTCCGTTTCTCCGCCAGGTCCTGCTGCTTGACATCCTCGTCATACTTTCTCAGTGTCTTCTCAGCATCGTCACGGAGCTTCTCAAGGTGTGATTGCAGCGCCCGACATGATGCGATAATGTCATCAGGATGGGCAGCGTGGCCGCTGCTTGACACTACATATTTGGGCTTCTCGGCGCCGCCAGTTGGGTCATCAATGATAGATGGGGGAAGCGTCGAAGGTAGTGACTGATACGTGTAGGGCAGAGTGTTGGCAGTCGGGAGAGAGACGAATGGAGAGACTGTCAGCGGGACCTGAGCGAGGAGAGGATGTGGTCCTATAATGGAGATGGAATGGTTAGAGCGATATGTCCCACACGGGTAGAAGCATTGCACATGTCAACTTACGACCTTCATGCATCTTGAGTAATTGGTAGTAGTGACAAGAGTCGAGAAGATCTATTTTATTCTCTCAGCAAATAGTGCTATTCTGTGACTGATGATATAACGGTGAGGATGATGTTGAAGATGGAAAGACATGACACGTGCTACAGCAACATGGTCGCACACGACAGTATCGCGTCATGACTTGGAGTATATATTATACGGAATATATCCAGAAGATCTGATTAAATTTATATATCATTCAGAAATTCATATTTTTTTCTATAATTCGTACACAGTGGCCTAATACGAAAATGCAAGAAATACTCAGTATCAATCATCAAATTCGTCCTTGTATAGCATCTAGTGTTAAGAAGAGAAACGGAATGATTACAGACAAGACGTCCATACATGGGAATGGTAGTAATTCGTATAATGAGTTTAAAGAAAGGAGACGAAGAAGGATAACTAGACAAGATCCACTTCGTGTTAGGAAAAAGGATTATAATTAGTTCGTTTTGTGGGTTCTTGTTGGTGGATTTTGGTCCCTGAACTTTTGGTGTCCTTGAACCCCCTCAGCCATCAATTCGCCCCCCTCACGTCCTCTTTCAGCCCTACCTCTCCTGAATTTCCGGCTTTTTCTTCATACCTTTTCGCCTCCGATACAAGATTCTCAGGAGTCGACAAACATTGAGGAAACGCTATAACTCCAGGCCCTGGTGGATCCCAAGTTGTCCAATTGCTGAGTCGTGATTGGGTGCGATACGAGCGGTGGAAGCTGCTGCTGCTGATCCGGTGGAAACTCCAAATACGAGAAATACCATCCTCCACCCACACACCATCTACACCTTTCTTCTCAACGCCACTCGGTCGTGACGCTTTCGCAGACGCTCTCGACTCACAGTACAAGGCGATATAGAAGTGTTTGATCAATTCGGCCAATATGGACGGCGAAAATGTCCCTCTTAACGCAAGATCGGCGCAGGCGTCGAGCATTCAACTGGATAATGCACTCAGGGTCCTGCATGAGAAGCGGCCGCCGCCTGAGATTGACTTTACCTTACACACCATGGAAGATGGCTCGCAAGTGAGCACGTTAGAACGAGTCTGCAAAGGTGAGGAAACAGCAACATGGTCCTGTTCAGTTTGACGCCGCTAAAGGGGCAAATCTGCTTTGCCTTCGCCGTATTGTCCTTGTGGACTTATATCATTTTGCTCTTGTGCTGCTCCTAATGGAGTATCATACAATTATCCTTTTTTTTTTGTTGTCACAGAGTTCTGTGCCTCTGCTAATCAATATACATCTCTAGACGTACAAGCACCCGCAGTTCACCCGCCTACCGACGAGCAGTTCTTCTCTCCCCATGACCACTCCAAGCCCAACATCCAATTCCTGAAGCAGCACTTTTATCGCGAGGGTCGCCTGACTGAGGAGCAAGCTCTATATATCATCCACAAGGGTACAGAGATTCTGCGGTCCGAACCCAACCTGCTTGAAATGGACGCTCCGATCACCGTGTGCGGTGACGTCCACGGCCAGTATTATGACTTGATGAAGCTCTTCGAAGTTGGTGGCGACCCCGCCGAGACAAGATATTTGTTCCTTGGAGACTACGTCGACAGAGGTTACTTCAGTATCGAGGTAGGTGAACCAATTCCCGGTGGCGAATAGAAGCCGGAAGAACAAACATGCTGATTTTGTCTTGTATCCAGTGTGTTCTATATCTGTGGGCACTCAAAATTTGGTACCCCAACACGCTGTGGCTGCTCCGAGGAAATCACGAATGTCGACACTTGACCGACTATTTCACTTTCAAGCTTGAATGCAAGCACAAATACTCCGAGGCCATCTACAATGCTTGCATGGAATCCTTCTGCGCTCTTCCGCTCGCCGCAATCATGAACAAGCAGTTCTTGTGCATCCACGGTGGTCTCAGCCCCGAGCTGCATACTCTTGAGGATATAAAAAGCGTATGGAGCTCAGTTTCCATCTGGTCAATGAAATTGCCGCTGACCATATTCTGCACAGATTGACCGCTTTCGCGAACCACCCACCCATGGCCTCATGTGCGACATCCTTTGGGCCGATCCGCTTGAGGAATTTGGCCAGGAGCGAACGTCCGAGTTCTTTGTCCACAACCATGTTCGGGGCTGCTCGTACTTCTTCTCGTATCCTGCGGCTTGCGCCTTCCTGGAGAAGAACAATCTCCTATCTATTATTCGCGCTCACGAGGCGCAAGATGCCGGCTACCGCATGTACCGCAAAACCAAGACGACCGGTTTCCCTAGTGTCATGACCATCTTCAGCGCCCCGAATTATTTGGATGTCTATAACAACAAGGCTGCCGTCCTCAAATATGAGAATAATGTCATGAACATTCGACAATTTAGTACGCAAATTAGCGCCTTCAATTACCTTTTTTCCTTGAAGCTAATTTGTAAATTTCAGACTGCACACCTCATCCTTATTGGCTGCCAAATTTTATGGATGTCTTCACTTGGTCCTTGCCATTCGTCGGAGAGAAGAGTATGTGCTCAATTATCCCTGGGTAATGCGCGTGTTTGTTTATCTACTAACAACGCTGTAGTCACCGACATGCTCATCGCCATCCTCAATACCTGCTCCCGGGAGGAGCTGGAGGAAGAGACACCGAGCTCGGCTACCTCAGGTCCCGCCTCGCCCTTACCAAGTGACCCTGACTCTGTCGAATTCAAGCGTCGCGCCATCAAGAATAAGATTTTGGCTATTGGCCGTATCTCGCGTGTCTTCCAAGTACTCCGAGAGGAGTCGGAGCGTGTCACCGAACTTAAGACCGCCTCGGGCGGCCGTCTCCCCGCGGGTACTCTGATGCTTGGCGCGGAGGGTATCAAACAGGCCATCAACAGCTTTGAAGATGCTCGCAAGGTTGACTTGCAGAACGAACGCCTACCTCCGACCCAAGAAGAGGTCGCTCGACAGAGTGAAGAGGGTCGGAAACAGGCGCTTGATAAGGCGAATCGTGACGCTGAGAATGACGTTCAAATCAATAACATTGCTCGACGGATTAGCATGTAAGTGCACGCCCTGTGCTACAGAAGTTTATATTGCGTACTCCTTGCTCACATCTTTCCAGGTCCGCTGGTGGAGGCCGGAGCAGAGGCGCTGCGAGAAGCACTAACCCTTAACTCATGATTTCTCTCCTTTTCCACGTAACCTCCAAGTCACGGGAATACCCTCTGGCAAGCTTTGAATGGTTTCTTTCATGATTCGGTTTCGAATAGGACCAGCATTATCTTGTCTTCTTGTGTCGATATGTAATGATCCTTGGCTTTTGGTGGGAACGCTGTGCGTCATACAAAGCTGAGAAAGTCCCTCACGAAGTTCCATATAGCATGGTTGTTCATCGGCTGTCATTTTGAGTCATTGGTTTGGCACGAGAAGCACTGTTACTGATTTTTATCTACCCTGTTTCGCTGTGGATGTGAGGCAATAATACCTACAATTTGATATTATATATGTTGTATGTCGCTGTCATTCCGCTGTTCAAAAGAGCAATCATGATTGGTGCAATTTTGCCATGTGAGTTACTGTGGGTTGCCGAAATGACTCAATGGCGCAAGATTAGTCACATTTCGTTACCCTCCTTTGCTTGCATTGTGACTCCAAAACTGTCTCCGAAAATAATAGTTCCCTAGCTTAAGGCGGGCAGTCATTCTTCATTTCATACGAGGCATTATTCGTGCAGCTGAGGCCAGTTCCTTAGCTTCAAATATACCCTGAATTGGTCTTTTTTCATGACCTTTCCCTTCCTTTGCCGTCGTCTTTATAGCACCTACAGTTCACCAACCAAGGCACCACATATCCTTGAAAGTCGAGTCTCGCGAGAATTTCGGCCTCTTTATTTTAATTCATTCAGCCCCGCTCCTGTAAGGGCTTCTTTCTCGAGTGTACATAAGAGAGGATCCCACGAGACCGCCAGTCATCCAAATTACAGATCGCAACCCTTCGTTGCTGCAGCCACAAGATCTCAATTTCATTCGACCGCCATGGCTACCGCTTCGCGACAGCAGCCGCCATGGCAAGCACCTGCGCCGCCGTCGGCAGATGCCCGTGTTCCACCGCTCAAGGTCTATAATTCATTGACTAGATCGAAGACGCCGTTCGTTCCTCTTGACCCGAGCGGCCGAAAGGTTACCTGGTATGCCTGCGGTCCGACAGTCTACGACGATGCTCATCTGGGACATGCTCGAAATTATGTCAGTACGGATATTATTCGCAGGATAATGCGTGACTACTTCAAGTTTGACTTGAATTTCGTCATGAACATTACGGATGTGGATGACAAGGTGCGTTGGAATATTTATCCTCTAGTATACGTTAGGTCCACGCTGGGACTTCAATGGAGAAGGCCTGTGGGAGACAAAGAGTGCAATGCGAAAGAGACTCTGGGGAAGTACAGCAAGTGTTTTTGCTGAGGAAGGTGGAAAGGAAGGGGCGAGGTTCTAGCGGATACCAGCGGAAATTGCTTCAGAAGGGCATTGGTGGATAAAGTCTGCTAATTCCATTTACCAGATTATTGTCCGAGGCCGACAGCAGCACCTGCTGGGCGAATTTACCTCTAAACACAGCACGATCGATGACCAAGTCATCAAGACTACGCTGGAAGCCTATAACGCCTATGCGAAGAAGAATCTTCCTGCCGTGGCAGGCGTCGAGCCAGAGCAATTTGTCCAGGCGGCGAACAAGGAGTATGGCAATATTCTCAGCGGAGGAACGCTTTCAGGGGAGGGCACGCCAGGCGACAAGGAGGCCAAGGTGAAAATGCATTTAAAGACCATGACGGTCGCATCGGAGGCACTCGTTGCCGCCCGGAAACAGCCTGAGTCTGTCTCTCAGGAGGATTTCTATTCCAAGACGAGTGACGTCCTGCTTGGCTACCTCGACAGCTTGTACGGATCGACTATAAATGCCGACGACCACGGTATCTTTACGAAGTTGACGAAAAAATTCGAAGGACGCTTTATGGAGGACGTCCGTGCATTAAACTGCGTCGACCCAGACGAAGTTACAAGAGTCACCGAGTACGGACACCAAATTGTCTCGTTTGTCGAGAAGATTGTCAATAACGGATACGGCTACGTGACCTCGGATGGGTCAGTCTACTTTGACATCAGTGCCTTTGAGGCCGCAGGCAACAATTACGCCCGTCTGGAGCCGTGGAACCGGAATGACAAAGACCTGCAAGCTGATGGCGAGGGCTCGCTGACCAAGAAGACGACCGAGAAGAGATCAGACGCCGACTTTGCGCTCTGGAAGTCCTCAAAGCCTGGCGAACCGAGCTGGCCGAGTCCCTGGGGAAGAGGTCGACCCGGCTGGCATATTGAATGCTCAGCCATGGCATCAGACGTGCTCGGCAGCACTATCGATATCCATTCAGGTGGTATCGACCTCGCTTTCCCTCACCACGACAACGAGCTGGCGCAAAGCGAGGCCTATTGGCTTGAGCACAAGGACAAGTGCTCTCACCACCCCCACCAATGGGTAAACTATTTCTTCCACATGGGCCACTTGTCGATCCAGGGATCCAAAATGTCCAAATCCCTCAAGAACTTTACCACCATTCGCGAAGCGCTTGACCGTGGAGACTGGACCCCGCGGGCTCTTCGAATCGTCTTCTTGCAAGGCGGTTGGAAAGAAGGTGTTGAGATTACCGATGACGTTGTCAAGGCAGGCAACGCGTGGGAGGAGAAACTCAACGTAAGCCACACATTTTTTACCGTTTTGGCTAGACTGATACTGATCACCTGTGTTTAGAACTTCTTCATCAATGCCAAGGACGTTGTCAACTCGTCTGAATCCGCCGAGTCTCAGTCCACCCAATCCACACAAGATCACGAAATCCAAGCCAACCTCCGCGCCGCGCAGACGGCCGTGTACGATGCGCTCTGCGACTCCTTCAATACCCCCCTTGCTATGGCTATCATTTCCGACCTCATCACCAAGTACAACTCTGCCGACAAATCCGCCGTCGGCGTAAACACCACCGCCGACGTTGCCCGGTGGATCACATACATGGTCAACGTTTTCGGCCTCGATGTCGCCGGCCTCTCCCCTCTCCCAGCAGACTACAAGGAAATCCCTACATCCCGCATCGGCTGGTCTGGCATCGACATTCCCGACGCCGCCAAACCCTTTGTTTATCCTCTTTCCGCACTCCGCGACCAACTCCGCCAGAGCGCAAGATCCGCCAGTGGTCTCACATCCAAAGATCTCACCAACATTCTTTCCACCTCCGAATCTGCTCCTGCCTCCGCTTCTGCTGACGCCTCCTCATCCTCTCCTTCATCTTCCAAATACTCTACTGTCCTCTGTACATTCCGCAAGGATGTCCGCTCCCTTGCCACCTCTCCTCAAGAGACAAACGCCGCCGTCCCGCCCAAGGATATCCTCTCCCTCTGCGACCGCGTTCGCGACCTCGACCTCTGGGATCTCGGCATCTACCTCGAAGACCGGGACTCGGGTGTCGCTCTCGTTCGCCCCGTCAACAAAGAACTTGTTGCTGCTCGCGCAGAAAAGGCCGCTCGGGAAGAAGCCAAGCTCCGCGCCAAAGAAGAGCGTGAACGTGAGGCCCGCGAAAGGGCCGAAAAGGGTAAATTGTCCCATCTCGAAATGTTCCGCACAAAGGAATACTCCGCGTGGGATGACGAGGGCCTCCCCATCAAGGATGCCAAGGGCGAGGAGATCAATAAGTCCAAGACGAAAAAGTTGAGAAAAGATTGGGAGCGTCAGAAGAAGCTGCATGAGGCGTGGGTCAAGGCGAACGGGGGTGCTTAGACATGGCGTGTGCATATTAGATTCTTTTTTTTCGCTTTACTTTTTCTTCTTCTTTACCTTTTCTTTTTCTTTTCTTTTCTCACCCTTTATTTAGAGCGTTTAAAACGCTTACTACTGGCAATTCATAAAGCGCTCTTGGTAAGATAGGTCTTAAAAACGAAGAATACTACTTGCCTCATTTCCCTCGATCTTTAATCCCGCGTCAGTAATACTGGTATTGGTGACATGCCACAATGCAACATTGTCTAGATTCCATTAGCCAACCATCGACTAGAGTGAACGGCAGCAGTTCGAAAATATGAGATGTAGATATTCTCCATTCACCAGTAAGATATATACACGAGAACAGTAGAAAGGAAAAATAGAAATTTGGAAAACTAGAAAACTAGAAAAGAAAAAAGAGAGCTGGATATAAAAAATCTATCTATTTGGCCTGCCATTCTTCTCTAACTCTTATCCAACTTTTTCAATTCACGACTCGCCTTTTCAACCGCATCTCTAGCCTCTTTGCGTTCCTTGATCCCCAACTCATCTGTCTCAGGACGACCGGCATCTCGCACGATGGTGGAAATGCGGCCTTCTGTTTCGCGGAGCACGCGACGGCCTTCTTCACGGACTTCGGCTTCCCAGAAGCGTCGCGCGGCCTCCCATTTCGTTTGCAATCGCTTGAGGGACCAGACGAGACCGAGGGCGGCAATAGTGCCTGCTTCGTAGACGCTGGTGGTGGTAAAGGAGACATATGTGAGTGCTGAAATGGCAGAAGCTAGGCCCGTGGTGGACACGGTTTGCAGCACGAGACGCTGGGCCTGGGCTTGTAGAGACGGGACGGTCGAGGCTACGAGATGGGAACGCGACAAAGGGATGTGGATGGGCCACGGCTGGAGAGTGGGGACGGGCAGCGAGCCCCATGCGTAGCGGGCGTCGTCGGCGTCGATGGCTGCGGCGGCGGCGTTGGGGCGGTCCACGAGATCGGAGAGACGTGGGGCCGGAGGAGTGCTGCCGTAGGGGCGGGCAGAAGGGTGGGTTGTTGTTGTTGTGTCGCTGTCGTCTTCGTCGGGTAGCTCGGATTCGGATTCGGACAGGGCGGCCGAGGAGTAGGGTTTGTTGGCGGGTGTTGTGGAGGTGGTGGTTGGGGAAGTGGAAGTGGAGGAAGAAGGAGAGGTGGGGGGCAGGGAGGCAGGTCGGTCAGGGAAGAAGCCTGCTTCGACAATACGTCCGGCGAGCCAAATGATGCCCTTTTCGGCCTCGACGAGCCATCGTCGCTCGAGTATCTCGGCGCCAATTACGCCCACGTCGTCGACTTTCCAGAAGAGTCGCCACCATGAGAGTTTTCGCCATCGCTTGCTGTTGAATGCGAGATCCATTTGGTCTCGGAGCTCGGTGTGGCTGTATTCGGCCCAGCCTTTGACGGCTTTGTCAATGGCTTGGCGCTTGTCCTCGTCGACGCCTGATGTGCGGATTTCTTGGAGCCGCGCCGTGTCTGCATGGGTGATACGCTCGGCGGTGTCGTCTAAAATGGAGTTGATAAGGTTTCGCACGGCAGGACGAAGAGCCTCGCTGGAAGAAGAGTAGCCGGGTTTCTCCTCGCTGAACCATTTCTCCAACGATGGCATGCCGCTTCGAAACCATCGCTCTTCAAAGAATGTCGCGTTGGAGACGGATTCCCGGAATTTACTCAGCGCGCTGGTAGCCATGTCCAGGTCGATAACCTGAACGGTCTCACTGGAAGCCTCAGCAGCGGCTTTTTCTGCTGCAGATAGGCCCAGGACGACCTTGACCATGTCATTGGGCACGCTTTCGCCGTTGCCATGTCCTGCTGTGAATCGGCCATAGGCGATGCAGCTGTCGACGCCATTGCCGAAAAGCAGGGCCTTGTGCACGGGGTAGGTGACCGTAGAGAACCGCCCTGTTGAAGATGAGGGAGTTTGTAATGACGGCACGAGGATGGCTTCAGCGGGTCGCACATCGTCTTCGTTCACTGTTGAGCGGGTGACATTGGTGTTGACGGCTGAGATGAGGATCTCGAGTCTTCGGGACTTAAGGATACGGGATGGAATGAACAGAGTTGGAAGAAGCGGGTGCGTTGAAAGTCCCATAGTTTCTCCATAGCTGCATATCCCAGATCATGTCAGGATTTTATAGCTTCCAGAGGAAAGTTAAAGAGCCTTGTGCAAACGTACCGTATCAAAAGTCCTCGCCCATCCTCACGGTGAATCTTCTCGAGCTCCTTCTCCCAATCGCCTTCGGCAGCCAGTGGGTCTGCGAGTAACAGCCGCACAAGCCGACGAGCAGACGATTGATCATTCAAACCAAGAACTAGATTGAATGTGTGTCAGCAAAAAACCAAAATTTATAAGCATCAACAATGAGGCAGTCATGATTCGACATACCAGCAAGTCTGACAACAGCGTCTCGGTTCTCTAAACCCCGAAGCGCCAATTGAAGTCTGCTGAGGTTGACATAGTTCGCAGCATGGCTCTTGAGGTCACTCAAGGCATCGTAAAGCTGCTTCACCTCAAGGTCCACGTCCTTGGGCACGTTGATGGCTGTCGTGGAGGCTAGGTGCGATGCTGCAGCTCGCTGCTGGTGTAACCGCCCCAGGCGTGATTGTGCTTTCGCCAGGTGTTTGGGGGTGTCGTTGACGCGCCAGAGCGAGCATGATGGGCAGTAAAACAGCCGCGTAGCTGTTTTCTGCGGGATGTGGCGCAATTGCCTCAGCGCCGGTATTCGCGGAGGCATTGGGCTGTGAAGTTGGTTGTTTAGTTGTTCCGTGATGTCGTAGGGTTGCGACATATCGGTATAGAGCTCTTTCGCTAGCGCGGTCTGGCTCAGGTGGGCAGACTGCCAAATTCCTAGTGAAGCCGCTCTGTATCAACATCTTCATAAATCTATGCACATTTGATTGGTTCTTGGAAAAAAGAAATTAAATAATGTTCATTCATTCATTCATTCATTCATTCATTCATTCATTCATTCATTCATTTATTCATTTATTCATAGTCTGATCTGGAGAGTATTTGACTCTTATCTGTTCAAACACGAATATCAAATCCAATCTGAACACCAAGCCATTCTAACATTGCTGATGCTTGAAAAATGTAAAGACCAAAAACAATTATCTGGAATTGACTTCCTATCCCAAAATGCTCTACTCCGAACCTCGAGCCTGCTGCCACACATCAATCTTGCGTGAAACGCGCCTCGGCCTAGAACGCTGGAATCGGCAATGGATCCTTCCAAGATATCCCACAGTCGTATTTCAATTCTTGTGCGTTATAATCGTAATTCAAGTCATCCAGAAGCACAATGATAATCCAGATACAGACATAAATTATTAGGACCACTGTAGACACCTTGATGAGTAACTGTGTGTAGAGCAGCCACTGATGGTATCTGTCCATTGGTAATGGCCTACCCCAAGGATGAATATAGGTTTGCACGAGTTGCAGAAAGGGGATGTCGCTGCTGAAGATGACAAGGAGCCAGGTGCAGAGCATATAGGAGCCTGTTGTTAGCTCCACTAAAGACAATATTCCTGTCACGGCGGCTGGGTCCAGACCAGCCCGACCGACAATGGCGTTGCTCCAGACCCTTATAAGCGCCCAGCATGTCACACGCATGACAGCCACGGGATAGTCCAGCGGCTATATGCTGCATATATATCGTGGGGTAGAACGCTCTGCCAAAGGGCAAGCGTTCTACTTTTGTTACATAGAGCCTAGCTATCACTCCTACTCCGCTTTATTCCAGCTTGCGACCGCCCTGCGTATCCCAGGTATCACTACACAGTTACGAGGCAAGGCCCTTACAATTCCCATCTTGTCCCAGAAATGATATTTAACTTTGAATTCACCCAGACAAGTGAATACCAAAGATATAGAACTGAGCATCAAAAGGTTTGCAGCAAAATCCACAGTCTTTCCATTTCGTACACGCAAGCCTCGGGCCCAAAATAGCCGGCTGTCTTCAGAGTACTTTTGTCACCATTCGTGATTGATAAAGAACAGGCACCAGGACTGGACAAGAACGACCACCCCACTAATGGCAACGAGAAAAACCTGAACGTCGAACCGCGCCGCGGCATCCTTGCGTGCTATACGCCGAATGCCCAGGATGACAGCTCCTATGCACTGAATGCTCGTTGCAAGTTGGACAATGGCCTGTCCAAGCATGACCGCTCGAGTCCTCTCCTTCTTGACGCTGGTGATCTCGAGGGCTTCGTCCACCCATAACAGTGGCATGGAGCTGCGTTCCATGGGGGAATGAGGATCCAGTGCTTTCACATCGTAAATGTGCACTCCGGCAGCTGCAGAGATGTAGAACTTCCAGCTACTGTATTCTCGTGCAGGGGCTGCATTTTTTCTGTTGATTCCGTCCGGGTCATAATGATAATAGGCTTCTCGTATCAGAGCAGCAAATGCAGCAACGTGGGTAAATATGACATTCTCTATCGCGTCCCCAAGATCTCGACGAGCATTGAGTAGGCACCCTTCAGCCATGTAGATGAACTGTTTGCTGGGTGAGACGGGACTATTCAATTCTCAGGTATCGTGGAAAGTTTGATCAAAGATGGAAGAACTTGTCAAAGCCCGGCCGTCTTGGATATTAATATCGTCATGTTTATGGCTGTGATATGCGCGCTATCCCTTCAAATTGACAGAGTGGGAACGAGAGGGGGGCGCTCTAGAGAGCTACCGTTGCCCCCCAAATCCAAAAATTGCTAGCCATGATTCCAGTGTATGGATGAATGGGCTGCAGTACACCTTGTACCTATCATAGCCCTAGAAGCCATTAGTTATGATTTGATAGCCCAGTCTTTCTTTCAATGCTCAAGGCGATGACTACAGTTTTTGGCGTAGGTTGCCAGCTGTTGACATGCAGCTTTTCCCCGAGGTACATGCTTTAACGCTGTGAAACTGATGTGTGCTTGTGTGCTTTTAACCCAACCGAGACGTTGAAAGCTCGCTAAACCACCCGAAACCTTTTGTCACCACCTGCCTTCTGGTTTTTATCATCCGTGTTAGTTTTTCCCGCCAGTCTGCTGAAGAACAAAGCACAACAAAAGAACAGCGTTGCTCAGATCTTGTCGCTGACAGTGACACATGATATAAAAAAAATAATAAAGATGAAAAAAATAAAAAGAAATTCCGGTACCGGGAATTGAACCCGGGGCCTCGCGGTCTTAGATTAAGGGTTGAACCCATGAAAACGCGAAATGTTAGCCACTACACCATACCGGATTTTGTTGATAGGAACTACTTTAAAATTTCTCTTAAACATCGGTCAGCTGCAGCATACTGCAAGAAATCCGCCCTTTTCTGGAACAGACGTCTGCCTCAAGTCGACGCCAGGTGCCGCTCAGCAAAGAATCAGGGCTAGATATTTTTGAGTTTTACTAATCTCTGGAAATTTATAACAGAAATTTTATAATTTAAATAGAGGAGAGAAATCTATAGTAATGCAATAATCATTCATTTAGCTGGATAAGTATTGCGTATTCAGTACGCATTTGGGAAATGGTTGTTTTGACATTAAATATCTTTGAATAATAATCGAGCGGAAGGAAATAAATTGGGAGGATAAGCAAGGAAATAAAATAAGTAAATCAAATGAAGAATTAGAAAACAGCGAATTTCAAATATTCGACACAATTTTCGAATATCTACTGTCGCCAATAGGGATTACTTCTTAAGGTTCAACCTGGAAATTGTTATGCCGCCTTGGATAACTATTATGACGCTCTCTATCCTGCCGGATTTGGGCGAGCGGGACTGGATAACTTACGGCAACCCTTCAAGCCGCGCGCACTTTGCTGAAACTTTTACCGAGTACCCTCGGTACAGCCCGCTACAAGTGCTACCTCTACAGCGCTCTAAGACCAATAATGCAACAATCCGACCGTGCAGCCTGACAGGTGGCTAATTCACACAGAAACAATTACACAAATAAAAAGCAAAATAATGAACAGAATTTCACGCCGGTCGCAGCAAAAATTCCAAAATAACTTCCTGAATATATTAGTGCAAAAATTAAGTCGAAAAATAACAAAAAAAGCAAAAATGTAACTGGACAATCTGGGAATTGAACCCAGGACCTCTCCCATGCTAAGGGAGAATAATACCACTAGACCAATTGCCCTTGTTCGTTGGAAGATAATTATTTATTTAATATATATACTACAAAAATAGTCCGCACTATAATGTCGGCTAACCCCACGATCCGGAACAACTAAAGTCCGCTAAATTTTCGCTGGTGAAATGACAAACGCTATAAACTTTGTTCGGGATGCTGCATTTGGAGCAAGCTCTACGTTGCATTGGTTAAGGCGATTGCAGCTTACCGTGAGCTAGAATGGCGACTACCGATCCTCCGCTGTCCTTTTTGGACCCTGGAGACACAGCGCAAGCTCAATCTATCGCTATACTGCACCTGAAGCGGGACCTTCTCATGCCCACTCGCCTGCAGGAACAGGACGAGTTGAACGAGGGATATGACGAGGGCAAAGTGACAAATACGCGCTTTGGTTCTTTCCCACATAGCACATTGATTGGGCAGTCATGGGGAAGCCAAATTCGGGCATCAGCAGTTGATACTGGCTCACGTGGTAGACGGCCGAAAAACGACAAGAAGCGGAAGCGGGACGAGGATGAGAATACAGATTCGAATGCGCCGACGCCGAAAACCGCAGTGGCTGCGTCTACAGGGTTCGTTCATTTGCTGCCACCAACGCCGGAGACATGGACCTCGTCTTTACCGCATCGCACACAGGTTGTCTATACGCCTGATTATAGTTATATCCTTCACCGGCTGCGTGTAAGGCCCGGGACGGTTTTGATTGAAGCAGGCGCTGGAAGTGGGTCTTTCACACACGCTTCGGCAAGGGCGGTATATGATGGTCTTCCGGGAGACGAGGTCAAGGCGGAGGGGGCATCGAGCAAGAAGAAGCAGAAAAAGGGCAAGATATATAGCTACGAGTTCCACGAGCAGCGCGTTGGAAAGCTAAAAACCGAGCTCTATGAGCATGGATTGGATGGACTGGTGGAGATTACACATCGAGATGTGTGTAACGAAGGATTTATGGTCCGGAAGACTGAATCATCCGATTTGAATGCGAAAAAGAATGACGAGCCAAAGGCTGAGGCCATATTTTTGGATCTACCGGCACCATGGTATGTTCTCTCCAAGCCAACCGTGCCCTTTTCTATGTAAAAGATCCATTACTAATGCTTGAGATTTAGGCTTGCCCTGCGTCATCTGACCCGCAACTCCATGTCGTCAAAATTTTTGGATGCAGCCGCTGGCTCGTCAAATCCTCAATCACCGGCGCCAGGCGGTGACCTCCCTCCACCTGCCCCTACTTCAGCCCCCGAAGGCGACCTGTCCTTCCACTCACCTCTCAACCCGAAAGCCACTATTCGCATCTGCACATTCTCTCCCTGCATGGAGCAGGTTCAGCGCACCATCTCAACGATGCGGCAGCTAGGTTGGGTCGAAATCGAGATGGTAGAGGTTCAACACAAACGACTGGAGGTTCGTCGGGAACGTGTCGGCCTACACGAGGAAGGTCTTCGTGGTGTCACTGCCATGCCCGCCTCTGTGGATGAAGCCGTATCTCGACTACGCGAAGTTGAAGGGCGCTTCCGTTCATTCCATGGTAAAAATACTGGAGCCGATGGCTCTGAGGACGCGAGCGGCGCCAATGCCACGGAATCTAAGGAGGGCACTCCTGCGTCCACGCCTGCCACTTACGTGTCCAAGCAGCAGCGCCAGCAGTCTATCCGCGACTCGCTCGCAGACCGTAAAGTCTTCAAGGAGGGTCGTCTCGTGCACCGTACCGAGCCTGAAATTCGCACACACACATCGTACCTTGTGTTCGCCCTTTTACCGCGTGAATGGACGGCTGAGGATGAGGCGCGCTGTCAGAAGAAGTGGCCCATCAAGGAGCCTAGACAACCAGCAAAGAACAAAGACCAAAAAGCTAGAAGTGGCAAAGATATAGAGGTAGATGCTGGTGGTAGAGACGTGACCCAGGAAACACAAGCGGCAAATGGTCAACCAATAAGCAGGCGGCAGATGAAGAAACTTGAGCGAGCAAAGGCAAAGAACGCAGAAAGAGAAAAGGAAAAGGCCGCCGAAAGCGAGCAGGCAGCGACGGAGCCTACAGTAGAAGATGCTGGCGCTGCTAAAGCTGATGCTGCGGGTAAAAATGTCGAAGAGCCAGAGAGCATGGTGGAATAATTGGGAAGAACGTCAGCCTCACTTGTTTCCAGTAATACTTTACACTCTTCAACGATTAGAAGCCATCTTATCTCTATACAATATACCATACTAATGCATCATTTGCCTTGGATAACCAGATCCTTAATCCCCAAGGCTGCTTTGAGTCTTTTATATCATTTACCATTACCTCGATGTTAGGAGTGTTTAACTATTACTGACATCGCAACTCATCTCTTCGCTCCCTTAATCAAAGTGCTGCAACAGTTTTTGCAAGACGGTAAAAGACCATGACATCCCCAATTTGAACAAAAAAAATGCAAAATCCCTAGTCTATATGCTCTATGCCTCGCATTACCAGTAACGAGATTGCGTCGAGAATCCTGCGGCAGCCGCAAGGTCGTCTGCGTTCAAAAGATCAACGCCTTCCTCAATAAGCTGCTTCCAAATACCGTTGCGTGTAGTAATAGGCCACGCAGGAGTATTCCAGTAGCGCACGGCGATGCCCTTGCTGTGGGCATCGGATATTTGCTGACGCAGCGTAGCCAACTGCGTGTCATTGAGCGAGGACCCTGCTACCTTGCCAATTGAAGCCTCGAAATCCGTGCTGGCTATGGGGCTGATGAGGTGGGTGACAGAGGATTGATCACTATCGAGCTTTGCCAAGTTCGCATCGAAAAAATAGTCTCGACTTGTCACGTTTTCCACATGAGACAAGGGAGTATTTCCCGTACCGATCACTGTAACAGGTCCCCAAGTGATACCGGTCTCATTAACGCTGGTCAGCCATCCACCGGCGCGGAGAGGCTCGAGAGCCTGAATGACATATGGCAATGTAGTTGGACCATTCGTTTTGATATCAACCCAGAAGAAGAGAGTCTGGTCACCGGCGACGTCATAGACACCACTGAGGATAAAGATTAGAGATGACATTCTGACAATGCATTAGGGGGGTAAAATTTTTCATACTTTTTGGTGGGGGATATGACAAATTGCGAGACGGGATTCTCTCTAGTCAATGTGTCGAGGATAGGTTCAATATATAATGACTGAAGTGTACGTTCTTCGGTCAAAGCAGATCGCTCATGGCCAACCTGATATAATGAAGATGATCAGTCTAGAAGGACACAAGAAGAACACGAAAGAGGATGAAACGGAATATTACATAGAGTGTGTCGTTGTATAGCCAGACATCTCCTTCTACAGATACAGCGCCAACGGATAGGGCTGTTAATTGATTCAATTAAGTTAGCCAGGGAATCTTTACGCAAAAATCATACAAAAGCAAAGGCTGTAATACCTGAGTAGAAAGGAACATCCCGCCAGTAATCATTATGCGAGTGGATCGGTTTCTACAACTTTCGTCAGCCATTCCTCCTTTCGTCTCTTCTCGAGCCCGACGGGACCTTACAGGAACGATGCCACGGGTCAAATCCGTGGGATAAGTGTACAGATTACTCTGATGGGTGTTTGCTAAGATGTTACTGAGAGCTGCAGGTACATCTAGTACCGGTAATGGAGCCGCAGTGACGATATTGGCCAGGCCTGCGGCGATCACAGCAGAAATGCACTTCATGTTGTAAGACGCTGAGGAAGCGCAATGAAAAAAGAAATGGTATGATTCTGTGACGATGAACAGTTTACACGGAATATTCACAGCAGATCCATAAGCCCTTTATACACCGGCCCAATGCCCTTCTCCAGGAGGATTGAGAGCTATTGTAATAGGTTCGGATTGACAAATGTAAGCGTACAAACTGGACGTCTCTACAAGCTGGTTTAACTGACGAGCTTCAGCACTCGAAAGAGTTTAGTATAACCGATTATGCCTGCTTCTTGGAGCTATCGCTACACCAATCGTACCTACACGTGGATGAGATCCCTCTCAGAGTACGTTTTTCCTAACCTTGGACAGAACACAAAAAGCATCAGATTGATAGATTATGGCAGAAGCATTTGTCCCTGCTCAACTCCGCGAACAAAACCATTCAGCTTATTGCATCATACTGCGACCCCCCACTGAAGCGTCCCACTAAATGTGCAAGAGAACTGCAGCGCAGTGCAAATTAATAGTCTACGGTTTAACCCGTAGACAGGCAAAGCTCTTCCGATGGGGAGACCGTTTTGCACCGATTCCAGAGCTAGTTTGATAAAACCAAGGCGATAATCAGCCATCGGCCATTCAGCACCCTCGTTCGAGATTCCGCCTTCGGCACGACAGAAACGGCGGGTACTAGCTGTGGATACTCTTCCTTCCGATTAACCTTTACAGGCAGCGGACAATGTGCTTGTATGAAGCTATGGGTCGACAACCACGAGCTGCAATCGCACGATCGCAAAGGCTGCGGCTTTTTAAAAGCCTGCATGCACATCGACGACGTGCTCGATCGCGTCAAGTGTAAAATCTTCCTTACATCTGCAGAAAATGCGTCTGCTTTTTGCTGCTTCTGCGGCGCTTGCTCTCGCGCAAGCTTCGCCCGCCGGCAAACATCACGCTCCTAAAAACGAGGGCAAGCTGCGCTATTTGACAGACATCAATGTCATTTCAAAATACTGGGGAGAAATCTCACCATACTCTGACAACGCCGAGGATCTTTTTGGCGTCGAGGACGTTGGCCTCCCTGATGGATGCCAGATTGAGCAAGTCCACACTTTCCAGCGCCATGCCAACCGTTTCCCGACGAGCGCTTGGGCGGACGGCGAAAACAATGACCGCTTCGCAGACAAGGTCCTCAACTTCACCACCAGTGCTAACTCTTCGACGCCTTTCCGAGGCCCGCTTGCCTTCCTCAACAACTACGAATACCTGCTGGGCGAGAGCTTGCTTACCGGCGTTGGCGCCTTGACTGAATTTCAGTCTGGTGTGAACTTCTGGAACCGCTATGGTCGAATCCTATACAATGCCACTGCAGGTCAGCTTGCATACAACGCAAGCTTTTCGAATGGCACTGCTCGGCCAAAGCCCGTTCTGCGCACTACTAGCCAGTCGCGTATCCAGAACAGTCAGATCAATTGGGCATTGGGTTTCTTCGGAGACAGCTTCCAGGCTGTGCCCGACCCGACGTTCGCAAATGCCACTGATGCATTTGACGTCGTGATCATCCCGGAGGGTGGTACTGAGAACAGCACGCTCGCCGCATACGACCCGTGCTTCAACGACTGGGAGTACGAAATTGGCTACCTCGGTGACTACGACATGTACGAGTATATCCCCAAATATCTTGGCCCTGCCACCGCGCGCCTGCAGCAGCACGCACCTAAGGGCTTCACCTTTACGACCAACGACACCTACGCCATGCAGAACATTTGCGCGTACGAGCACAACTATATCGGCATGTCCGATTTCTGCTCCTTCTTCACCGAGGATGAGTGGACCGGCTACGAAAACACTCTCGATATCCAGTACTACTACGATTATGCATGGGGCAATCCTACTGCTCGTGCTCAGGGTATCGGTTATGTCCAGGAACTCATCGCGCGCTTGACGGATCAGTACATAACCGTGTCCAATTCATCCGTCAACTCGACGCTCGATGACAACGATACGACGTTCCCCTTGAACCAGCCTTTCTACGCCGACATTTCCCACGACGACATTATTCTTTCTATCTTGACTGCCATGTCGCTCGACTACTTCAAGGACCCGCCCAGTCTGACGCAGTACCCTCCCGACCCTCATCGTCGGTTCATCTTGTCCCAGCTTACACCGTTTGGCGCCCGCCTTATCACCGAGGTTATTGGCTGCGGCAGCACCGATCCCGAGCCTGTCTCATACCCCCGTGTGCAGTACACTCCGACACAGTACGGCTATAACCCGGCCAATGCTACGAACAAGTTTATCCGTATGCGTCTGAACAACGGCATCTTGCCGTTGAACACTCTCCGTGGTGGCCAGTGCGGCAATGCTACCGCGGGTACTGGCCGTACAGATGGTCTCTGCGCATTGGACCAGTTCCTTGCCACGCAACAGGACTCGTACAAGTTGGCAAATTATGATTATGCTTGCTTTGGCAACTACACATTAAGCAACATTACGTCTGGCCATGACTACGATGGTACCATTTACCAAAAATAGATTCGACCGACTTGTTACACATAAACGATTTACGAGAAGTTGAAGAGCTTTATGGATAATATGCGAATCATGTGTATATAATTGTGTCGATAGTTGTACATTAAATACGCTAGAAGTTTCTCTCGGGCTTCATTAGATAGTCTGATGAGTATAGGGTATATACAAGGTAATATTGGGTTCCACGTTGCATGACCTCTTTTTCAGAGATGATGCTGCTGCTGCTGTCACATTTTTTCTTGCTATGTGGCTGCCATTGGTTGTGGGAACGATGGACTATGTACGGCGCTGATTGAAAATTTGATGAACGCTCCGGCCGTGACGAGAAGTCGCAGTTTCATGCGCGGTCATGAGACTTTTCGTATCCGAATGAATCTAGAGCTTGAGTACCCCTTGACGGTTTGTAAGGCATGAAGCGAAACCATGGGAAGCATACCCTTTGTCTGGACGAAAGAAGTTGAGACATGCTCTGTTGCTGCTGGCTTGCTGGTTTTGAATATTTTCAGCAATTCAACCGAGTTCGACGCTGCCCGGAGGCACACCACGACGACTACGCAGCCTGCGTGCAAAAAATTGCATGATAGGCAGCATTTCTTCGCGATTGCCCGGCATGCTATCGCCCACTTTGCGCCAGCGTGTATATTCTACGAATTCAAACGCATCTTTGGTACGAGATAGGGCCGACGCAGTAACGAGCGTTTGTGACGAACCACCGCACAAGAGGACAGGTGTTCTCGATTTCACCGCCGCGGCTGGAGACGATGAGATAGATGTGGTAGTTGATGCGGGTAGGGGTCCGCCAATTGATATAATTCCGCCGAGCTCTTTAAGCTCGTTGTCGCTGACCGAAGACGATGACGTCGAGGAAGAAGGAGAAGGGAGCAAAGACCTGGTAGCTGCCAGCGCCGCCATGCCGCCTTGTCCGAAGCCAAATATAACAATTTCACGCGGTCGGTAGCCGCATTTATCAATTAAGACGCGACGAATGACTTCATCTGCAATCAGACGGGTGGAGCGCGTAAACCCAGTGTCGAATTCCATGCGCATGGAGCTTTCGTCGAAGAGGATGTCGTCGCCCCAGTGGAAACCGCCGAGTTCGAACGGTAAGGGCATCGGCGCTTGAAGCGACACGCATGCTGTTTCGGGGAGATTGAGGTTCCGGCCTAAAGCAGTGAATGATGCATTGGTATCTCCTAGACCATGGAGCAAGAGGAGAATGTTTGTTGGTGGATGTGAGGCCGGTGGCGGGGTGACGGACGCCGTTACGGACGAGGGAAAGTCTGAGACGCTGGGGAGACGACCCGGCATGTTGTGGCTCGTTTGGAATTGTAAGGATTGGCGTGACGTAGAGGTGGGAAACGGCAGGAGATTCTATTTTGGGCCCAGAACGGACGTTTCTTCATTAATGTGAAAGGTTTGTGTACTCCGATATGGGGGGGTTCAGACGTCAGATTCTGCGCACACGCGCGGGCGTGTACAGGCGCTTGTGGCTAGTGACAACAAAGTCCCTTCAGAGGGCTCATTCAGCTCAGTGGGGTACTTCCGTGGCGCAGCGTACGGCATTAATGGGTGCCGATGTTTCGGCAAGGCGCCGGCGTGCTCAGTGGGGAGAGCCACTGTTATGTCGGTGAAAGGCAAGCCCGAAGTCAAGCATTTCAGCCAAGACTTTTAGAAACGCAGGGCATTGGTAACGAACGGGTGAAGAGCATTCGGGTAGGCGCTCCCACAAAAGCTTGACTATGGAGCAAATCGTGGCACACTAATCACAGCCACAACTGGGCGGAACCGCGTTTCTTGGTTCTTGAAATGTGATCTCTTGCGGTGAGGAATTCATATTGTCGATCCTGGAGACCTTTAAAGTAACAAGGAGGTTTATCCATTGACGCAATTCCCCCGATTGACGACATGCTGCCATGCAAAGCAAGAGGACCCTGCCTCTCGATCTGAAGGGGTTGCTTTGCTAACTTGCCATGGTACTTCCTGTGTGCGTCCTTGTTCCCTGCCGATCTAGATGATTCGTCGATTGGCCGCTGTGGTTCTCGTTTCTGTCCGGCCCGAGTTAGTGACGCCCCACATCATCCAAGGAGGGACGAAAGAGCTGCTCCAGTTCGTTGCCAGCGCAGCTCCTCTCGAGCTGAGCTGTAACGTACCTTGCCCCTGCTGCTGTAGCCAAGGGGAAGCTCTGTGTGCTGTTTCCCGTCTGCCACGGTCTCGAATCCTTACTGGAAGAGCCGCCGGGCGGGTTAGTACATTTGTAGTCAATCGAGCCAACCCTGAGATCAAACTCACTTTGGACTAACAGACCCTGAGACACGAGCTTGAGACCCCCTCAGAGCTAAGCCTGCCTTCGACTATTTCATAAGCTCACCACGTAAGTGAATGTCATCATTGGTTCGTATGAGAATGTGGATGAAGTAAGTGGGGTTACTTTGGCGGTTTGAGTGGATGCACTACGATCTGGCGATGAATGTAAATTAACTACAGGATGTTATGCAATACGTAGTGATAATAATGCCACATACTACGATACACAGCCTGTAGTGATTTGCCCCCCGGTTCGTCACCGCCAGCGACAGCCCACCCTCTTTCCCCCTCCAAGGTGACAAACAGGGTCAGGACCCCACGGAATTGTACCCCTCCTCCCCCTCGGACCACTTGAGGTTCTGAAGTATAAATAGAGCTTCACACCTATCCCCCTCATCTTTCTCACTTTTCTACCTCACGAATCAGTCTTCGAACCTTTCTCAAATTCCTACAAGAACAAATATTCAAGATGGGTATCTTCGGTTGGGGTAAGAAATCACCTGAGCAAGCTTGACTTTTGTGGGTGCGTTTCCACGTCATTACAGAACTAACCGCCAATTGTATGAACAGACGACTCCAACGACGCCTACCAGCAGTACCAGAACGGTGGAGGCCAGGAGCACGAGGGCTCCAAGCTCCACGAGTTCGTTGGCGGTGCTGCTGCCTTTGAGGGTTTCAAGCTGTTCGAGGACCACCAGCGTGCTGAGGGTACGTCAAAACTTCCCCCTAAATCATTATCCAACCTGTCTCAGGAATGCACTTGCGTTGTCTGTTTGGCATGGGTTGATGAGGATGGCTGAATAATGTCTACTCCCCTCTTGACTTGAATTTTGCTAACAAAGATGGTCGTCGCATAGGCAAGCAAGTCAACCACGCATTCGCCAAGGAGCTGGTGGCCGGCTTCGCGGGCGCTGAGGCTGAGAAGTTCGCCGAGACCCGTGGTCTTAACGAGTACGATAAGATCCAGGCTCGCCGTCACGCAGAGGACAGTGCCCAGAACATGTACTCTGAGCACTATGAGCAGAACCTCGGTGCCGACCAGTACGACCCTCAGCAATACGGCGGTCACGACTACATCCAGAACAACTACAACAACTACTAGATTGGTTGACGAGAAGTGCTGGACATTGTATTGACGCAAATATGATATCTCACGAAATTGCTCTAGCATACTCAGCGAGCTCTATTTATTTCAATGGAAAACAGTAAAATTGTTAACATAATGTGCATTCTTAGAAGATTGAGATGCCCGTGGAAAATTTGGAGTGCCATGACGCCATAGTGTTATGTATAACTTGAGTGAAGCTGATCGTTCGAATTGAAGAAGCAGTCGCGTAACGCTGCATCGCGTTGTCGCTTGGGTTTATTTCGTGTCCGATGCCACTATGATTTTGCTGCACCAGCCTTTAGCCAGTATTTGGACGTGGAACTGGGTTATCAATTCTGCGGTTTCAAGCGAAGAAATAAGACCATGCAGCCATCTTAAATGTGAGATTGAGTTGATGTTTTAAGCATAAAAGCAGCCAATGGTGCCCTTCTCAAGATGCTAAAACAGTGGCTGTTCAATGATAGCCAGAGATGGATGCACGTGCAGAGCCAAGAGAAATCTCCTACGTAAGTCTGAAGTCGCACGGAATTGACGTGTTTGGTTTCACACAGTCTCCGGCACTTGCCGCACCCTCACAACCATTGAATATGATTTTTATCCCAAAAATATTGGACCGAAGAGGGTTCAGTCAGTCTCAAATGCTCTTGAGATAAGAATGCATCTCGTCAATTCTTCTTTCTCTCACCAACTTACGGGAATTGCCCTTATGGCGTGATTGACGAGCGATCAAATCGGAAACAAAGAGTTTCTTTACTATCCAACCGACAGCGTTGTTGGAAGAGAATATTCCGTGGGCGTCACTAATAGATCTGTGTGAAACGGGATAGTAACATGATAAAGTGATAATTCGAGTCATGAAGTTCGCAAAGTCAGTGCTTTTGCTGCTCTCCTTCCCGACTTTTCAGGCTCAATGATTCGTGATCTAACAATGTATGCTCTTTCTGTAGGGAACTGGACCAGGACCTAGTTCCGGAATGGCGGGCAAAATACCTCGATTACAAAGTATGTTAATCAATTGTTGATGCTCGATGGACCAGCTCATGTTTGCGAAAATTGCAAATGGTTAACACTTTGCGTAGGCTGGAAAGAAAAAGCTTAAAGCCGTCCGCCGGGCTTTGCGAACCGCCCATGGTACGCCTAAAACACCTAGAAGACCAACTGGCTATGCTCCTGTACCCAATGAGCCTCCGGATTCAACTTCTCCCGTCCGACGAACCCATCCTCGTTCTCACCTGGCATATGAGCAAGATCGCTCCGGAGAGTTGAGATTTGCAGGAAAGCGTTCTGGTAATGAAGAAGACCTGTATCGCGCACAATCTCAACCCATACAGGTGCCTGAACGGGAGCCCTTAGCCAGGCCAGGCCCTCGAGGCCAATCTGGAAATATAGGAAAAGCAAGCTATGGCAGTATTGTGGCGACCCCTCCACAGGGCGATGAGGAGCCAACACCTCCGGCTCTGGATCTGCCTGATCCTGCGCTCGATCCTGCCGACAGCCTGTCTTTGAGGCATAGTCGGACTTGGAATGAACCAAGTCATACTGTTCTTCGGAGTCACCGGCCCGGTAGAGATGGGGAACTTCATAGAGCTCCAACCACTGCATATGAGGTCGGACCAACATCTGCGCCACCGCATTCCCATCTTAGCGTCTCTCCCAAGGCCTCAAAATTCTTTGGTATGAAGCCGTCAATGCCTGGTCGGCAGCTCTCTCGGCCTTTTATTCAGCGAATGCTCTCTACCGGTGGCCCAATTTCGCGAGCGTTGGGCGACTCCCCTGGAGATTTTCCTATGGACGCCTACAAGGAATTTGATCAGAGTCAAGCCGACTTTTTCAACTTCCTCGATGGCCAGCTGGACAAAATAGAAACATTTTACAAGGAAAAAGAGGATGAGGCTACCGAGCGACTAAAGGTTCTCCGCACACAGCTTCACGAAATGAGAGATCGCCGTATAGAGGAAGTACAGGCAGTGCAACGAGCCAGAAGCAGATCGAAACAGAAACCAGATGAAGCTGGTTTTCAATCAAATGGTGAAGGTAGTTCAGATGCCGAAACTGACGGCAAGCCCCAAAATGGCCGTCCGGCGTGGCTTAAACCCCTGGAGGAAGTCCTGAATGGGGCCAAACAAGTTGGTTTTGGAAAGAACACTGAGGCTCTCACGCAAATGGGCATGACATGGAAGGACCCAAATGCGCAGAATAATCAGCATGTTGACTCGCAGCGAGACTTCATTCGGCGCCATACGCCAAACGACTACGTTCCCTATCGGGGTGCAAAACGGAAACTTAAGCTGGCGCTTGCAGAGTACTACCGTGGCCTGGAGCTGTTAAAGTCGTATGCGCTCCTCAATAGGACTGCATTTCGAAAGATTACGAAGAAGTACGATAAGACAGTTAACGCTCGCCCGACCGGCAGATATATGAGTGAAAAAGTCAACAAAGCTTGGTTCGTCCAGAGCGAAGTGTTGGACGGGCACCTGCAGACCGTAGAGGATTTGTATGCGCGATACTTTGAGCGGGGAAATCACAAGGTCTCCGTTGGAAAGCTGCGGACGAAGTCTGCCAGAGCTGGCGACTTTACCGGAAGCGCTTTTCGGAACGGTCTCATGGTAGCTGCTGGCTTTGTTTTTGGTATCGAGGGCCTCACTTATGGTGTAGAGAAACTATTCGACCCAAGTCTGAAGACCAACACGGGTTATTTACTCCAGGTAGGCTTTTCCTTAGATGCCGAAGACGTGAAGATCTCTGACCTAGCTTCTATAGATTTATGCTGGCTATCTGTTAGCATTACTACTCTTCGTACTCTTTGCACTCGATTGCGCTGTTTGGACTAGAAACAAGATCAACTATGTCTTCGTCTTTGAACTTGACTCTCGGCATCATCTTGATTGGAGAGAATTACTAGAGGTTTGTTTCCCTAACATCCTCTCTTACTCGTACACTTACTGACCGCTCCATTTAACAGCTTCCATGCCTTTTGTTTTTCCTGCTGGGCTTTTTCATGTGGCTCAATTTTCACGATTTTGGCGCGCACGTAATGTATCTGTACTATCCTGTCATCCTGATAGGATTGAGTGTCATTTTGGTTTTCTTCCCGGCGAAAATCCTCTATTATCGTGGACGCAAGTGGTTCATATACTCTATAGTAAGTGCCTGCCACTGCAAGCGTCCCACGCAAACACTATATTGACATGTCTAGTGGCGGCTTCTCCTTGCCGGTCTTTACCCCGTCGAGTTCAGAGACTTCTTCCTCGGCGACATATTCTGCTCCTTGACATACTTTATGGGAGTAAGTTGATCATATGAACACTCAGAAGAAAAAAGAGCAGAATTAATAAACTTTAGAATCTGGAACTGTTTTTCTGCCTCTACGCACGCTCATGGAATGGTCCGCAATACTGCAACTCGTCACATTCCCGCCTCCTCGGTTTCCTTTCAACGCTTCCTGGTATCTGGCGAGCGTTTCAGTGTCTCCGCCGTTACTATGATACGAGGAACGTATTTCCACACCTTGTAAATTGTGGAAAATACGGGTTCACGATATTGTACTACATGACGTTGAGCGTATATCGCATCGACAAGAATACCCAAACCAGAGCTGTCTTCATCACCTGCGCGCTGATAAATGCTATCTATTGCTGTATGTCGTTGCACTCCGTCAGCTGCTCGTAAACTGCTAACAGCCACTAGCAATATGGGATCTTGTAATGGACTGGAGTAAGTTGCTTGCTCGAGCGATGTCGTCTATATGACTAACCTTTCCCAGGTCTGTGTAATCCCTATGCGAAGTATCCCTTCCTCCGGGATACACTTGGATACAAAACTGTGTGGTGGTACTATGCGGCAATGGTCATTGACCCTCTTCTTCGTTTTAATTGGGTATTCTATGCCATTTTCAGCGACGAAGTCCAGCATTCCGCAACATTGAGCTTCTTCATTTCTTTGTCAGAAGTATTTCGTCGAGGAATGTGGGCATTATTCCGTGTAGAGGTGAGTAAACTTTTCCAACTGTTGCATCGTGAACAAAGTGGCTGACATTTTCAACAGAATGAGCATTGTACTAAGTACGTAATCACATACTCTCCATTTTTGTTCCCATAGGTTGTCTTTCATTAACTGATTAACTTTGCTGCACAGTGTCGGCCGATTTCGGGCTTCGAGAGACGTTCCCCTCCCATACGATATTCCAACACCATCCACAAGTGACCTTGAGGCCGAACGCAATGGCGTTACTCAACAACCGGTTCCTGCAGGCGCTGCCGGGCCGGACAGAAAACGGCCAACCTCGAAAAGGAGGAGATCTCTCATCCATGCCGAGCCAGTACCGATATCTACTACTGCTACTGGTGCCGACATCGAAGCGCAGACAGCTACCACTCCGAAGCTCCCTCCCCCGACACCATCAGGCATGCTCCGTCTCCGCAGGACTCGGACTCCCTCGAGTCCAGGCACCGCTGCAGCTGGATCACCGCGAACTTTACGTGGCCTTGCCCGTGTTGGAACACTTCTTGCTGAAGCTCACGCGCAAGATTTTGAACGTAAGCGTCGTCCAGAAGTCGCCAGTGAGCAGGACCATGAAGACTTGCGTGATCCGGAAAATCTTCATCACATGCCTTCGAGTGACGAGGAAGATGAAGACGGGTATGAGGATCCAGGTGTCGATGATGTAGACAACTCGAGAGAGCTTGCCAATGCAGAGAGATTATTGAGGCGGACGAGCGGAGAACCGGGGCGCACACTCCACGGCACTGATGACGGAGAAAGAAACGACGACCGGAACGAGCGTCAGGACGGGAATAAAGGAAACGAACACCGAAATCTACATTACGAATAGGGTGCAACATCCAACGATTGGGTTTCAAGCTACGAATGCATAACTTAGAGTCGAAGTTTTTCAAATTTTAAGCATCAAGGAGCGTTCTCTATGGGCATCATATAAAGAATTCTTTACTCAACTATTTAGATGGACTTTATATACACAACTTTTATCATTTCCATGTCCCCGTATGTTTTATGCTTCCATCATCCAGTTGGACCGATGACTGACTGTGATCCGGAGTGGGCATCCACTCCTTGACTTTTTGAAAATCTTGCATAGCATATGGATCGCCCATGCGGTTCTGAACGTCATCCCAGTCCCGACCGACTGCTTGCTCGGGACGCCACCGCATTGCGTGCTTCAGCTTCGGGTGCAGCTTGCCCTCAATGGCATCAACAACGAATGATCCAATCGAAGAGATATGCTTGAAGCCGTGACCTGACGCGCCACAGGCAAGTACCAGCGATGGATGGTCCGGATGAATATCAATCAAATATTTACGGTCCACCGTGTCGGCGCACCAGCATATCCGGGCAAATGAAAATGGCCGCTCAGCTAAATGCGGCATAATATCCCTTAGGAAGGAGCGCATCCTCTGCTCCGACTCGACGGGGATCTGTGATCGAGCAAAGGGCACACTTCTGCGCTTTGTCTGTGTCTTTCCCGTCACGGGATCCGTTACGGGAACATCTACCCAGTTGCAGTATCCCGGATGCTCGTCGCAGAATTTTAACTCGTGGTTGACGAAATCAGGTTCCATAAAGAATCCCTTTTCGACATTGAATAGCACGGGAAGGTTCTTGTACAGCTTTGCTTCTTCGGCTGTCATCTTGATATGTGCTAGTGTCCATGCCGTGGGGCGCAGCTGGTCCTTGAAATCGAGGAATGCGTCTGCGTTGGCGCCTGCAGCGAGAATCACGAGCGATGCATGGTGTTGCTTTCCGTCGGCGGTTTCTACACCGACAATATCATGGGTTTTCCCATCATCTGGAGAGGAGAAAAGGAGTCTCTGGACATTGCCGGGCTGTCCACAGATGTATTTGACGCCCAGTCGGATCGCTTCTGTTGCGGTGGCCACTAGAGCTTTTCGAGCCTCTACCCATCCCGATCCGCTCTTCTTTTGCCACCCTTTCCATCCGGGAAAATCGCCGGTCAATACTCCCTCGGGCATGGTCTTCCGAAACTCCTCTGGGGTTTCGATTCTTACGAAGCCCACTCGTGATGCAGGGAGCTCTTTCTTCTCGAGATGTTTGAATCCGGCGGGGGTATGAGCTGCTGCGACATATCCTGTTGCGTGGTAGTACGGTTTGAACAAAGGGTCTTCGAGCCAACCCTTGGCACAAGCAGCTGCCAGAGTACGGGATACGAAATCTGGGTCATCTTCGGAATCGGGGTAGGTATCTGGATTGGCAAGAGGACAGTTTAGCTGGGAGAGCTTGACTTTGGAATTATATCAGAATTGTCACCTTCGTCACAAATCTTGTTTACATCATTGCCAGCTGAAATGGCAGAGGGAATATAATAGTGGTCAAGGACTGTAACATTCTTGTAGCCCCGCCGAGCAAGATGGAGCGCTGTCGAGGAGCCCCAGGTACCGCCACCAATGACGAGAATTGCCTTGGATTGATCAATTTTTCGCGTCATCGTTGAGTCAACTATTATACTATATGATATGAGGCAAGCGTATGAGGGATGATTATGTTGATGTTAGGAATTGCGGGGTAGATATATCCTTCGTCTTGGTAATTGTTGATATCCGTTCATTATTTATGGACACTCAATTGTGGAGAGCGGAAGTTTCCGCAGTTGTAGGCAAACAAGCTTAAACATCCCACAGTATTTTTCTCCTGTCACTGCTATTCTGCATTGCCTGCACACGAAGAGTCACGATGAATTTCAGTCTGGTAAAACAGTTATAATGATCTAGATGATGGGGCAGGTCCAAGCGGATAGCAGGTAAACCCTATGGATACCTTAGTCTGTGCCGCTGATAACGTGCCGTCTGCACGAGATGCCTTTATCGCTGACGATTTTCTTCCCCTGGAGGGGTTTTAGTTCGCCATCCTGATCCGTCAACGGGATGTCTTCACTTGCGCCATCTGCCGCAGCGACTGATTCCCATGAGCAGAGATACAACAATGGAATTTCACTCTTTCGACCATGCTGTGCGGATGGTTCCTTCGCTTGGACCTGACAGCTTAGGAGACTGACAATGGGCCAACTAGACCTCTCGCACCGCGCATGATTAGCTTCTCGGATCCCCCCACCCGTCGAACCGTCCGATTGTCTCCACCTTTCCCCACCACAGCTCTCTCTCTCCTCATCCCCTGGTTCCCTTTCTCATCATGCGCATTGTTTGCACCAATCTGATCCAGATCCTTGCTTCCTGCAATTTGGCTTTTCTTCTGCTCAAAACCTTCTCACCCGCCTCATGCGCTAAACACGGATTCAACTAATCTCGAGCACGCGCTTCGACCTGACCAAATGCCACGCCGACGGGATAAGGATAAAACTGATCCAGATAGGCCGCCCAGGGTACGAACCCGAAGCGGCTGTCAGACTTGCCGGGCTCGCAAGATTAAATGTGACGAGGCCAAGCCGGTCTGTCGGCGATGCAGCGAGAAAGGCTTCCGATGCCACACTGGCATTGCCCTGAAATGGGAGGAAGACTTTCTCAGCCGCGGATTGGCCTTTGGTCGAAGTGGTACCAATGCTCGTGCTTCAATATCAGGCCCACGAAGGTCCTCGCAGTCGTCACGGGGGCTCAAAGGGGCAGCAGAAGGCGATGGCGGAGGGGCCCTGCAGGTACACTGGTGTCCGCTCCCCGTCATTGAGTCTCACAGTTTCATCCATACCGATACCAAGACTTTTTGCGAAACTGCCGCGGTGCGGGATCTACATGAAACGCAAAATGCCGCCGCCAGACACGCGAGCCCCACGTCTAGCGATGATAGCGCCGAGTGGGAGGACGCGCCTGGCGATGACTTGGTTGATGCTGAACCCCTACCATTGGTTCCTATCAGATCGAATCGCGTCTCAGAATCTTGCTCGTTTACCATCCACCCTTCCATTCTACAATCTCTCGCTCCTTTTCCGCAGCTAGGCAACGCCAAGAACGCGCAGCTGCTGGAGTATTATCTACAAGCCCTTTGTCCATTGACGACGTCAGGGTTATCTTCAGACTCACCATTTCGGTCTTTGATTCTGCCGTTTTCAATAACGCAATCCTCCAATGTCTTGCAATCCGTGCTCGCGCTGGCCGCCTGTCACCGGAGCAAGTCTGATCGTTCATGGAATGCGCCGGCCATGCGGCTGAAGGCCGGAGTACTACGGGATCTTCGAAGCCGTCTGGCTGCTCAAGACTCCACACAAGTTGCATTGGACCCAGAGGTTTTAATTACCATGATGCTCATGTGTCTCTATGAGATTGTGAACAATTGTGACCGCCGATGGGTGATTCACCTGCGTGGAGCACGAGATGTGATCCGTCTTCGACGACAGCTTCTCCCTGGCCCCATATCAGGGGATGCCGGACAAGAACCAGTGGCTGCTTTTGCAGAACGGTTTTTTGCATTCCAAGATATCATGGGCCGTACGGCATGTGGTGAAGCCCCGCTCTTTGGGACTGAATATTGGGAGTCTGACAGCGCGGTGGACGCGTGGATGGGTTGTAGCCCAGCATTGGCTCGGATTCTTTGCGCCATTACCGAGCTCAGCCGGCTCAAACAGCGGGAGCCCAAGTCGGAGCAATTTGTGCTTCGTGCAGCTGCTGTTGAAAATGAGCTGTTAAGGCTACGACAGACTGCGAGCTACGCTGATCCTCTCCTCGAAAAGTCGGCCGAGCTAAAGCGGCTAGGAGCCGAGGTTTATCTGCATTGTGCGCTGTATGATGCTTCGCCGTCTACCGCTCTGGTGGCAAGTTATGTAAAGGAAATCCTGCAGGGGGTAGCTGCGTTCTTGGCACAAGGAACCGCAGCTGGGCTCACTTGGCCCTTATTTGTTGCAGCAGTCGAGCTCGATCCGATTAACGACGAGCTTTGGACTGACTCAACAACAGGCCGTAGCGTTTACGGTCGCCCACTCGTTTTACGAGCGATTGATGTCATGGCAAGCTCTACCATGGCGAACATTCACAAGACGCGTTCAGTGGTGAGCAAAGTGTGGCAAGCGCGTGACTTGGACCAAATAGAACCATCTTCAACTTCTTCTGGCTCGCGATCACCTGGTAGGCAGCGTCGCAATGATTGGGAGACATTTGTCGCCCCGTTTTGCGATTCCATGAGCTTGGCTTAGAGCGATCTGTTATCGCTTTGAGCTGCCTTTTTCCCCTTTTTGCATTTGCCTGGTCTGGCATGGCGTCCTTGCTGTTATCATATTTGGGAGAGAGCCAAAAAAAAGAGATGTCGGCATGATGCACGGTAATCATGGAGTCTGGACCTGTTCTTTTTTTGATCATGCCTATCTATACTGATTGATCACTTTGGTGTTTGTTTTGGGACAATTTCGATACTGTCTCCTGTCATGTATAACGATCTGACTGATGACGATGATGCATTTTATTATGCGCACTCGAGACTTGGTTATATGCATATAGTACTCATTATACATAAAATGAATCCAATGGATACATCATCACGATGTGGCAAAGGTCATCGTCCCTTCAATGAATGTACTGGAATTATAGATGATTTATCAGTGAAATGGGGATACAGAGAACAACGATAGCATAGAATTTATCTATCGTATGCGCCTGGACCTGCCCAAAGAGACGGAGCGACGGGTTTGGTAGCGTGGGGAAAACGAGACGGGAGCCATTTGAAGCTAAGCAGTCACTTGTCTTGAGAAAACGGTCCCTTTTAGCCACCCTCCCTATCGGAGTCTTGTTCCTCTCCCCGCCCCTATACTCCGATAGTGTGCCACTTGACAGAACTTAGTCTCAGCGATGCTTCCTTATCATTGGATTTCTCCTCTAGACTGAGAACCGGCACGAACTGTCTGTACTCTGGTTACAGCCAACGTTCGTACGGAGTAGACGTCTCGCCGCCTGCAACCATGAAACGAGTCGCACCTTCCGAGGAGAACGCCGCCCAGTCACGTCTATCGCTTGGACCTTCACCTTTTGGTCGTTGATCATCTTCCGCCGTCGTCTACCGGTGGCTTTACTAACTTCCTCTTTCCTTCCTCATGGTTTCTCTCACGATGGCCAGCCACTTCGGTTAGTGACAATCTTCCCCGGACGTGGGCTTGTGTACCCGTGTTCTGGTACTGCTACTCGCCCCCGGTCCCTAGTGGCTGATAACCATCTTTCTTGCATGCTAACCATGCACGCCTTTCTTTCTGGGGGTCCTTGTCATGATATTAGACTCTTACCGATGCAACTGCCATCAAAGATAAGCTTTTTGGCCGTGTGTTCACTAAGTTTTGGTTGTCGAGCACATGGCTTCGTTTTGATACGGATATCGTTACCTTGATGTTGACTCAATTGCTATATGGATGTTGGACCAGGCGAATAGAACGCACATATATATCTCGCTCTTTTGCTCATCATTTTGAATCTTGTCTCGACTGTGCATATTTTTTTTTTCTTCTATAACTTTCCTTGCTTTCCCTTCCCCCCCCGCCAGACAATATTTACATACTGTATCATCACCATGAGGTTCATGTCCCCTTCTCTTCGAGAAGACCTGGACGTGCCGGGCACTGAGCGTCTCGTGGACGTCAATCACGACCTCAATGTTGCTCACGCCGGGTCAGACATTATCCTCATCCCTCAACCGACCTCATGCGGAGCAGATCCGCTGCGCTGGGCTCGCTGGAAGAAATACTGGCAACTCTTCCTCGTCTCCTTTTACGCCTGCGCCTTCTCCTTTGCAGAGAACAATCTCGGCGCAGCATGGACGAGCATCAGCGAGCAGACGCACGTCTCCATTACTGATCTCAATGGAGGCGGTGCTCTCAACTATCTCTTGCTAGGCTTCGTCAACATTTTCTGGATCCCCATTGCCATGAAATTTGGTCGACGACTCGTCTTCCTCGCCACCACTGCCATCTGTCTTGCCGGCACCGTCTGGACGGGCTCGTTCAACGGGACCGGCCAATGGTTTGGCTCCAACATTCTCAGCGGCATTGGCACTGCCGCCTACGAGGCCGTCATCCAGCTCGTCATTTTTGACATTTTCTTTGCTCATCAACGTGGGCGTATGCTCGCAGTCTATATCTTTGGACAGCAGCTCGGCTCCATTATCGGTCTCATTACTGGTGGATATATCTGTGACACCGTCGGCTGGCGCTGGAGTCAGTATATCTGTGCCATTATCAATGCTGTCGTCCTCCTTTCCTTCTTCTTCACTTTCGACGAGACCATGTTTCCGCGCTGGCTCGTCAGCATCCCGCCTGTCAATGTCGGAGTTGTTTCGTCGTCTCCACCTGCACAAAATACTATCGCCGAGACTGCTGCTTCTCGATCATCTACAGAAAAAGTCAGCGGCCTTGCCTCAGCCAAGGCCGATGACGTCGAGCGCAACGCTGCCGCTTCTCTACCGCCATCTCCCCCGTCCGAAACGTCAGACAATAAGGAAGAATACGTAGTCGCCAGCGCTCCATTGGCATCTCCCGAGGAGTTCTCCAAGCGGCCCTACCTTCGCCGCCTTAAACCTTGGGTCTACTATCCCCAAGACCATACCACGTACTGGCAATACTTTAAGCGGCCCTTTTTCCTCTTTGCGTTTCCAAACATTTTGATTGTATGTTACTTATCCCTTTGATCTCTGACCCTCTGCGCCCTTAGGACATAACCCCTCTTGTTCTTGCAATGTCTACTAGCATCCCTCCCCGCATAGCTAACACACAAATTCAATTCCAGTCCGGAATCATATTCGCGTTCGGCTGCACCGCAGGCATCGTCTCCTTCAACACCATTTCCGAAATCATGACCGAGCCACCATACAACTGGAAAAGCGGTCCGACGGGACTGCTCTTCCTTGCCGCTCTGGTCGGCAGCATCGTCGGCTGGGCCACGGGTCTGCTGAGCGACCACGTCGTCATCTGGCTTGCGCGTCGCAACAACGGTATCAAGGAGCCCGAGATGCGGCTGTGGACTCTGTCTCTGTCCGTTGTGTATGCTGCTCTCGGCTACCAATTGTACGGATGGGGCGCAGAACAGGGGCTCAATTGGTTTAGTATTGCGTTTGGAATTGGTGCCATGATTGCCCAGCAGGTCTCTGCCACTTCGATTGTAAGGCCCCACCCCCCTTTTCTTTTCTCTTCCACTCCTTTATGAAGTCCCTCGTACATTTCCCTTCTTTGTTCCATATATATATAGCAGAGGCGGCGCTGGTGGTGGAGGATTTTTATTATCCCTCTTCCCTTCCTTGTTCTTCCCATCCCCTTTCCCAGTGCGGCCCTATTCTGGTCATCCGTCTGAAGCGGCGTCACACACGCACACACATATATATATATACATATACGTACCGAAGCAATGCAAGACTAACCTCTAATTCAACAGGCAACTGCATACGCAATGGACTGCTTCTCCGGCATATCCGGCGAACTGGTCGTCGTGCTGGCGCTCTGCTCCTCGTGTATCAACTTCGCCATTTCCTACTCCACGCAGCCCTTCCTCGACCGCGTCGGATACGGCTGGCTGTTCTTCTTCTACGGCATTCTTGTCGTCTTGTCAAACCTGGCTGCCTTCCCCGTCATTGTGTACGGCAAGGCCTGGCGGAAACGGTGCATGCCGCGGTATCAAGAGTTTTTGGGGCAGCGCGTTGGGTATTATTAGTTGCGGTATTGAAGTCGCCTGTGCTGATCTTGTTTTTCTTTTCGCTCATTTATCTATTTTCAATTCGGCTCATTTATTAATTTTACCAAAGGTGATCATGTTGGTTTTGAATGTTCGCGTTGCGGCGCAGTATGATTTATGTTTGTTTGCTTTTGACATGCGACCTCGAAAGACTCTTTACTATTTCTGCGTCCTTCATACTTATGATTATTACTACTTCTGGCAGGTATATACCATATACCATTGATACTTTGACAAATGATGACGAGATTCACGAATACAAATGACGCGTTATTAAGACGGTATACGAATCAGTTCCATCAAATGAACAAGAGTGTGAAATTTCCGTGGAATGGTGTCCGAAATGGGTATATATAATTGATTATGCCCTGTCAAGCAAGCCAGGAACCTCGACCAGGATCTTGACCTGACCTGGGCCAGGACGTAGGGCTAACTACCGAATTCCCAACATACTTTAGCTCTGAGAGACTGTGTCGTTGCCAATGCATCTCATCATTGAAGCCAAAAGGCGTGAGCGTTGGACACTCGAACACTTGAGAGAATGCAATGGAGTAGTATGCACAGTTGCAAGTGCCGCATCAGATAGAAGATAGCAGTGAGGGCTGGATTTGGACAAAAAGATTGGAGAAACGAGAAGAAGAGAGACGAAAAGAAGAAAAAGAAAGAGAAAACATTCCAATGTCCCATACCCAGATGACTCCAATGGATGAAAATTTCATAAAGTCTGACAGGTTAAAAAAAAGGGAGAATGTCCACGGCTTTGGTCATGAACAAGTATGCGGAACGGCACCGAAAAGAAAAGGTAAAAGACACGGCAAAATTCGTTGGGATCAGGTCTGCATTATACCCCAACATGAGTCGCGCTGAGCTTGGTCGCCGTGTATGAATTAAATGATCTATGGGCGGAAGAAATACGTGCCGTTCGAAGCACGAGAGAAAGACACACGGGACAGAGGAGGGGAGGGGGGGATTGAGGAATTAAGTGGCCTTAAAGAGGCGGTAGGAGGAAGACGTAAAGTATGTGCATGGCGAAGAACTGGGATCATTGTAAGGATTAGGGATTTTCACCCTGCGATGAGGACCCATAGAAGGAAAACTAGAGGGTGGATATGATTAGCTTTCGCACATGAATATATCACTGACAGTCAAGGCAACTTGGATAATAGGATGGACGAAGGAACGAAGGAGGGGGAAGAGGACATACAGATCATTAATACACCAAACATTTTTGCAACGAGCCATCGATTGCCAGAGACACGACTCCAGTACTAGAACGTGTAATGTTAGTATTGATTTCCCGCAGCAGATGGGTTATACCAGAAGGGAGCATGTGTGGAAACGCACCTTCATGAGTTCTCGCTGCGCCCCTTGCACATTGTCGACAACGTCTTCAGTGTTGGCGTCTAGATAGGTTAGCTGGATTTCATTTCACACAATCTCTGAGGTAGGTGGCTTAATATACCTATTCGTTGAATCATTTCGCTCTAAATGTAACAATTAGCATTAAGATCGAATTTTATAGATGCCTTGTGCGGCTGGACGGGTTGAATTACCTGCTCGGACACCATTCCGGCAAGCTGGCCGAAAATGCTTCCTAGTTCATTTATTGTCCGCTCGATTGCTTCTATTGCCTCCCCACGAGCATTAATGTAGCTGTTTGTCGGTTGCGCTTCCTCCATCATCAATAATTGCTGGTCGGACTGTGGTCCGCTGCGCGACAGGGCAGAAACTGATGAAGGTTCTAGGGTCAAAAGATCCGGGTTTGACCCGGTGTACGGCGACTGTGGTGTTCGGCTTCGCCCTGGCGTGTTGTAAAGTGGAGAATCGCTTCGGTGAGGGTCGAACGCGGCTGCTTGTGAATGCGAAGAGACCGAGGATACAAAGTTTTCCGTCCGAGAGCGTGAGGCTTGAATGTTCTTTGTCCGAACCTCAAGCACATCCTTGAAGTTTACGGACACATCTGCAAGCTTACCCTGCAATAAGACGACGACCTGTGCTATGTCAGAATCAATTTTTGAGGATGTATGTAACATTGGAAACGCACATTCTTATTGTGTTCGCCCTCCTGATCAGCGCCTCCATGTCGAAGGGACTGAGGGTGTTGTGACTTTGAGAGCGCTTGGAGGGAAGAGATTTGTTGATTGAGCGAAGAGAGGTCTTGTTTTATTATGTAGGTTAATTCAGCAATCTCGACAGGCCTGTCGTCAAACAACGTCTTTCGCTTTGCCACTAATGAATCAAATTAGCTCATTGCTACATGCATAACAGTTCTCCCAGACTCCCGATATCCGATTTTGTTGTAGTACTGGAGTCTTCAGACATACATTGTGCTAATCTTTCCAGTTTCGCCATGGTTCCAGTGATCCCTCGACCAATTTCAGCTGCTCTTCTAGCAAATTCCGACCTTGAGCCCCGTTTTACGCCTCCGGTCGGTGAGCCATTTGCTTCCCGTCGTTGAGAGTCCGAGAGGAGGGATTGTCGTTGTGGCCCGAATCTTGACGAGGTCTGACGCTTCTGAGCCTGGGTCAGAATGGACCGGAACTCACTCGTCCGGTCTTGTATTGATACGCTCGCCATGATTATTCGTCGAGAACTGTCAGACGGGTTGAGGCGAAGAAGTTGGTGTTGGAGAGTGACGATTGTGTATAAATCCGTTTGCGGACTCGAATAGGGATGAGATGCTGTGAGCGATATATGATATCAGGGTTAAATGGTAGCTAGAATGTTGAGACACAGTAGAGGCCCTTGCAGAGTAAATCCCACTGTGAAAGCAGGGGTGGGTTGAAATCAACGTAAGTGTATGACTGTCGCAGGAATAGGTCGTTGGATGTCAAGTTGGCTTAGTTAGAGCATCCAGGTTGCGCCGATGGCAGATGAGGCGAGATGGCCAGAGCGGATGTTGCCGCCCCCAACTCTTGATTGATTGATTAAGATAAGAGATAATCAATCACAATCAACCAATTAATCGCAGTGAGACATGAGAAATAAAATTGAAACAACAAGACAAAGCATTTGACAAGCTAATGATATTAAGAATGAATGTCCCTTGGTGGAAATCTCTGAAGAACAAAGACCTTACGGTACAATGTGATATTTACATGACCCGCTTACGATGATCATAATACTGGCACGTGACGCGGCTTCTTGCCTCGGAAAGGGGAAATTCGGAAACCCAATCATTTCAAAACTTGAAACGGTCTCCCAAATGACGCGTGGATGGACTACGGAATAGGGAGGACAAATAAGTTTTGGGAGTGATTTGTTGTCATTACTCTTATTAGCATCGTGAGGGCTGTGCTTGGCCTACTGTCAGCAATTCAGCATTCCTCCAATATCTACAATCTGGCTTATCGGTCTGTATTGGGTTTGTCCGACTGCCCTCGCATACCAAACACGCGCTTGAGTTCGCTGCTCTCAGCTTCATGACGACAACGCGTCTTTCAACAGTCTTGGTATACACACGGCTATCCCTTGAATTTGCGAGAACCCCGCAATGATATTTTTGTCTCCTTCAGCAATCACAAGATTAGTGGATTCAGAAGCCTGTCCACGCCGAAGGCCATTTTACGCTTTTGTCGACCTGTGAGCGGTCTGCCCTCAGGGGTCCCCGCTCCCTCATCATGTCGAAACCATATCAACACACCTTTGAATCTATCCAATCTCCCTTGTGAGTGTAGACAACATTGTCATTACTTTATCTTGTCTCTAACCATCTGCCTGTGATAGGAGCGGCCCTGGCGGCTACTCGAATCCCGCTTCTCCTGTCGGCGGCCAACCGCCCTCCTTCAAAACAAACCTCAATCGTGCCAAAACAAAGAAATGGGTAGAAGCGAAAGGATACTCCTACGATGGAGATGATTGGGGTGAAGTCGATGAATATGACGAATACGGTGGTTATGACGAGCCACAACCGCCTGCAGTACCTGCTGTTCCTGCTATGCCACCCCTACCAAAGCAACCTACAGGACTCAGACAAAAGGGCCAGAGTGCTGCAAGCCCACGCTCGAGTCCCCAAACTGAACAAACTGGGGTTTTCTCTCCTCCTGCCAAACAGGGCTCCTCACCGTCTATTGGTCACCAACAACATTACAATGGCCCCTCCGCCGTAGCTTCATCAGGGTCGTCGGCTGTCCCACGGGGTGTTTCCCCAGGCCGCCCAAGGGCCAATTCTTTCGAGCAGGGGGACGATGCGGTGGCCATGCCCTCCGCTCTTGCGGAGCCGGGAGGAGCTTGGGGCCAGGTCTCGTCCAATGAAGATCAATCACACATCCCGATTCGTACGTCCGCTACAGGCTCGCCCGTTTCTCATTCCCCCACTCTGCACCCATGGGCCAGTGGCGAAGCACATGCGCCCCAAGCAGAGCAAAAGCCACCCCCTCTTCGGATCGAGACGCAATCTGTTGCTGCGGGTGCTCCTCCGCAACCACCTACTGTATCGCCAAAGTATGCAACGTATTCTCCGTCCCCATCAGCTGGAAGTCATCGAGCTGTTTCCGATACTGACAGGAGACACCCCTCTGGTCCCGCGAGTCGGAGGCAATCCGTTGACAGCAATGCACCGTCTGTCGAATTACAGAGTCGGCGTGATTTCTCGCCTTCCGTTGCCCCTCAACGTAATCCCAGCGCCTCCAACTCCCCGAATCCAAATGAGTTTCGCTTTCCGCCTCGCAAGAGTAGCTTGAGTCAGAGGACAGCTTCATGGAACCGGACACCGCGTCCTTATGAAGATGTCTCTCAAGCTTTCCCGCAGTCTCCAGGCTCCGAAACATTGCAATCTCCTATATCCGATCAAGGCGGATTCAGTACAACAAAAGCAACGACGTTTGTCCGACCGGCTGATATCTACAAACGAATTGAAGCTGAGCGAGAGAGGGAAAGGCGCTCTTTGGATTCTGGCAGACCGAGCCTGGACTCCGTTCGAAGCCGCTCCAGTGAACCTGAAAGGGTCACAAGCCCGCCACTAAGGGAACGCTTGAGCTCCGAAAGTCTTGGTCGATCTATCAGGGGACGCTCAAGTTTTGATGGAACGGGCGACCTTGAGTCTAACCGTAGACTGAAGCCAATGCTCGATCCCGTAAAGGAGAGAAAAAGCGAATATGGCTTTGAAGGATTTTCATATGAGGCCGCAAAAGCGGCTGAAGAGCAGTCCAAAAACCCGGTTGATGCCTCATCTAAAGCAGGCCAACGAGACTCGAGGCCAATTCTTCCTGACCTTAACCGCATCTCTGCCTTTGGAGATTCTCTTTTCGGACCTACTCTTGCCTCTTCAGATTTCCTCTCCGGTCCAGAAGGGCAACCTCCCGAGGCCATTGCTGGACCTACTGTCACCGAACCTGTCCGCGATGTGGCTAATGAAAAGACTCTTGAGCACCAACCTTCTCTGGGATTTCGGTCAGTGGTGAATCAAGCTTTCGACAGGAAAGATGACAAATCTGTCCCGCCAACTCCGTCCTCTACGGATCGCTCAGATATTCGAAGTGGTAGTGAAAGTACGACCGAGATAAGTCCAATCATGAGTCGCGTTCCTGATATTGCTTCACTTGATGCCCAAGCTGGGAATGCTGCCAAAACGCAGCCGGAGATGGGAGCTATCACCGAAGAAATTAATGAGTTCGACGCGGGTTCTAGACCAACTTCTACCGCAACCGCCATACCCGCAGATGTCGTGAGGACACCGTCGCCTCCTCCTTCTGCTCATTCCCGCAAGACGTCAGAGAACTTGCCGCAGGGCTTTGTGCCTGGGCATCGGCGGGATTTGAGTACCCCTAGCCCGGCAAATAGTCCGGCACGGTCGCCGGCTCTCAAATCTACCGAGACCAATGCCGCAGAAAAGCAAGCCGAGGTCACATCCGCCACTCCCACAGATGCCCAAGCTGTCCATCACCCTTCAGAACAACCAAGTGGACCTCCCACAGGACTACCTGAAGTCGCATCTGAGACTGAAGGGCAAGACCTCTCTATCAATGACACGAGCAATCCACTGGACCAAGCAGAGGTCGAGAAAGTCGCTCTAGAGCATCGCTCTCCGGAGGCGTCTCCAACTAGAGAGCCTCGATCACCGACTTTTAGTGTTTCTCCTCGAAGTGGATCCGAATCCCCAAGCAAAGGCCGGGTACGAGATCTTGCTGGCATGTTTGACTTGAATGAGAGATCGTCACGTCGTGGCTCTGCCACTTCCTTTTCCTCTCGAGGAAGTGTCACAGAGAAGGCCAAAGATGCCACGGATGCGAGCCGTCTAGTTCCGAATCGACTAGAGAGTTTCCGGCCATCTTTGCCTGGCGGGTGGGTATCATTTTCAACCATGGCTGACAATAGCCCAAGTCGACTCAGTGTGGTGACGGACGATACTGCGGCTAAGGAGGCCGGTCAGAAAGATGCCATCCGAAACGAAAATGTCCCTGAATTCGGGCCAGCTTTGCAGGGCCCATCAGAGGAGGGTCTTGATTTGGTACAAACCAGCGCTGGTCAGGGCGCGCTGTCGCCTGAAAGTAGAGTACCTGAGCACGACGCCTTTGCAGCAGCTGCGGCCGCAGGTGCTGCCATGGGTGCATCAATTGCCGACTCAGTCCGGCAACTGCGAGAGCGGGGTGGTTTCGACTCGACTTCCCCATCTGACTACGAGCGGAACGAGCATACCGACACGTCACTTGAATCTTCAATCCATAGTCATGTGGCACCTCATTTTGAGATTCACAGTGACGAAGATGTGGTTGACCAAGGTTTGGACGCACAAACGAGCTCGCCGATGCCTCAGCTTCTCACTCCCTCCAACTTGGAGTCGTCTGGCTCTCCGAGCGTTGGCCCTACGCCTCCCCCCAAGGATACGCCGTATCAAACAGGCCGCGCTGAATCTGACTATTTCCCTCCAACGCTGCCCCTGAAGCATAAGAGTATCAATCCGGCTATGCAGCCGCCAATTCTCAACCCAACCGTTCGTCCAGAAATATTACCCTCTTTAAGCACAGAAACTTCTCCACAAGACCTTGAAAGCGATCGACTCAGAAAAGAGATTGTCAGAAGGCTTAGTCCAATGTCCTCATCTGAACAGGATGCTCTTCGAGAGCTGGAAGACTCCGAGGGCGTTCCAGATAATGCTGATTCCAAGTCGTTCGATCCAGCTCGGGAAAGCACATTCTTACCCAGCGAATATGATAGCTATTGGGATCATGGGGAGCGCGATGATGATGAGGATGAGGATGATGAAGTTACGAGTGGTAGTCGAACTCCGCCTGCACGGGCCGAGCAAAGCTTACACCCTGTCGAGCTTGAGAGCGATCAGTTCACTCTAGCAAAGGCGTCGCATGAGCCAGCAGCGGAGCCGGAACAACATCGCGACGTCCCTTTGACGGAGCAGGCTGGTGCCGCAAGTACAATGGCACAAGGCCCACCTTTGCTCAAGAAGAAGTTTTCCTGGGAAGAAGATTCTCGCTCTCAATCTCCTGAATCAGTTGAGCTTCATCCTCCAGATTATCCGAGCCATGGGGAGGCTTTCGAAATCCCTAAGCCTGTGTCATCCGAAGAAACTCGAGACTCGCTTCAGAGTGTCTCGACTACAATCCCTCATGAACAACAGCTTGGCGAGGGACAATCCTCTAAGGATTTGCAGTACAGCAAACGGGAATTTTCAGTTCCTAGTGGATACAGATCTTCCCTCCCTCCGTATGAAGAGGCCATGGATGTTGCAGACGGCGTTGCACCCGATACTGCCAGCAGTGAAGCGCCAGAACCTCTGCGCTCGTCCACTTCCACTGGCCTCCATGACATCGAAATACCAGCAAGTAGACCTACCTCAACCGCACTGGAGCATACATCCGTGATTCCAGCAGAGCAGGCGCCTGTAGTTGACCAGGAGAAAACTGGTCCAATTGTAGGCGCACCTGACGACGTAGCTCAGTCAACGCAAACCACCTCACAGCAAAAGATGCCTTCGTTTAGGGATATTTTGGCCCTAACCAACCCGTTTGACCGGATACAATCATATAATATAGCCCGAAAGCAGCTGGCGGAATCGGATTCAGGGTTATCTAACTGGATTACTTCGATAACTGCTGCTAATCCTGAGTACGCAGACTTGGTTTCCACAAACAGAGAAGCCAGTCAACCAGCGGGTTCTAGTACCAAGCGCTCAGTTAGTTCCATTCAGGGTCCCACTCATGCTAGCGGAAGCATCAGGATCACCAGTCATCACATGCAAACCAAAGGCAAGGATCTCCTTCACTCCGCGGGCGCCTTAGGCGGGAGAGCAAATATCGCCGCCAAAGGTCTTTTCTCCAAAGGAAGAAATAAGTTACGCGGCAGCAATGCTGAGAAGGTAGATACTTAATTTCCCGTTTTTATTTTTTTCTTTTCCTTTCTTTTCCTTTTTTTTGGTTCCCTCTCCGCCATTTTGGTGCATACCTCACTATATATTTTTAATATTCAAAGTCATGTCTTTTTACGCTTCTATTGATGTATCCAGGGAGTCACGGCTATAGCTGGGTGACTCGTGAGCCAAGAGGATAAAGTGTACGATGAAGCCCGGTCTGGTCTGTATTATTCATGACGGTTGGACTGGTGCGAAATAACGTTTTGGAGCGTTTTTGTAGTTTTTGTTTCAAAACTTGTACTTCAGATTTCTATTCTCATGACTTTTTATGTTGATGATTGGTGTACTTAGGAAACTCATGCTTCTCCCTTGGCTGGTGGAGAGAATAGTGCTTCTTGCGTGCCTAGTCAAACTCCCCTTGCGTCCCAGCGAGGCGCAAATTCCAAGCTTAGTGAGCAAGGAAGAAGCGCCACCACCCACGAGCAAGAGATTCCATCGCGTCTGGATACTGGCCCTAAACAAAATATTACCGAACGGAATGTGCAACCTGCTCCAAATGTCGATGAAATGGGAAAATCGCCTTCTCGGCCAGCTTTATCGTCCAGAGGATATACTATTCGTGCAGTGCAGCCAGAGCCAGTTTACGCTCCCAACTCACCTGAGAAAGACCCTAACAGGTTCAGTCTTGGCCAATCTCTCGGCGTTGTCAACCCTGACAATAATGAGAACGATGTAAGAGAGGCGGATGATGTTGACTTTGAAGAACGAAATAATACCCAGGATGGTAGCGTGCAGCACGAAGCTAATACTGGAGCCAATCACGCGGAGACTTCTCATGAAGCTCATATCTCCCAACAATCTCCAGTGTCAGCTTTGCCAATAGTTTCAGATCCCAATGTCGCTATGAGCCTTCAAACTCTGACAGGTACAACAACACAAGGTGCATACGCAGTGGCAGAGCGTACGGCTGCTAGATCACCACACAAAAATTCCCAGATCCCTTTTCGACCTTACCAGGTTGAAGTGCTTAACCACGGCCAAGAAGTGCGACCAGCCACGCATAGGAGATCTTCAACTAAAGATTCATATGAAAGTTCAGGCTATGCCCGGAGATCTTCTCAAGGGCTCTTGAACACAGATCAAAATGGCCCTGGAATCGGTTCAGATAGTTCCCAATTACCATCTCTCGCTGCCGATGTCCAGGCTCAACAGAATGATGACCACGGCAGGCCTAGGCGCTCACTACATCCGCGTCAGCACAGCACTGAATCTTATATGCAGGGGCCGGTTCTTAATCATGAGGAGATGCTGCGTGCAGAGTCTCGTCGACGGTCGATGGACCTTCTGAGGCAGTTTGGCGGCGGGTCTCCTGTTTATCTAGAAAGACGGGATTCGTCAGGATCGACCTGGTCAAGCTCGAGCAAGGTTGGCGCTCATAAAAAGCGTCGATCTAGTCTCTTTGGCTTGCTCAGCAAACCTCCTACTCCAGAGGTACCCCATGGAAGCCGCGAGAGTGCAATCACACATCTCGCAAACTCAAAAGCTGAACCTGATCCTGCAAATCCGCCGTTGAAAACACAGGAAGGCAGTGGTAACAGTGCTCGGCCAAAAGATATAGCTGAGAAGCGGGGAAGAAATAAGTTACAGAGATCTTCGACCAGCCAGTTCGTTCAAGCATTGGACGAGAAGAAAAAGAAACGTTTCTCCGGTCTTGGCGTAAGTCTTCTCTAAACAATGCGGGACGCACTCAGTAGTAAAGTTTACTAAAAAATCGTCAAGGGAATTTTTGGTAGGTCAGACAATAATCCCAAGCAAGGGCACCAACCATTTCCTGCTGGCCCAAATGTACTTGTCAAGCATAGCCACACTCGTCGAAACCGCGAAAGTCAGGCCCTCACGCAGCAGCAAGCAAAGCAAGTGGCGCCAGTCTCCCCCAATGACGCTGTTCCGCATCCTTCTGCAGCCGGCTATACAAACTGGTCTGCAGAGCCATCAGCCACGGCCTTGCCCGAGCCATATCAGGCGAATACCTATCAGGACGTTGGGGAACAGATCACAGAATCAGACCGTGGAACAACGCCACAAAATTTCTTAGAAGGTCATGGTCGTACTTCACCTCATCCACAGCCCCCATTTTCCGGGTTTGATCAGTCTTGGCACCCTTCTGGCAGTTCAGGACAATATCTTCAACATTGGTCTCACGACTCGACACCTCGAATTAATACAACCAGTAATCAGACAGAGGATCCATGGCGCATAGATGTCCCTCTGCCTTCCTCCCCACTGAAAATCGAGCATCCCGGTGAAGATTACTATCAACACCCTGCCCAAAATTACCATTACCAAGAGGATCCACAATACCGGGAGTACAATTTTCATCGTGCCCCTCAAGCCGACAGCGTCTCGCCGCTCAACGCCCCTGTCCCTGGGGCTGGCCCCGTGGGTCCGCTGAGCATCGACGATCCGTTGACCAAATTAAGCTCGGGTTCTCCATCTCCAATCCAGGAGCTTCCCGGCGCAGAAAACCCGCAACACCATCACTCCGCTGCTTATGCCTCAGGGTTTCGAACATGAATCCGACATAGACTCTTGTCTCATTGTTTTATTGATCTTGTTCTGGACCTGAACAGTCGAAATCTAGATATCTACCTTTCCCGTTTACTTCAATTTGTCCTTTTGAGCCTATCATATTTTAGTCTTTCTTGTTTCATATTTCCGAATCTTTGCCAGAGAACACGTCATCCTTGGCAGTACACATGGGCATTCCTAGCATACATTATTATTTCTTGATCTTTGAGCGTTTGAAATTTGGCATATCATTCAAGGCATAGCGTAACGTATTTCGGCATTTGAAACATAGAACAGCGCTCACCGAGGATCCTGCAATGGGGATTCGTCTTTCCAATTGTCATATTCCATTTCGGATGACTTTTTCTCTCTTCGATCTATGACTTATGACAGTCGTGTTTTCTCAATTTCTGGCAAAATATTTCGGTACCATTCATAGTAGATATTTCACATTTCGTTTAATTTTGCATGGCATGCAATGCAATTACGTTGGTTCAGTGATTCTCATATCTGATGTCTACATGTCTGTTTTCGAGTCATATTAGGCACATGCGTGAGATTGAGGAAGACAGGGAAACGCCAAGATCTAAACGTGTTTAAGATTACCCCTGAGCAAACTTGAAGTTTGTCACTGAACGAATCTGAACTATCTACCTCGGAAAGCTCTGGACATAACTCTCATCCTATCCTCATCTCTCCCTTAATCCGGTCATTTTCTGAAAGCACAGGCACATTCATTTCTCCCTCAATCATACCAACCACCATTGACGATCCTCCTAATCCTTTTTGATTTCACTAGTCCTTCAGCAAGTCATTGTCTCCCACCTTGACATTTTCTCTCTCTCCACTTCTAGCACAAGCCAAGATGCCCAAAACCCAAGCCGGGTGTCAAGTTGCGCTCGGGTTTAAGAACAAACCGGAGGCTTGGTCTGCGTTCAAGCAAGACTTTGAAACATGGCACAAAGACCCAGCTCATCCCGATAGAAAATATCTCTCTTTGAATGACGCAGCTCTGTACGGCGAAGTTCAGGATTTTGCGGAGTCTGTCGGAGAGAAGTACTGGGCTACTTCAATTGAGAAGCTCCACTGGCCATGGGACAAGGACGAGTGAGTATAACTGCTCCTGCCTTTCAGACCCTGAGTTAACCTCGAGTAGCATCTGCGATTTTATTTATGACTACGCCATTCTTGAAGGTGCCCGTGAGCGGAAAACCAAGGATCATGCTGCATCTTCCCCTACGGTGGAATTTAAAGGAGATGCGACCCCACTGGAGCAAACGTCTCCAGCATCAGTGGCGCAAACAGTTGAAGAAAACCGTCAAGGAACTGGAAGCTCCGTGCGTCGCTCTGAACGGATCAAAAAGCTTCCAAAAAAGCATTTGGGACTCCAATTGCTTAGGGTCAACCCGTCTACTTCACCCACACCCCGAACGCCAAATCGTAATTTAAATCGTATTTTCATTGACCTCGACGCGGAAGAAAGCACAGTGACTTCAAGAACAGTCTCAGAAACAGTCACAGCAGAAAATGCTCCTCCAACAATTCCATCGAATGAAGAACAAAATCAGAAAAAGGCACATCTTCGGAGCTCCCGTGCAATGACTCCTGATGCCGAGGAAACCGCACCGATTGACCTCTCAACGCCAACCAAGTTGCCCAACAGACCTGATGAAGTATTTGTTCGTCCCGTCGAGCAAACTGTCATCTCATTTACTCGAAAAGCTTCGTTTCCTTCTCAACGCTGGCTGAAGACCACTTTGATCGTTCACAAATCTTCAGAGACGAGATCCAGGATACTTCGATTAGCAAATTGCATTAATGCCGACATGCTCAAAGCCATGGTCTTGTCGACCTGGGAAACAAACGAGCATTCTATTTCCGCGGTGGAGTTAAAATGTCCATGGGTATCATCTAAGCCGGTGGAGATCGTACTTGGAGATCCAGAAAGTTTCGGTTTCTTGGTTGAGAGGGTGAACGACTGTCCGGTCTGGTCAGAAGCTGGAAGGGACTCATGTACTATTGAAATTGAACTTGTTATGAACTCATGAAGGACGCTTGGAAGGGGATCTCGTCTTCATGACCCCAACGTTCGACAAGGCGGATGTGCGCTTATCGCAAAGTACATATTGTGTGCCAAGCGCCACTTGACTAAAAAATGGGCTTGCTAACCGTGGATTTGCAAAACCGGAATAATTGTAAAACCATTTGGTCCCTTCACTCATCTCTCTCCACCACTCCTAATTGGTCCCTTTTGTGCTGAGACTTAATGCAACTCCAAGAGGCAAGGCCACCGCTGCTCTGCTCTGCCACTTGGTAATTGGAGAATTTGAAGAAAATGCTGAAACCAAATTTGTCATGAAAAAGGCTTGAAAGGGAATATTTCTTATATGGCTCCAACACTCCACACGGCGGACGTGCAACAATTGCATACGCAGTGTCCACCGCCACCACCAAGTTCTGCAGACTGCTAGATTAGGTATAAGATTGCAACATCTTTTGTCGTTATTGTCTTGTTCAGGAAATACATTTTGTGTCAATATAAGATGCAGCTGGCACAGAATTCCACTCACGGGTCCAGAACACTGGCATCGTCGTAACGTGCAAGCTCAACAACTTCAGTTTTCAAGGCACAACAGCCAGAAAATCAGCTGGTCTTTAGTTTTTGCAAATAGATCTTGCGATCTTTGCCTTCCAGGAACAAAAGTTCAAGCTGGGCTGGACAAACAGCAACCAGACGTGCATTTTGTCTTGGAGCAGAATTGTGACATTGTCCTACCCCAGTCTGCAGTATGGGTCTTTGACTTTTGCAAACAGTTTTTACAAATCTCGCCTCTTGGAACAAAAGTTCTGACTGATCCCGACAAACAGCAACCAGACTTGCATTTCGTCTTGGAGCAGAATCATCCTACCCCAGTCTGCAGTATGTGGCAGCGTAGATTCTCAACTGAAGCTCTGTGCTTTTGCACACCCAGCTCATGTGCATTGTCCCATTATGCAAACAACAAAAAGCATACCATGCTCTGGTTGCTTTGGTGAACTGTCATTGAGCCCCACCCAGCCTAGATTGATTATTGTCCGAGTCTGCTACAGCAGCGAAAATACACAAGCCAGACATTTGCTGGACTGCTTGTAGGATCCAAAGACAACACCTTGATCAGGCTTCCTGCCGCCTGTCAACAAGCCCCGACTCCCCAATTTGTTTAACTCAGAAAAGCAGAGCAAGCGGACATATTCGATAGTGTCACTTCTTTTTTCCAGAGGACAAATATTCTTTGCCTCCTCAGAGTCCACTCGTGGTTCGGACTGATCAAGCTTGTCAAATATGTCTTTGCAAACATCTACAAATCTTCAAAAGACATTCCCATTTCTTGAGTGCTTCCATCTACAATTTCCATCTCTACCTATACCTTGCCTAGGGCAATGGTGTTGCCTTTTTACCTTGTGTTTAGGTGGATTAGTGTTTGCATTTTTTGCTACCTTTGCAGCTTTCTTGATTTTTTTGGTCCATTCTTGGACCTTTTTAAGTGTCATTATCCAGCCACCCAAAGCAGTTTTCAAACGCTGGAACAGCTAATACATGCCTCAGCATTAATTTGAGACCAAGTGTGTTCTAGGGTCCTGAACCTCTGATTGATCTTGAGTGACTTGAGTCTTGACAGAGCCAAAGCACGAGGGTCATAGGAGGTTGTCATCAATTTCCAGCCAGCGAGGTAACTTATCGAGACCTGCATATAAAGAAAAGCACTAGGTAGAAGACAGCCACACAGACAACATTTTCTGACGTTTTCTTGGCTGCGAAGTTGTTTTGCCTCCTCGACATATCCGGATATTCCCCATTTGGGACTCCTATTGTTGGATTGTCTCATGAGTCTCTCCAGTTTCTTCGAGCTCTTTAACTCGTTCAGTTGAGTTCTAATCCACGACGCACGGCCGCACGTCGATCCATTTTTTAAATTTCCTGGGAGGAGCGAATACTCTCAGTCTCTACTCTCAGCTGAGATTCCGTGAAAGAAGTAAATCTCAGAGTTTCAAATGGTATAGATTTCCAGACCACGCCCTTAGGCTGAGTGTGGAAAGGGCTAGGCCCAACAGATGATTTGGTCCGTAGTTGGGGTTCTATAATTCTTTGTTCCTGGCATTCTATTGCCACTGGTGCATTCTGATATCGGGTTGAGCCTTGATATCATGATATGTTTTCCAGTAATAAATATACTCGAATGCTCTCCATCGGATTGCGAAAGTCAGGTTGTTTTCAAAAAAACTTAGAACGGCAACTTCATTTCTGTTTCGTCAAGGACGTTATGAACTTTATGAACAAAAGAAACAATATTGATCTTATCTAGCATCTTGCAATATTGGCTTTTTAAATTTGCCATGTAACATGTTGATAAACCGCACAAGGTCATGGCGGTCTATAGTCGGCCTGAAGACCCACAGGCCGAACATCAAGAAGGCAGCACCCATCTTTGATTGTTTGATAAACAATCAAGGCCTAGAAGCAACAGGGTTCGATGCTGAAGGGCAGTCATTTGTCCAGGGTCCTCCAATAAGCTTCCCCCGTTCGGCGTACAGTGTACAGTGTACTCCTTCTAAAGGAGCGTTTGAGTTTCAAATACAAATAGTTTTATTTGGTGGATCGATCCGAGCCAAGAATCCTCTGCCGTCTTTCTCCCTGGGGTTTCATTCTGAAAATCAACTTCAGCGTTATTTAAAAGTTAAATAAAAAAAGAAGTAATATATCCAGCAATGGATTATTGGGAACTACCCAGCCAAATGTTGAGGTGTTCGAACTCTAGACCAAACAAGCTTTAGTATGATTGGAGCTACCGATTATGAGTAGCCTGGCTAAACGATATTGTTAAAACATTTTCGGCAAGACCAATAGCGTTGTAATGGATTAAATATAACACTTTGTTACAAGAAGAATGTTCAAAGAAGAATGTTTCAAGCTGGGTCTCCTATGTTCTCATTGGGGATAGTTCCCCTCCTTCGCCGGTTGTGTATCCACCAGGAATTTTTTAAATTTTTTGCTGTAGCGTGTTCCTCAAGGCGCAGGTGAAATGTGCCTGCCTTTTGTAGTTTTTGATGGCAACCACCGTAGCATAACTGTATAACAGTCTTGCGACTCTCTGGTTTTCGTGACGGTCAAGTCAGAAGGAAGGGGCGTTAAGAGCCGCAGCGGTGCAGCCACGTCACTCAATGTCTGCTTCATTGAACTCCCCATTCACTTGTCAGCAGCAGTTGATCTGGTTCGAGTAGGCTTTCGGATTTCGAAGTGGAATTCGGATTTTGAACATGTTTCCGGGAGTTTCGACGTTCTCTTTCGCAAACTCTCGGACAAACCGTTGGCATGGAAGCTTCTCTGCTTTTCTCCCCGTAGGGAAGGAGTGTCTGGTTTGGGAAGCTTTCTGAATGGAGTGAGTAGAAAGTTCTTCAAATTTTATTTTTCTAACGTGAAACATATGGTGGAACCAGAATTAAAAGAAAACGGATAAATTCGCGGACCCGATGATGAAGGCTTCCGGTCCTTCAGCTTTCTTTTTTCGCATGAGCCGTTGAGATCGGAAGTAAGGCAGACTTGCTTGCCAGGACCGAAACAGCACGGCCAAGGCGTCGTGCCAGATCTCCAGTAATTCTCCGCAGTCGCTCTGGACTCTCTTTGCCTCAATATAAGACTTAAGGAGACTATTGAGGATATTTTATTAATGTCCAGTCATGAAGACATCGTGTTTTTGCGCGTGTTTGTATCCAGAGCCAAAGCTCCGGTTCCCTGTTCTTCCAACTTTCGAGCTCAAGATAGTAATCTTTTCATTAGAGTTCCAATGATTAGCAAGTTCGATAAGTACTAACGCTTCAGTGCAGACAGCATAATTTGCATTCAAGAATTCGAATTGAGAGTGCCTGGACAAGTCAACTTAGTCCATGAGTCAGGACTAAGCACCGACACCGACTTCTGCTTCTCGGCTGCTTCTTTACAAACTGTAGTTTCATCGCCCGTTGGATACGAGTCTCGTTTTATGGTTGTTGTTTTATAATCTTTGAAACCGTTCAAAGTCATGGCCTGAGGGTTCTTCCGCCCCGCCGAGCACGGCGCAGTCCAGCGGTGCCGATAGGTCTTTGGCCCGCTGTACCCCTTGCTATGGTAAGCGTGATGTTAGTTCAAGCTTTAACTGTCACCGCGGGCTTATTCCGCCCGGGCGCAACCCATCGTCAGAAGCGATTGGTCTCTATTGAGCAATTGCCCAGGGCTAATATTAAGCGCAACCAGGTCGATTGCAGCCTTGGTCCGAAGCAGCTTGGTAAACAGACAAGGCCGCATTATGAGAAAAAATTGTGAAATACCAAGATTTCTATTACAGTGATACCTCTTCAAATGTTTCTTGTGGTTTATAAAGATCGCAAAAGGTTATTTCGAGAACTGAGCTGTCGAATTGGAGCTGTCGAATTGGAACTTTCAATGCAAGAATCTTGCAAAATAAGTGCAAACCCGGACAACATGTTCTTCCCGCATTGTATAACGCTGCACAGAGGCAAAATATGAAGAACGTAAATCTTCCCGGGATTTATTTGGCCTGGACTCTGTGATTTCCCCCCAAAACCACCCGCAATGGAGTCCAGTAGTCGATTCCGATCCTGGCCTTTTATGCAAATCTTGCATTGGCGCCGTTGAATGTCAGAAAATTCTGAGACTTGTACGTTTCGCTCAAACGCCAAGAGAATTGTCAGCACCTAGCCAACCTCTGGCTTTTAGAATCCTGTTTCTTTTCATGCCTGAAAGGCATTGACTCCAGATACACCGTCAGGCATACTCTCTTTGGTCGTAGTGTTTGTCATTTATCAAACACTTTTGATGTTTCATGTATGAAACGGGTAATTGAGGAACATCGATGGCATGCTCTTCAACATGGGCGCTTTGCGCTTACGTTGAGTTATTTGTGTTGATACCAATCTTAATTTTCTTATAAGATTCGAGAAACAAGGATAGGTTGGAACAGGTGATCTCCACGCTCGTGACTTGCACAATATGTGCTTTCAATGTCTCAAAAGAAAGAAGAAGGTTCTTTCCATTTTCCCAAAGTAGCAGTTCTATTTTTTCAAAAGTGTAGAACTTGCAAACAGCATCAGCACTGCGATATTTCAGCTTGAGCTCAAGGAAATGTTACGCAAGTGGACGGAAAATTCCAACTGCCAAATGTTCCACTCAGTGCAATCTGCAGCCCAAAAACGAACTGATTTGTCGGAATCAACTCGTCTTAAAGAAGTTCTTGAGAGTAATATTCAGATGCTTGCTCCACCAAGGTGAACAGCAAGTTAGAAAGCCGCATCGAATCCTGGTTATAGTTGTCAATGGATTATTGGAGAGGTCTACAGCGGACTATTAAGTATGACAGGGTGACGTTCCTGAATATCAGGAATGCGGCAGCCAACGAAACATAGTCTCCGAGCATGCATGCTTCGGAAACCACCGTCCTGATGAACTGTATGGTTGAAAGGATCTTTTGCCTGGAGTGGTGGCTACTCGGCATGGTGATGTACTCCCGAGATATGTGGAATTCCAGGAGTTTTTTGTTTGTCCTGCATAGCACCAGACGGTTCGAGCCCACCAGTATTATGGAGGACTACCGTCTGGCTAATGCCGTGGTCTCTTGATAGTTGCAACTGTCAAATTGACTACAATATTAAGCGCAACCAATTCGATAGCTGCTTTGGTCCGTAGTAGCTTGCTAAATAGACAAGGTCGCAGTTACGAGAAAACATGAAATTGCGGGCGAGCAAGACTGGAGCGGTCGGATGTGGCCATCTACTCTGTATTGTCGTCGGTATGATTTCATGTTTATTATTAGAAAACAACCGTATTGTGCAAGTATACATCGTTTCAAGAGAAGATAATTGGTGATAATGCTTGTGCATCACCGACAAGCCCCTGAAGAGGAGAGGCCTTGGAGTATGACTTGAGCAGAGCAAGCTCTTTTCTATGTCGAAATAAACTCTGGTATCTTGGAAGCTATACCAGAGTCTCTCTCCCAGCTTGCCAAGAGTTTGTTGTTGATGTTTATTGATAGTGTGTGTTGTATTACGTTGTAGATGGTACTGTTTGAAGTTGTTTTGATTCTTTGAATGATTAATTTAAGAATGGAAAGTGAGATATGTAGTGGATTTCAATTGCGAAAATTGTTCGAAAATTCGTAGCAAATGGTTGAGATGTTGGGAAAGAAGAACAAGAGAGCGAAATTTGGGCGGGAGCTTGGGGCCTTTTATGTTCGGATCCTAGGCAGCAAAGGTGCATCTTCGTCACTTTGGAACAGTGACGCTCGAGCACGTGTATTGTGGTGACGGGGTGTAAGTTGGGAATAGTTTTCGTCAAGGAGTGTATTGGCGAGCTCAGCTGCACGTTTCCGACATATCCTTCACGGCGTTGAAGACAAACATCACGTCACTGTCCTTATTTGCAGAAATACGCAGCACAGGTAATTGTTGAACACGTGCCTGCAAATTCACGTCGATGAGCATTAGCAAGAGACTAAGAGTGCATGCAACGTGCAATACGACCAGAGCATCCTGAAGAACATGTCAGGCAGGCTAGAAAATTTAGTTTTATCGGAGAAGAGTTATGTTCATTTCGGCTTGACCGGTTCTACAGATGCCTTGAGTCTAAATTGTTGATATCTAACCTTCAAAAACGCCGTGGTTGAGCTCAATGCCAAAATCCTTTGCAATATGCTTCATCTGGTTTTCCATTTCGTCCTCCATTCCCCGGCCTATGCCAAAGAACTGCTTCACCTTGCTGGCGTAAAAATACACGTCACTGGAAAACATGACAAACTTGAAAATGAGGTGACGACCCAAATTGCCGAGCCTTTGAGAGAGAGTTAGATCTGGTGAGTCCACCAGCGAACGTGACGCCCAGTTACCAGTGATTTTGATCCGGTTCACTGGTGACCCCAGATACTGGTTGTTGCCTTGCACAATGCGAAGATTCCGGCCAATGAAGATGAGCTCTCGTGGCCACTTCTCCTCGTCACCCAGGATTTCCTTGATACCCTTTCGCATCTTCTGCTGCATTTCGTACATTTTTTCGGCTTCTTCTTTGCCTCGCAGACCCTTCCTGATACTTCTAGAGGTGGACATGTCACCGCCGGTATAAGGCTTCATCAGAGTAGCCGATGCAAAGATATCCACGTCGTGGATACCCCACTCATTAACAATCTTTCCAAGAGTCTTGTTGTCAAAGGTCATCAAGCTCTTCCAGAAAAGGGCATATTGATGTCGCAGCTTGGGTGCAACCTCAACATAGAGACCATGATCAATCAAAACCAATTCGGCCCTTCCTGAAGGTGTTCGGCGAACAAAGATATTACCAGGATGTGGATCGGCATGAATCACTCCAAATAAGAACATTTGAGCAGAGAAAAGATCGACCATAATAGTCATGACTTCCTTGAGCGAAAGTCCAAGACCACCCTTGCCAGTCTTGCCCTTCCAATGGTCGCGCCGGGGCTTGAGCTCGCCGTTGACCGAATTTGCCCGCAAGGAATCCTCCGATACGTCGAGGCCCGGTCGGTCCAGAGGCGTTCCATGACAACCCGGACTTCCCTGTCGCCCACTACCAAGCCATCTTCCTGTGATCGCTTCCTTGTCCCAAAGTCGAACACCCTCGATCCATTCGGCAGTCATGATTCTCTTGGAGCTAAGATCGCGAAAAACTTTAGGTATGTAGACTTTTCCTCGTAAGCGAGGCTCATTGGCAATGAGCTCTGCCATACGTTCGGAATTGTTGGCTTCATTGACGAAGTCGGTCTCCAGCTGAAGACGTTCGGTAATATAAGGGACTAGACTGTACAGTGGGAGATCAAAAATCGTGGAATAAACCTTCATCACAACCCTAGAACTAATGTTAATTGCCCGAGTCCGCTATTTCGGGGGCAGGGTTCTAAACTTACTTGAAGGCCCACAAATCCCAACCAACCTGCTGCGCAATCTCCTTCTTTTGTACCTTGACAGCGACTTCTGTTCCATCTGCCAAGCGCGCCCAGTGTACCTGTGCAACGCTTGCACTAGCCCTCGCTTTCCTCTCCATCAATCCCTTGCCAGGCTCACCCGTAAAACTCACCCCAAAGACCTCTTCCGGGCTCTTTCCGAAATCTTCACGAATTACCGCTTCAACGTCTTCCCAGTCATTCTGAGGTGCATCATCAAACATTTTTTGAAACATGCGTTGAAATTCTGGCGGAAGAACGGCAGATTGCATCGCAATTGCCTGTCCAATTTTCAGGTAGAGACCTCCATTTTCCCGTAGCAGATCAAACAGACGTTGTGCATTACGGGCATGTAATGCTGGAATCGATTCAGCGAAGATAGGTTGCGCACGGAAATTTATCTTATAATCCAGAGCCACAAGGGTTCCGAGTGCAAAGGTTCGTGTACTGCGAGAGATGGAAGAATAATAGAACTGCTTATCGACGGCATAGACAATGCCGATCCCTAGACCTAAATAAATGAAACGCTTCCCCCATCTTCGTGTTCGTCGATAAGTCTTGGGAGGGCGCGGTTTTGGGAGGGAGCTAGGAGGCGGAGGAATAAATGGTTGAAAAGCCTGAGATTGGACGCCTCTTCGACGAATTGCTGACGAGGTTGCCTGACATTGAGACCATAGCCGGGACTGCCCTTTTCTACAAAAGGACAGCGGATTGATCCTGACTGGATTCATTGCTGGTAAAGGGCGTCAGGCAGCCCTTGGATGACTTGGACAAGTTAACAGATAAATTCTAAAGGTTTGGTATATGTTGGGCGTCGTACAACCAGAGTCGAAGGTGGTGACGATGATGATGTCCATCGCTTCTTCCTCATATTTCCTCTGTGTCGGACTCTCCCCCGGACCCTTCGGCCGATTCGCTTCCTCCGATCCGACCGACAGGCGGATCTTTAAGTTATCAGATTATCTCACCTTTAGTGTTACATCTGCTTGATAGCACACCACATTCGAATCACCTCCTCCCTACGGAGTAGACTTTTATATAATTACTGCGACTTGAGAAAGAAGAAAAACAATAAGAAGCTTTACGGTCACTATCTGAATCAAGTCTGAATAATTTCACCATTGTGCCTGCGGTGTGAACGTGGGAAATGACACACGAGCACTAACTTATCTTTTCTTTACGCTTGGCGAATTTGGATTAAAGAACTCACCGGTAGGTTGCGAATTTACCTAGTTCCTTCTTCAAAGAGTACTGATAATCATAGATCTGAAATGTGCCTAGAATCAAAAGATTTTATTCCGACGGGCCATCGGAGGCAAGATCAATAAAGGCTGGGCACATTCCCCAGTTCCAGTCACGTGATTGATTGCAAGCATCAAAGATATAAGGTAGGTACGTACTTTGTATGCGCTGCTGTGATAGATCGGACAAATATATCCTGCATTTCTGCAGGGACATTTCTTGATTTTCATTCTCAACGCTGAGCTGAATATCATTGGCCGTGACACAGTTTGGCAGACATTATAACTGATGATAGGCTAGAACTTGCACTAAACAGCGACACCGGTCCCACTCTTATCAGGTTATCGGACGACCAAACGGCAACAGAAACCCCTGAGAACACGCCTTCGTCGTCTTCTATTGGCAGATACACTCAAGAGCCCGTCGAGGGTCCTATTGACAGGTTTCCCTTGACCCCTTCTCTCCCATTTTGGCTAGTCAGCCTTGACACCTGCCGTTCCTGGCATCAGATTGTGTGATTTACTTGCAAAATTCCGACAAGAAGAGGTAGTGCTTCCCCTTTCTGGAGAAGAGTCGGGCTTTACCTTCATAGTTGTGTATCTTTGAGGTGTCTTCCCTCTTGGTTGGCGTGGAGAAGATCGACCGAGACCACGTTTGCACGAGCGGGTGCTAAACCGCTTGTGTCGGGGAGTGTGGCTTTGCAACTCCCTAATCAAGAGTTGAACTACCCGGGGAACTCAAACCGCCCGCCCACCCTTTCAATCACCTGCCATCAGCCCCCCCCAATCCTCACCACCGGTTCTGGGCCGCGACTCTCGTTACCTTGCTGTTCCTTCTCTTCTCATTTTCGCTCCCATCGCCTGGCGCAGTGCGGGCGCTCATGATTCTTACACCATAATTTGCTGATCGGGGCGTCCTTTCTCCAATGTTGTCATCACATCCGCGCTCGTTCTCAACTACTGTCACTCCTTAGACCGCGCCGATACCGAACTCACGATTTTCTTCCACACGATATATTCTTGAAAGAAAATCAAGTGCTTATTCCATTCTCGTAATACAATTGAAAGAAACACGTCTGAACACGTTGGATGGGCCTTACCCTCTGCGCGTCTCATCATGTTCCGCCCGGCGACGCCGCTTTCTGTCCTCCTTCTCGCCGCCTTTGTGCTCCTGCTTCTCTCTACCATTTCAACACCGATCATTAAGGCGATTCCGCTGGCTACATACAATGGTGTAGATTTTGGCGTGTTTGGATATTGTAAGGGCGATCAATGCAGCAGCATCGGGGTGGGCTATAACACTGGTACGCTTCAGTCCTTGAAACCTGTCTTTATCCTTGGAGACCTTTGAATTTTCGGCTGTTATGGAATAGCCGGGAATGGTCATATGTAGAATTGTCGGGCACGCGGCATCTCACTTGGAATTTTTACTGACATTTCTTCTCAGATGGATTGTTTTCAAATACGGAAAATGACTTTTCCTTGCCGTCGACAAGCCGGCGCTCGCTCTCATCCATTTTGATTGTCCACCCCATAGCGGCCTTCCTCACCCTGATATTGCTCATTCTCTCGCTGACCGCCCACTTCCATTCTCCTTCTCATTCGCCGCGCTACCTTCTCTTCCTACTGATCCTTACGCTGCCTACTTTACTCGTTTCTCTACTTGCATTCCTCGTCGATATACTACTTTTTGTTCCCCATATGCGATGGGGAGGATGGATCGTTCTCGCAGCCACCATTCTGATCGTCGCCAGTGGCATTGTCAGTTGCGCTATGCGCCGGACTCTCGTTAGTCGCAGGGCAAAGCGAAAGCGGGTTGCCGAAAATGCCGAGATGAACGGACAGAATTACTACAGCAACATGCAAACCAGTCTAGCCCGCGCTGACTCTCCCCCGCCGCTCAGTGGTCAATCGACTGCGCCTTTGTCAGGAACGTCGAGCAACCCAGACAAGCTACCTCAGTTTGCCACTTTTGATGTGGAGCCCAAGGACCGTGCTAGCACTGAAGATCAGAGACCGTTGAATCCGACCGTTCAATCGCCGCCTGACAACGTTGGTATTGCAATTTCCCCTGATGGTCCCGTTCACGCTGGACCAATGCCGCCGCCGGCGGGTATGCGCCGGGGTCCATCTGACCCATCCTTGCGTGCCCAAACCGTAAGCCCTTCGATTTATTCGAACAGCTCTGGGGGCCCACCATCCGGTGCAGGCCGAGGCCGTGGCATGTATCCTCCACGTGGTGACTACGGAAGGTCGCCGCCTCCTGGAGCTTTCCGTGGACCTCCGCCAGGCTACAATGGCCCGCCGCGAGGAAGGGGCTCTCCAGGGCCTGGGCCTGGGCCTGGGCCTGGACCTTATCAAGGTCCTTCCCCTAGCCCATATGGACCTCCTCGAGGCAGAGGCAGCCCGGGTGCTTATCCAGGCCCGTATCCCGGCCCATATGGACCTCCACGTGGAAGAGGTAGTCCTGGTCCTGGGCAATTCCCTCGTATGCCATCGAACGGCTCGGTAGGTCCCCGAGGAAGAGGATCTCCTGGACCGAATGGACCTTATCCACCTTCGGGTCCATACGGACCTCCGCCAGGACCGAATGGCTCCTTCCGTCAAGGTCCGCCTCCAATGCTATATGGCGGCATCCCAGGTCCAAGGGCGTCGCCTGGCCCAGTCATGGGCCCTTCCGACCAAAAACTGGCCCTTAGACGATCACCTCCTCCAGGATTATCTCCTGTTGGACCTGGCGAAGGTCCTGTCGGGCAGGCAATAGAAATGGATGCCGCTACTTCTAATCCATCCTTTGCGGGCCCTGGACATCAAATTGTGGGCGGTAGTGGTTTATCTCAGGGTCAACGCTCTAGCCCACTTCCCCGTGGAGGCAGCCCTGCACTCCCTGGGCCAATGCCTGGAGCACTGCCGGAGGTTGAAGAACCGCAAGTCCCCCCGTTCCTGACGTAATAAGATATTCATGCTGACCGAAAATCCCAGGGCCTATATTCCTCCAAGAGCGGCATGGAACAGAAGCAGAAATGCGAGCCCCTCGGTTCCTAACGTCGCCCCAACCCCGCCGCCCCCGATTCAGCCTCATGAAGAGGCCCTCGTCCAGGGTCCTGTTGAGCTTCCCGCCAGCCCTCCCCCAATGCCGGTTCAAGACAATCCGCAACATAGGCGAGTGGGTTCCAGCGACGACTACTACGAGGACGTGGATTATAGATTTGTGGAACCTGAAGCCATTCCGGGAGGTCACATGCCCTCGTCGCTGATGCCTGGATATGAGATTGGGCCAACTGTTCCTGTCGCGTCTCAACCTGATCCTAACCTTGCGGAGCATCACTCATACGAAGACCTTCACGAGGGCGCACGGTCGCCAGCTGCCAGTGATATCAGCCATTTCACTTCGGTGTCTCAGCGCCCAGTCAACCCCAATTGGCACCCTCCGCCGCCGCCACCCAACATGATGCCGCCAACTCGAAAACCCGTACAGCAGCGAGAGGATGTGTTGCTTGGTGGAAACCCCGACTTCGAGCTTCCTTCAAGGGGTCGTGGCCGTGGTGCAAGAGCAGCTGGCCCGTACCCCTCCGGAGGCGGCCCATATGGTTCGAGCAACATTTAAACGGTATCGGTTTTCCAAGTGGACTTCTCTACGCAATGATACCAGCGGATGTCCGCAGGGCGGCGCCTCTAAACTTTCATTAAATCCATTGCAACCAGTTACGCATTGCCATTACTTTCGATTTTTTTACTTCATTTTCCTGCATATACCATTCTGTGGAGCTTAAGCTTTTGCGTGTTTTTACACACTTTTTTTTTTCTCCAAGGATTACTGCGATGGTCTATTGTCATCGTAATTTCATTACTTTCACTCTGTTCCTTGCATTATTTCCTCATCCATTTTCTTCCCCATTGGGTATTTCGACAATTTTTATTCCACCTTTATCCCGCAGTGCTGTTAGGCTACTTGACCTTTTATCTAGCTTGCATTTGCATTAGCAGGGGCATATTATTTCTTTCTTTCGTCCGATTTTCTTGTTGCTATTGTTATCTTCGGATGAAAAGTGGTAAACTCCTGTGTAGGCCTTGGCTTGATTGGAGGACAAGATTTATATTATGGGACCGGGCCGGCTCCTTTATTTGATATAGTGCAAAATTTCAAGCCCTTTTCTATCATACCACTTTCTTTTCATTTACATCTCTTGGAAAGGACATTTTCGCTCTGGAATCAACCGGCAGCTTGAGCTGCTCTTTTGTTGAAATCTTAGTAGGCTTTGTCCTACCTGCTGTATCTTCACATGAAAACATTCAGTCCTACCTACCTACGTGACTAAGCGATGACCCACCCAGCAGCGCTCCCACTGACGCACCACACAAACGTTGAACGTTCTCGCTAGTGCCACACACTATGGCTTCAAGTATTGTAAAATGAGCCAACCTTTCAACAACCATTGCCCTGCTGGCGCAATGGTAGCGCGCGAGACTTCTAATCTCGAGGTTGCGGGTTCGAGTCCCGCGTGGGGCTGGTGAATCAGCAATGGTTTTTTTTTGGTCTTATGGCAGATATATATCTACTATATGATTTCCTTATTTTTATTTCGTCACTAAAGGTCACTTTTTTGTAGATCAACGTGAATTTCAGTGCTATCCTTGGTCTCTGTTTAACGGGCAGGTGCTTTTTTGTTCCCCTTTCTATCTTGTGCCTTAATTCTCTTTGGCAGCCTGTCAGATTCTTTCTCACCGCCCGGTTTGTCGCTAAACGAACAAGGTCGAAGCCGACGGAGAACTCCATGGACCCTCTGATCACTTGGCATTTACAACATCCGCCAGGACAGAAAATATCTACTCGTCTGCTCTTCGCCATTGTGGAGAGCTACACTGATCACACCGACTGTGCGACATTTGGATAATTCAGGGCAATTCGTCTTGCGCTCTAGCATAGCGATATCCTCTCTGCCCGTCTCTAAAGGACCTTCCGAACTGGCAATCCCTGCTCTCTCTCTCTCTCTCTCTCTCTCTCTCTCTCTCTCTCTCTCTCTCTCCGAGCCATACCGGGAAAAACCACGACACCTTCTAGACCACAATCTGCCACACCCTACTGTCTTTCTCTACACCATTGAACCTCAGTTTCCCAAAATCTGAGACATAATGGGCTTCTCATCAATAACATCCTGGTTCTCGGGCAGCGGCTCTGCTGCTCCCCCTGCCGAGTCATCTTCACCACCGTCACCTCCACCTACGATTCCAGCAGCAGCAACAGCATCAACATCATCAACAGTACCCGCTACACCTACATCAAACACAACAACACCAATGACTCCAACGACTCCAACGACCCCACCCGAGCTTCTCTCCCCCGCGACGCGCACGCGGAAACAACTCTCCCTTTTCTTCGGCGGCGCGACCTTCTTCCTCATCTCCACGCTCATCACCCGGCGATCTCTCGCGAAACGGCGCCTCGCCAGCGCCCCGTCCTTCTACCACCCCAGCAATGCCGCGCCGCAGGGCAAAGTCAACGGCGCCATGGACGCGCTGGAAGCCCTCAACATTGCGACCATCAACGTGACCTCTCTCGGCATCATGACTGTCGGCGGCGCGCTCTACGCATTTGATATTTGCACGCTGGACGAAATGAGACGCAAGATCCGCGGCGGGCTGGGCGTCGATGGCACAGGCCGCTCGGCAGAACAAGCGGAGGAGAACATCGAGGAGTGGATTGCAAGTGTGATGGCGCGCAAAGAGGACAAGGAGCGCAAACGCGCGGGGGACGAGGGATTGGTCAATGAGCGCGGCAAGGCGCGGTAGAGGGAATTTTTTTCGGATTCTTTGTTTTCTGCCTGTTGTTGTCTTGTGAAATGGCTTGGTAGTGCCGTTTTTTTGTATCATATTGGTTTTATGACGATGAAAAAAGGAGGACATCAGAGCGAAAGGAAAACGGGAGCGGACTGCGTGAGTTGGAAGGGCTGTGGCATCTCGCATTGAGGAGCTCTTTGCATTTTAGCTCTATATATTACGGCGTTGATTTTTGGAAGGTTTTGAAATTGGGGGTATTTGCATGGTTGTACATATGTCGAATATGCTGCTTTACCGGCTGGAATTAAATAACACATACTTCACTCTAAATCACTTCTCATTTATTGCAGCTGGAGACGAAGTCAATTCACTTCCTGCATGTTTGCATGAAAGGGGCAGGCAGTTGATACTTTGTCAATGCAAAAGATATAATGAAATATGATCAGGACGTACATAAACAATGTATCATGCTATCTCCAAATACGGAAGGAAAAGATAATGAAATGTAAATAAACTGGCATAACTCAAAAGAAAACGAGAAACTCCAGGCAAGTCATGCATGCATCCATCATAGAAAGACCTCGCACACTCAAACGTGGGCCGCTCAAAAATCAACCATCAAGGAACCAACATTGCGCGCCAAAACTGTAAATCCCTCTTCCTTTGCACATTTATAATGTCAAATTGTGGAGGGTTTTTATAATGCCAGCAGCGCCTTTTCTAGCATCGACAGGTCTAATCCCTGTGCCACGGCCTTTCTGCGCACTCGAGCCTTGGGGCCCCCGTGGCCGCCGGGCCCTCCGGCACCCCTTCCGCCTCCGCCTTCGCCTCGACCGGGCTCAGAGCCTTCTCCCCCAGTAAAGTCCTCGTGAGATGGTGTTACGGTTACTGGCTGTGGGATAACAGTGACAGTAGTCGTGCTGGTCGAGAAGGAGGTAACGGTTGTTGTGGGTTCTTTGGATGATGAGGCTGATGTCGGGTCAGGATGAGTACGAGTTATTGTTGTCTTAGGCGTGGTTGTAGTTGTAAAATTGCTAGATTTATTCCATATCGTCAATTGTTGAATGAAAATTTGACAGGTACCGAAGGGGAAAAAGTTCGCGGGGGAAAAGGCAGTTGTTAATAAAAAAAAAACAAGAAAAAAAAAAGAAAAAATGGAAGACTCACCCAACAAGACTGACGGTGATGGTCTTGGTCAAGGTACTATTGGGGGCTATACGAGACACTACTGATGTGACAACTGTCGGGATGGTCACAGTAGAGGAAAATGTGACGCTTGTGTTGAGAGCGAACGGTGTTGTTGATGATGCGGGGATCTTGGCGGTCGAGTTGGAGTCGTATATAATTTCAATAGGCTATTTCTCGGTAGTCAGTAACCATCCCGATAAAATTGATACATGCGCAAGTTCTTATTCAAGAACACGTGGATAGTGTGAAATTATAGAGAGATGGACATACCCCGGCTATATCAGTGGACACTTGAAGCTCGGCAACTCGGTGTCCAACGTAACTTGTCGTTGTAACCGTCCACTCCTCTATAGCAGTCTGGCAATCTCCGTCGTCATCATGATCATCTCCACCATCCTTGTCATCTTTTTCATCGCCATCGTCTCTCCTGGTGAGGTCATCTCCAGAACTGGGCAGCCCTGTACTCTGGCACGTCTTTACCGTCACAGTGCGTGGGACCCCTGTGGCAAGATCCTGCCAGGAAGCAACATAGTACGTTGCGTTGACTATGCCAACATTTGAGGTGGTTGTTGTAGCTTTTGCTTTACGAGCAAAAAGGCCTAAAAACCTTGGTTTGGATGTGGCAGTAGCTTCTGACGAGTGTGAAGAGAAAGCAAACTCCTTGTCCACTGAGAAAGTTATAGACTGGGTACACTCGCTGATAATTGCATATCCGGCCCCTAGGAGAATCGCCGTGTTGCAAGCAGGAATGCTAGCGGAGAGCAAAGCCGTCTTGCAAGTTGCGTTGTGTACAGGGGCTACTGTGACATTATTTGGGGTGTGTGAGTAGGTTAGTATTGGCGCTGTGAGTGGACAGAGCGTGAGTGCAGGAACTTGCGTCGTTAATGTCTTCGTTGTTAGACGTAGTGAAGTTGACGAAGGAGCAATGTCGATGTGGAAGTCACGCTTTTGAACGGCTTCGGCTTCTTTTGCATTGTGCTGACCCGCGCATGATGCAACCACAAACAGGAGGCAAAAAGAGAGTGTAAGAAGGGAATTCGGGCTCTGGTTGGATAATGAGAGCATTTTGGGAAAAGATCGAAAACTGAACTGGCAGCTTGGCTCTAGAAATAACGACGAAGACAAAAAAGCAAATACCAGCAACAACCAACTCGACGAGCGTCAAGCTCTGTCGCAATACTCAAAAAGCAACTCGATTACCCAGCGAGCGAAACCAACCAGAGGCAAAGGAACGACTGACTTCGAAAAAAAAAATGAATGATCAACAGGGGCACGAGGCCATTTTGTGGGGTCACCCCTCATCAAGGGTGACTTCAATCCTTATCCCAGCCATCGTGAAAAGGGGACGCGTTTCTGCGAGAAAAATGCCATACGACGCGCCGCGGTCCACGATACCTTTGCCAATTTGTCCATTTGAAGGTTAATGCGCTTAGAGGGAGTATATCAGAGATATGGAGGGGCGGAGGTATTGAGGAAAAGGACCTTAACAGCAGAACGAGGGGGCTTGGCCCCTTACGTTCTTCTCGAGGGCGAAACCCCGCTGGTGGACGGTTTAGGTAAGAAAGGAAGCGGCGAACACACAATGGAATTTTCGCCCAGAGAGGGAGAATATTTTGTGCAAAAAATGAATCCCATGACAAACGAAGCTATATTCTGATAAGAAACAGCTTGTAGGAGAAGCTCCGGGAGACTCTAGAGATTGAGCAAGCAATCGCACAATGATAGACTAGACGAGGTAACAGTGATCCTAGATTGTTTCAGCTATCGATGTCAAACCAGTCAGAGTCTTGAGGAGAGTCAAAGCTTTCACTTCTTCACTGCTGTTCAACATTCAGGCTCTCAATGCTCTCTGATCGAGGAGCAAAGGGCGTCACATCGTTGGATGCAAAAGAGTCTCCGTTACGCCCTTGCTAAATCCTGTCTACAAGTTCGGCTAGGCTTCGCTTAACCTGGCTGTCGATCTTGAGTTCGGGTAGCTCCCGCTCGGGAAGCCTTTTCCCGCTGTTTGGTCCAAGAGCCTAACAAACCAACCGAATGCTCAGTGACACAATCTCTCAGATTGGCCTGAAGGTTGTTAAGAATGAAAAAAGCATTTACAAATCACTGGTAGAGTGATTAATGGATAGGAAATATGTGAATTGTAGATTGATTGTGATTATTAGCCTAATCTGTAATAGGAAGTAGCTTTGCAGCCGCTGCCCGTTGCGGGATATATCTAGGACCCTGGCCCGTCCCCTCTTCTTCCCCACAAAACCCTGAATCTCGCACCCGAGAGCTTCATTTCCAACTTCATCTTGATCTTCATATTCTCTCCAGCCTTCACAACAAGAAGTACACAGTTCTTTACTACGAAAATGCCGAAGGAGAATAGTAACAGCGGAGATTCTTCGTCTCGCACCGGCTATGGAGGAAACTCGTACAGTGTGACGGGTAGTGGCACCGACAGTCAGGTGGGTATTTCTTTTCGCTCCGGCAGTGCTCTTTGATGTGCCTCGCTCTCTCGCTCGTCTGTTAATTGTTCCGACTTCAGTAAAGATGCTGTCCATACTGACATTTTCAAGGGAAACCACTATTGTAACCGTGACTATGGCGCCAGTGCCCCCAATCAAAATTCCTATCATTACTCAAACAAGTAGGTTTCGGACTCACCTCCGTCACACTCTGGAGAGCGAGGAGCTGGTCCCAATGTTCAATACTAATGGCCTTATAGTAATGGAAGCTATTATTATTCCAATCCCGACGGCTCTACCTACTATAACAGTGGAAATGGCCACAGCAAGTACACTAGATAGACGCCGCGAGGTGTACGGCACGAGAGCAAAAGGCACTCCAGATGCAAGATGTTCTCTGCTCTTTTGCCGCCTGTAGCTCTCTAATTCATGTTACTCTCTTTTGATAATACTGGGACTCATGCATACGGCACACGAGAATGAAATGAAACATTTCGTACGCTAGCTAGATATGCAATTGAAAAAAAAAAAAAAAAAAAAAAAAAAA